GAATCATTTCTTCCAATTAAATCATTCCTATGCATGTAAGAGTTTGAAGCTATTTAGAATCATTCTCATAAGTGGGATGTTCCCACTACGGTAAGTGTGTGTGTAGATCATCGCCAAATAGTCGATAGTCTGCATATGATATACGAATATCATAGTCTCTCAAATACGGGGCTTCCTCCGACCTCTCTCGTGCGATACACGTGTTTACATATAATTTCCTTGGTAGATGATAGATTTTTAGTTCATCACGGCACTTGTAGCATGAAAAACAAACTTGTTTACAACGCTCGCTAAGGTGAACTAAAAACGGCTCCGAATATGATATAGTATCAAGACTCTGGTTTCTGAAAAGTTGCAAAGCCACTGTGTTGGTGCAAGGCCGGTTAAACACAATACCCCTGGCTGGCTAATACCGAATTTGACACAACAAGCGGGGGCAGATACCAGGTTGGGGCAATGCAGCAGTCTTAGTTACTATGGCAGCTGCTCGGGGACGCGTACCTTGCGTAATTTATTACCTGCGTCGTTAGCGGACCACACCCACACTTCCGCGTTCCGGAACAGATGATCGAGCTCTTAAGAAGAAGCTGGTAAACCCCCTAACTGGGACCATTACAGTAGTATCGGACCAAACTAACGCGAAGCTGGTAGCGGACTCTTGACCTCGCTCTCCTATCTAGACTCGGTAAGGTGTAGTTCGATGCAACACACCTCCTAGTTCACCTGTTGAGATTCCTTCTCGAACAATATGAGATTGCGGAGGACTACATTGTTATGTGTGCAGAGCTGCTAAGGCTTGCCGGCGCCCCTAATAGCGTGGAATGTATGATAATATTCTGTCTCCTATACACTTACACCTGGTCAACTCTCTATTATCCCCCGAACTATTGATGTCTCCTGCATTAGCATGCGTGAACCCACGTGGCCCGCAAGGAATATCGGCGTCTTATCGGGTTCGTATAAAGTAATCACGCTGCACGTCACGACGATCCTTTAGAGATTTTCTATCGTGGTCCCTCAGCAGCGAAGCTTGTTCAAACACACTCTTTACCCGGTGCCAGTAGCTAAGCGCTTCCCTCCTTTTCAACTTGCAGGAGCTTGCTACCATATACCAATGGCGCGTCTCGCGTTCGTTGCGGCTCTGTCGCTAGCCAGCTTAGCGTTCGCTCAAACAATCCAAGACGGCGTCGGTAAGCTAAATTCTTGATACACACACTGCATTACTGACACGCCATGGTGATGATGTGGCTCGCTAACCCTTGTCCCCTCAACTAGAAGCCACTGAAGACAACGTCGCGCCGGCTGCTGAGACGGTGGACGCGGACTCCGCATCATCAGGCATTGACTACTTTGCATATGAGTCAAGCCAGCTCACAACTGATGTTATCAGTAACTTAACAACTTATAATCTCAGTGATGTCACACTCTTTAATTTCACTGATACCGATGCTGAAACTACTGCCGAAAAACGCTGGGGCCGCGTCTGCAAGACTCATCCCACGGACAAAAGCTGGCCGGCTCGCTCAACGTGGAACCTCCTCAATCTTCTCCTAGGCGGCGCTCTAGTTGAAGGTATACCAACTGCGGCGCCATGCTACTCGAATTGGCCTCAGTACAATGAGACGACATGTGCATCGATCACTTCCCAATGGCAGACGCCGTCTTACCAGTGAGTCTTTCACCATTACTCTCACAATACCTAACTACCTGCCCGTAATTAGTATCTAATTTCCCTTAGGCTGTCGCAACCTGTGGGCATCCAGTATTATATCTTCGAAGGAGTAAGCTGCTTGCCGCCTAGCCTCACACGCACAGGTGCCAACTGCACCCTTGGCGGCATGCCCTCGTACGTTGTCAAAGCGACAAATGTGGCACAGATCCAACTGGCCGTCAATTTCGCGCGCAACCTCAACCTACGATTGATCGTCAAGAACAAGGGCCACGACTTCAAAGCTAAGTCCAGCGGCGGCGGAGCTCTTTCGATTTGGACCAATGCCCTCCAAGGCATCCAGTACCTAGGATCCACTTACAAACATGGTCCCTCCGGCTACAAGGGCCCGGCTTTCAAGATCGGTTCCGGTGTTGAGGCTTTGGCTATCTATTCCGCCGCTGATAAACTAGGCCTTCACGTCGTCGGCGGTAACACCCGAGTAAGTCTTACACCCCTTCTTGAATATTAGGTAGGTATACACACAACGAAGATGTAGGTAAAAGCTAACCTTGATATTCTACTAGACCGTCGGTATTGGTGGTGGATACATCGCTGGCGGTGGTCACTCACCCCTACTGTCCAAGTATGGCATGGCAGCCGACCAAGTCTTGTCTATGGAAGTTGTTCTACCCAATGGCCGATTCGTATCTGTCGACGAGAAGAACTACCCCGATCTGTTCTTCGCTCTCCGTGGTGGCGGTGGCAGCACCTGGGGCATTGTAACCTCGCTCGTCATCCGCGCTTACCCGAGAACCCCTGTTTCTACTCTCACCTATAGCTTCAGCGTCGGTGACAATATTTCGACGGAGGTATTCTGGAACGGTGTCAACGCAGTCTTCGCCAAGTTCCCCGAGTATGCCGATGCTGGAATGTACAGCTATTTCTCCGTCAGCTGCCTCGGCGCCTGCACTTTTTCCATGGCACCGCAGTGGGCAAACGATCTCGTCGCCAGCAGTCTCCAAAACCTATCAGCCCCATTATTTAATGAGCTGGCCAGTCTAGGTATCACCATTACCAACGCCGTTTATACCGATTACACCGGCGTTCTCAACGCAATCAACGGCACCTGGACCGCCAGCAGCGAGACGGGCGGTGTCTGGAATTTCAACACTGGATCTCGACTCTTCCCCCGCTCCAACTGGGAAAACGCCACACAACTAGCTGCCCAGAACGCCGCCCTCCGGACCTCCGTCGAGGCGGCAGGCATGATGCTCGGATACAACATGAAAGCAGCCACAAACCCCACAGTCAACCAAGACAACGCCGTGAACCCAGCCTGGCGCGAGACCCTCCTGCACGCCCTTCTAGGCGCTACCTGGTCCCAAGACGCCACACCCGCCGATGTCGCCGCCGCGAACAAGAAGCTCGTCGAGACCATGCAGCCGTGGCGCGACGTCTCCCCTGACGCCGGCGCGTACCTCAACGAGGCCGATATCAACGAGCCGAATTGGCAGCAGGCTTTCTACGGATCTAACTACGACTACCTGTACGATCTGAAGCAGAAGTACGATCCGTGGGGCGTCATGTGGGCTCCTACCGCCGTCGGCTCCGAGGATTGGAATATGACGGGCCAGATCGCTTATTACCCGACACAGAATGGAAAGCTTTGTCCTGTGTAATTTGGGGCGGGTACGTTTCTGGGTGAAGGGGGTTATTCTTTCGTGTTATAATTAAGAAATTAAGATACCATAATCACCTGCCTATATATTAGGGTAGGTTTAGTTAGAAGATAAATTTTAAAGCAATAGATAATTTGTATATATCTTCCCAATTCTGCGTCTTGTATCAGCTCAGTCTTATGGAATAAATGTTCTTATATAAGATTATCAAGTTGATTATTTGTTATATTGTAATTTTAGGCAGTCATTTCGTCCTTTCATCTTTCGATTCATTCAAGGTGGCGATAGGGTTAGGATAAAACTCACATATATGCTTGATTTCAATTTATTCTTTCATAGAATTTCATTCACTTCAAAAAGTTTGATAATAAAATGAAACCTAGATATTTGTTCTCTTCAAATTTAGTAGGGATTCTAAGAAACCACATGTTAATTAGGTAGTTACCTACTGTAGAGGGAACCCCGTGTTCGCGAGAATCATTCTAAACCTCGTTCAATCATTCCATGCATAAGATCGATAGAAATTGAGCACTTCAATTCCTTCAGTAAGAGCCATTCTATCTATAAAATAACACTACAGGATTATTCTTTACTTGACTACCTAGGTACTTACCTAATTCATCTTACCTTGTAGGTGCAGATTCACAAACCAAGTGCCTCAGTTATTTGTAGGTACCTACCTTTACAACTACAATTGTTTTTATGTTTGCAATTGAAAGAGAGGTATGAACTTATTAGTTGCCTTTTACTGATTCTATTAACTTCATTATTCCATGAGTTGAAGTTGTTCTATAGAGTGGTATGTGAAAATCAGAAATGAGTCGAATGAGAAATGTATGTTAGTAATATCAACCTTGGAAGTATATTTTCTCGACATGTAATAATATTTCTTAGTAGTCCTAGTCCTTCCTGTAGAGGTACATATAAAAGGGGAAATTATACATATCTACTAGGTACCTGTTATTATATGAGTAGTAGGTACGTAAATAGTTATCTCTTACACTTTGTCTATACTTAACAGACAAATACACGCCAGGGGATTAATTTCATGAATCTTCAGCTCTTAAGGTGTATGAGAAAGATTCAGAGATAGGTAGTACATCTACCTGAAGGTATTCATGCCTTTCCTAGAATTACATTTAGATCTCAAATATGTTATGGGTTATTTTGGATTATGGTTAGAATATGAGTTTTGCAAGCAAATCTTTTAAATAGGAGACCCAGCTGCAGAACGCTTTCTACGTCACAACAATACGATAACCAAAGAGGCGAGTATTAAAACCCTCATTGTAATGTTAATTACTACAAGTCAATTCATCCAGGGGCAAAACTCTGTTAAGATTTTAAACGCAGCACAAAATTGTCATCTCATAGGAAGTAATGGTTGATGTGAAGTCATATTTGACACAAGCAAAGAAATGCCAAAGCTAGTATTGTTGTGCACAAAGCACAGAAGAAAATTGAATTATTTTAGTCCATTGTGCCTATACCCGAAGTCTCTAGTGATCTACCCTTCGGCATGCGAGATATTTGTCGCTTGCCTGCATATCGAGGCGTAAGCTAGACCGCATCGGCAAATAGAGGAGTCTTCGCATGGGAATCAGACTTATTACCAGGAAATTCTGATCCTCATGAGCAAGTCCATTATCGAACCACCACTTAAAGCCTCATCCTGTAGTCATCTACGTAATCCATCCTCCCGCCGCTAGCCACTCGGCAGGTCCCGTCATGATCCTGGACCGAGTTAAGCTCCTGTAACCGGAAGAAGTGCCGAATTCATATAAGCCTACTAAGGTCTGAGTGGACGCCGCCGAGCCCTGGCAAAAATTTGTGAATATCAATTCACGGATCTCCTAGTTGTTAATCTTGTTACACGACATATAGACAGGCGGACACCGGAGTTACTTTGTCCATGTCCTCTTTTTGTTACGATGCGTAGAAGCATGCATGGAAAACAAGACGCTCAACGAAACCAAATACGGAAATAAGTACAGGAGATATGCTCAACGTCGTAAATTAGCTTCATATCCAACCGGAAAAATAGCAGGGCTAATGCACCAGTCTGAGTTTATTGACTGATACCTCGCAGCTTGACGCCATGACATCTTCTCCGCTCTCGAACGCAGGCTGTCGAACCATCAAGCATCTAAGCTAGATGGAAGCATGCCATATTACTGTGTTTGTATCACCTATTTGCGTACATGCTTACCTGTCGGCACCTTCGCATCGCCGGGAGCTGCGGGTGTAGATCTGGCCAGACCCTTGATCCCAATTTCCGGGGCCGTGCAGAGTTGAAGAAACAGACGATGATCATGCAGGGACACATCACAGTATGCAGATGCGTGTGTCGCCATTGGACTATTTTGATAGAGGCAATTGAACATAGGAAGATAGATAACCTAGCATGAAGGGTCCAACTACTCTAGGACTAGCACGATGTCCATCTTGCGGGACGTCATGCTAGAAATACTCGGCCGGCGGTTAGCCACCGAGGCGTCCGGCATTCCATCTCAAATGGATCTACATTTGACCTTACCCCAATTTCGTCCCCAATTTCCGTGTACGGTGGTTCGCCAGGCGCCAATGCATCTCACGAAGTTTCGGAACGGTCTAGACCCTCATGTGGCTGCATGCTCTACCTAGTACAATCATGTATGGGATTTGATGCTTCCAGCGATCTTAGGGCTTGAGGACAGGGTCTCTGATGGGGTCTCTGATACCCTGGCGACGCCCGGACTCATCGTCAGCCAAGCTATCTAAGTTACCTATCTTCAATTCGACCAAGATCTGGCCCTACCGCACGGTCTAGACCATCTGGACCCTTTGGGGGTCGCCACAACGTCATCACGGTAATGGCTAAGCCTTTGGACCCTTAGCCTGAACCATTCTCGTGGAAAATTTTGTAAGCTTAGGTAAGGCATTGGGGAACAATTGGGAAAGGAAATGTTAACCGATTTCGGGTTTACTCGTTGGCTCGTTGGTGCGGCTGAACTGAACGAGAAAGGTTTGTGTTCAGCTAAGGCGTACTATGGCTTGGCTATGGCGGCCACGAACGGGATAGAAAAAGCATATAGAACGTCGCTAGTCATCCCTTACGCGTGTGTAACATCGTAAGAAGCATCGAATACCGATATATCAAAATCTTAGCGTTTTTCTTTTTTCTTTTCACCGGCGACATGAGCGTCCCACCGCCTATCCCACCACGGCCACCGGGATACGAGCTCCGGATCTCGGGGAATCCTCCTTTGCCACCGCGGCGACCACAACAGCCACAACAACAAGACCACGAAGCCCCACCTCCGCCTCGGCGACCACAGAATGCATGGGGCCCTCTATCCAACCCGGACGGCACGGCAACACCGCTCTTAGAAGCTCTGCTAGCTGCATTCTTCGCGCGTCTCGACCCACAGGGCACCGGCACAATCACACCAGAAGCCCTATCGGCCTTTCTAGACGTGCACGGTTTCCCAACACAAGACAACATCTGTGCGTGCTCAACCTTAGCCCCCAACCCCATAACCCATCCACCTTCCATCTATCGACTCACCCCCCCATCTCTCCACTACGCAGGTAACCTCCGCGCTAACGTGATGAATAACAAGGGAAACTAAACCTCAAACCCAGCGCCATGTTCCAGCCCGAAGACCTCGCAGACTACGAGCTCAAAGCCGCGTGCGAAGCCTGGGGCTTCGAGCACCGCGTCGTCACGCGCAACCCGACGCGCGCGCAGCTGCCATACGGCGGGATGCCGCTGTTGACCGTGCGCGGGTTCACCGATATGATGGCGGTCGAGTACGGGGCGGACCCGAACGACGCGTTTCTCGGGCTGAACACCGCGTTATGCCGGTATGGCGTGTGGGTTGAGCGCGGACCCTTGCCGAGGGAGTGTCTGCTGCCTGGACCGGATGCGCCGGAGGAGTTGAGGCGGAGAACTGAGGAGGTTAGGGTTAGGAGTCGTAGGGTTGCGGAGGAGAGGCTGGAGGCTACGAGGGTGAGGTTTGAGTTGCAGGCTAGGGGGAGGAGACACGCGGAGGAGTTGTCAGGGGATTATCATTATGTTAGGAGGGATTTTTGGTAGACCTGGCTGGTGGTGGTGCGAGTTTGGGTGTGATGGGGAGCTCGGAAGAGATCGGGAGGCGAGCTGATGACGGAATGTCTTACCCCGTGTGGTGGTGAGGGTGAAGGTGAGGATGAGGGTTGCAGGCGTAATGCTCCCGCGTGGGGTGGGTTACTCGCGGTTAGACCCTACATACATACTAATATATCTACAGGTCGCAGGCCTTTTTATTGCTCAATAAGTGGGACGTAAGTGTTAAGCAACAACTTGAACTTAGAAGTATCATCATACGACCATGGGCAGGAGATGATACTTGTTAAAGAAGTTTCTGCTTAGCAGATATATCTCCACTAAAAGAACAATAAAAAGGCCTGCGACCTGTATAAACATATGTTTCGCGTGCTTGCCGCGATTTCTAGATGGCGTCATTGGAGATGTTTGTTGAAGGTTGTATGTGGTTTTTGACAATATCCTAAAGTATCAAATGGTGCAATTCACGTTGTCTCGGCCGTGTCCCATGTCTCTAGGGAAAAGGCCCCTTTTCGGCCTCTTGCAGTGGCGAACTATGGGGTAGGTAATATCTCATCTCTTCCGGGGCGTGTATTTCTAAGCTGAATGTCTCACAAGTTCGAACACTCTTCAACGGGAAGACGGAGGGATTCCCGTGGCCTTATCTTGAGTCTGCCGGTTCCCGACGGTATCCTCGGATCCAAGAAGCCAATGGAGGCTATGCGCCTCATCACGTTTGGGCAGATCATGCTCACTTCCTTGGCTAAGATGGACGGAGATTCGAGATGACGATGACGGAAAAACGCGTGGTTCGGCAAGCAGGGGGCTGACCTACCGTACATAGTAGATAAAGTTTATTGCATGCGTTAGCCCGTCCTGGGGTAGAGGGTTGTCTGGGATTTCTTTTAGGTGAGGTCGTAGTTGCGAGTGTGGCTGGTGGTGGAGAAAGAAGCTACCACTCCTGAGACAAACAGGACGTATCGAATAAGATCGTGAGCTTACATATCAAAAGAGGGTTGTCTTGGCACGAACCGTGTGGCTCGTATCCCTGAGAACAGCCCTTGGCACATCACATGCTCGCGATCACCCTCTAAACTAGAGCGAATGCTACCCCCGGTGATCATTGCGATGGTGCCGGGTAAGTGTGAGGTGAGGTAAAGGGGTGTCTGGTGAGTTAAATGCGACATGCGCGTCTCCCGTCGGGTTTCAGCATCCTATCCAGCTTGTTGGGAATATTCTACATAGTTGGAACGTTTTCATCCATAGGTAATGAATTATTGATGTATTTCATCATAGTCGAACGATGCAAGGGCCATGTAAAAGAAGATGACGTGCAGGTTTAAAATGAGGATTGAGTTGCCTAAGACTTAAGCGGAACTGGGCTGAGTCCTAACTGACGCCGGCGGGTTTCCGCAACTTTTGATCCCTATCCCGGGACGTACCGGGGTTGGAAACAAGAATAAAATATCCTATCTACGATTTGGTTTCCAAAGATAAAAACAAAAGCCGGAGGAGACACTCCTCAGAGAGATTAGCGATTAACCACATTGACACTAGCAAAGAGGCGATTTCTGGGCTTGTAACACCAGTGTGAATGATGACGATAGGATAAACGAAAGCGGATACGACGGAAAATAAAATATCACTACGGTTGTACGGTATTACACTTACACTGCATCCTGTAGCTCCGCCATCGGAAAGGCTGTGGCTGATTTAAGTAAAGGTGTGGCGACCTATGGATGAAAAGGGATACGTAGACCAATCATCGTGAAAGAATTGGGCACATTCGCCTTACACACTACACCACGACTCGGTCGTAAGCATACTTCCCGTTGACGAGGTGACCTCCCTAGGTTTACAGTACAGTGTCACGGTGCGCTCAATGGAGATGTGGTATTGACACACCTAAATATACGATACCCTTCTTGTAGCATTATGGCATAAGAGGGGTCATCGTCAGTTCTAGGGAGACGATGACAATGGGGGATATTGGGTACAAAGTGCTCCAATTACTTACTCGGCCGAAAGGTTTCAAACTTTGGCGCTGAGGTAGGGCTAGATGATGACATAGGAATGGCTATTGAACCACAAACGTGCCATTTTGTCACCCCCAACAAGAATTTAGTATGGGCTGTATGGGATGAATCGTGCCGAAGGTCTCGTTGTCTTGGAAAACGACCGAAGCGAAGTTGAGCCTCTAGCATAGACGGATACCTATCAAACTCGCTTCGAACGAAGATCATTTTCATTTTCTCCAATTTGGTGATTAGTTAGCACCATTGCTTGTGCAGCGTGCTTGGTCAAGCTCGGGCTAAAGTGACCCGCTGCCATGATTTGTATGGCTGTCTCCGTAGATAGTCGCGAGAAGTTGCCTGTGCAACTTGGTTGCTTGAACCCTAAACGGCATATCCCATAGATGGACGGCACGACCGAGTATGCGCGGCTCAATTCTATGCCCGATTAGTTTCTAAAAGGGACGAGAAAGATGCAGGTCCTTCTGTGACACAGTTCTGGTAGACGGTAGATGATTGAAGGCTGCCAGGCTGCCAGGTAGGTATTGTATGTACCTGCGTACCAAGCAGCCCTAGCAGGTATGGGAATGTATTCGGGTGACTCGTGCTGCTCGTGGTCCGCCGAGACATTGACAGCGCGGGCCGAGATAAGTATAGGTAAGTGTCAGATCTCTAATTGGTTTCAACGGTGATCAAACTAAAACGCAAGTAGGGCTGTTTTCCTAGATGATCGTAACTAAACACGATACGTGTTGAGATGGGTTCCCGCTACGATGAGTTGGAACCTCACAGCCTGCCACGGTTCGCACACGACAGCAGGTGATAGAAAGTGACTTGTCATTTCCATCGGCGAGGTCGAGAAGGGAACATCGAAAGAACGAAGCGCGATACGTCCACCTCAACTGCACCTGCACAAGGAACTTGATGCAAGTAATATGAATACCTATGCAAGTTTCAACAACACTGTATGGACACCGCCGTTGCGAGTTAGTAAAAGGGAAGCCGAAGCCTAGGTACACTGTGCTGCACAATGCGGCTTGCTCGCTGATTAGGCAATAAGGCAATACCTAAGTCTTTTATTGGATTTATAAATACCTACCTGGGTATCTTTCACTTTGTACCTCACTATAGGATATGTGTATGTAGCATTTCATTTTTATAACGAACTCATATACACCCTAGTTAAAAGGGAGATGTCTATAACATCCGGGAATAACGGGATAAAAGATGTGTAGGACTTAGGTATGTACTTACATTGTATGTTTTAGGCCATTATTACCCCAGGTTTCTGCAAGGGCACTCACTCACTCCCTCACCAGCCTACGCTCTCCACTGGCGACCCGGATCCTATGAAGCAGAATAGGTAGGTACCTACGGATCCGTAGACATGTAAGTAGGTAGGCAGACAGGTAGGTACCTAGAGGTAGTTAAGGGTACATTGCTTTTCTAGCCAATGTCTAACAAATTCAGGTACCATAGGTCCATTGTGTAAGCGACGATGACGCTGACCTCCATCAGCTTAGCTTGGTTTTAAGTATTGGCCGAATGGAGATTTTGATCTTACATTCTCACACCCATAAGTCAACTAGATCGAAGGCGGCAACTTTCATTTAATACTCCATCTTCTAATTAACTCCCTATCTCGTCGTAGTTCTAGTCTGAGTTTGCCGCTCTCCTCCTCGTCTCCCTCTTTTTGAATCTCAACAAACCCCGGCGCAAATCCCATAATTCGCGCCTGTCGCTTGTGGCGGGAATGAATATCGCTCGAGAATCCATACCTAGCCCATACCTACTGCGTAGTAGCGTCATCGTAATCGTTGGATCCCTGTTCCCTGTCCCGTTCTTGGTACCTTATGTTTGTGATAGTGCACCAATACCTCTTAAGGGAAGTTTCCAATGAAGATCACCTAATTCCCTTCAATGCTGGATATTGAACAAGAAGACACGGAGACGGCTCGAACGGCCAGAACGGCCAGAACGGCATAATGAACTACTACATATGATCTACGATCTAACGTTTACATTCTGCTTAAAACTTGGAGATACCGAATTATCCCGTTATCGTATTACCTACGGCCGATTTTCGTCGTTTGAGTGGTAGCTACATGTTCAACGTGGATCCATAGATTCAGGTATGAATTGAAGGACTGTGGTAGAGGCTTCTCTCAAAAGGAAAAATATCCTCTCTGCGGTGCAACGACATGGTTGTAGGTCCGAAGCGAGGTACCATTCAATGGCCGCATTGGGTAGCGGGCGAGGCGGGGATTCCTAACAATAAGCGCTACTCGGTTGGCGACATAATCGACATATCGATATTCCATCGCGGTTCAAGGCCAAGAGCCCTGACGATGGAAGTTGCAGAAAACCCTGCATCACGTCTCCTCCTATGTATGATGTATGATGTATGGTGTGTGATGTATGGACGTCCAAAAAAGTAAACAGTCCGGGGAAAAGTGTGTGTGGGGAAGAAAGAAGGGTCTTTGAGGAGATGGGTGATGGCATTTTCGTCACTCGTCCATCTTGCGATGGTACGGACGAGGCACGTGTAGTGTCGGACGTCCATGGATTTTGCCATAGATGGCATACCTAACATCGTAAAGTCAAGCACTACTTTGGGCGAGCCGGCTTTGCAGTCTAGACTGCGGTCTATGTAGTCGATCTTGGGGATAATGCAACAGTGTGGTGACGACCTTCTCCTGCTGCCAGGGATAACATCTAGGTATTGAGCCAGCTAGAAGTAGAGGCTGAGTTTCACAGCTCTTGCAGAGCCATCGCGCCCTTGAATGATTGCTTCAGGTTCTACAGAGTCTCAAGTCACAACAGCATGCGCTTACTGCTGTCGCTCTAAATCAGAAACGACCGTGCTTGCGGCATAGGCATGGCATATATGCCAATCTAACGATCGGAAATGCAGAAATTCGTCAGACTTCTTAGGTATTAATTGATTACCTTCTTTCTTAGTCTAGCCTTTCAACCTCAAGCAAGTTCTGATCCTGATCGAGATGCTTCACTGTCACCTAGCAGACGGGATCAAACCTGCGGCGCATCCTTTGAATCAAATCGTGCATTTCCCCAACCAATCTATTTCGTTTGGTAGTATTACATGGTATTATCAGGGGGGGTTGTCGGCAAACCCCTCATTATGTGCCATGGGTATTTCTGCTTGTTTGTAAATAGTAGCAACGGAATGCCGAAATAAGATGGATAATAATAGGCATGTTGGTGTTTACGACGAAAGTCAGAGCCTCGCTAGATGTCTAGGTCTGATTGTTTGTTCTTGGCCGGAAAAAAAGAAAGTGAAGGATAGCTTGGATAACTTGGATAGCCGATGTATCCCTCTGATTCTCCTTTTCGGGATATCATCCCACGCAATGAAAAGATTGATAATCGTTATCTGAGAAGATTAGCAGTCGTTGTTACTAGAATGAGCCTGTCGATCAGATTGACGATGTATTTTTCTTGTGGGAATCGTCGATCAACTATATCCTCAACGTGTGAGCCGAGCCGGACGGGTCCGGATCAGCAAGCTGTAAAAATGTCTGAGGCGCTACTACGCCACCACCGCTGCACCGTTGCGCATACATATGCGAACAAAACAAATTATCCAAAGATATTTTACTTTTTTTAATAAAGGCGAATCATTACCCTTTCTAGAAAGTTCGAGGGGTTCCTTTAGGACCTTGTAACTTTGTACCAACGAGCGATCTCCAGCATCTGTAGAGATGGTGAATTCCATGGGATATCCATTGTGCCTGGAAAAAAATTATCCTATTTGTTGAATATGGATCGAACCGTTGGGCTGAAAAGAAGGGAAGGACGATGTCCTCGATCCTTCGATGCTCATATGCTTGTGTGGGCTGAGGCGACATGTCGTCTTTACTGTACTACGTGATCAGTCTTTTCTAATAGCAATCAATTTAAACTGAGGTGCAGCTCTCCGAACCGGGTAGACTATTAAAGGATTATTACTCGAACCATCGATCCCTCGAAGACAAAAGGGTCTTCGCCGACTTCCTCTACTCTTACAATGAGCGTCGCATATTCTGTAATATGAGCTAAAATGGTCGAAATATGTTTATTAGAGGTTTGAACTTAACCATATCCATATGAAAATCTTTAGCTACGTAAAGCTTGGAGAGTGGGATAGTGACGCAGTTTAGGGAACCGTGCCCGCACACCCAGAGTCCCAGACAACGGCGATCCAAGATGTAACTATGTAGATGTAGCCGCACGCGCGAAGTCGAGTGTCTATTATTCCTTAGCCTAGCAGCCTAGGATCTCCCTGCCTATCAAAAGTTGTCTATTACGCTTGGCTAGGTTCGGTCACACGTGGTTCATGATATCTTCTCATGCGAACCTTCACTTAGCTCTACTTGACTTCGACGTCCTTCATCGAACGAAACTCGATTCGTGAAGTAATGAATACTCCCGCAGGGTTGACTTCAGTGTTGGGTATATCGAACGTAACGGCGATGGCTGTCGACCCACTCACCGGCCGAAAGCAGCTTGGGAACTTTTTCTAAGGCTGCAAGAAGAGACCAATCATAACCCCGGTGACGCACGGAGAGCTGTGCGATAAGCTGCCACATCCTTGGACTCAATCCATGGCCATGCCGGAGTCGATCCCACCCCTTTTATTAGTATGCGAATAAACTGTTCTCATACTGTAGAGGACTGTGTACCATAGTAGTGTAGGTAGGTACCTAGTAGACACCATAGCCGCAACCCTTCCAGCGCCGATCATACGGTAGCTATTGCGTCTACAGAAACTATCCTGTAGGTATGCATGTATGTACATACGACGGCTATGACAGCAAGAAATCAGGAGCGGAGAATAGGTACGATTTTCAAGTTTTTTGTCTCTGTTCTGCCAATTCGGTGAATTGAGGCATTAATGCTTAGAAATTAATTCTAGACAGGAAGAGTTGTAAGTATTAGATGTTCGCCATTTACTGCTGCTTGTCTGGCAGTGTCTTTGAACCCCGCGGTAAATAAAGGGGAGGCTCTCTCGTCATGGTTCCGAGTTTCTGGTCTATTCCGAATCCGGATCGCGTTGCTAGGCTGATGCTATGATCATTGATACTATTTCATGGACACCGATTAGAAGAAAGGGAAAAACATGAATTACGTGCCTACAAACCTCGATGAATGTGACCTAAGATGAATTTAAATGTCCGGTAAGCCGTACTTGGTACCATACAACGCTGTATAATACAAACCAAAGTAAAATGTATAGGTACAATGCTTGCCTACAAAGTTTACCTATCTTTTCCCTCTCCCCCTTACCCCTTTTTGACATGACACTTTTGAGGAAAACTAAAATCAATTAAATTCAGGACTAATTACTTCGTACACCCTCAACATACCGTTGTGCCTGACGTATCTAGTAGTATTATTAGCTTTGATAGGATATTCTAGGATATTCGATAGGATACTTGCACTTTTAACATTAATTGTTTTAGTTGTTCAAAGCAAAGCCACGGTGCGTGTCATAACCCACTTAGATGAATGTGTTGTCGTTCAATGAATGCTGTTCTATTGCTGGCTCTGATGAGGGGCAAATCGTTCTCGTTGGTCAGTGCCCGACAATGGAGAATGAATTAAATACAGTGCGAAGATAAACAAGTTCATACGGTATATGCATCCCAGTGCATCCAAGAGCAATCCCGGCTCGGTGTCCACTTTATATGATATACAACGGTACATTATCCTGGTGTGGTGTGCAGCACAGACGCACACTTAGACATCCGATTATCAGTCTTTAGCTTCGGCCAGGTAGCTACCTGGGTACTAGGAGGTACTATGGTACGTATCATGCGTATCGGTGGATACCTGGCAGCGACTTCCCCTCCATCATTGGTGCACCGTTGGTCGCTTTCACGACTTTTGGGCTGGGTATCTCTGGCTGGGCGGGTGGTGACTGCTCAGACTGGCTGACTGGCTGCAACAATCTCTCCACTTACGCCAGAGAGTCAGACCAAACTTTCTCAATACACTATCTTTTTTTGCCCACTTTCCCTAGCAGTTTATCGTCCGGTTCATTCATCATCGTCCCATTCTGCGACGAATCATTCCAATTCTTTCCTATTACCGTTTTTTTCTTTTCTTTGTTGGACTTGTTTTTTGGACGACACCGGCGACGACTTGATCAACTAAACCCACATCACATCACATCCCACTTTGAATCACCGCCATAGTGTACATCGAGATTTCACGGTCCCTTCTTTTTCCACCACCCGTCGATTATGTACCGTATCCAATTCGAACCCACAGCAATGGCTTCTTGAAATCCAATTCCTCTGCTCTTTCCACTTGTCCGTGAGGGCCAAGCGACGATATGCTTCGACACTCACCCAGAATGATGACTACAACAATACCTCCTAAGCCACCCAAATACTTCCGTCGCCATGGATTCGCAACCGCAACCACAACAGCAGCAGCTGCCACCACCGCCCTCTCCGTCCCCTCGCCCTCCTCACCTTATTACCGACACCGATAATCTTGCTTTCCCCGCCGTTCCCTCTAGAACCGCCAACAGTACTCCGATATCTTCTCCGGGCCTGTTCAGTCCTACGGGTACTCGACCTAATGTCTTCTTGCCGCATTCCGCCTCCGATGTCTCTACGCCAGCGGTCACTATGGCCAGTCCCTATCTGCACCCATTGCAGAACCATAGAGTCCGAGAGTAAGTCTCGCTCGTGTGACCCAGTGTGAATCGTACTACGGTTATGCTCTGTGTTCTTGGAGAATGAGCTGTTGACCAATCTGAATTTGATCGCCGATTGTCTTTGTTCAAGTCTATCGTTCGTAGCTTGCTCGATACTAACAAACTTTGCCGTATGTAGGACGCACAAGGCCCTTGTTGACATGGATCTTATGACGGGACGCAAAATAATCAATCAGTACGAAGTAATTGAAGAGCTTGGTCGTGGTGTGCACGGCAAGGTCAAACTAGCTCGGAACCTAGAGAATGGCGAGAACGTCGCGATCAAGATCATACCCAGATTCTCTAAGAAACGCCGCCTGGGTAAGGTCACCGCATCTCCACAAGACAAAACTAAGAGAGAGATCGCCATCTTAAAAAAGATACGCCACCCCAATGTCGTCGCACTTCTCGAAATCATAGACGACCCGGAGTTCAAGAAGATCTACATGGTCTTAGAACATGTCGAATTAGGAGAGGTCATCTGGAGGAAGAAGGGTTTGCCCTATATCTGTAGCATTGAGAGGAGAAGGATCGAGAAAGAGATGCGTGGGGAACTAAGCACCGAGGAGGAAGAGCGTTATATTCAGCTTCTTGAACGGCGCCAGGCTCTTAATGATATGAAGAGGGCGAAGATGCAGCAGACTCAGAAGGGCCCGGACGACTTTTGGAGTATCGAATACGGTGCCGCAAATGACGATGACTCGGACGTTCACTCGCGCTCCTTAGGGAGAAGTGCAAGTGGATTCCTTCAGTCTGGTCGAGTGGCGTCGTTGATTTCAAGAGCTGGGTCGAGAGCTACGTCTCCAGCTCGTTCACACGCCCAATCTGCTCCGTCGGGTTCCAGAGCCAGCACTCCTCTCCCCTCAGAATACGACGTCTCCTCAGTTGGTATGGATGGCGAAAGCGACATAGAGACTCCTGGCCCCCTGCGCTCTCACCCTGGGTCGTCCTCTGCTTTGGACAGAACAGTTACTAGTGTTTTCCCCGAGGATGCTATGTTCCGAGGTCGATCGCCGAGTATGGCCGACTCCATCATCTCCCATATGTCGTCGGTCGATTACAATCCACAACCCCACGACCCCTTTGCCGACGACTTCTCCTACGTTCCTTGCTTCACTATCGAAGATGCTCGTGCCACATTCCGGGACACCGTGCTCGGTTTAGAGTACCTGCACTATGAAGGCGTGGTTCATCGTGATATTAAGCCTGCTAATCTCTTATGGACTAGAGATCACCGAGTCAAAATCTCCGACTTTGGAGTTTCTTATTTCGGCCGGCCTATTCGCGAGGGCGAACAAGATGAGCTTGTCTCTGAGTCCGAGGCTCGTGATTTTGATGATGATCTCGAGTTGGCCAAGACTGTTGGCACGCCGGCTTTCTTTGCACCAGAATTGTGCTACACGGATCTAAGCTTCGAGCAACCGAAGATCTCGGAGCAAATTGACGTTTGGTCTCTAGGAGTAACGCTTTATTGTTTGATCTTTGCTAGGATCCCGTTCATGGCCGAAGACGAATGGCAGATGTTCCAGAAGATTGCCAAGGAAGACGTGTACATACCACGCCGCCGACTCAGACCCGTTGACCCACAACATTCACCGCAATCGACCTCGCTATACAAACGCATCAACAGCGAACCGTACCGAGACGATAGCGTCCTTGCGTATGAGGAAATCGACGATTTGCTTTACGACCTCCTACGCCGCATGTTGACTAAGAATCCCGAAAAACGAATACGGCTAAGAGAGGTGAAGCGTCACCCGTGGGTTGTTCAAGGGATTCCTAACCTCATCGCATGGATTGACGAAACAGACCCTTCGCGCCGTACTTCTGGCCGCAAGATCGAAGTTGACGAACGCGAGATTACTCGTGCTGTCGTGCCTCTCACTTTCCTCGAGAGGGCTCGATCGGTCGTAAAGAAAACAATCGGAAAAGTGATGCACCCACGTACTGATAGGGTGGAAGGCACGTCGAGAAGAAGGGCTACTAGCAGCGCTGCCAGCTCCGCGGGAGATACACCTCCAAGCATAGCACCACCGCCTTATTTGCGAGAAGCTCGCCGAAAAAGTTTACGGCCTGACGACTATTTTGCTACTGTCAGAGAGAGTGACCATCCCCTATCACAAAGTGTTACCGCAACTCCTCAGGAGTCACCTGTCCACGACAGGCCAGATTCCGCCCAACAGCGTGGCTCGACCTTGGTAGGCGGAGATTTTAGACGTAACGCGACCTGCTCTGTCGGCGATTTTAACACGCAATCAGATCTGGCAGGACCGTCGTCGGCATCGGCATCGTTATCATCGATCAGGGGACATTTAGGTTACCGTCACGGTCGAACAAGATCAATCACCAACGCAATACTCGCTCACGCCCCCCAGAAAGAGTGGCAGACAACTCCGAACACACCTGCGCTCGAAACTTGCATCAGAGATGACCCGATTTCCTCCTTGCGAAAGGCTAGAGATATAGAATCTACCGACGAATCATCCCGTTCGAGATCAGTTGATCGCGGACTATTCGGCAATAGTGATAAACGCGCCGAAGCGAAAGTCGCTCTCAGCACAGCTGTAGCCCCGGGGAATGTAGAATTTTCCAAACACCCATTCTCAGCTCATCATCCAGACACAGTATCCCATGCTCTCCAAGAGGCTGCAGCTCTACCTTCTCCTATGTTCTTCTCTCCTCGGGCAGTTCGTACTTATCAACACCGCCAACCAAATTCAGATCCGAATATGCACGAGACTCATTTAGGCGCTGTCGAAGTTGATCAACGACCTAGGACAGCTCACCGAGCTATACAGATAGAAACTCGAACTCCGCCACCAAGATTATACAACTCCTCTACGCCAGAATCATTTGCGCGAGCACACGAACAGATGATCCGTAGGCAGCAGCGGGAAGACGATGAACAAGCAAAACGCGAAAGGCTATTTGCATCTCATCGCAGAAAAAACAGTTCCGCGTATATACACTGTCCTCCCTCGCCCGATGACGACCTTTCCTTAGACCATCCCCAATCGTTATCGAGGGGGGATCCTGGTACAGCCGGCACGTCGGCTTCGGCATCTACAGGCACCATCATGACTCCGCTGACTAGCCCAAGTGAATCAACGAGTCCTATTGGTCTCGGAACTATGGCAGATCAAGGCGAAGATTCGCAGATTTTTCGCTCGGATCCATCGTTACCAGCGTTGCTTAGCGGCGCCAGCTCAATTTCGGCTGATGCCGAAGGAGAATTTCTTCTAAAACCAGGCTCTTTTGATCGGCATTCCCTTATCGACACAACCGATTCTTTAACCCCACCAGCTCTCACCAAGGAACCTATTTCTGGTTTTCCCCTTGAAGAGGACGACCAGTATCAAACATTGCTATTACCTCAGCCGCAACGCGCCTTAACTGCGGCATCCCTTTTAAGCACAAGAGCCGTAGAGGATGACGATGGAAGCGACAGCGACGAGGGTCTTGTTATGAGACCGAAAAAGCGGAATCCAGTTAAGGACAATGCCAGCTCGCCCTTGGGCAGGACAATGTCCGCAAGGAGACGCGATACTCAAACTAGCATCGGCAGTACGGAGACGGCCAAGAAAGTAGTTATGCAAAGCCAATAGCTGATTTTGTTAATTACATCAGCCATAACCCCTTTGCTGAACTATGAAGGACCATTTACTCCCTTCTGTATGATTTATGGAATAAATCAAACTGGCATAGCCAGTTAGACGCAGAAACGATATACTTTAACAACATGTCCGAATCACTTTCGGCCCTACCACTGCAAATTTTGCAAAGACGCAAAAGCATAACTTCTGGCCCATCGGAAAAATACTTATCTATCCATACGACTTACGATCGAAGTTCCCAACTCAGCTGTAAAGCTTTGGAGGTCGCTAATTTCATCTATAACGTTGATAACGGCCGAGTTCTTTTATTATGATGGATCAATCACCCCTCTTGTTCGAGAGAAAGTGTATAACATGAAAAAAATTACCTAGTTCGGGATGATGGAGTCTAGCGGTGATATGAATGGGATTGAGCACGATGGGACGACGATGGGACGAGGCACGAATATGTCAGCGACGTTGAATTTCTTATCCATCCACAACAGACAGACAAATTTATTGTTAGATGTGGACTTGCCCTCCGACGAAATTGAAGAGATGAATATTGCAAGTTCCGGCGCGCGGAGTCTACTATTAAGACTTAGCTCTCGACCTTGCTCCCTCGGTGTGCTCTATACCACGATCCTTCATCTCTAGCTACTAGGCATAGAGAAGGATCCTTGGTGTTGTTAGTTTTCTTAAGCTGGACATACTTTTTTTCACGGAGTGGCTTCTTATTTTCTTATCTGGCAGCTATGCACGCGAACCTCTTAAAGAGGGGTTCCCCCGGCGGAAAGGGAATGGGATCATATTCTGGGACGGTGGCAAATCTGTTTTGAGCGTGCTGATAGACCATAATTTGATATGCATCCCAATGGAGTTTCTATGGGCACTCTTTCTGTTATCAAATATTTTACATTATTATCCCTTCTAACTATGAATATATTACCATTTCCGTGAATATGAGTTACCTTTATCAAGTAGCAGTGTTGTACATACATTTTACAGCTTTCCTGGGTACTAGATTTGTTGGTGTAACTATGCTGTACGCCACCCCCTCCCCGACCACCCCTTTTGAGTTGTTGAGAAAAAGATGATTTTACTAAGCCCACACTTTTTACTCCCAACCCTTTACACACCAAACGGATACGTCTCTCCCATCGAAAGGGCCTCCTTCGGCTGCACGGTCTCGAAGGCATGTACGGCACTCGTCCGGTCAAACCACACGAAGGCATCGTACTGCTCAGAGAGAACGGTCTCGATATAGTGGCTCGACCGTTCAGTAGAAGGGCGGTATACAACACCGATGAAGCGCTGCAGCATAGGCGGGGTCTTCAGGGGACGCAAATCGACAACAAAAGACGGTAACCCCGTATCATGCATCGCGCGCTCGTAACTATCTAGCCGAGAAGGCACCACATCCATAACCTCCATCGGCTCATCCCACTCATGCGCCGCTGCCACAGTTCCCGCGTGCGTCCCACACCCGATCACAGACACCTCCCCCGGAAACGCCTCCCGACACAACTGCCCCAGATTCAACTCCCCTCTATCCCGCCCATTACTCGACGCCCGCGCATCTCCCAAATGCGAGTTATGCGCCCACACCACCGCCTTCGAGCCAGGCGATAGCTTTAATATCCGCGAGAGAACGCTGAACATATGCGCGTCGCGCACATTCCACGACGCGGAGGACCCCTCGTACATGGCGCGATAATACCGTTCCGCGTCGCGCACCACGCGCGCGTTCATCTCCGCGTCGAGGAACGCGGTCCCGTTTTCCGGGTGTGTGGCTAGACGGAGCCGGTGCGTGAGGAGCTGGGTTAGCATTTTCACTACGCCGGCTTCGCAGGCGGCGGTGCGGGTGCGGGCGCTGGAGAGTCCGTAGGAAGATGGGTCGGAGAGCCAGGATGTTAGGCAGGAGTACCGTTTTCGTGCGGATTGCGCGAGCGTGGGGTCGACGTTGTCGAGGTAGGCGATTACGGCTCGGATGGAGGCGCTCATGCTGTACAGGTCTAGGCCGTTGAAGGAGGTGCGCGAGGGGGGCGGGAGGCTGGCGTTGTGGGCGCGCAGCCAGTCTATGAAGTCTTGGACTTCGGCATTGCGCCACATCTGAGTTGCGAGGTTAGTACCTACCTATACATATTTGGGGGTAGAGATGGAGAGGTTAGGGTGTGATATACCCAGCGGGGGAAGTGGTCGAAGACGCGGATGGGAACGTCTTTTGACTGATGCGGGTTCTGGCGCACGTAGCGGTCGATGGAATGGGCGTCGGGCCAGTCGCATTCGACGGCTACGTGAGTGAACCCGTGCTTTTCTATCAGCCGTTTCGTGATGGCCGCACGAGCTCGGTAAAACTCGGACGTGCCATGGCTGATTTAGAGTGTCAGTGAGATATCACGTCATCTCGCCAATGGTAGCAGAAAGGGGGTTTGCTCCGGTCCAGAGAGGTGGATAGGTAGGTAGGTAAGCTCACTAACCTTCCATCGCCAATCAGAACTAGGCGCGAGTCACCAAAGACGTCGAATTTAGCACCGAATTGGTCACTTTCGATTGGTGGAAGCTCTTGCGCGGCGCTTTTTAGGAGCTCTGTGAGTGCGGATGTCATTTTTCTGCGGAGTCGAAATATCATTCAAGCTTTGACAGTATTGTAGTTCGACGTATGGATTAAGGTCTGCGTAAGACATGATTCGAGTTAAATATTACGAATATTGTATTAGCAACTGAAGTGCAATTGATACACCAGGAAGTTACGGAGGTAGTTACGGTAATCAGACACACTTCGAAAGTTCACTTGTGGCGACTTACATCACATTTCGTCATACCGCCAATACAAACTTCCCAGGTCCAATCAATATCATTCAAATTCAGGAAAGAGCAACTTCATGTTATAAAGGTAGTTGTAATAAAGTAGCTGCTTATATAATATTCGCTTTAAAGTTACTTTAATACATATAATATGGATGCTAGAGAAAAAAAGGGAGGATAGTGTCAAGTCGAGAAAAGGGGTAAAGTGCCACAGAAGCCCTGCTCTTTGATTAGACAATCAACTAGAGGAGGACTTGCACAAATTCATAAAGCTTGCTGAAAAAAAAGAGGTGGAAGCGATGCCCAGAGTGCCAGACGATGATGGTCGAACGCAACCAGAGGTGTGAACACATGACGTGAGTACCTCCCACTGTGTTTAGATCATGATAGTAACCTTGGAATATATCTACCTTAGCTGTTATTGTAGTGCAGAATTGTGTTAGTTGTGATCTCTTATGTCGGGAATAAGGATGCATTTTCGAAGATGAGGATGAAGGTGGAGAGGGAGATGAAGTTCCAGAATAAGGACAGAGAAACGCATAGAGAAGAGCCTAGAAATGAGTGCCTATACTGAATTTTGGCTAGGCTTGCCAACCAGCTACCTATTTACCGATGGGAATACTCGATACCTACCCAGAAAGTGTGCAAAATGAAGGGGATAGCAGATTCTCTGATCTAGAAGCATTACCTGAACCCCTGTTTATATACCTTTTGAGAAGGCAATCTAGAATTTATCGGAAACGCAAGCCTCGCCTCAAATCTACTCAATTCTAGCTTATAGCACGCCCTCTGGGGCTCCAGTTCCAAATTTTCGAGCTCAAGGACATAGAAGGGGCGAAAGAGGAGGCGGCAAATTTACAATTATTTAACCTAGTCTCAGGCGTATGTATGGGCATCGTTCATATATATCGGTAGATACAGAATCATCTAACGTTCTTGAGTCACGTCTTACTCATTGACATGCCAAATATTAGTTTATTAGCTCCGCTAGGATTAATCGACAATTTGAAATTCCATTTACCAATGAGGGCCATCGTAGGGTAATGAAGGTAACAAATTCGGCCAACTCGCCATCGGGACCGGAAAAAGCGGATCATGACCATCATCGCCCGCCCTCCACTACTGTCCGGGGGAAGCAGCGGCGGTAGTCGTTCATCACGCGTCAGATAAGTAGGAAGCGCGTGCGGATGAGTTGAGCGGTGATAGTTCCCCCGACCAGTACCAAACTCAGGATATACGGTGGATCAACCCAAGTGTCACCCAATTTAACCACGCCCAATAGCACTTACACGATTATCTCGCCCACAGACGTACAATATATGATGATGAGATGCAGTCCATGTGCCTGGCTCGCGGCACTTTTTGAAGCCAATGAACACCTAGCAGGGGCATTTGCCGAGAAACTGTCAGTCGGCCATACCTAAAAATAAATGAGATTGCCATATCACCGGATAATATGCCTTCCAAGGTGTGGTCTAGGCGTGAATTGATTGGTACCAGACCTACGCCATCTTGACTTCTACTCATCGCACTCCGCTATCCGATTTGAGATGTGACAATCCGAAATGAGTCAAATAGGTCCATAGATCCAAACTCGCGACTCTTTCTTCTTTTCAGATCTTCAGCCCCCTATTGCTCTATTGATAGTATCGTCAAGGAGAGCCTTGCCTCGAAGATGAAGTTACTCACAGCTACCGCGCTCGTTGCGCCTGTCTACGCCGGACTCCGCTTTCCGTGTTCGACTTTGACTATTCAGCGTCTCGACCCCGTCGTCCAGCCCGGCGAGAGCCCGTCCGCCCACGTCCACCACATCGTCGGTGGAAATGCCTTCAATGCTACCATGGAAGGTGACGTTGGTGCCAGAGCCTCTTGCACCACCTGCCAAATGTCCGAGGACTTTTCCAACTACTGGACTGCCCACTTATACTTCAAGCACCCCACCAACGGCTCTTACCACCGCGTACCAGTGGTCCCCGTCCAGCCTTTGCTAGGAGGTTCCAACGGTGCCCAAGGTGGACTTACGGTCTACTACACCCAGTTCGACCTGAGCAGAGACAACCTCGGCCAACAAAAGATCAAGGCTTTCCCTCCGGTAATACTACCAAACTCTCTGCCGTAATGCCGTTCGAGTTGCTAAATATTTTTAGGGATTCCGAATGACTGTCGGTAGCCCGACCGCTGAGACCCGATCGCACATCGGTCTCAACTACCAATGCATGACTGGAGGCAGCCGAGGTCCCCTGCGATCCGACTTCCCCACTAGCCCATGCTCGGGCGGTATCTTTACCTCTCACCACTTCCCCGCGTTAGTGGCCCGCTTGTTCTAGGATATATGCTTTCAGCGTACTGACTTGGCACAGATGCTGGGACGGCAAGAACCTTGACAGCCCGGACCACCAGTCTCACATGTACAACACCGTCGACTCGGACTACTTCAACAACGCACCTCCGTGCCCGGCTTCCCACCCGTATGTATCATTTGTTTGTACCTTTCCTTAACGGAATATGTGCTGACGTCAACCACAGCGTCCGTGTACCCCAAGTCACATTTGAGACCACCTGGGACACGACCAAGTTCAACAGCATGTGGACCTCGGGCGCCCCCAACCCATTCGTCTGGAGTTTCGAGGGTAGCGGGTTCGGCACGCACGCCGACTACATGTTCGGCTGGAAGGGTGATGCTCTACAGCGCGCGATGGACAAGTCCGAGTGCTTCTACGACGGCTGCGGATCCATCACCAAACAGGCCATGGCCACGGCTAACCAATGCAAGATCGCCACCACGATCGACGAGGAGACCGAAGGATGTAAGTTTTAAGAAACATACTGGTGTTTGAGATACACATGCTAATTCGTGATAGGGCTTGACAAGCTACCCGGTATGCCATGAAAGGGCTAGGCTGGTAAAGGTCTGTGGGTGGTGGCTCATCGCTGTTCGTTCCGCCGTTAAATAGTACAAGCTCCACTAGTAGGCTTTAGGGGTGAGGTATAGGATGAAGTTATTAGTAGTTGGATAATCAAATGCGTCGTTCTCTGCCTCTCTGAACACAAGTGCGGTGGTGATTAGACAAGTTGTGGGCTAACCCTGATATGAGGATACTAGAAGTCGATCCCTAAAAAGCAAGAACCAGGTAGACGAACGCCTCTGATCGGCATATTACGACCATCTTGCTGAGGAGCATGTTGCTTAGGTACACGAGGTTGATTAATAAGACGTAAATGACGTGACCTAAGGAGTCTAAGCTCTAACGTCAGGTTCCAGACTTACAGGTTTTCGCGTGTAATGAAGATCGTGAACCAAAATACAGTTGACCTGCCTGCCTGCTTGCTTGATTAAACAACGGCTGTGTAACTTGCAGAATGTGCCTATTCCGTATTCGGGATCGAATGAACGCCGTGTCTCAGCAAGGTGATAAGCTCCAGTGTGTAGCAGGGGTATTGACTAGACGGTGAACTGAGGATGAGAGCGGTCTACATATCACATCGAGTATCTTAAGGGGATGATGAATATGAGGATACAACTATCACATGTTTTTCGTGATCGAAAAATAGAATTGACTCGTTCCGAGTGGTTCTCTCAAATCGGGTTGCCTGACAATTGAAATTCATGGATAAAATATTTAAAAATATGATGCAAACGACGTATGTGGTCGTGCGTTAACAGTGCGCCATCATCTGTGCGGTGAGGTTCGCCAAGACATCAAATCTCGTTATCGAGTCCCACTGTACCGAGTAGTATTTGGGGTGGTAGTGTCCGCTTGTTGGGCAGTGTTTAAGGTCTCAGAGACCCGGGGAAGAAATGCTGGTCCCATCTGCCCATTTGGTACGTGGCCATTGGTCTCCTATGCCTAAAAAGATCGTGGTTCTTAAGATTTAAGGCGTAGTTCCTTCGATGCGATTCCGAATTCGAGGCGACAGCCTGGCGGTGAGAGATTAGAGGCTGGGATTTAACCCAACCGGACCCAACCACCCCCAATTTTAGTGGGATGTAGAAATTCTACCCAATAAAAGAATAAGAATTCAACTTCCAACCACAATTCTAACCTAGCCGCACTCGGAGGCCGGTAGAGTCTTTGCATGTGTGAATTGGAGGTCGGAGTGGACGGAAGAAGGTAGGGAGTATGCAGAGAGGTCTATAAGAAGCCCAAGACCCTCCCGAACGTTTGTGACTGGTTTTTGAAGTATCTTAAGGGCATTTTTGCCTTAAACATCACCCATCAAAACAATCCACTCTTCAACAATTACACATCCTCATTAGCCGTCAAGATGCAGGCTTTCTCCATCGTTGTGGCTATCGTTATGGCTGTTGTGGCTACTGTCTCCTCCCCCGCAGAGGCGAGGGTAAGTCTAATCCCAGCACTGTGTATACCTAGACAGTTACTGACCCGTGGCTCTAGCAAATGTCGCAAGGCTTGATCACGTCAGCGTGACAGCCAAAGACGGATGGGTTCCAGTTGTTCTCGGTTTACTTCCAAGGCCAAGACATGCAGGACCTGTCCTTCTCCATAGCGCAAAGAGGATACCCGGGTATTGGATAACGATGGTGTTTCGGGGGTCCGAAGAGTATGCGCATGGAATGAACGAATTATGAGCACCACCTATATGTTATGAACGACCGGTTTTTGGCTCGGGTGTGGGACGGATACTGAGGAGTTTTATGAGGACCAGTACTCGGGTCTGGCCACCTGTATATGAGCCATTCATTCCCCAACCACCTAGCAAAGACTACCATCAAGTCGCTGCGGGGTGTGTTAGCAGCCTCTTCAGGCCAATCTCATATGTCCCTTCATCTACAAACGCCTTCTTTATGCCCAAGTGAAATCATTCCTGACAACCATGATAAACCCGTAGTTAACCCATGCACCAGACCGCTGATAATACAATGTATGCGATTGTAAGAATGTCCTGTCAGACTCGCAAATTGTCTGGCATGGCGCTATCGCCCCAAATGTTCCTTGTCTCTTCTTCGACAGCTTTCATTGCAATGGCCACTTCCTCCAATTTCTCGACAACATCCCTGACTCCCTGGTCTATCTTTGAAAAGTAGCGATCGTTCGCTTCTCTTCTGTTTCTCGCGAGAAGTATATCCTTCTCTGTCTCTTCCTCAAGCTTAGTGCCTAACCGCTCGCGGCCCGTGCCACTGCTACCAGGTCGTTGTACGCTTCCGGTTCCCGCAGTGCTCTTCCCACCTTCCGTACCTTCCGCCGCCGCCGCCGCCGTCCTCCCAGCGCTAGCAGATATCGTCGTACTGAGGCCCGCCCCGGCAGCAGCGGATATGCCCATCTCGGCTAAAGCACCCTTGAGGTTCGTCGCATCGTTCTTCGTCGTTGTAGCCGTTATCTCAATCGTGTCATCGGTCTCGCCGCGCGCCCACGCCTGCGCCAGCCCGATCTGTGCAGCGCGCAGCTCGGCCAGCTTGCGGTCATGCTCTGGCCCGAAGACATGCGTACCCCCGCTCGCTGATAGCTCAACCTCTTCCAGCGTCGCTTGCATCTCGGCCCACAAGGCGTCGGTTCTATCGGCGGTGCGAGTGGAGTCCGCGGTATGCAGTCGCGAGACGGTGGCGCGGGTTCGTGCGTTCAGTAGCGAATTCGTTCGCGCCAGGGACGGCGGCACCTGAGACTGTGTCGTGGATGCGGCGCTGGCGTTCTCGCGTACATTCGAGGCCGAAGCGGATGCCGGCGGGGCGGCTGGCGCAGCGGCCATCATTCCCGAGAGCGAAACATGTGATGCTGCTGGGGATGGATGTAGGAATAGGCGAGGAGGGTCGCGAGCTTTAGATTTGCTCGGTGTTAATTTGGGGAGATCCATCGCTACATCTTGATAATAAGAAAAGAATACGGTTGTAATTGAAGGTTAACCCTTTTCAAGTACCCCGAGGCACCATAAAGAAAGGGCGATCAGGCAGCAATATGCTGTGATTGATGAAATATAAATATGACAGGTTGATGAACAGGTCGACGTGTTTGAAGCTGCGAAGAGCGCGATTGAGTCTTGTCCCGAGGTATGAGCCACAATTGAATATGACTCAGCCACAAGAATGGGTTTAAGCTTGGACCCATTAACTCAAGGTTCTCCATAATAATGGGGCCACTCGAACTCTGACCTTAGGGACTAGGGCGAGAAAACCCTTAAGCAATTTTGCACCTGTGAAAAAAATTAACCGAGAATCTTTACATCCACCAACCACTAGTCATTCCATTCAAGCATCCAAGCAAGACCTTAAACTTAACCCATCTTTCAGCGATACCACATAACACATCGGTAAGTCAATTACCCTTTCACGATCAACCATCAACATAAAATCATTCACTCGACCGCGCTCCATCGAAATATCCTCTTTTCATCGATCGTTTACTGACCGCGCAACCCCTCTGCTTCAGCAATCATGGGTAAAGGAAAGCCTCGTGGTCTCAACGCGGCCAGAAAACTACGACTGCACCGAAAGGAGCAGAAGTGGGCTGATCTCGGATACAAGAAGCGCGCTCTCGGTACCGCTTTCAAGTCCTCGCCATTCGGTGGTTCCTCCCACGCCAAGGGCATCGTCCTCGAGAAGGTCGGTGTCGAAGCCAAGCAGCCCAACTCCGCCATCCGAAAGTGTGTCCGTGTACAACTTATCAAGAACGGCAAGAAGGTTACTGCTTTCGGTACGAATACCCTAATCCAATTTTTATATTCGTTTGTTTTGGTAGCTTCGAAATATTTTTTGTGTGGATAAATATGAAGGAGAAAGAATTACGAGATCAAAAATTGGAAGGGCAAATTTGGCTAACGCGATCTTACTATAGTCCCCAATGACGGTTGCTTGAACTTCGTGGACGAGAACGACGAGGTCCTACTTGCTGGTTTCGGTCGTAAGGGCAAGGCCAAGGGTGATATTCCCGGTGTGCGATTCAAGGTCGTCAAGGTCTCCGGTGTCGGTCTATTGGCCCTATGGAAGGAGAAGAAGGAGAAGCCCCGCTCATAAGCGGTCGGCTGGGGACGAAGAAATGGAGTAAAACGTGCAACGAGAGAAGGTTCATTGGGCATGCGGAGTCGATACGGCTTGCTTTGTTTCATCACGGCATCATAGGTTCGGGCCTTGATACTCATTCACCGGTAGACGAGATCCACGAAAAGAGATCTTAAGTCGCCAAAGCAAAACTCAATATCTTCAAGATGCGTTGTGATTGTGAAATGTTCAACGAGTAATTCTGTTGTACAGAGTTGTAGCCCACGGTTTTCCCAACCAGTTTTATCTACCTACCTACCTAGTATGATCCGAATGCATATGCCAGAGTCTAGTGTATATGTACAGATTTATCAGTACACTTCTAGCCCTCTATTTTCTCCCGTGTCTTATCCTCTTCAGCATATCTTAGCAGGTAATCGACCCCAAGCCCAAGGCTGATCGCACCGCCAGTAATCCAGCATCCATTAACGAACCACCACCAACAATCCTTGACACTCTTCAGATTCACCCTCGTTATCATCCACCCTAAAGTCAACGCAGCGCCTCCGCAGCTACCCACGAAGAAAGCCGGTCCCGCGCCTGCCGCCATGCCGGCCGCTCCAAGCAGACCGATCTGAACCACAGCTAGCCCCGTCAGAACCTTCTTGGTTTCAGCGTCGTGTTTAAGCGCAATACTCTTGATCCCCGCCTTAGCATCATCCTTGATATCCATGTGCGCGTATATCATATCATACAGCACAGTCCAAGACACGTTACTCGCGTACAGCAGTGCAGCCGCAGTCATCGCCGAGCTATTCGCCAGCAAATCGACTCCTAACGCCGGGAATCCCATCACAGCGCCCCAGGAAAACGTTAGCCCGAGTACGAATTGCGGGTAGTACGTCACGCGCTTGGCGAGAGGGTACGAGGCTACGAAGAGCAGGCTTGGGATCCCGTAGAAGAGACATGGAGTCGGGAATTGGAGTAAGATGCCGAGACCAGCGAGGAGTTGTACGCCGGTGTATGTGAGCGCTGAGAAGGGTTTTATGGCACCTCGTGCGAGCGGGCGGTGTTGCGTTCGTCGCACGTGCTTGTCTAGCTTGCGGTCCCAGAGATCATTGATGGAACACCCGGCCCCGCGCATGATCAACGCGCCGCTGAAGAAGAGGGCTGTGGTGCCGAGCACGGAGAGGGGGGTTGCGGCGGGGATGGCGAGGGGTGCGGCCATTAGTGTGGAGAAGAGGCATGGGAAGAAGAGGTAGTAAGTTCCGGTTGGCTTGTCGATTCGGATTAGTTCCCCGTACGGAACCCAGGACTTGGGGAGAAGGGAGAGAATGCCGGATGTGGGGGGTGAGTAAGGCTCTGTCATGGGGGAGGAGGTTGGTGAGTCAATGGTGTGAGCTTGTCGACTTGTTGGTTGTGATAGTGACTGTGATGTCACTGAGATTATGTGCCTTGGTTTGGGGAAGCTGAGAGCTGTTGAGGTCGAGGGTAGCCTTTGAGGATTATGTGACATAATGATACCCCTAGAGACATTGTGAAATTGTGTTGTGAATCTCCATGACTTTGAAGACCCCAAACCACGAAATAGGCACTTGGTGCCATTTGCGGCAATAAGCCGAGGCATCCTGTTTTAGATGGTTAGACTTCTAGAAACTTGTCAGCCGAAGCTCTGATGGGATCAAATAGAGAATTTAAAGAATGACAGATAGAAAATGAGGAAAGGGGTAATATGGAATAGTTTCTGATATCATCTGTATATAGCTTTGGATTTTCCCAGACGCATTCGATAACAACGTCATTATTTAAATATGAAATCACTAATTCTTCATGTATACAAAAAAATTGTGAGAATGATGAACACCTACCTCTCAAGTTTAGAAAGTCACCTATCACCAGAACTCATAGTTATTATGTTACACTTATTCACGTCCCCTAAGAAATGCAAGACATAATGTCTTGTTTGAAGCTGCCCTTAACAAATTATTTTTAAGTTGTTATCGAAAATCGACTTATGTAAGCCCAGATCCGAGCTGCCGGGGTCCATCCTAGCTCGCTAGCTTCAACGTTATTGGTGTGGTGGGGTAAATGCATGGGCAGGTAGCCATCCTGGATGTACCGAAGTATCTTCAATTGTCATATTCCAGTTATCGCCATACTGGCAGACTAGGTAGCTCTTTTCAATCTGGCGCGGTTTCCTTCATCGCATTTTCTTTTTTGTCAGAGCTGTGAATTCTTTTCTCCGTCACGATTTCTTAACTCAACCCCAACTCGAGTCACTCTCACGGCAAGCTAATAATGTCGAAAATTGACTCGTTCTTCATTACGGAAATTAAAACACAAGATACATTGAGTTTTAATCAATTAATGCTGTCTTCAACGCGAACTACTTAGAGGCGCGTCTGGAGGCGATTATCGCCATCTTCACGAACCCCGCCGTCGACTATCGGCTAATGAACGATAATCTCAACTCGCAAACTCAACATACCTACCGTTGACCCTAGGATAATAATAGGATTGCAAAAATGCCGACCGCTTTGCATCCCCAAGCTAAATTCGATCCCATACCCCCAGATCTCGACCTCCATGCACTCGTCGATCGCACTCCAAACTTCGACTGGGTCGTGCGCATTTCTACCGCCCAAATCAGGCGCCTTGGTCCGTCTGGTTTCGAGAAGCTGGTTCAATTACATGTCATCGAAGGAGGTCGGCCGTTGGTTATAGAAGGATGGAACAAGGTTCTTCCAGATGATCTCTTCAGCACAAGCTGGCTAGAGCAGACATACGACAAGAAACGTAGGTCCTGCATCTACCATACATGATGCTTATATATACTGATATCTATCGGCAGAGGAAAATATTCGCGACATAGCGGCACAAGCTGATATCCCAATGACAACTGGCCATTACTTGCGATCCATGCGACAGTTGACCAATCAATGGACCACTACTAATTACCGCGATGAGAGACGACAGCGCCTTTACTTGAAAGATATAGATTGCCCTCCCGAGTGGTACGATCATCTAAAGAAGGTCATTCCCCCGAACGTTTTTTATATGAACGACAATATCAGCGAAAATCCAGGCGCAGACACTCGCAACGATGACATATTTGGGGCGCCAGAGAAAACCCCCGCTGTGGCTGGTGATCTGATGAGTAGTCTTCCGGAGGAGATGCGTGCACAGAACCTGATGTGTTATATCGGCCATGAAGGCACATACACTCCTGCGCATCGAGAGATGTGTGCGAGCTTGGGTCAGAACATTATGGTTGAAGCCTCGGGAGATAAGCATGGAGAGAAACCAGGCAGCTCTATCTGGTTTATGACTGAAACTAAAGACCGTGAAGTTATCAGGGAGTACTTCCTCTCTATGCTCGGCCATGACATTGAAATCGAGAAACATTTCGCACAAATCAACGCTTGGAAGAAAGCCAACTTTCCCGTCTACGTCGTCGAGCAAAAGGTTGGCGACTTCATTTTGATACCTCCCTTAGCACCTCATCAGGTTTGGAATCGTGGAACGAGGACTATGAAAGTAGCATGGAATAGGACTACTGTTGAAACACTCGACCTGGCCCTCCATGAGGCTCTACCGAAAGCGCGACTAGTGTGCCGAGACGAGCAGTACAAGAACAAGGCCATCATCTACCATACTCTTGAGAAATACTACAAGGACCTCCAGGCACTCGAGGAAAATGCCGAAGTTGGGTTTCTAGGTTTCGGGCAAGAACTAATGCAAAATTCGTCGCGCATGAGACAAATGGCCCATGACTTTAAACATCTGTTTAGTCTATTCACCGAGATACTTGTTGATGAGATGTTCGGCTACAAGCAGAATAATGTCGAGTACGTACCATTCGACTCAAACATTACGTGTTCATACTGCCGATCCAACATCTTCAATCGCTTCCTAACTTGCAAATGCTGCGTGCGCACGTTGATCAATGGCGATGAAGATACATACGACATTTGTATGGAATGCTATGCTATGGGTCGCTCGTGCGTCTGTATATCTGGCCTCCAATGGTGTGAACAATGGAAATGGTCCGATCTTATTGAAAAACATGAGACGTGGAGGGTCATGGTGATACAACAAGATGGATATGTTGATATCAATTTATCGCCCCAGCCTATCGAGATTGCGCGCAAGAAAACAGGGAGGAAATCGGTGGCCCAAATTGCGCAAGAGCAACTTCGACGGAGGCCATGGAATGATATTACGAAACCACCTGAGCCTCATCCCGAAGAGTCCGAACCCGAAGTCGATGACGAAGGTCGCATTAAGAAAAAGTCTAGATCGAGACGGAAAGCTAAGAAAGGCGATGTATACCGTTGTCACGTCTGTTGTCACAAAGACTACACGTATAAGCTAAACTTTTGCACGACCTGTCAAAACGCATATTGCTATGGCGTTCTATGGAGAGCATTTGATATGATGCCACAGGCGGCGATGGAGGTAGAACATTGGCAGTGTCCTAAATGTCTTAATATCTGCAACTGCGGAACGTGTAGACAGGGTGGTAACACAGTCCCATATGTTCCGAAGAGTACACTCCTTGGGCACGATACGCGCCCAATCGCGGATGATCGTAGCGTTGAATCAATCGTTGACTTCCGACAACACAATCTCAGCTGGCTGAAAGCCGCCGGGGAAGAAAATCGGAGCAAGGATACGAGACGCATGCAACGACTAAAAGAGCAGGCCGATGCTGCAAAAGCCAACGATCCATTAGCATCATTAGAAGTCGGAGACGATGCTCCTCACGACGTGGAGCCCGCTCCCCAAGATCCAGTCATGAATGGCTATGGGAATGAAGATCATGCAGTCCTACAACTCGCTAATGCTATTGCTGCTGACGAGCCCGAAAATGGCCACGTACCAGCTCCTAATGCGCCAGATCTTGAGAATCAACCAGAAACCCATATTGTGAACGCCGACATGTCAGGCATCCAAAATGGTGAAGGGGACTCATCTTATCCAGATCCATCTGAGTTCGCCGATCCATCAGTACCTGGAGTCAGCCGCGAACGAATGATGGGACTGGGGTTCTATGACCAAGATGAGAGCCCTGACAAGATTTTGTTTGAATCATTCCAAATGCCTACAGCCGATGTTCTCAATAACGAGCCAGAAATATCTGACTTTGTCAAGAAGACACTTCGATTGGCCAAGAGAAAGGCTAGGCTTGAGATAAATGACGATCCCGATTTTAGGGGTCCCAGAAATCAGCCACGCAAGAAGCCTAGGACCGGAAACCTTGATCAACTTGTCAACTTGGATCCGGCTCTACTTGGTGCTCTTGGTAATAACACTTCTACACCAATAAGAGTAGCTGCCGCAAACAACTCCGGCGAACAATCAGTTCATGACGATGCAGAAGCGCAATCCGAAATAACAGAAGGAACTCCTGTATCTGTTCCTCCCCCTAAAAAGATAAGGCCACGTCTCCCTGTTGACCCCCTGCGACCTACCTTACGACACGCAAAACCAATGGTGTCGTACGTGGAAGCCGAGGAGCCGGCTGAGGACCCAGATGATAGTGTCCTTATCAAGTCTTTAAGAAATCTTGAGCCAGAAGATGAGAGTGGCGTTCCGGAAGAGGATATGAATCCTGTAGATTTAGCAGCCGATGCAATTCGGGCGTTGACACAACTTCCGGTGCAGGAAGAAGAAAGTTCGGCCACTGCTAAAAGTACCCCGCAACCCGGAGCTAAGAGACGAGGACGGCCACCCCGAAATTCCGTCGGGGCAGTCGTCACCCCATCTTCAGTTCCATCTACCGGTAAAAGACGTGGTCGCCCGCCGGGACGCCCGAGGAGATCCACAACTAACGGTGCAGAAACTGAGGACACCACCATGATAGACGTAGATGCACCCAATGCTCACGATGCCCCGGAGGCTTCTGACGCTCCTAATATTACTCAGGACGATAAAGAGAATGAGGTTAGCGTAGAAGAACTTGCAGCTCAACTAGAGCGAGAATTGGCTGAAGCGAATAATAATGAGGAGTCACGACCAACTACGTCTACCTCCGCGACATTGTCTCGCGAAGAGCCTGTAAAGAAACGAGGTCGACCCCCCGGACGACCCCGTGTACAAGGGCAACAACAGCAACAACAATCGCCCGTAGCGCCAATCCCCCTTAACCTAGAGCCTCCTCCAGATACACGATTCATGTCCATGAGAGAGCGAGCGGCGCTAAGGGGTAGGAAATTTAAAATAGGATCACGCCGAGCGAGAGATACCCCAACAGGAAGCCCCGCCACAACGTCAGCCAAGACAACCCCTGCAGCCACCGTTGCACAAGCTACGAAAGAAAAACCAAAACCGAAACGAAAGTCCATCAATGCTGAAGAGCCCGTTAGGCCAAGTCCCAAAAACGGTCGTCCGGAGCTGTTAGATGATAACTTCAAACCAGCTGCTGTGGAGATCGAGGATTCATCATCGCCTAGCCCCACGCCAGAACGCGAGGTTCCAGCGCAGCGGCGGCCCGCCAGGAAATCGGGGGGCCCGACCGTCGTGAGGTTGGAATTCTCAGACGATAGCAGCTCAGATGATTCGGATAGTGACGACGACAGCGATGGCGATGTTCCTGCTAAACCGCGTTTCACGGCGACGCGCGGTCGGGGCAGTATAAGAGGGAGAGGACGCGGAAGAGGTAGAGGTAGACCTCGAGGCCGCGTCTAATTACACCCAACTCACGAAATTAAGGAATGATTCTAGGTGGAGGTTAGGATGGAAAACGTACTTACGACGTTGGCTTTGCCAAACTGTGTATAATGTGTATGGTCCCAAAAGTGTGTTATTTGCCTGGGCTTGGCCCCATTCATTTTTTTCGCCGTGGCGCTCGGTGGCGTTCTTTTACACCCTCTTCGGGGGGTCTATAGTACATTGCTGAATACCCAGAATAATATTTACGTACAGTTTTGCATGCTGTGACGATTGTAATAAGTCTGTTAGAGTTTTATTCCTCGACTACCTAGTACCCAGTAGATTCCCATTCTATAAACCTAAGTACTAGGCGTTCCAGAGTCCCCATCTCTGATTTTATGTTTCTTCAACGTGTACTTCATTGAGCCGCTATCTTCGAATTACACTCTATAATACATTCCCCCTTCTAAATATAGGTACATGATAATCAGCACTTACCTACCCCGTATTATGGGATATCATCTACCGGATGCAAGCTAAGTATTTCTTAGTTTAGTCGCCAACACTATTACTCAGCTTAGTGGTCTTTCCAGATTCTGTGTCCTGGATTCTATATCACTTCATGTTCGTCTAGCGTAAAACCATTTCGACGGCATATGTTTCGGACATATAAGAGGCCCCGATACCCCATTTCCTATTCAAGATAGCTTCATACGGATACATCAAGGTATCTTCAAACGAACGACCAATAAAATTGTTGTATATCATAATCCATGATATAATAGCCAATGGAAATCCCGCCAATTACTCTATTATACGTCAGCTATTTTGTCCAATGTTAGGTACCTAAACTCACAATGCTCGTTGAAACGACACAGTGACACCCTGTAACCAAAGCATCATGTAGAAAAGATAGGAGAGTCGCGTCGCCCCAGTTATCCGGAACCCGAGCACTAAAGTACCGGCAATCCGGTAAGTATCACGTAAGGACGGCAGGTAGTTGGCGAGATCATGTGGTGAGGATAATAGTGTCGGACTTGGAGAACCATCCGTGCGAATGTGATCGTAACCATTCTTTTGGTCGTGCAAAGCCACGGCAGTTATCTTGTATAACAAGGCATTGAGTCGGCTCATCAAGTTGTAAGTTCGCTAATGTAAAGATGCTAGTGGTTCTTCAAGGGTACCTAGCATATAGCAAGGGGGCATGATGATTGGACAGTCACCTAACTATTCTATGTTAGCGTTCGATCTCCAAGTTGGCGCGAATGAAGCACTTACGGGAAAGCTAGTAGGGGGGCATGTGTTTTTATCACCAGTCTCAAGACACTAAAACCAAGTTTCGAGAAGACCGTCGCTTGGGGAACGGGGTAAAATGGCGATAGTCCTTGGATGCACGGCTTCGGCTTTACTAATAACATCCTAGGATGTTGGGCTCATTCCTATTAGGGAAATCAATACGACCCCAGATTATCAGCTATTTCCCCGCGATTTAAGAAATGGGGGAGCGGTCGAGAACCCTCCGCGACCTTGGCTGGGGATTTGCGATCTTTGACATATGTATGTGAGATATGATCGCGTAGACGCGAAGACGCATTCCCGAACAAATATCAAAGGACAGGAAGCCGTGTTACATTCATATATTACTGGCCATACATCAGCCGCATCGCCCCCTGCGTCTTTTTAACATCTTCCTCTCTCTCCCTTCTTCTTGGCTTCCCAGACGCTCGGTTCAGCTGAATAAGGTTGTTAAAAATGGCGTCAGAAGCTGCCGCCCAGAATAAGGACCACCACCTCTTGCATAGTCACGCGCATGAGGAGGACATCCCCGGGACTGTGAATCTCAAAGCCGCTGGTACGTCACATCACTCAAGCGACCCCTTCGAATCTAGCATGTCTCAAATCGCAACCCGCTCTTGGACTAATATAATGAATGTATGAAAAGAGGGCGACGATGTCGCGTATGGACAAGCCCTATTCCCGGTTCCGGCCGAGGACCCCAACGATCCATTGCAATGGTCCAATTTCAAGAAGACGATGATCTTGATCATCTGCTCGTTTTACTCTTTCCTGGCTAATTCCTCTCTCATCGGTCCCTCTCCTTACATTGACCTTTGGTCAGAGGAGTTCGGTATAACACGGACTAAGGCCTCTGAATTGGTCTCCTATCCTAATCTAGCGTTCGGTTTTGGTATGTGCTGTTGCGTCAAGAGTTGGGAGGGTGCTGATATTTAAGCTGTGTGTGTGCTAATGCGCGGAAGGCTCCTTGATTTTCGTACCCATGTACTTGAAGTATGGTCGCCGACCTGTGATGCTATTCTCTCTCGTCACAGTAAGACACGCCAGGATTTGATTATCCGAGATAGAGGTTCTAATGTGTAATAGTTCGCTGCGGGTTTAATCGGAGCATCTCGATGTACTACGTATGACGGGCTTCTTGCCGCGAGGATAGTTCATGGATTCGGCTCTTGTGGTATGCATATTCGAGCTCCCCCCTTTTCGGCCCGTCTTGAGGGTGAAGACTTTCTTTCGGGCGAACCGATTCCTCGCTCTTGAGACATGCTTGAAATATCTAGACTCTTCAGCTGGAACCACAATACTAACTCAGCATTAGTTTGCGAGGCCTTGCCAGTTCAATTAGTAAATGACATATTCTTCTTGCATGAAAGGGGGAAGAGGATCGGGTACTATACAGGTATGCAGAAGCCAAGGATCAGTCCTTACCCAATTTGTGTCTTAACCTCCAATAGTCTGTTTATGCCTCGGAACTTTTGGATCACTTCCAGCTGGATACATGCTCGCTGCCGGCTATGGTTGGAGGTTATTCTTTTACGTAGAATTCGCGTTCGCGATGGCGCTTCTAATACTAGCTTTCTTCTTCGTCGAGGAGACGTCTTATAATCGGGCGGCCTTCACAAGTCCATCGACGCCGCCAAACGAGATCGAGAAGGAGGGTCTCTCCGAAATTGAAAAAGGGTCTCAACAAGCCGACCTAGTTGTCCCTCCTCGTAAAAGTCTCTTACAGACACTCAGCCTATGGGGAAGAGTTGACAACGATGTTCCTTTCTTCACGACGATGATTCGTTCGTTCACTTACTTCCGTGCGTAATCAGGAGATCCCGTCTTTAGTCTATTTCGAGGCTGACTGAGGGTTTAGTTGTACCGCAATCCCTGTGGGTGATTACCACTTTCGGAATCAATGGTTAGTGATGAAGCATCCCAACACGAAATACACATCCCTTAATTTTACATCACCCGCCGTACCCTACTCTTTTCTTGGAAGCTGACAAATTTGTAGTATGTTACGTTACCGCCCATGATTTGGTCTTCTTGATCTATCTATCTGTCGAGACTCGAAAACGCAGGCTTTGGAGCGGCGTCGGGGTCTGGTTTCTTGTATTTAGAAGGCTAACGGGCAGTAGATTGGTCTTTCGGCATTGGCATTGTCTTACACGTTCCCAATCCTGATAGTTTCGCCACCGTATAATTGGGCAGTGGTAAGTCATTTCTCTGGTGATATTACTCGTTATGCCTATGCATCTACTAACCTAGACGCAGACTAATTCTGGACTTTTCGCTATTGCCGCCGTGGTGGGCTATGGGTTGGCTGTCCCTTTTACATCAAGTTCTGACAGACTAGCGGCGTACTTTACCAAACGCAACAACGGCATCCGAGAAGCCGAAATGCGCCTAGGCGTCATGCTGCCGGCAATGGTGATTGGACCGGCTGGAATAGTCCTATATGGTCTCACTGCCGAAAGAGGCTTACATTGGATATGCTTTTTTGTGGGCGGAGCCATGAACTATTGGTCTGCGTACTTCTACTTCTCTTTCACGCTTGCATATGCCGTAGATTCCTACTACGCTAACACGTCTGAAATGCTTATTGCCATGAACATTGGAAAGCAAGCCATTAGTTTCGGGCTCGGATTGAAGGTGTTGGCATGGGTGTTGGAGAGTGGCTACGCTGTCGTCATCTCCGGAGCCTTCGGAGGTGTTTTACTTCTCAACAATGTCTTTCTTCTAGTTTTCATGATCTGGGGTAAGAAACTCCGGAAGTTCATGTCAGAAACGTGGCTGGCTAGGCTGCATTTCCGAAGCATTCGGGAGGTAACAACCCACTAAATGCGGAACGTGGACAGCTGGAAGATGGACACAGAGATCAACATCAGAGGGAGGTTTATCTCCTAGAACCAGTTAATCTTCAACCATGAATGTGGGAAGCGTGTGGAGAATCTAAGCAGTCAAGATTCGTATATTAGAGAGACTAGCAATAGTTCTAGAAAATTTGAATAGCCTTATTGTTAGGATATCGTATGATCTGCGTTGGCTAGCCTTCAAAAGGTCTGTTGCTGAATTTAGAGCTTGGCTTGAGGAACTAATGCAGCTCATACAGGTGGCGGATTCAGCGGAAGCGTCAACAGACTCCGCGCAGCCCAACGGTCCCGGCATAGAATTTCAGCTTTACCGCTGGACCGGTGAGTGTCATTGAATGTGATTATCGTTCACCGAGGAAACCAGATTATTTAGATGGAAACTTGCATTTCGCTTCAATGTGACTTAGAGTCTTGGAGGTGAATAGGATCATCTGTTGTCAACATGAAACCTCAGTGGTTGGGACACTCTAGCTTTCCAAGGCGAGCGATACGGTCGATATTAAGATGACATCTTCTTGCATTACCGTGCACATTTGACTTCTTCCCCGGAATAATTCCAGCGTCCCGTTCCATACCGCTGTTGCATAACAAGCTTCTTAGCTGAGCCTGGTCAGTTTGCTCAGCCTGACCTCAATTGGATCGATTGCGCAGCATGGGAACGATAATACAGGGATGGTATGCATGGCTTACGGTACGCAGTCTGCACTAAATAGAATCGAGAACGGAACTTCAGATGAAGAGGTTCCTTGGGAAGAGACCCACCCAAAGAGGCTCGCTGGCTCGGAAAGTCCCCGCGTCTTTAAAGAGAAATACCCCTGAAACTAAGGCATTGTAGGAAATGAATTATGGCACATAACATTGGCATAATCGTCTGTTAAAAGGCAAAATAGTAAGCATAAATTAGCAACATTGATCTTGAATAAATCTCATCATTCTCCCATGGAAAGCTAATTCCTTATTACGAGGGAGACAGGAAAAATATTTCTGTGGTCCGCATGCTAATGGTGTGATTGTCAATATAGACCCGGGCCTAGAATTCTGAGTACCGCTGTTGTCAGATCTGGCGCAGGCACAGGATCGTGGATCTCGCCTATTCCACCTAGATCTATCAGTGGAGATCTTTATTTATTAATGGACCTCTCAACATCCGCCGAGGTCGAAACACCGACATAATGCAGTGTGACGGTTCCAAATTCGGCAGTAGAGCATTAGCTGTGGCAGTTGTCGAATCAAACGTTGAGGCTCAGGGTACAGGCAATTTAAAGATTTAGAGCTGATCATGGTCGTCCAGTCATTACGGAATTGTAATTCATAATACGCAAACAGGGCTGGGCTTTTGCGGGGATTGCACATCTATCGTCTGAGTGGATGTGCCCACCCTAGGCAGACATACATACATATGTACATGTGCTTGGTACAGCAAAATAGAAGGATGGTTGCATGTATACCTAGTAGGTAATGTTGTAATTAAGTGAGATGTAGGTTCTTGGGAGAGACATGCATATAAACTAACTGTAAGGCTTCAAAGTATTTGAAATTTTGGATAGATACCTAGATAAAGGAGCTCTACCTATTTAGACTTGACATGAAGTTGGGAGACGATACGCGTAATTTGAACATAAGTTGTGTGCGTTAGTTCATCCTTAATAGCGGATCCTCGTATAGGAAATACAGCAGCACAACCAAAGGGAAACGGTGTAGGTAATGTTGTGACTAAAAAGTACAACCTGTGTAATTGTGTTGTCTAAAGCCCTGGCCTGCTTACATAGGTAGGGAGGTATGTTAAAGTGGCGGGATAAATGGAACAGAGAATTACAGCTTTATACGTCACCTGTAAAGGCTATCAAATTAAACAACCGAAGTTGAGACCAGAAAATTGCAACATTGCGTTGTCATCGTGCTTGAGTCTGATTGGCTGCTTGGCATTAAGACCTAAAGCTTACTTGGGGACAACCTCTTCGAACCATGTGCTGTTGTCGATCTATTGCTATGTTCAGTATACGGAGCCGGGTCCCGAATCTTCAACTATCCTTGGGCCTTGCATTCAGCTTTTAAGCTCCTTCAAAAAATGGGTGCCGCTATAGCGAAGCTTGGTTCTAGGAGATGGACCTGACAGGCGCATTGCTCTCACCTCCTTTCGATACGGATTTTGCTTGACATGGGAAGCTATTCCCACAGACCGACGTTGCACCCTAGTGTTGTCAATCTCAACCAAGAACTCGGATGGGTCCTCTTGGAGAGTCTTGGCTACCTTGGAATGTCCTGATTATGAGAGAAGGCAGGTCGGGGAGAGGTCAGTGTCGAGTATAAGAACCTAAGTAATTCCCCGTCTCATCTAGATTTACTTTTCCATCATCACCAACAACAACAGCATCAATCTTCCAAGTCAACCCTCACTTCTGTCTCTTGCACCATCCACCAGACCTCAAGGTTCTCAAATCCAACACTACCATCAAAATGCAGTTCACTACCTTCATCGTCAGCTTCATGGCTTCCGCCGTCCTCGCCACCCCTAGCTATGGCCCTGATGGCACCTACTTTGCTTGCAACCCGGGTCTGTACAGCAACGCCCAGTGCTGCGCTACTGATGTTCTCGGTGTTGCCGACCTTGACTGCGCAACTCGTAAGATTCCCTAAATTTCAGGACCGAACAGCGAAACACTTGTTAACATTGTCTTTAGCCTCGTCTGAGCTCATCAACCCCAGCCAGTTCAAGGCAGTCTGCGCTTCTGCTGGTCAACGTGCCCGCTGCTGTGTCCTCCCTGTTGTAAGTAATAATAACTCAAATCCATCACATACATAATCTAACAAGATACCTATACAGGCTGGACAAGCCGTTCTCTGCGAGGCTCCCATCGGTATCTAAGTGGTGATGATCTGAGAACCATGGTGGAAGGCTTCTGGCGAAGAACGACAATCATGGGACAGAAGCTACCTCGCTATTCAACACATCCAGGCCGCCTTTTGGTGCAATTATGGGGAGGCCGCGGTCGTAGGAGGTGCAATGATGCAGTTGTGATGGGTTGTCTTTCAAGCTTGTCTTCTCTTCTCAGTAATTACATTGAATATTAGCGTATAGTAATATCAAGCGCTCGAACCCAAATCTTCACTTTGCCTTCATCTCATATCGTGATACGCGTTGGATTTCTCATGCTCCAAAGTTGTGTATGCACTGGATGGACTGTCTACCCCTTTTCCCCGACCTCTTTTTGGGCCTGGGGAAATAGGGCGGTGTACTATGCCAAGTCAATTTGTACCGCTTAAATCTGCTTACGTAGGTATATTGACCATTAATTTCAGATAAACGACGATTATTTGTGTCAGTGGATCTTGGACCAAAGAAAGGATTTCACCGATAATTATCTCGTTCTCGTTCCCATTCTGCGCCTTCTCCACCAGTCCGTGTTTCCGAAGGAATGGTTCCGGCGGGTACTCCCGGAGACGGCCCGCACTAAGAGGATCTTTCTCCGCAATAATCTTGCCTCACAGAACTTCTCCTTCCTTTTCTAGAAACCTGCCACGCTCCCGGGAGCCGGGACGCCTCCTCCTTTCCTTCTGGGTCCGGGTTGAAGACCGATACTGGAAGGCACGGGGATTATATTTGCTATGTTGATTAGCAATCTAGGCGTGGGAATACCGAATTTAAAAGTATATATTTTGGAAACTTTAATATTGGGTATTCTAGTTAAATCAGCTGCCCCACGGCTATGGGGCTAACATCATTTTCAGGGGGTCACCTTTAGGGCACAGCTATTTGTCTGCGTGCCTGAGCTGAACTATTGAAGAATCGCGCCTTCACTTAATTATGGATCGTTCAAGCATGGTTAAATACATAGCATCACCTACTACCCGGATTTAGACTACGTTAAATCAACTTAGAGAGACATCTAGGATTCTTAATCTGTTGGGTACTATGAACAATGGTGAAGCCGGGTATGTCTCATCCCCAATAACTTCCAAGTCGTCAACTTTAGCTACTATCCTTCCATGTGCAAGAGCATCGAAATGGCATTCGGCGGTAAGCCAATCATCTCCCCAACGCCCATGGCAGATCACCGATGACATAACTGGAAAAACACAACATAGAAAAGAAAAGAGAATAGAAACTTCTCAAGTGGTATCTCAGGTAACAAAAAGCCTGCTACGCCTAGCTAAACCTCTCCGCCCGGCCCCATGTGTGCCGCGACGTCGAGGGGAAATGACTATGTGAAGGTAAAAAAAGTTTCCAGCAAGCGACAGTGCTTGCGCAAAGTCATTCCATAAACACATCCTAACTGCGATTCGTTCGTATCCCGTTCAGATCGTTCGTGTTTGTCTGTGGTGGAAGAAGGTGGGTGAATGATTAAGGGTTAAAAGGTCGCGAGATGTATGATTTCTAGCTTTCTAGCCAGTAAAAACGCCAGAAGAAACTCGGGATGTGAACGAGTTCGACATGCTGAGCAGAAATAGGCTGTGAGACTCCTTAAACTCCTTGCCAAATATGCTGCATGTAGGCGGTAAAGCGGGACTTCTGGCAAACAAGATGACGGGGCAACGGAGGGTGGACATAGTACGCGATAATAACAGCAAGACATATGAGAAAGACTGCTAAAAGCATACCACACCAACTCCGCGACTAAAAGCAGTTGAGGCTACCCTTCTTCTTCTTCTTGTTATTAATTGCGTTCATACGCTCCTCAAGATGGGTTCTCGCCCTTTCGGCATCTTGCCGTTTCTTGCGCTCCTCTTCAATCTGGTGAAGGCTATCGCGCCATCGGTTGTCTTGTTGGGGGCGTTCCTTGAGCTCTTTGACTTCGGTCTCAAGCTCCTGGGCACGCTTTCGCCAGGCCTCGCTATCAGCCTTGCTCTTCTTAGACTGGTTCTCTAGATCGGTGAGAGCTTCTTCCAAAGTGGCAGTTAATTGCCTCTCGGCCTTTAGATGCCTCTCAATGCTCTGGATCCTGGCTTCCTGATCTTCTCGGATCTGGGCTAAAGCAAGGTCATGACTGGTTGGCCGACCGCCAGTTGGCGTTGGTGGCACACCTTGTGTCGGTGAAGTCGCACCAGTAGGAGGTAGAGGCGGGAGAGGGATGGCGGGGGGTGGAGACGGCAAAGAGACGACAGATGCCGTCTTACGGACCTGTGAACTCGTTGAGCCAGTTCTCTTCGGTGTATCACCGTTTGTGACCTCATCAACATGAGCCTAAAGAAATGTTAGTTGAAAGTGACCTAATAGATGAAATGGGAATTCTCACCTGGAGGGCAGCCATCTCATCCCGGAGAGTGTCCAGTTCGGCTTGTGCCTTGATTTTGGCTGTGGTAGCCTCCTCCAATTGCATGTTACGCTCTGTCTGGAGCGTTGACAATCGGTTGTTGGTGAGTAGAGCTTGATCGTAATTGGTTTGGAGCTGATCTTCCAACTCCTCCACTAGACGAGAATGTTTCTTACTCTTATTCTCAAGGTCAGCCATCCTCTTCTTAACTGCTGTAAGCTGCTCTATTACAGAGGGGTATGGGCTCTTCAAGTTCTCGCCGTCGGAATAAAGCATGTCATTTAACCAAGACTTCACAGCTTCAAGATCGCGCATGATAGTGTTGTTGATAGCTGAAAGTTCATCAAGGTGACCTTCAAGCTCGGCCGATTTGTGTTGCTCAATAGTCAAAGTTTTCTGATCTGCGATCAGGTAATCAATACGTTCGCTGATCTTTTCGAGGCTAACATCAAGGCCTAAGGCAAAAGCCACCTGGGTAGCGATCTTCATAAGTTCGTCGCGAGCATCGGCGGCATCGCTTTCTAGCAATTTGATGTTTTCGGCGTGCTCTCGCAAGAGTTCGTTGACTTGAGCATCATACTCTTCTTTAGAGGCAGTGCTGATTGCGTTAAGTTCCTTCACGTGATCGTCGCGCAGTTGAACTAAGCTCAGCTCGTGAGTCTTAAGCGCTTTCTGGTGTTCTTCGATCTGAATTTCGAGTCGACCAACAAGTTCTTGGTAGCTGCGGGACTCGGCAGATGCAATATCGCGCGCCTTAGAAGCCTCCTCGAGCTGTTCCTTCGCGAGAGCATGTGCCTGTTCCAGTAGAGCAACTTTAGTTACATTACCGCCAATAATCGTCTTGAGATCATTAATCTCGACACGGAGTGCCGTCACAATATTTTGGTGCCTATTCTCTACTTCTTTTGATTCCTCGTCGCTCCTCGCGTGTTCTTGGGACTCATTGAGTTTGGCATTAACAAAGGCAATTTCGGCCTCGAATTCACTGATGGTCTTTTGCATCTGTTCTTCGGCAGACCGGAGTGCATCTAGAGCAGCTTGGTGTTTATCTTGCCAAGTCGAGAGTTCAGCTTGAAGATAGATAATCTTCTCTTCTTGAGCGGCGCGTAGCTCATCACCTTGATTACTACGGTCTTCGGTCTGCGTTACTGATGTCGGCTTGACCTCACCAGTGGCGTTGATAGATGTTCGTAGAGCTTCCAATTCGGAAACAAGCTCCTTTTCGCGGGCATCGTGTGCTTCCTTCATTCCTTGTAGTTGTTTCTCATTTCTTTCCAGTTGTTCCCTCAATGCGGCAACCATGGACATGTCTATAGGGCTCGACTTCAAACTGGATCGTTCTCGCGTTAGCCCCGAGATAATGGTCATCTTGGTTTCCATTTCTTTCCTGGCGGTTGCAACATCGGCTTCCAACTCTTGAATGCGCTCTGACCTGGCGTGTAGCTCGTGCATAGCGGCATTGAGATTGAGATCAAAGTTCTGCATTATGTCAGGTTGCTCTTCGAAGTTTTCAGCAGCGAGGTTTCGGAGCGTCGCAAAAGATCGGTGTGCCCTGTCAATAACTAGGACATTCTGGCTAGACTTTCGGCGTATCACTGGTGTAGCCATCCTTGGAGATGGTGGCTCCGCGTACTTCGCCTTCGCAACTTCGGTCTTCAGCTCTTCAACCATGTCCAGAGTCTCCAGATGCCTCTCCTCTAGTTCAGCGTACTTGTCTGCAAGCTCTTTCTCGGCAGCCTGCTTCTCTTCTGCCAATGCCTTCAGTCTTTCTACCTCGACAGCTAGGTTCTCGCCGTTATCGTTGTTAACAGTTCCTGTCACAAGCGTTTCACGAGATTCGGTAGGCTTATGTGTCTCGATCACTGGTGTATCCAAAGTAGTAGGGGAGTCCATAGCTGAGGATAATTCCGATGAGAGCGATCGTGATAAGACGGTTCCATCTTTGATGTCGCTGGACCTCGCGTCCGATAAAAAACTCGACGGCCTAGTTTGGTTAGGGGAAGTGACTGACAAGAGCGAATCGCGTTGGCGGTTGGGGTGTCGCGCCTCGTCAACCTGGTCTTGTAATTCTGCTAGTGCTCGCAACGCCTCATCATATTTAGCATGAAGCATGTCATACTCGTTAAGGGTTGCTTCATGTTCAACTCGCAGGGAAACTAGTTCTTCGGATACGTTCTCAAGTTTATCAGCGACGAACTTGGTTTGAGCTGGGCTTTGGGGTGGATAATCAACAGATGTCGAGTTGTCCTCCGCACCTTCGGCTGGCGTCCGAGGACCCTCACGATCACCGGCTTCTCCTTCATTATAAGCTTGTTCACTGACGTCTTCCTCGGTACCTTCGGCCACTTCGGGAAGCACGCCTCTGACACCTAGACTTGGTCGACTCGAGTGGCTCTTAGTCGATCGTTCCGAAAAGGTACGGCGGTGTCCAATGCCATTGCTATGCTCGGATTGGGTGTCAGATGGTTTACCGTCCTGATGGATGTGATCTAGTTCGTGGAGAAGATTGTCCAGTTTTCCAAGACTTCGTTGGCGTTCGATAACCTGTTCAAGACGATCAATTTCGCGCTGCATCAACTCTTGGTCCTGGTCAGATTCGGCAAGTCTTTCCTCAAGGGTGGAAATGTAGTCCTCGGCGGCACCTTCATTCTCTCGAATACGAGCGATCTCCTTTCGTAATTCCAGAACGATAGTGGCATTCTTCTCTTCGCCAGAAGTGTGGCCATCGAGCTTGTTCTCTAGGTCATGGAGATAACTCTCCGTGTTGGCTTCTCGATCCATTACTTTCTGTAGACGGGCATGGAGTTGGGTATTGAGAGTCTCAACATAAGCACACTTGGTTTCCTTCTCTAGAAGATTTGTTTCAGTGTTTGAGAGTGTGGCCCGTGTGCTAGTGAGTGACTGCTCGAGCGATTGGATCGTCTTTTCATATTCTAAAACAACCTGTTCAACGGCCTGAGCGAACGAATTAGAACGGTTCAATCTTTCGGTTGCGACGTCACCGAAATTGTCCTCTATGGATTGGCTCTCAGCGGCTTCGTCGTTCCGGGCCTTAGCCATCTCGGCAATAAGTTTCGCATGACGTTGACTCAGGGTATTATAACTTTCCTGAGCATCCAAGAGAGAGTTTTGTAATTCGGTTTCCCGCTCATTCTGTCGCTCGGACCTCTCGGTTGCTGGGACATTGCGACGCTCGCCCCCACTGCGCTCAGCACTTCGGATCTGTTCGCGTAAGAAAGCCACCTCGGCCTTTAGTCGCTCGATAATTGCCTGCTTGTCACCCTCCTCTACCTGCTGAATCCTGGGCTTGCTTTGAATTGCACGGGCTCTCTGTGCGTATTGTACCGTATTGAGGGTTTCGCTAAGATGAAATTCTGCGGGAGTCACACAGGCGATCATGTACGTTATAGCATTCCCGCCTAGGGAATCCTGAAGGAGTCTCGTTAATCTCGAATCGCGGTAGGAAACGTGAGATCCGGCTTGTCTAGAGGAAAGTTGGGATATAACCTTGCCTAAAGCGGCAAGACCAGCGTTGATCGAGATACCTTCGCGGGCCCGCTCACCCTGCGCACCGGTATTTTTCAAACGTTCACTACCAGCTAAATCGACGAAGTGCAGTTTGCTGTCAGTCGTGACATAAGTGTCGGTTCCCGTCATGGCCTCTAAGGGAACAGAGAATCTCTTGTTAGCTCCCTGGGCGGTTTGCGCCTTGCTTTTGCGCTGTACAAGATTTAGACTAAATACTGCATGTGATCGTGAAGATTTGGCATTAATAGCTGTCGCGTCAGTTTGTCGGATTGTCGAACCGAAGTTCAAAGCATTCATCAAGTCATCTACTGAGTTGATGTCAACTTGCTGCAAGCCAGTAAGAAGGATATTTCCCTTCGTATCTTCTCGGATAGTCACATTGCCTCGCTCGGACGGTTGAAGATGATCCGGCACGAGCAAGTCGCGAAGTTGCTCGTTGTAGATCTCGACGTATGTCGCCTTCAATGTCCAATTCTTTTCAACCTTGGGTGTCGGTGATTGGATGGAATAGCGAGCTGGTGTTTTTAGCTGGGACATGGAACTGCGATTGGAGCCCCGCGGGTGACCATCCAACTTCTCGAATAAAGCCATCGCAGCTCGTGGGATTACACCTATTGGATGGCATTCATTAGTACTCTAGTTTAACTTGTTATAAAGTAAGTTAAAGTATTCCTTACCCATTACTTCCGTGTCACCCTGTTCTGAGGGACCAGATGTTCCCATGGTGTAGGATTTACCTGCACCAGATTGACCATAGGCGAGGAGGGAGACATTGTAACCTTGAAGAAAAGCATTGACGCTTTCAGAAAGATATTCCCAGATTCCTTCCTGGGTAACTTCGGCGCCGAAAACTCGATCAAAAACAAACAACTTCTTTCCTTGAGGCGCATCGATGGCAATACCTGTGTTAGAAGTAGTTTGAACCATTGACCGTTGGAATCGTTGAGGTATAAGCTCATAACCAGGGTCAGTAGGTTTGAGAGCTGGTCGAACACGAACGGCTGTGAAGTAATCGTTAGTCTCATGATCCATAATCATTGAGCTTGAATTTGGGAAGGTGTTTAGGTATCAAGTATGTACTTACCAACTTTGACAGAAGTACGGCCGCCATCTTCGTCTGATCCTCTGCTTCCGCCACCTCCACCGGTCTTGCTCGTCATACTAAGACGACTGTTACTTCTGGGTGCTGGCTTGACCATGACGCTCATGGGGCGTGGTAAACCTGGCGATGTCGGTGGTGACGTTGCCATATTGACGACGTCGGTAGGTACCGCCGACCTTGGAAATACGTCGGGTTATATGTAAGGTTGAACCAATAAAAAAAGGAAAGTGTGTATAGTATTGGTGTAAAATGTCTCGGAAAGAATGACAAGAAGTATACGCCGTTAGGGTTGATAAGGCGATTGCGAAAAAAAAAGAACGGTTACCTGGGTGAGGACGTAGAACCTGGAAGGTGGAATGTAAAAGGTAGAACGTAGAATTTAGAATGTAGAATGTAGAATGTGGATGTGGAATAAGAAAACACCAAACACCAAAACAATTCCCGTCGTGCCGGACCACCCTACTATCTTGGACCTTCAACCTTCAACTATCGACTTTCCAACCTAGAGAGGTCGTGTACGATAAGACTAGACTCAACGTCATATGTCGCAAGTAATACAGGAAACTGTCGTCACGATACCCAGTTCATTATTCTTGTCGCGCGAGGGCATTGGTGTTGACTGGTTAAACGTGGTTAAACGTGTTCAACGTTTTCGGGAGGACGGCGATCAACTTGGAAGTTTTAGGGGGTGAAATGAGATTTGGGGTAGTGCCTGTTTATTATTCCAGGAACGTGCACCATTAAGAAAAAGGTTGTCGATTGATAGTCACTTCTTCTCAAGCAGTGAAGCAGCGAAGCCAGTGGGATAATTGTGGGTTAAACCTTGTGAGGCAGGGGATAAGCAGGGGGTGCATCAACCTTGTTGCAGGGATGTCGCGCGCAAAGGGAGTACAAGGGTTTTTAGTGTTTTTAGTCGCTCCTGCCTCTCTCCTATCAGAACACCACGGTTGCCCAAAATGGTTAAGGCTAAATTGGGTCAGACGAGATGTACCAGATGTACCATATGTACCGGTATACTTGAGTCATTAGTGAGCGAACCACTAAAACATCATTGAATTTGGCTCAGATTGGGGATTGCTCCGAATGTATTGTTTCGACATATGAGTACTAGGTACTTCAGATTATACGGGTGCATGGTGAATTATCACCCTTTTTTATCGTCATGAGAAAAATAAATAAATATTATTGTCATTATCATAATACATCCTTTCTAGGTTACAAAGAGCATCACATTCAGAACATTCCCAGCTAAATGGAACAGTGCAAGCCTCTATTATGTAGATATTTGGGGAGCTACTTCGTACCTTTTGGCAGAATCGAAAGTCATCGGCAGCGCAATAATTATATTGACCTAGCAGCTAATAAGATCCAACAACTTCGTTTGGGTCTAACACAAGTTGCAAACTCCAGGGGCATAGTTTACTCTGTGCTCGGTATCCATGAGATGTTAGGCACTTCCCGCTGTCATCCCATTTCCATATGTCACGGAAAGAAATGGTGTCACGAATGGATAGGAAGCAAGATTTCAGGATCTTGCTTGACTATTGCTCGACATCCATATCGAGCCATATAAAGAGCGTATTAGACAGATTGCATCATGTTTTCACTTGAAAAGAACTAATCTAGCGGCGTTTGCTTACAATATAGGCGTCTTTTTTTCGATATCTTACGTGTGTCAAGTACGAAGTACCTACAGAAACTGGTCCACCTTGGAAGGATTTCCGAGGTTCGTGGGCAATCCTCCCTCCACGTTTTCGCCATGCACATCAAGAGAGAACCTTGATCACTCGCATTTGACATCCATGTCATTTTCTCTTTACTGCTCTCAACTGCATTATGACACCTTAAGAAAACCGCAGAATTTCAGACGCTATTTGATTTTTTTCTCCTTTTTTTCAGTAAGGGTTTGCTCACCCTACGATCCCAGACAGGGGGGTTCCAATATCGTTTTTGAGACAAACACCAACATAAGTGCTTGCAGATTTCTCATGCAATGCAAAAGCAAGTGTTTTTTTTTGTGGTCATGTCAAGCACCTGGCAGTACGCTGTACACATACACAGCATTGCAAGTGATAGGCAGAAATAAGGATAGAGCCCGCTTACTGCAGATGACTGGCAGATAGCGAAAAAAGGCGATCTTGGCTCTAATGGATTGGATAATTCTAGCGGAGTACACACACAAGAGCGGGTCAACCTGACCGAATGCGTCCATGCGAAATTTCAAAAGCTGACTTTAGGAGAACGACGGCGTTGCGACGGCTTCCTTTTTCACAGCTTAGGGGGAGCGTAGGAAAGGGGAAATATGCCAAAGGGGGAAATCAGCTGCAGGCACAAATACTACTCTTGCATCGTCAATTTCAACCCCATCCAACCACAGCAGTTTTCCAAAATTCCAACTTACCTTATATGAGTCTTGGCAAGCATCGTTAAGGGTTGCCGTTGCCATTGCCGGGTACTCATCCGAACTGTGATAGTGCCCGAGTGTTATGTTTTTTCTCGTCAATCCCACGCGCGAACCTAAACGATGGAATATCAGAATTCGTATTGGTATATATAATACCTATGATACCCAGTCCGTGCCATGTTGACAGGAAATCCAGCTACCGCCTCATCGGAATTTGCCAAGTTACCTAGGTGCGCCAGGCACGATTACTGGATGAGCAACGCGGCCAACGGCTAGGTCAAATGTTACTCGAATGCCCGACACCTCCCCCACGGACACGCTATCTTCATTGAGTTGACAGCGACGAAGATCATCATCTAGATCGCGAAGAATGAGCCCACTAACCATGGATCACCGTATTTAATATTGATACGCTACAACAACCTAAACTGGAAGAGTTTTTGCCGAGGAGGCTCAATCTAATCGACGACGACTTACGAATGTGTTTGCGAGGTTAAAGGAAGAATAAGAATATGACTAAACAACAAGAGCCGAGCTCCTAAATCCTTAGAACTCTTGAAGATCGACAATACATTGTACTTGCACCCCAAATTTCTATTCTCTTACTATTAAAGACAATCGCATACATCACCTAGAGAATACATTTGAAGAAATTTCATCGATATCACGTGGAAACCGTTGAAACGGCTGCTCCGATATTAGACAGTGCAGTCAAAAGAAGAAGAAAAAAAGGCTTGATTCAAAAATCAATACGCGTGTTTCAAAATCATCCCGGAACATCGTGGCCGGCGGTCCTTTGATATTAAATTGACGGACACCGAGCGCTGAGGCGCTTGTCTCGCCCCCTGTCTTTCCTCCTCGGGCACTTCGGCGGTTGTGCCGGGGTAGCGATACCAAATAAATATATCAAATGATTCAAATCTGCGCGTTTATTCAACTTTATTCAACTTTATTCCAGGAACACATTCCATCATGTAGTCAGTGCTCTCGCCAAGGCTTGACAGAATACGATCCGACGGCTGGGGACGTCCAGCGAGCAAGCCAACTCGGTTCGTTTCCCTCGAGGCGCGGGCCAAGATCAAGCAAATGCCGTCCTGAGACCCGACGAACCATGTGTACCTGTCTGTACATAGTTGGGTAGCTATTGGTCATTGTGTTCGAGTGATCTGTAACTCTATCTGATTCATCATCGATCGAATGAGATATCCCGGATGTTGAGTTCCAATCACATCTACAGTACCTGCTTACATAAAGTACAAAGCCATGCGACACATTCGTAGTAGATCGAGCGCCGCGAGAGGTGTGTTGCTTGTATATGCCTGCAGGAAGGTTCACAGCCTTCATCACGGCAAAATGTATGTGATATTAACTTTTCATTGGTCATTGGACACTAGAAAGCCTTCAGAAGATATTAGTATAGCCTCAAGGTTAAATTGGCGGGACCACTCGAGGCTGCAGTAGTTTACCCTAGTACCTGTCAACTGCCGACGTGATGTTGTTTCGATGCTGTATAGGTAGGTAGGTAACAAGTCGTGATGTGATGAGGACTGTAATATATTGAACTTCAGAGACCGTAGAGCGAGCTTATTCGTAGAATGTTAATAATGACTAATGTTTTGCAAGGAGTACCTACCTAGTAGTCTTTCTATCACCATTTAATACATCATGATAATTCGCAGAACCACCCCCATACGTTCGTCTGATGGTGAGTAAGTGCATATGTGAAGCAGTCCCGGCAAGGTTAACCTTGATTTTCTGCGACGACATCCTTAATCTTTGCCCAGGTGCATATACTCATGCATCCCATGACTTCTCGACTAGGAACCACTAGGAATTCAAAGTCAACGCAGATCACATTACCCCTCCATATCACATGTAGCCTTTGTTTTCGAATAATTGATATTGAAGCCCGTCGAAATCTGTATCACCGCTCACTAGGAATCACTAGGAAGTAAGATCTGGACGATATGCTTACCTTATCGGTTTAGAACAACATTAGAACATCGGAAGATTCGTCAACATCAAATTCTTCATCTCACTAACTTACGAATTACAAGCGAGCTAATCAACTAGCAGGTTTAGGCTACGATTTCTGAATCTAGAGCGCTCGGGTGGCAGGGAAGTCCACAGTAGTTCGTGACAAGGTCACCCTGAAAGTAACATCGATATGATGCTACATTGGAAAATAGAAGGTCAATAGACCAGTTTTTCAACCATGAAGTCAAAGGAGTAGTACGACGACACGACGACGGGCTACCTAATCAAGACTCGAACATGAGCGGCCGGCAATTCAAGCTTCTTTTGAAGGAAAGATCCGTCCAGATTTCGTCCGCGTCGTCGGACTTAGATGATGTTCCTCCTCTAAGTTCCTTCCGCCGACGACGCCGAAAATCCTTCTCGCTCACAACCAGTGAATAACCTCGATCCGACACCACCAATGCATGAAGACGCACCCACTTACGAATGCTTCGCCATCCGAAGCAAAGGATTACCCAGTAACTCCCCTGCTTACTACATAGTACTGTAGATATCTGAGAATTCGCGCAAACTTGACCGAGTCTCTTCTAGTGTTAAGTTTACAAGTTCAGACGTCATCAGGTCATGAATCCCTTAGGATTCTTCAACTATCGACAACGATTTCCGCTAGATTTTCGTAGGTGCAGCGTAGCGTACATGCGCTGCACAGCGCACCTCTTGAAATCTCCGGCCGTGCGCCTTTCCCGGGGCGCCGTTGATCATGATCTGATCACGACGGAAAACCAGGCTTGCCAGGCTACTTGCAGTTAAGAAAGTCTGAGCGTACTGAAAAGGACAGGGCGGGTTAGTTGCGCCGATATTGCCGCAGGGCTAAGACGGCCTGTCCAAATTTGTTTCCCAAAGCTCGAGGCGTACGCGGGATATGATTGGCGGCATGTTTCAAGTACCCTTCTCGCATGCAGCCGGTTCGATGGTGATGTTGGACAGCCAAGACCCGAGGATGCTGAATTGCACCGCTTCCGCGCCCGAGCGTGCATAGTACTTATGCACGTATGTACGTATGTGTATGCGCAGGTAAGTGATGAAAAAGAACGAGTCGGCAAATTTATCTTTCTGATGCTGGTCTATTACACGTACATACATATACCTAGGCATTCCCCTTTCGAGAAATAGTTGAAGATGTGCAGCTCTTTCTGCTTTTCTAGACCCGATTTGTAGTTGTTGGCCCTTGTTGGCTTGACATACATAAAACGCAAGCATCTCCTGCATGTCTTCTCACTCGCACATAACGACTATCACGATCCTATCCAGCAGAGTATCCACGGGTGTTTCGAAGGACCTAGTATTAAACAATGAATATACTGGTAGGTATCCACTGACTCTGCCAGTCAATCCACTGAGCGACCGATCTTCGATATCCTGGGTATTTCGAAAAGAAGGCTGGAAACCTTCAAGGTTCTTACATAGCAGGAATCCGGAGGGGTCTCCCGCATGTGGAGTCAATGTCTCATCACCAACAATCTAGAATCTCCTTGATCCTAGAGAAAACCCCGCTGATGTTGACATTGGAACTCCTCCTGCTCCTCTTGATGTGGATATTGAAGTTTCATAGTTCACAGTAAGTACATGCAACATTCGGCACTGAGTGTGGAATGCGGGCATTGCATCTAAGTACCGAGATGCATATGAGTGGTCATATATGAAGTTGAGATCTATCGTAGGCTGCCTGGCTGCGTAAGTAAAACATGCATAACCTTGGTTACCTTGGGTTGTTTCGCGCGAGATCCCAAGTCTGCTGCAAGATGATGTAGAAAATGCATACATCATCACGCCTTAGTTTAGTCGAAATTGATGGCACAGAAAAGAAAAAGAAAAGAAAAGAGAAGATCTAGATAATGCATAAATCGATAACGATATTTACGGATATGAATTAATTCAAAAAGCGAAGAGCTGAAATAATATTGAGTTCGTGTCACGTGCCACGCGCCACTTGCGCGTTTGCTTTTTGCTTGTGTGACGCGATTCTTCAACAAATTGTCAATTTATTAAAATTTATCAACTACTGTGATATCTCCTTATCTTCAAACGCCGCTCCTTTTGGACTACCCGTTCCTCTTGCCTCTACTTTTTTCCTTCCTTTTCTTTTGCTAAAATCCATTGACTTGATTCAGGGTATATGTCACGATTTCCTCTTGCTACTTGCTAAGACTGCTATCAAAAATCATGTCAAGATGCCGGCCGAGGTAATCAGTTTATTATCCTCGAGCCCAGCCGCCGGACCTTCCCCACCCATCATCCCCTCTAGTGCAGCCTTGTCACGAACAACCCAGAAGGCCCCTTCCAGAGCTCTTGACTATGGCATCACCCACGCGAACATTGGATCATCTTCAAAGGTAAACAAAGGACCGCCTGGTAGAATATCACACGACCCACTCATTAGCGCAAAACGTGCGAGTGATCGTACACGGCAGGATAGCGACTTCATGTTTTTATCCGATGACTTTGATACGACCGGAGATCTTGGCGAACATTCAACCAAATCTCGAATCACAGATTCTAGGACAGATATCAACAAGAGGGAGGATAGCAGCTTAAAGAGGACAACCTCTGCCACGTTTACTTCCAAGAACCGCAAATCAAACTCTCCAAATAGGTTGAACCGCTGGAACTGGAACTCAATAGACGATCCAATCGAACATAGTAGCTCTCCCAATAAGTTGGCGCCTAGCAAAGCGCCAAGTAGGCCGTGTGATTCCTCGGATCCATTCGGGAGCCCACCAAAGAAGCAGGCCACAAACACAAAGTCTTCCCGCCTAGATTTGACGAGTGATCCATTCAAAAGTTCGCCTTTGCGAGAACTTGATATCCGTGAGCCACTAAAGAGCGCCACAGCCAGACAGCAATCCAATGTCTCCTTTGATTCTCCGAAGGGAAAAAAGTCGGCGAAGGGACCAGTAGTCATCGACCTCTCGGATGACGATGGTGATGATATGCCAAAGAAGTATCAACCCAAGAAGTCTAAGCCAAATGGAGCCTGGGATCCGATATCAAGTTCCATGCCGGAAGCAAAGACTAGCAATAGCCATATCATAGACTCGGACTCTGACGACTTACCCGCCTTAAGTGATCTCGATTTTTCGAGGGCCAAGTCTAGCAAACGCTTCTACAGTCTGACACCTTCTCCGCCTCGCAAGAAACCGAAGACGGCGATGAAAGGGACGACGAAAGGGGCGACGGTGAAAAAAGCAGCGGAGCCAAAGAAAACTGCCGAGGAAAGAGACTACGAGAAGCAAAAGAAGGCAGAAGCTCGCGAAGCCGAGAAGGAACGTAAGCGTATCGAGAAAGAACAGGCAAAGGAGCAGCGGGTCGCCGAGAAGCAAAAAGAGAAAGCACTCGCCGAAGTCAACAAGCTCAAGACCGACAGGAAGGTAGCCGTGCCCGAGATGATAGTAGACCTTCCTGAATCCCTGAACATCGGTATCAAAGCCCAGATCGAAGAACTACTCCGTAAAATGGACGTTCAGTTCGAGTATCTGCAGAACCGCATCGACAACGTGGTAAAATGGCGGCGGAAAGTAGCCTCCAAATACAACGACGACCTCGGCCACTGGGTGCCCATCCCAATGCGCATCATGCCCGAAGCTCACGTCATGGTGATCCTCGAAGCCACCGAATTCGTTAAGCTCGTGCTCGGCGCCGAGGACCAAGGCCTCGAAGCTCACGTGCTAAAAATGAAGACGGCGCATCCCGACAACATCCTCCTATACCTAATAGAGGGTCTCACGCCCTGGATGCGCAAAAACAAAAACATCCAAAACCGGCGCTTCGCCTCCGCCGTCCGCGCCCTCGACAACAATGATGTGGCCGGCCCAGCATCAAGCCAGCAACGGAGGAGGAGGAACCCCGCGCAGCAGGAGTATATCGACGAAGATATCATCGAAGATGCGCTACTTTCGCTGCAAGTCGTCCACGGTGCCATGATCCACCATACGAACCTGCAGGTCGAGACGGCTGAATGGGTCGCCGTGTTCACGCAGCACATCAGCACGATCCCGTATCGGAAGGCGCGAGACGCTGCCGCCGACGCCGGCTTCTGCATGGAGGCGGGGCAGGTGCGGACCGGTGAGGACGCTAAGGATACGTATGTCCGCATGTTGCAGGAGGTAACCCGCGTCACGGCGCCCATCGCCTACGGCATCGCGGCTAAATACGGGACCATGGCCGAGCTGGTGCGAGGGCTCGAGAGGGAGGGTCCGTCGGCGTTGGAGAATTGTAGGAAGTGTGCGAATAGAGACGGTGCGTTTACGGATAGAGTCGTAGGACCGGCGGTTAGTAAGAGAATTTGGAAGATCTTTACGAGTCGCGATCCGGGGAGTATGGATGTGTGAATATCCATGGATGGGAATGGGGGATGTTGAGGTACATATTATGGATGGTTTGGAGGGGTGCTCATCTGGTTTTGGGGTCAGCTTGATGGGTATAGAGCGGTGGTTGAATTTAGCAATCTTACATACATACATAGAGGGGAATTGAAGTGAGCTTATGTTTAGTCTGCTATGGGACGTGGTTTTGTATTTTACCCCTTGGTAGGACTTAGAATCTTTAAAGTCGACAGGGGCAGAGCGGTTAGTCAACATCCATCCATGTCTTACACGTTCCTACCCGCCGCAGTGTCACAATTTACAGCTTGACAATTAACGGTCCGGCCATAGGGTAGCTACATCTTTCGCGGCCTGCAGTGAGACAGCGGCCGCTGATTTCAGACCAATATGTCTCACGGTGGTTGATTGTCATGTTTCTCAATTTATGCGCCTGTCGGCATTCTATATATACATACAAAAGCAAGCACATGCTGTGCCACGTCGATTACCAGCAAATTTCAGGGCTGTCTCCCACACCACTCTACCGGCGGTCATCAGTGGAAGACGTCATTATCCCTCTTAAGCTGCCCACCCACCCATATGTCCCCGTTTGTTCGCCGCGCCGTCCTCCTGCCTAATATATGCAACCAAGGTGTTGGGCCTTTAAGGTGAGCGCGCTACTTTCTGTTTCTCTTTCCTGCCAGATGCGGTAGCTAGTGAATGAGCGCCTTGACTAATGAGCTCTTAATTCGAAAGTAGGCATTCCGGACTTGCTGGCCTGGCTCTGGAGATGGCGCCAATGTATCTCGGAAAGAAGTTCTGGAATGGAGTATAGGGTCTTCTCGATTTCGGCCTTCAGAACAACTGTCTGGGAGCATTTATGGTAGATTCCGGCATCGCCCTCGATCTGAACCGCCTGGAGTTTCGCCGCGAAATCCCACACACTACATTCGACGGCCTCAGGTTGCGGTATTGGCCATAGTCCGTTGGCGTGAAGAGATTGGATGGTCGTGCCTAGCATCGAGGCTAGACATTCGCCTCTTTCGGAAGAGACTTTGTACCGCGAACAGAGCGATTTGTTTTGCTGGACAAGGCCTTGTAATATGGCGTCGAGGCGGCTGAGAAGCGCCTTGATCATGGATAAGCGCGCTTTTTGTATGCTCTCTATAAATTTAAAATATGAGCCTCGCAATTCAAAAATAGACTTTTCTAGATAGGTAAGTAGACTCACCGTAGATCTCGGGCGGTTCTAACGCTCCCACATAGCGGAGGTTATTTCCCGCCGAGCTCGACGAATTCAGGAGCAAAGCCTTCGACATCGCATCGAAAGTAACAAAGTCGCCAAGCTCCCACGCTATCCAAAGCCGTTCGTGGCAGAACTTCGATCGCAGAGATTGGCCGAGCTTTTCGCACTGGATATGTGTGGTCCGCGACCAGCCCTTAGCCCAGGGTCGCAGGATATGGGTCATGTCATATTTATCCGTCAAGACGCACAGGTTATAGAGATGCGTAGTATACACAAAGTCGTCGTATCCAGAAACCTGATCGAACCGGCTATGGATGATATTCAGAATAATGCCCATCGCGGCCGAGTTGTCCTCGGGAAGCTTCACGACCCACGCCGTCTTCCCGTCCTTCGATTGAGCACTCTTGCCCTCCGCAAACTCTCCGTACAATAACTTCCTCCAGAAAGGAGACGACCTGGCCATGGCCCTAGAGCAAACTATGAACTCCGCCGAGAGATGACCAACTTCTAAGCATAGGTCGCCTTTAAGGTCCATATAACACTTAGGTGGTCGCGGGGTTGCTTCTTGCTCCACTGACGTCTGCGATGATCCTGAGGACGTTGTAGGTCCAAACATGGTTGCTGGGCTTTTCGTTGGTGACTGGCTTGAGGTGGAAGATGGTGTTTGACTGCCTCGGGCAGGAGAGGTTCTAGCAGAGGAACTCCTAACAGGTGTGTCCCTAGTAGGAGAGTTTCTAGTAGGTGAGACCCGAGAAGGAGAGGCCCGATTACTATTACTCCTTGCTGGTGTCTGGCTTGTCCGTGATATCGGTGGGGAACTGGACACCGGTACAGGTGGAGGTGGAGGTGCGGCTGCGGGTGCAGCTGGCATAATCGGCACAACCGGTGGACTCGGCCTGGGGCCGACGAACATGTTCATACGCGGTGATGACTGTTTGGGTTGACCTTGGACATGGACTTGTGCTTGAGCGGGGACAGGGACCGGAGCGGGTGATCCGATTACAAGCCCGCGCGGGTTACCAGAGCCAGAAAACGGTTGAGACGGCGTCCCAAACAGAGTCCCGCCTGCAGGTACCGGCCAAGCCTCCGGGTTATTGATGGTTCCGAATAGACTTGTATGTGGACGAGCTTGTGATGTTGTGGGTGAGAAGACGCCACCGCTCTTAACGCTGCTACTCCCGAATGCGGGAGTAGGGGGCTGCGAGGTAGGCGCACCTCCGTTCCCGAAGTTGGCCATAGCAGCTATCGCCTAATCTGTAGCCTCAGACGGGAGTAAACACGCGAAGGATACAGCTTCACTGAGGTATGCAGATCTTGACAACCGATATCCTCTAACTATTATTCTCCAATAAGTCAACGATCATTCGCAAGACTTAGGTATTAGGTATTAAGCACAACTTCTAACCAGCAAGATATCGTATCATAAAAAAAAAGATTCGATAGCATCTCAGGAAGCTATTATGAGTGAATCGGTCTTAAAAACACATCAACGGGGACAAAGACATAATAATTCCTGGTAACAAATTAAATCAGTCTTTTCCTGCCTCTCTTACCGCCAGACGCATTGACCAGGGATCCCTTTTTTCTCTCACACTGTGCGATCTTGACCCTCTATTCATGCAGCAAGATGCAGGTGCCTCATACACTCGCATCCTCAATCAAAGATGAACGCTCAAGATCATGCGTCTTTAAATTTGGGTACCCGCTCATCTATGTCGAGCAGCTATTAAACATAGTCATATTCTGGGGGATCGTTAGTATTTCCACATCGTGACCTCAGAATCTTGAGGAGACTCAGGGTCCCTCTACAGTATAAATATGGTCCCACTTGGGCTACCAGCACCGTGTTAGCCCTAGGAGAGATCTCAGCCCCTTTTGGGTTCCAGATCCATTTTCACCACGTAGCCCCCTGCGAGTGGAGAATAGTCCTTTGCTGTTTATTAGACACATTCAGATGTGCATATTGCCCCTATGGTCATTTGGGTTTTGATATTAGGTGCATTTGGGCGATACGACATCTAAGTGCGTTAGTGGATGTGGTCATAGCCAAAATCAAGCTTTGAAGCTGATATCTTTAAGCATTCTGACGGGCTGAGAAGGCCTGGGGTTATGTCGCATTTATAGATGTTAGGTTAGATCTAGGTGTAGCGGGGTGTATAGATCCACTTATACGTGACATATATCGATTGGATGTCGATAAAAAGAATGAACAGCAAATGTCGATAAGTCACAGGAATACTGTGAAAGGATTCAGTCGCTTGTTGCTATGCATGTGGTAGGTTAGGTCGAAATTGAGAATTTATTCCCAATTACTAAATAAGATAGAGAGGGGATGAAACCATCAATGCCTTTACTTCGGTTATAACCGAACCAAGGGATGTTATCAAATGATTCTTAATCTATGAGAAATAAGACAATTAATAGAGTGCCGCAACGTCATTTAAGCACTAAGAGACATCATGCTGCTGGAAGCTCTGGACTCTGCTGATTATAGCACTTTGATGGTAAGTTGAGGTTAGTTTACTTTAGGAATAAAGCTATTATGGCATGTTTTCATACCTACCTAGTTTATAAAGACTATTATAATTATAGAAACTCTCCAATGTTCTTTCACAGTATATGGTTATATTGGGTGCAAACATCCATACTCAAATACTAAATATTGTTAACTTCCACTCGCATTGTTGGTGTTGGTAAAAGATCTCTTGCGGCCGCATCTTTACTATTTTTCTAGCTTGGGGATAAAAGGCTCGGTAACTCTATCCATGGGTACCTAGTTAATAAGGGTTTGCATCATGTAAGTGCAAGTGAGACTAGACGAATGGTCAGTGATATAAGATACCTTGTTGAAAGATATATGAGAAGCCTAACATATATATATCTTGACACTATCATTAAGGAGAGTCTGAGTCTTGAGAACTCTCAAATGTTAGTTGCATATATATAAGAGAATATTTTAGAATCTCGGAAGGTAGTATACCGAGAACAACATCTCCAACAAGGTAAGTGACTAGACGACCCAAAATCTCCTCACCTTCACCCCTATTTCTCCACAATTGAGCATAACACCTAATATCACAACTCTAGAGACCAACACGCCATTAGACTGGATAACCTTCAACGATTCGTATTAGATCCCAATGAGTATATCATGATACCTAGGTATCTTTAAATATGCGAGGTCCAGTATTTTTAAGAAATTTCTCAATTTTCCTTACTTCGTCGAGTATCACAATTCAAGCTTGTGTAACAGATGAAGACTGCAGTCTGAATGGTGTTTGTAGCCACCCCTCAAATAAATGTGAATGCGACTTGGGATGGAAGTCAGATGATTGCGGCCAACTCGACCTTCAGCCTGCCACGCGGTGGACGGGATACAACTACACAAACTTCACTCTGCCAGACTTCTACGGCACAAAAGGAAACTCATCATGGGGTGGTAGTATCATCCAAGACCGTTTTGATAAAAATCTCTTCCACCTGGTCATTGACCAGTTTGCTCACGGATGTGGGTTATCGGGCTGGAGGCCGTTTAGCACCGTGATTCGCGCTGAGTCGCACACGGGGCCGGCTGGTCCATATCATTATGCGGAAGAGCTTCTAGGAACGTTCCACCACAATTCCAAAGTAGTGTGGAGTCCGGCGGATGAGAAGTATCTTCTGTATACCATAGGAATCGAAACTGATACGCCGGGTACGTGTAAATCGTACAAATGGGCAAACAACATCTCCGTCTCTAGCGCTCCTGACATTCGCGGGCCGTGGGGGCCGTCAAAACACCTTCTCGATGCGACAAATCCAGCTCCGTGGCCGTTGTGGACACAAGATAATCCTACCGCTGAGATGATATTAGGTGTAGAGGACAACTTCATCTACCATGCCAAAGACTTTAATGAAACCTTTAACTTGATCAAGTCGATGCCCTGGAATACGTCCGACTACAGCGATCACTGGACGGAAGATCCCTTCTTATGGCGAGATAGACGCGGAAACTGGCATATTCTCTGCCACTGGATGATCGACATCGCAGAAAGGGGAGAGAAATATCCTCGAGTGGGCGGTCACCTATTCTCGCGTAGTCTAACAGGTAATTGGACGTTCAAGTTGCAACCGGCGTACAACACAACGGTGTACTTCACCGACGGTGGAAGAACTGATTACTATCGAAGAGAACGGCCGCAACTCTATTTCAGCGATGATGGAAACCTCACGCCGCTGTACCTGATCAACGGTGTACAAGAGTTCAATAGCCTGGCTAGCTATACCTTGATTCAGCCTATCAGAACAGGGGCGAAACTATGAGAAAACGCTAGGATTTTGATTTCTACTCGTATTGAGTTGGGATCTGTTTTTTATTACTTCGTTTATTAGCGTATATTGAGACGGGGTTTCCCTCGTGGACATGGATAAAAATAGAATTTAGAAATCCGGGGAAGACCTTAAACTAGGTCGCATTTAGCGAACTGCGCGACTTGAAGCTATTTCTAGGAACTACCCATCTTCAAAGGTGCAACACCATATAAAGAGCAAGGAACTCATACGTACCTACAAATAGCTCGGGTTCAGAACTGATACTTTCTCTTGTTTAATTGTAAATATATATTACACAATATCTAATCAAGCAATCCTGCAATCCATCCCCCTTCTAAGGATGAACCGCTAAATACATTTTCCCTTTTCCTAACCGGTAAAAATCTACCTATCATGACGCACTCTACCTACTCCCTAATCCCACCACCACGCGCGGAATCCGGCTAAACAGGCGTAACATGCCGCGCCCTAAACGCCCTGCGTATCCTCCCGGGCAACGTCTTCCCCGCCTCAGCCTCCTGCTTCTCCTTAACCTTCTCATCCTGAGCCTTAATCGCGTCCTCCGCATCCCTCGCCGCCTCGCCATCGGCTGGAACGCCGTTATCTACGGCCCGCTTCAACCAGCCGTTACGGTCGACCTCGAGGATCTTCTCCATGAATATATCGCCCATCTTGAAGTACCCCTTATCGGTAGGGTGCATGTCATCGGGTCCGATATCTGCGCGCTCGACTCGGCCGGGTAGACCCTGGTCGTAGTGCATTTCGGCCATGGTGACGGGTTTGCCCTCGCGGATGAGGTCGATGGCGACTTGGCGGATCTGCGCGTTGGAAGATTTGACGCACTTTTCTGTGCCTTCCCAAGGCGAAGTGATGATGGTTGACATAATGACGGTGGCGCGGGGAGAGGCTTCGAAGACGAAATCGACGAGCTCGCGCATGCTTTGGAGGATGTATGCGGGGCCCCAGTGGTCGAGCTGGAAGCAGTCGCTTGACCCGGCGTTGATGATGATGAGGTTTGGTTGGACTTGCGGTACTACTTCTTTCAGGCGGTCGAGGGTCGGTTTTATGGGCTGTGCGCCGAAGGCTTGGACATCGTTGTCTTTGAAGTCGCCGTAGCGGTTCTAGAGGCACGTGAGGTTAGCTACGGGTGATGATTTTGGTATGGGTGAGGGTTGATATGTACCTGGCCGACGTAGTTGACGGGGTTCCCTCGAGACACAAGCCAGTCCCGGATCTGCTTCCTAAATCCGACTTCGCCGGTCGAGTGTTCGCCGAGGGTCATCGAAGCGCCGATGAACATGACGCGGAGAGGAATGCCGCCTGCCAGAGGGCCATTTTCGGTCTGTGTGAGACGATGCCACCCATCTCGGGCGGTTTCTGGTGTTGGTTGTATAAATATTACTATATTTATACCCTTTATTAGATCACCTATGCACACACGAGACCTTGAGAAGAATGGACGAATGGACGGTACCTATTAGAAACAGTACTAGCGAAAATACGCTTAAGACTTTATGGAGATTAGGGAGCTGTTTCCATCGCAAGTGAAGCGCGGATAGGCGCGATTGCAGGAGCATGTTGGTGAATTGGTGAGAAGCCCATCTGTTCGAGGACAACGCGTTGAAAATGGTAGAAATGTTGAAAATAAGACATTATGAATCTCGTCAGCTTTCAGGGGTTTCACGATCAGTTTGTTAGAAGTCCGAAGTACAAGTACCTACGCCGTACAGCACAGTTACTGCACCACTTACAGCACTTACAGTTAGCCAATCCCCGCCACTCTGCCACTTAGCTGCTTTCGTTTTATTTGTCGGAACCGGGATTCGATCTTGGCGCTATCTTATCCGGACCATCGGCACCGTGAGGTACCTAGTACTTACACATAAATTACGATTCTCGTATGGCTGACTGCCGCCTCCCGCTTTCCTCCTCTCAATCTTACATTAACCATCACCAACAAGTCAGCTATGGATTATATACGTAATCACAACTCACACTGCTGACACCGAATACGATACGTATAATGGATATCCGATCTATTTGCTGCGCTCTCAAAAGTAATGGTATAGGTATCATAAGCTGTAGGTAATGACTGAATGTGTACGCGCATCTCACAATAGTTCGTCTCAACAAATGTCACACTCGGTCAAGAATCCAAATCTGCTCTACGAACTTGTTCAAACGGACTCAATTCATTTCAATCCTCCAAGGCGAACGCACTTATCAACCCAACCTTCTTTATGCTGTGGTTGTTGTTGTTGTTTCGGTTGCGACCAACCCCATGTCCTCCATGTGCTTTCACTCGAAGTCGTCACCTCAGTTTGTCCAGCTACCGACGGAGCTGCTGGTGGTGGCATTCTCGCGTTAGGAGGAGCGGTAAGCCCATCTGCTCTCTGGCCCTTGTAAAATCCCGAAAGGAGTTGGTTCACGTAAAGTGAGTTTCTACCGACATCAGGAGTTTGTGCGCTTGGAGTACTTGATTGTCTCGTCGACCTGGCCCGCCTCGGATCTAGAATATCCGCAGATGTGGCGGATTGCCGTTTCTCGTTCCCATACGCACCATATTGCGAGGCGTTGCCATCTTCGGCGGCATACGCGGCTGTCATGAGATTATCCATTATCCTTGACTGCGAATCTCTTGATGACCCATAATCTGCTGTCACCGGACGTCTGGCTTCTTCCATCTTCTTGAAGCCGGATGATGACGTAAATCCGGAGACGGCTCTGCTTTCACGGTTTCGACGTCGCCGAAACCACCATATGAATCCGACTACGGCTGCTACAATGACCGCTGCCCCTGTTGAGTGAGAAGAACATCTGTTAGTATTTTACATTGCTCAACGCTGACCTCGCTCTAGGTGAATCTTACCAATTGTCCCGAATGCTATTGTTCCTCCTCTGCCCATACTAGGCACTGCATTATCTGGTGGGCTTGTCTGCGCCTGGATAACGTCCGTGTTCTGCGGCTCCGCACTTTGCGTAATACTGTCACTGACTGACGATGCTGGAATGGCTGAAGACGCTGGAATAGCTGATGATACTGAAGTAGCCGACGATATTAATGTGGCTGAAGATGCTAGAGTAGCTGAAGACGCCGAGGTAGCTGATACGCTAATGCTGGAAGTCAACGTCGTCGGCTGCGAAGGGACTGCGTTGGTGGTAGTCGACGCAATTTGCTCTGATGATGTCCCTCCTGGTTGTTGTGTAGAACTTTCAACTTGAGCAGGAGGAGGAGGAGGTGGTGGTGGTGGCGATGGCAGCGGGGATTTAGGAGATTTCGGCGAGGGTACTCCTTCATCATCAGAATCAGATAGATCCGGGTCTCCTGGGACCTTGGGGACGTCATCGCGGACAAATATTCTTAAATCATTTGCGCGGGCACGTCTTCGATACACAGGGCTCCTTTATTTCAATCAGAATTTGGATACGGACACAAGGACCTCCAGTGCTTACCTCATGATGAATACGCAACACTATTGGGATCTTGACAATTTTGGATATCTAAGAATTGATAAAAAGGGGGATGATGTAAATCCACCGCCAAGAAAGTAAATTTTATCAAAATAGGACCTGCCGTAGATGGTGAATAGTAGGGGCGCAGCCCAAGGCTCGAAGTGAAGTTAAGTGCCTAGGTACGTAGTTTCCTACAGCAAAGCAGGTGAAGAATCTCACGAAGCACGAAGAAACATCTCCTGCAGATGCAACCGTCTTAAGATAGATCGTGGGGGACCCTATCCCCATGAGCCATCCCAACTTGAGTGCCCAGAGGGCTTGAAACGAGTGATGTAGGCACTATAATAATGGGATGTTTCAAACCTCAACAGTTAACGTTGATCACCTTGGCGCCAAGATCACTAACGGCCACACTCAATTCGTCGAATCAAGAGAGATGACGTTTCACTGGCTCGATTCAGATAACTGGTAGTTTAGAAATGGGTTCAGATGCTATCTCTTGCGCATACTTGGCTATTTTTGGTGTAAAGATCTGTCGTGGTAGATCTGGGGGTAGGGAATTCGACGTTTGATCACCAATGAGATTAGAATTTACCAGATTTCCTTCGCCTGATAATTTAAACGTAAGCGATGAAACAAAACTACAAACATCGTAAATACGTACAATTCGTAATCGTGCAGGGTCTTCGCGCCCTCTCCCCAACGCCAATGCCAAGGACTATCAGTATTGGTTTAAAAAGCCTCAACCTTGCCCTAGAAACCGAATAGTCATAAACGTGGCCGTGGTTTATTATTCCGCCAATACGTTTAATATGCCTAGCGACCAGCTTAACCTTGTCTGCTTCAATATCCATTCATCATATGGCGCCATTCACCACCAAGTTGGAAGAATCTCACGCGCGCTGCGTACTTGAGTCTTGACTTATGTGGATTAGCAGGTTATTCGAAACTTCACGATATTCGATGCAGCTAGTAGCTACATAGGTAGGTAGGTAACTTACGAGCTCCCCGAGGCTGGTGATTCGATTTCATACTATCGCGCCAAATCCTCAGGCACCAACTACCTATCATCGCATCCATCATCTTTCTCATAACGGGTGCTGTGACTATCAGTCTATGATGGTCTTCCGTTTCGTCTTCCACCGCAATACGGCTTCCCTCGGGGCTCATCCACTCATAGTGACCGCGTTTCTTATGTATTTCGAAAATCGTTTCGCCCTCCTTTAAGGACTCCTTTCTTGCTTTATAACCTTTGGGAAGCCCATCTCCCGTCTCTTCGTTTATCCTCACCACCTTGAATGTTGATCGCGGGAATGAAGGGCATTTTAGCGCCAGGTTCCCCAGAGCATGCCGCGACGCGGCGTCCAAACAATAGGGAAATCCGGTAGATATGACTGGCGGCAAATGCTTCAGCTCGAATATGTGCCTGGTTCGGTGTAACACCCGAGGTGTACCGTTGGCGCTTACTCGTACATTGTGAATTAGACGTTCGAGTGACACCTGGGCAAGCTGAGCTTCGGTTGTCGAAGATGCCTGGATGTCCCGAGATAGTTCATATAGCGGGGTACCGTCGACAGTCTGGGCGCGAATGAAGTGGCCGGTCAGTACGAGAATGGCAGGCTGAAGAATTTCACCTGCATCGTTGCGGTTTCCAACAACGTAGGGTGGAGGATCATCGTCTTCGAGTGGTGAACTCGCCATTGGTTCCTGGCTAAGTGGCTAAAGTGGTGGACGAAAGAGGCTCAAATGACATTTTGAGACAGGAAATCACGCGGTGTCAATTTGACCGGAACCGGAGTGTTTAAACGACTTACATACTACCAATCAATGCCGAAAATCCCGTGGGGTGACAGCTTGACAAATACCAGGTGGCTATGCTACCTATGTAAGCAGATAAGCAGCTAAGGTATGAGGTGTGATGACATCATGTATTTGTGTTTTGAGATGCATAGGCGAGTAAGAAAGAGTTAGGTATTAATAGATTATGAATGAGATGTTAAATAGAAATAGGCTGAACTACCCTTTGTTCGACTCTTCGTAATAACGTTGTTGAAGTGGAAGCGTTACTGTCGACATTGTTTTTTGTCTTACCAAAATTGATACGGAGTAGTCATTGTAGACTTCAACTTCGAGCAAACAAATCATCGATTCCACAATTTGACTTTCCACGTATTATTGATAAATTCTTTAATGGAGCAACTGCTTATTAATTGTATAATGCATAAGAATATAATTATGGAAAATATGTCCTTATGACTTCGGACTTGTGAACTTACATAAAGTTCCGGCTTAGAAGTTAGTCCCGCAATCCCCGTCGCTTCCCGTCCAAAACTCTAAAAATATGGGAACAAGGATGTGGCGGAGTATCGGATGGTCGGAGGGTCGGATAGTCGGATATAATCCTCGAGAAAGCGAAAAAGAGTATCCTAAACGTTGGCTAAACATTGGCAATCATAATACTTTTCCTACTCTACACCCCATTTACGGGATGGTTGAACGTTAGACGCACTCGGACGGACGTACCTAGACGCACCTGCACCTGTGTAGCTGACCCGACACTCGGCATCCAATGACAAAGACGATATGCCCGGATCGCCTCCAACAAGACAGCGTCCTTTACCTCCCCCGAATCGGCGCCGGGACAAGCCTCAGTTATCATGTAATCCATGCAGGAGACGCAAGTATGCAACTAACTCTCATCTAATCTTATTCTATGCACCTATCATCCCTTATTCCATGTCGCAATTCTCAAGACTCAAGTCTTCCCACTCACTTTTACTAGGGTCAAGTGTGATAGACAGCAGCCATGTCGCACATGTTCCATGAGAGGACTGGCCATGGCCTGTACCTATCCCGACGCGGAATCCCGCCCTTCAGATAGAGAACCTGTCACCACTGTACAAAATCGTATCCGTGAGCTTGAGAGCCTTGTACATGTTCTTATGCAAAAGGCGGCGCCAAAGAACCCGCCGAATGTAACATCAGTACCACAGCCCGAAACCTCCGTCTCTCCCCTCGACGGTTATCCTGACCCGGGTGTAGGAGCAAATGGGTCCTCGGAACCATCTGATTGTGGTACATTAACAAACACTCCGGCCGGTGTCAACTACGTCGACGGCGCACACTGGACCGCCCTTTTAGATGGTATCTCCGAACTCAAGGATTGCTTCCAAGATACCACAGATACCGGTTCAACCATGCGTTATACCATTCCGTCGCAGGTTGTTCCGGATTATGGTCCTCAACCCCAGTTGCTATACGGCCGTTTCGCCCATATTAGCAAAGGGGAAATACTAAGCTCATTACCGGCCCGACCCGTCGTTGATCGACTGATATCTAAGTTTTTTAATACGATTGACTTACATCCAGGTTTGTTTCTACCTACACATTTGCTGTAATTATAATTGCACGATAAGGCCAGTGCTGATATTCTTATAAGTAGCCCTTCTTCATAGCGGCCAATTCATTCGACAGGTAAGCTCCCGTCATTCAATTACTTCGTTCTAAACGCTAACAGGCGCTGTTATTTTCAAGTACGAACAATTTTGGGAAGATACTTCTTCGGCCCCCATTATGTGGGTAGGCATCTTGTTCGCCATCATGTCGCTTTCCATTTTACTCTCACTGCCACATACGAGTAGCGAGCCAAATTCTCAATCTTCTGACGTAGAGAGCGCTATTCTTCTAAGAGCGTATCGGGAGAAAGTCGTACAGTGCCTGATGCTAGGCAAGTATACTAAGGGCGGACCGCATGTTTTACAGACCCTCATACTCTATATCGCCATAGAGCACTTGCTCCACGAGGATTCGGAATTTGGTACACATATACTATTAGGCGTGATTTTGAATATTGCTATGAGGATGGGCTATCATAGAGACCCCAAGAACTTCCCGGTCATATCACCTTTCGAGGGTGAGATGAGAAGACGAACTTGGGCTGCCATATACCAGGCGAACCTTATATTCGCCTCCCAGATGGGCCTACCAAGTATGCTGAAGGATCATCAAATAGACACAGAAGAACCACACAACTTAAAAGACTCCGATTTTGACGAAGATACAACCGAACTGCCACCAGCAAGGCCCGACAGCGAGTTAACGGCTGTCCTATATATCATTACGAGAACACGTGTCGCACATCTCTGGGAAGAGGTTCGCGACCTTGCCACTGATATCAGACGTCATAAATACGATGAAATTCTAGCCATGGATCAAAAGGTGCATGTCCATCAGCGCCGTCTTCCACCAGCCTTTAGAATGCAACCTGTGGGACAATCAATAACCGACCCTCCGCATTTGATTATGCAAAGAATTTGGTTGCAAATTTGTTTTCTCAGGCTACAGATAGTCCTACATAAGAAATATTTCATGACCCCTACGCCAAACGAACGCTACAGTTACTCGAGGAATGTCACTCTGAAGGCGGCTGTCGAAATCATCGAATACCAACATATGGTTTATGACTTGGTCAAGCCCGACGCCTTATTATATGATGCTCGATGGAAACTTTCATCCGTGATGAACAACGAGTTCATGTTGGCAACTGGTGTTCTTTGCCATTATATGAAGCAAATTGACGCCGCTCCACAAAGAACCGTTGAAGGAATAAGCATAGAAGATATCAAGAAGCTTCTAATAAGATCTTTGGAATGCTGGCAGCGGTTCGCTGGCACATCCAGGCATGCTCGGAAAGCTATAGAGGCTATACGTCTAGTTCTTAAAAGCACGAGCACCCCAACGTCGAGTCCCACCAATGCAGAAGATGAGTTCAGTCAAATCGATTTTCAAGGTATGTCGCCCCTACTCCCGAACCATGACGTTTAGATACTAACTCGATATAGATCCCCTCCTTATGGATCTTAACTTCCCATGTTCGGTGGATGGCTTTTATAGCGGAGACGACTCGACAACCATTAGCGACCCTTCAATCGAGTCAACCCCATTCGCTATGAGCGGGTTTCTGCCGTGGAATGTGCTGAAGGGTTGACTGGAATCCGTAGGGACTACAAGATAAAGATACGGCGCAGTGTCTGGTTCTTGACTACCTAAGCTTTTTACCCCTAGAGTAGACTTGAAAGCGGTGTATTACAGTATGTGAGGTTACTATCTTCTGTCGCTGATGATTCTGACAGGGGTTGAAGGAACAGTCGTTTCTTTGTTCTGGCCAGCATTGTCTCAGCTCCGTCTTAATTTGACAACAACTGTACCACAACCTTATTGTCATTGAACAATGCATCTCCAAGAGAACCAACAGTTTGTTCAATGAGTAGTTATCTACGCGCAAAAAGGCTTCGGCCTCAACGCGCAGAGCTTCAGACTTAGCTAAGACAGCTTAAGAACCAGTCACAACCGGCATCTAACCAAGGTCGGTCTTTGGTCAGAATCAAAATGTCAGCAACCGCGAAAGCACCTAAGACGATCGAACAACTTCAAGCCGCCCTTCGGTTGAAGGATAAGAGCAGCGCCGAGGCACTTATCAAAGCCAACGCCGTCACGGAAGCCTTCCGTAAATATTCAAATAGATGTCTCTCATCGGGCTCCACAATTAAATTGTTGCCAGACTGGAAGGACGTTGACGGATATGTACATGATATGCATATGTCAAGAGCAGTCCGGAGGGCAGGCAAGACACTCAAACAAGTGGTGGAGCAGGACTGCTTAGCCAAACCATACGAGCTCATCCCTCATGCAGCGATGTTCGCATTACGGATCATGACGTTCCTGAAAAGTAAGGACGGCGAGATATACGATGTGCCTTTGAAAGATAATGCAAGAAGGTCTTTCCAGGACCTCCAATTTGATCGCTGCGTTAGGATTATGAATCTACTCGGCTTCCTAGTCAACCAGAATCGAGAGAGGAAAGCGAACAGAGCTGTGAAGGAAGGAAATTGGATATAAATTAGTAGTGTTAATATTATGTCCATAATGTTGCATATGATACCCAGGTATGTAAATAGCTAAGATAGAGTCACCATTTATATAAAGACTACCTATTCTCCCCTTCCATGTTATCTTCGCCCTCCATTCCGGTGACTCGTGGCATAGGGCTTCAAAGACATCCTGCCATTGAAGTTGTGATATCAACAAAGTGTACAACTATAACATCATCATCCATATTCCTTATCATCAACAAGACTCGGTAAATGACTACGTTCTCAGGGGTATTATCAACTGAACATACAGATCCAACTCGCCAACCACCTCAGAAATCAACCAAGTACCCTCAACCCCCTTTCTCACACCCACCCACCCATACACATAATCAAACAACCAACATCACCAACATCACCAACCTCACCGCCCCTCCCTCCCCACCCCCGGCGCAATCCACCAAGACCGCGGAAAACTCATCCCCCACTTCCTCACCAACCCCGCCAACTCCGCCCTTCGCCCAGGCACCACATTCACGAACACCCTATCCCCACCACTCAGCGCCGGCTCCGAATGCACGGCCCCGGCTTCACTCCCGATCCTAAACACCGCGACCTGTCCCGCTGCTGCCTGTACTAAACCCAGCCCCGAAAGCGATGTACTCAGCGACGCGCGCACGGAGTCGGAAGTCGCGGCGCAAGCTGCGCAGCGGAGAGAGGTGCAGGGGTGGGGTGTTGAAAGCCGGGTTTTGGTGGCCTGGGAGGTGTGACGCGCGAGGGTTTGGGAGGGGGACGGGATGAAGAGGGTTGAGGGGCCGAGGAGCGTGGCGCAGAGTTTCCAGGAGGTTTGGAGGTCTAGTTGCTGTTCTAAGGATTTTGGTTTAGTTTTAGTTTTGGTTTGCTTTCCGGATGATGTGGGTGAGGAAGGGAGAGTGGGTTCTCGGAGCCCGCTGCCGCCGCGGCTGAAGAATAGGTCGTCGGTGTGCCAGCGCGGTCTGTCGAATTGGGATGTCGCTTTTGTGGCGCGGATCGTTAGCCAGTAGTGGTCTAACCCCTCTGCTTCGAGGAACTCGTTGACGAAGGCGAGGAAGGGGAGGAGGAGCGGGAGGAGAGAGTTGCTGAGAACGGCTTGTGTCCAGTCTTGTAGGCTGGATGGAAGGTCATCTTCTGAGGTCAAGAGAGGCCCGCAGTAGCTCCAGAAGGCATCTTTTTTCACGGATAGGTCTGGTGGGGATTGTTGAGGGGCTGAAGGATCGTAGGTTAGGAATTCGAAGCTGGATGAAGCCGGAAGCTTATCTTTGAGTTTTGATTTCATGATGGAGGTGAAAGTATAGATGTTGGTGTTTAGGTATCGGCTTGGCGCTTGGAGCTGAGCCGGGGGCACAGGCGCTGATTTAAGATGGTCTAGATGTTGCTGCCTGGGAGCTACGGGGCTTGGCGATCTTGATTAGGAGATATGTTTCTTTATTACAGTAAATGAGGCTCTAGTGTATCATAGAATAGTATCAAATATTTTCTAATGAGTATAACATGATATATAGGTACAGAGCAAGGCTATGTGAGGAGGCACTAACGACACTCCGGAGCCGGCTATTCTTATATGTTGACAGGTGTGGGAGGTATGGAGACAGGTCCGGCACCTAACCCAACGAGAAGGCTCAATGCGTTTTCAGCTTTATACACTTCATGCAGTCTGCCATGTGTCAAATGCGAGGGGAGGTGGGTATGGGCTGCAAATCCCGAGCGACGAACGGCTCTCGTTGGTAGTGTTAGGGGAGACCTAATGCTGTTCCGGGGCACAGTACATGTCGTGCAGCCAGCACGAGGCCATACTAAGATCAACTCGTCAATTTGGCGGGGCTGAGATGGCAGAATGCTTGGGTGATAGAGAAAGGCACAGCAATATGACCCCTCATCATTGATGTAATGTGATGGACATGTGAATGGTCTTCGGCTGAGTTGTTTTCCGGCTTGTTCTCCGGATTGTTGGTGTGAAATGCATATCTGTTCCTGGCAGTGAGCACAGCAGATTTAAGCTGTTGCAGAGTAAGACAATCTAGATTTATGTCTCGGAATTGGTTGGCATTTCACGATAGCTACCTCTATCTCCTATATCATTGTTATTAAACCATTTCATGGCATTTTATACCTAATTATACCAAGTCTACCATTTCCTGTAATGGCCTAGCCGTGTGATGTTTAGTGAGGCAACGAATGGATAACCCACGTCGTCCGCGTCTGATGATATTCTATTCGTGGTATGGCTGATGAGGGATGACATAGATAGGTACAATTCTGCTCGCCAGTAGCGTACCCATATGAATATCTGTCGTATTAGACCCCATCGCAGCATGTCGATCATATGTGCGGGTCTTCAATGACCATTGGTAAAGCGAGCACGTTTCGACTTGCGCGATTTCGACTTTGACCCTTGTGCATCCGATCCAGAAGATAGGTACGTCTGTATTCGAGCTAGCATCAGGCTATGATCATGATCCGCTCCTCTGTTGTCTTCTCGCAGTCGTCGACCATGGAAAAGTATAGTGAATCTGACGGGTTATGACAATAAACTTATTTAATGAAGAACGCTCTTCGATCTTCTTGTTATTTTCACTATCGTTGTCTAGGTAGATGGTACGTCCCTCCCTGTTTTGCGTGCACGGTTCTCTTCATATATGTCGAACGAATCGCGATTGAAGATAGGGCTAGTGAGTGATGGCTCAGTATGATAGGTCGTCGTTTGACTTGAGTATTAGGTATGCAGAGATACTCCAAAATGGCGTTGCTTCTGTAGGTATTTAAGATTGACATTATCATAGGATAGGTAGGTAGCTGCAAAGTGTATAATAGCATGAAAGCCAAGATCGTTAAAAACTAACCTAGATCACCTTTTCCTCGGGGAGATTGATCACGAAAGGCACGTTTTACCTTGATATAGTCGCCTATACAGCGATAATCTAGACTTGACGGGTTGGCTTAGAGGGCTTTGAGGGAGCTCGTTGACTTCAATGACCTAAACTTCCAAGGTTTGTATAGGTTGAGATAATCGTGCGTATAACTTCAGCCATTCTAAACGGAGGACATGTTTAAAAAAGGTATAGCAATCCCTTGGCCATTTTTCAAACAATCGCTTGTAATAGAAGTATCTGTCTCGATTCTCGGGTACAGTCACATATTGGTCGTCGTGGACGTAAGCGATCTTTTCCTGGCCTTGACAATAATAGTGGAAGCATCACCTTGACCAGGTATTTTAGTGAAGGAAAACAAGAATTATATTATTAGGGCTTGGCCACCTGAGACCGGTCTAAGCGGACGAAATCCGGGCCAAAGCGCTGGAACTGCGCCTCGGATAACGATATAGAGGCGCTTCTTGATACGATCCGAAGCGCCAAAGAATAACCGCGATCCTTTAAGATGGCGTGTTGGCATAGCATGCTTATATAAATCCGGGAACAAATTCCACATGGCCTAAGTTTTGACGCCGTTCCGAGGCTGATTTGAAGACTTAGTCAACGTTGCATCGCTCACATGCTCGCGGTCTGCCTTGGGATCGCTTGGGGTTGCAATGGCACGGAGGGGCCGTGTTTCATACTTTTCCACGATTGCTTCTCCGGGTAGGTCTGCCAAGGCCTTCTACTTTACCCAATGCACCGGTTTAACATAGAGAACACCGATAATATGTATTTTCATGCCATGTTATGATAGGTAGGTATAGTGCGGCGAACCGATGCACTGCATTGTCTCTAGCTACCTACCTACTAGGTACTAGGTAGGTACCTATTTGAAAAGTCAGCATAGAAGCTGTTTTTTTTATGTAAGAAATATCTAGCAATTCAATATGATAATCAAGTTCCATCTACTGTTCGATCGGCATCGGTTTCCTGCATCAATGGCGGTCAATTGGATTGGAGAACGGCGTTCGTAGATGCAGTAGATAACCGATAGTCGGGACCGAAGGAGCTGCCACGTGTGGTTTCAGAGAGCTTCAAGAGGGATAAATCGCTACGAGAACGAAGAGTGACGATATACTACCATATGATACTAATACTACCAAGGTGCAGTCTCGGTAAAGGGGCCTTCCAGTTTAGAACAGGGGATAACCACAGCTACCTCATAACTTGGATTTTGGAGTTTTATAATAATTCTCAAACCAGTCCGTAGGGTTCTGAAGCTAATGAGAATGAGCTGAGCAACAGCTGGGTCAGATAAAGGTGGATTGTCGATTTACGCTTCCCAGCAGCGCGGCCTTTAGAAGTTTAGTCCAACGAAGCACAATGCTTGGGCGTTTGTTGCGGGGAGCAACATGCCTAGTGGACATCCGCGGATAGTAGATGCAGTGATCTTTTTAGGTGGGAATCGATAGATAGAGATGGGGTGCACGGTCCTTACATTGGGGTCCGTAATCCTTGGGGATAAAGAGAGTACGTATGCAGATTAAGGTGCTTATGCCGTAAAATATCGCCGTTGTGTCGGTTCAAAAGCACGTGTAGAATACATAATAGAGAGGACAAAACGTTAGAGGAATTACTTTGCTAGTTTGAGCAAGAGATGATCGTCAATCTATCGAAGACGACGATCTTTTCAAGCATCTTCTAGTCGTCGAACTAGTTGACTAGCAGACCGGTTTGCGCCCCCAAAAAGTACCATGAGAGGGATCTAGCTACGCCGCAAATTGACGAAAATGGCCATCCTCAGAACCAATTAGGACGACAGAAATCCGAGAGAATGGGACGTCATGGATAAAACAGGAAGCATTCCACGATGACATTACTTAAGGCTGATATATGGTGACTGCCCACCTGATATATACGTGTTTGTTGCGGGAAACCCCTATTAACAAGAAAGGTCTTCCCAACCCGATCTGGTACCTAGGACTCTAGGTAAAGCCTGGGCCACTTGAAATCTGTGTCTTTCGTCTAAATAATTTCAACGCGCCGTGTGCTCCGCTCTCCGCGGGCCACAAGCTATTACTTACGAGTACTAGCACTGGTAAACCATATCGGAGGACTACAGATATTCTTGGTAAGAAAACGCGCTGATCGTTCCAAGAAGGGAAATTTGGCCTTTGAAGCTTGAGTACCTAGGTATGCTAAGCTTCTTAACTGGGGGTGGCGGCTATTAATTGTAGTTAGTCTAGGGCTGTTAGATCCTAACTGGGGGCGAGCTGAAGCTATCTAATAAGCTAGCACGATCCCTCGGCGGTAAAATACCTTAGTTGAATCGCTGAGGTCTACAAGATAGCACACGAAATCGTACCAAGATGAGCGACACGAAGTAGAACACTCTTTCAGTCCGTAGAATATTATGGTAGAGCCAGTTTCGTATGATGTATGTAGAAGAAGAAATAGTATTCGTCGAATTCGGGTCCGCACGCACATGAGACACCCTGCTCTCCCTGAAAATAGGATTGTTAGCCTCTCACAGGATAGAAGGTCATTGGAGGGTGCCCCAGAAGGATTCCACGCTCCCTGCACAGGGTTCCATCGAAAATAAGCATGTAACTACCCGAGTCCATAATATGCTAGCCAAGATGAATATGGGACGGTACAGGGTCGGATTGCTGCGATGCAGCAGGTACGGAAGGATTCTTCTCATAAAGCAGCCATATGTACCTAATTAACCCCCCCGGATAGAGGAGAGAGAAGATTCTCATTTCGTTTTCGTCACAGCGTCAGCTGTGTCTGACAACTTGCTTTTCGAGTGCAGTGCTTCGTAATCAAGGGGAAAAAGCAAGTCATGCTCATCCTCAGGATATCACCATCACAACAAATTCTCTTTAGCTGAGCAATTCTTCCGAAATCAAACGGCGTCGGCCGTTCGAAACAGAAGACGCGATGTCGCCAACTCCGATTCATGAACCGCATAGTACCCTCGAAGTATCCGAGAGAGATCCCGAGACTTATCAGAAAGAGGTGATACAATATCCCGACCACAGCTATCCACAAGCAGTTCCGGTCGAACATGCTGCTGCTGCTGGAGCGACACATTCATTCTATAGTCCCGAGTCGGCGAAAGAAGTCGTCGTAGAGGCACCTCACAATGCATATGCAGGAGCTGGCGTCTTACCAATGCCGTATAAAGATCCGAATTACGCGGGCGGTGCGGCATACCAAAATACAGCAGCGTATCATAATGGCTATCCAGCAGGAGGAGTTTATCCAGACGGGTCATCGTACTCGAACAGCGCCTATCCCAATAGCGCGTACCCTAATAGTGCGTACCCGAATAGCGCATATCCCACAAGCAACGGCAGCCAGATGGATCCCAATGCATATGGACAAACCCCGGCTGGCGACGGTGGCCAATACCCACCCACGGACGAGAAAGCAGGGCGGAAAGCAACGATATGCGGCATTCCGAGAAAGATATTTTTTATTTTATTAGGAGTTGGGATCGCAGTGATCGTGCTCGTAGCAGGACTAGCGGGCGGCTTGACGAGTAAGAATCATAGTGGAGCGAAAGCAGTGTCTTCGTCGGGATCATCAGATAGTCCTAAGGATCCGGCGTCGACAAATTCGACACAAAAACTTATTCTCGATAATTCGAAGATAACAGCGTCAAATTGGACGGATTCCAATGGCGTCATTCATAGAACCGTCTTCTTCCAAGATGTGTATAATGCAATCATCGCCCGACGATGGGATTCCAAGGGAAAGTCGTGGACGACGAATAACTTGACACAGTTGATGGCCGCCACGACGACACCTCTTAACCCGCTGCCTGGCACTCCTCTAGCGAGCGCGTCGATGGATCTTAATCCCAAGTACGAAACGCATGTCTGGTTCACGGATCCGAGTAACACGATACGATCAATGGCGGCTTTTGACGCGTTGAACCGACCGGATAGCTGGGATAACGATACCCTCAGCGGCGCCGTTCTTCAGACTTGGCCTGGGTCAGGCTTAGCCGCGATGTGGCAACGATGCTGGCACTCTAATTGCAATGGAACGTGGATTGTCGCGTATCAACGACCAGAAGGAGCTATTAAGACGGCCAATTCTAGTACCTGGGCTTCCGCAACTGTAGCGATCGACTCTAGCAACGTCGCCGCCAATTCGAGTTTAGCTATCATTCCTCAGCTGGATGGAGCGTATCTCGATCGTCTCGAGCTCGTTTCTGAACGCGTTGATTCAGGTCAGACGGGTGACATGAGGGTAACGACGTTTAACGACACGTGGAACGGCTCTGAACAACGAGGTAAGCACCCTATTTTCCCAAACGCCCTCAAGAACAGTAAGCTGACATACTTAGTGACCGAACTCCAATCCGGAATACCCCTGCCAGCGACATCCCAGCAATTCGCAATAACGAAATGGGACAGCTGGAACCAGGCGCTCTATCTCAGCCTCCTCCAAGGCGGCAAACTTCAAGGCAACCACTGGGACGGAAAGACGATGAACAATATCTCGTCTTTCAACTTCAAGTCGGGACCCGATACCAACTTTACATCCATCGCGATGACTCCGGACGCTATGTTCTACGGCATTTCGAATAACGAGATCGTAGAGTATTCGCTCGACACGACGGATCCGTCCACCTTTAACTACGTGGGCACCGTATTCCCATAAACATTTTTTTTTTCACTCGAATGCAACAATTTTGTGATTTTATTGGTCCCGAAAAAGGCTAGGTTAAGGGGACCCGGGAATTTGGGAAGGGCATTAGGGAGTTGGCGGCAAGACTTCTTGGCCTACGTGATGCTAGTCACGGCACAGCACAGCATCTACTTGGGTGTATTTCTATTCTTATGAGATGACCTTATCCTCACATTTGGTCGAGGAGCCTATTGAAACGATACCAGGCAGAGCGAATTCGCTTTGCTTATTTTTTGGCCCTCAGGGCAATACAGTATACTATCTATGACATGTCTATTTGTACGCATAGCTAGCCACATATTACGTGGAACGAATTATCTAGATACCTAACAATAGAGAATCATATTAAATGATTTAACCTATCTGCATTTATCTCGGATTTGGTGAACTGTATCTTGGCTGCTATGAAAATGCTGATTGCCTCACGTATTTATACAATCCCAAATTCTAATAACCCCAAGTGACGATACCTCTCTCAACAGAGCAATGAAATCGTAATTAAATCAAACCAAGCATTCACATGTGTATAAGTCCATCGAGAATATTGCTCGCACAAGATCCGATCGCGGTTCGTAATCGTGACGCGATGCAGTTGTCAGCGACGTCATAATACCATAGAGATGTCTCACAAGACCAACAATGTTCTCCCATTCGGCTCTATGATGATTTCTCGTATATTAACCGGACTAAGTATAAGTCGCAAGTAGCGGTTTCATTCAACTTCGTCTAGCTATTATAAAACGAAACGGCATGCTAGGAGGGTGTACCACATTACGAAATATACCCAGAATCATCAATAGGAGAAACTTGTTCAAACCCTTACCAAAAAAGTCACCCACGCTATTTGTGGCTCCCATTAACTTGAGGCATCCAACTCAAGATACTCCTTTCAACAACCAGCCAACTCGCAGGATGGCATCCTTCTCGAATGCGGATACCGGCAACAAGTCTTCTGGGCAATACTATGAAAAGAATGTCGACAACGACGTGACTCTAAAGGAAAAGGTCGAAACCCTCGTTAAGTTCGTCTCGTCGTGCAAATTCGGCATGATGACAACGCATGATGTGGTGAGCGGCAAGCTAGTGTCTCGCTGCATGGCCATCGCAGGCAAGGTAAGTGCCTGATCACACCAAATCACGTCACAGACGAGTTGCCAGACAGCTAGCTGACCATGGTCCCCAAATCTAGGAGGGTGGCGACATAGACCTCACCTTCACCACGAATACCGAATCACACAAGACCGACGAGCTCAAGGCCGACAAGCACACCAACATATCCTTCTGCGACAGCTCAGGCCAATGGGCTTCATTCGCAGGCAACGCCAGCATCGAAACCGACCGAGACGCCGTGAAGAAGTTCTACAGCCCGACGCTGAAAGCATGGCTCGGGGACCTCGGCGACGGCATCCACGACGGATCGGCAGACGACCCGCGGATCGGAGTCTTGAGAGTCAGGACCAGCTCGGTGACGTACGCGATCACGGATAAGACGCTGGCGGGGAGGATGGCTGAGGTGGCTAAGGGGACGATTACCGGGGAGCCGGCTCGGGTTAATAAGCTGCGGGAGATTAGCGAGGGTGAGGTTCGGCAGTGGAGGGCTACGGCTGCGAAGGAGGGTTAGGACGGGACGGGATGAGACTTTGGGGCGCGGCTGTGCGTCTTGTTTTAGGTATTGTAACGTTAGGTACCTAGTAGGCAATGGCTAACTCGCCATAACTACTCCTGTACAGGAAGTCTCTCGATGTGAATGTTTCATGCAGTCTCTTATGACAGATCATTGTTTTTTGAAGAGAAAGTCAATGATTAAAGCTGAACTAGCGGTCTGAGTATAATGTCTGTGATGGCGTACTCACATCACGGCTTACCTGTTCGGACTTACTGATTAGGTAGTTGAAATGTTCAACTGGGGGAACTTCATTAGATACCTGGTACCTACACCAGAATTAATATATGTAGGTGTGGTAGTATAGATGATAGATAACATGGTGATAGCGGCAGAATGGCGAATAGTAATGACGAACGACAACCATCTGCCGGATGTGCTTCTCTTTAGAGAAAGTGTGTCGGGGCTTGCGGAGCTTCGGTCGTAGGAGATTTAATTTGGAGATTTGGAAGAATTTGGTCAGCCATGTTTAAGCCATCTTAGACCAGCTTAGGCCATGTTAATCCAGGGATCCTAGGATCCGGTTAGAAGGAGCCATGCCGTGAAAGGCCAAGTGCGGCAACCTAGACGCGGGCGCTACTGCCACTTAGACGCCATTATACGCCAGTTGATTGCTGATGTAAAGTGTTTGTAAGGCTTGGAGTGGCGGCACTGCGGGGTGGCTACGTACCTGCCGTCGGGAATTTTGTCAAATATTATACTTGCTGACCAACTTGTACCTTCCGGCTGGATATTGGGAAGGAAGCCACTCTGTTTTCCATTTCGAGGTACTTCACCTCCAATGTGATCCACTTTCTTATTCTTCCATTCTTTTCCCATCTTCTTATCAAATAACCAAGGAACTATTAGAAACCCACACTCCTAAAACCGAGAAGACGAAACAGGCGAATGTTCGTGATATTTCTAGCCTGACCTACTAAAGTACCTACCTACATAATGCATCCACCCTCGTCCCTGATTCGCGACCTACCTGATTCAGTCTTACTATTCGACCCAGCATAAGAGCATATAAAAACTACCTTCTCGTACCCTCGAGTAGCCTTCCGCCCCTCATGAGAGCCTTATCGCTTTCCGTCTCTATTATCGTAGCAATACTCTCTATCGTCTTATTTAGAGAACAAGTAACCGAGTTTGCGACTACATCCTTCAACGCTATTATAGAGAAATTCAACAAGTCCTACGACAGCAGTAGTAGTAGTGGTAGTATCGTGACAGATCGCACTACCGTGACGACGACAACGACTTCCGATTCCGAGTCCCAATCCCCTTTCTACAACCCTGAAGAGAAACTTGTCGCGACCGAGATGTCCATCCCTCGCGCAATCCGCAAGGTCTTCCTGGCCGTCGAGCAGGCGTATGCAACATCATAGCACCTTACTTTACGACGAAACTAATACTAACACCCATCTTTACAGCGAAGGCGCCGGCGCTCGAGTTCGTCGATCGATCGGCACCCCGCAGCTACGCAACTTTTCACCCTTCCTTATGCTCGATCACTTCAGCATTAAGCCCGGGTCCGGGTTCCCAGATCACCCGCACCGAGGCCAAGAGACGATCACGTACCTGCTTAACGGAGCCGTCGACCACGAGGACTTCGCAGGGAACGCGGGCACGATCGAGGCTGGAGACTTGCAGTTCATGACGGCGGGGCGCGGCATTAGTACGTAAAATCGAGAACTCTTTTCTTCCTCGTTCAGCTTACTTGGGAGCGAAACCCTCCTAATTGAAACGACCAAGGAGGGTTTTCTCTGGAGATATGCTGAAACTCCTAGAACTCTTGCATAAGGAAGTATTTATATACTAACTATTGTTGTCGCAGTGCACGCGGAAATGCCACGACAGAACCCCGACGGTAGCGCCAACGTCGGCCTTCAATTATGGGTCGACCTACCCGCCAACCTCAAGGCATGCGAGCCGCGGTACCGCGACCTGCGCGCCTCCGAGATCCCGAGCGCGGATATCGACGGCGGGAAGGTCCACGTCAAAGTCATCTCCGGTCAGTCTGGAGGTGTCGATAGTGTTAAGGATTTAGCATACACGCCCGTCTGGATCCTCGATGTGAATATTAAGCCCGGCGGGAAATTAGCGCAGCCGATCCCGAAGGGCTGGAATGCGTTCTCGTACCAGCTCGAGGGGACGGCAGTGTTCGGCGAGGGCAATGAGAAGAGGACGGTCGAGCAGTACCACAACTGCGTGTTTGACCCCGAAGGCGACGTAGTGATCGTCGAAGTACCCGAAAATGCAAAGGAGAGCGCGCGCTTCGTGTTAGTCGCTGGCCAGATCCTCGATCAGAAAGTGGTGCAGTACGGTCCGTTCGTGCTGAACTCTCCCGAAGAAGTCCGGAAGGCGTTGATAGACTACCAGTTCCACATGAACGGCTTCGAAAGGGCCAAGGACTGGCAAAGCGAGATTGGCAAGTCTATGGTTGGTTGAGATGGGTCAATTGATTAATTATTATGATTATGGGTCCGGGTATGCGTACGCGTATGCGTGTATATATATCATCTTCATCCCTTCGGCACTCCTTTTTACGAAGTTCTTTGTATATAGTTCCTTCTTCCCCCTCCGGCAAGCCCCCGCACCTCCCCCCGGCATTGGTTTGCTGCCATGTTGAGATACCCGATTGCACGGTTGGTGTATAGGGATAAGATAATGGACAGTGGATAGTGTGATGATAATGACGAAAGAATTGAGCAGTGATTATTTAACGCCGGCCCTTCCTTCTCCTTTGATTTGCGATCCCGTCAATACCGGTTTAGAAGTTGCCCTTCGGCCGCTTGGCGGGGTAGACGTCCGGTAGTGTCATGGCCCATTGCAACCGGATCAATTCGTCTTTCGGCAAGTGCATCCCATTCCACCAGCACGCTTTGCGCGGGTGCATGCCGGTTACTTGCCGTAGTCGCGGGTTGCTTAGGATTGAGGCGGGTTCTAACGGTCGGGCGTGATGCTGGTGTTGGGGTATGGTGTTGTAGCTGCTTGGATTTCTTCCTCTTTGGGTACTTAGCTTCGGCGCCGGCGCTGGTATGGTCTTGCCGGGTTTTGGTGTTTGTGGGTTGCTTTTTTGCCTGGATGTGCCAGAGGACGGTGGTCTCCGGGGCGTCTGGCTATGGGATGGTGGATTCATTCTGTATTCCTAGGTATTGTTCAATTTGTCGTATGTGTAATTGCATCTGGTTTTCGGATTGGGTATTCAAAGTCCCAGCTTGAAGAATAGGGGTGCTTATAAAGGCATGAGATGAGATATGAGGTTACCTATAAAGATGCGTACAAACCGGATGCTGAACCGTTTTCAGCTAGCATTAGCCGCACTCTTCATGAAACCTATTTCGAGAAGAGGCTCCGGACACAAATTTATAACGTCATTGCCTACCATTCGATATATCAAACGTGCATGTGTATGTGTTATCCATCTTACATACATGTTCGAGTTGGGGCGGAGAGGAATGGCGGAAGCATGAGGAGACACAATTAGCATCTGTAAGCACTTGTAGCCTCACTCTCGCCCACCCACTCTGCGTGGTTTCGGTACGCAATTGGTGTTTCTATCTGCCCGGATTCATGGTACCACCCACATATTTAGGGCTGTGATTACTCTGTCTCGGTCTAACATCGTTCGTGTGATACCTATTAAATATTTGCTTACATATGTCAATCGGCAAACTGAGAATAGGAGTAAATGTTACCTCTACGCTTACACATCCAAACTGTAGTGCTGCAGAGCACGGCGAGAACTGGAAAGAGAATTCTGAGTCATCACTCACTCATTCGGTGCGCTCCCCGTTCATCGTTTGCTTTTGGTGACGAATAATGGAGACTATCTAGTACCTAGGTCCTAGGTCCTACATACTAGGTAGGTACCTATCCCGGAACACCCCGCTTCGTCCACTGTTATCCAGACGTGCTGTCATCGTTGCATATGCAATGCCGATGTGCGCAAAGAGTACGGAATGTGTACATACACCGAATGCTGCGTACTTACCTGCCTACCTAGTACATGATCATTTGACTATCGGTTCTCTTTTTAGTATGCAAGCGTTGGAGAGTCTAGAGATCAGGTATAAGAGGTGAGTAGGCTGTAGGTTCATCAGCCCATCACGATGTGCATATTGGACAATGGTGGGCGACGCATCTTTCTGGTTGGTACTTGAGAGCCGCAGTTTTATGCTTATTCATCCTTCTGTCAGTATGAATTTCGCCGGTTCTGGGGGTTTTGTGATATGGCTTGGTGGCGTCCAGTCGTGCCGCTTAGCCTCATGTCGTGTCACGTCTACAGCAATCGTCACACGCTCATGCTTTTTACGCCAACCGCCCGAACGTAGTAGGGAGGACGGAAGGACCGAAAATGTATGAAAGATCATGATAAAAGTATCATCGATGCTCGTTAGGTATTTTTAGACTATTGATATATCATGAACATCTATTTACCTAGTACATACCTGGCTACAGTTCTCAACATAACTACAAGGTACCTAGGTACCTAGTACCAAGTCAAATCATAGTATATTAGGATCATACACACATGATAAAACGACAGTGTAGAACAGGTCAAACCACTTACCTACATAGGTACCTAGTACGTATGTGTGTCCCTGAACCCTTATTTTGGTAGATACTATATATGCCGGATGACCAGGCATTTTCAAGTTGTACGAATTTACTGCCTGGGGGTCAAACATATGCACCCATTTAGCATCCACATAAATTGCATATCTAGATAGCCAGAGCTTCTAATTAGCTTTCTTCCTACTAAGGCAGCAAGAAGACAAGAAATTCCATTAACCGAAGGGACCGTCAGACTAAGTTCCTTTCCAGGGAAACGGGGGTTGTTGTCGATTGAAAAATGGTCATGAGTATTAGGTGGTATCAACAATAGGGGAGGGGGCATGATGCCTATTCACATAGTCCATCTAGAACCTCAAGTGAGCATCCCCGTAGATTAATTACAAAGTGCCAACATCTACTTGACTATAAGTAAATTATGCCTAGGCCTCGCTATCACTAGGCACAACATGGAAATATGCCTTAACTGGTTGCTGGTGGTCGGCAGTATATTAAGCATAATTAGCCAACGTACGTATTTTCTGGCTTCTTGATTTATAATGGTGGTGATCCGCCTACGTACCCCCAAGAGGATGTTTCCTCGTGCTAGCTAGGTACTAGGCCACAGAAGATCTCCGTGTTCCTAGTTGGGAACGTCCTACAGTATGCGCCCCTTTTCGTAGTTCGGAAGTTTGGTAGCTAGGGAGGTGTGGTACGGCCACCTCCTGCAGGTATCTTATATGAGGGGTGGATATTGTATATATTCACAGTAGGTATATTCTAGGAAGTCGTATTAATCTCTCTGATAAGACACTCGTATTACACACGATGTTGCTCGTACTGGCTCGGACTGGCTCGGTCATATTGTTCATTGGTCTTATTAACCTCGGAAACAAAGCCGGAAACATGGTTGGTTGTCTTTGTGCCCTGTGGCTCCCTCGTAGGACTCCATACCCGTTGCCTTATGAGGGTATACTATATATACCATGAACCCTTGATAGGACTAAACTCCATTGCCCTCCCCCCATGGCTCATTATCTTCTCCTCTCATGGTGTCATTTAATTTAATTTAGTCGTGGAGTTCCAAGCATAAACGCTAATTGGTCTAGAATAATATGATCGTATACTATAAGAGTCCAGCAATGAGATGGATTACTAATTTCGGTACCGATGGGTTCGTATAGAGATACCTAAGTTGTAATATTACAGTAGCCACGTGGGTAGCAGGGAACAACCCATAATATCTACCTAGGTAGGTATCTGCATAGCTCGTATTACTTCGCCGGTATAACATCTAATTTATGAAGCGAGACATCATCGATCTTTCCTCAAAAGAAACCCAAATATGCCGGTTGAATGAAACTAAATGACCTTGAGCAAATATTAGGTTGTGATTTCTAAATTTCATGGCATTCCTAACATCGATAATGCAACGGTCTGCAACCCGTATACTACATAGGTGATAACTGCAACATTGTAAGTGAATATCTAGCCTAATAAGAAATGTATCATCTATAGATAGGTAGGTAGCTATAATGACTGCAGTAGACTTGCCTTGGTTAGGATTGAAAAGGGGGTTGCATCTAGCATAGTAGTATAGGTAGTAGACCTATATGAGTGTATACCTACCTAGTATGTAGCTTGAAATGGAATGAAACCCATATTGTAGGTAGATATTTATCTAAATAAATCATATTGCTACCTAGATAATGACAGGTAGGTAACCTACCTGTTTCTGGGTTTAGTATACGGTACACTAATCTTTTACCTACCTACCTAGTATCTACCTACGATAGGTCGTCCTCGAGCGTATAGTTTTGACTGTATTAGGAATTGTACTGGAATATTCGAATACGTACATGTAGCCCACACTCAAATTAATAGTTCCGGTACCTTCTATATGGGCGTACCAACTTATTTCTAGGCGGATACGTCAGAGTACCCTATCACGGCCCAGGATCTATTCATACCCCCTGAAATTAGCTTTGTCTCGGGAACATTATATCGAAGAAAACACGTGGGATACTATTCTTGGTAAGATTCAATATGGGAAAGCCCTCGAATTGACGAATCAAGGGGTTGAAACTCCACCACGGTTGCAGACGGATAGATTGAATTGTCAATCCCGCTTCTGAATGGCATCCTGTTTCTCAGATCTACAAATTTGACCAACCAGTTTCCTAAATAATCAGGGTGTCGAGGACTCTATTCCACGTGGAAACCATGTGGCAATGGACCCGGCTGAAAGGAAACTTTCTAAGAGCCCTCCATAGCCCCCAGATACCCCATAAGCTCGGAATGATCGACTCCGCAAGGTAGTATGCTATTCGGTGTACTCGCAGTAGCGGTCAATTTAGGCATATCTATTTATTTTGTTGTATAGTGAATGCAGCCCATTTATTTAGCCGTTTCCACGGTGGGAGCATGTGTAGAACATACGGCGCGCAGGTAATCCTTTCACCATAGTTACCAAGCCACCAATCCACAACCACAGGAGAAGCGGAGTTGATAATTATAAAAGCTGGGCTGAGAATATCACATCATTGAGAAAGGATCCTTAGTCTCAACTCAAGCTTCTAATTTTCCATCTAAATCTTCCTCTACAGCAAGCACAATGCTTTGCAGCAACTTTCTCCCTCTTGTCACTCTTCTAGGCGCTGCTGTCGCTCAGAATACTACTCTGCGGTATATGGTAAGTCGCTTTATGAACTAGGTATTTAAATTCGAGAATACTGAAGCTGACTACTCATGAAGCCCTTCGGGGATAGTATTGGTATGTAAGAATATGTGTTGAAAATTACCCCTTAAGCTCCCTAGCTGGAACCTTCAAACATTTATAAAACACTCATAGCTAACACCGTGGCAGTTAGTGATATGTTTTCTGATAAGCAAGATACTGCGGAGTCACATGTTAAGATACTAATAATACATATTACAATATGTTAGACAGAGATTATTTGCTGGAGAGCTATGCTCTGGGAAAAATTGAAGCCTACCGAATGGGGATCTGTCAACTGGGTTGGATCCGGCAAGACGGAAAACAACTGCGGAGATACCACATACGACCGCGATAACGAGGGCCACTCCGGTTTCTTGGCCATTGATATTGCTAATAGAAAGCAACTAGTTGGCTGGCTCCAGACGAACCCGGCTGATGTTATCACGATGCATCTCGGAACCAACGACATCGTACAGCAGAACAAGCAGGTGCCTGATATCATTACAGCTTTTACGACGCTGGTAGGCGTTATGAGAGACAGCAACCCTAGCATGAAGATCATCGTAAGCCGCCCCTAAGCCCCATTAATTTCCAGAATCTTGGCATGCATGTCGCCAAGTGGGATGTTAGGCGACACCAGCTGGTAGATGGGTGGCTTATCCTCCTATTTCTCCCGTGTAACCTCTATGTCTTAGACCTGCATCTCTTTTCTTTTCTTTTTGGCCCATAAGGATTTCTAGCTAAACCGGCGAAAACCAGGTGGCTCAAATCATCCCCATGGGACTTGGCAGCTACAATACTCAGATCCAGAACCTGAACAAGGCCATCGTCACCTGGGCCGAAGGGCTCAACAAGACTGAGTCACCCATCTGGGTTGTCGACCAGTACAATGGCTTCAGCGCAACCAGCGACCTCCGAGATGGTGTGCACCCTAACAAGGCTGGAGATACCAAGATGGCGGATGTCTGGTACCCGGCTCTTGTCCATGCTTTCGAGGTCGCTCAGGCGGAGAAGAATGCCGCGGCTGTTATGGCCTAGGAAGCTTCCGAGACTTTTAGGGGTTATCCCGTTTTATCTTCGAATTCTTGTACATATTGCTTGGAATTTTGTAGCTCAGTACTACCATTATGGACATCTCTCATACCAAGAAGAAATTGATAGAAACATACCTACCTAGCTACAATCCCTCAATCTTCTTCACTCATACGTCAACTTGAGGCGAATATTCCGGAAATACATTAGGGGTTATTCAACAACGTTGTACCTACGACCTGACCCGTATGATAAGAGGTAGGGAATTTGAGACAGTAGGTAGGTACCTACCTACCTACCTACCTAGTAGACACCATACAGCAGCCGCGCGTACTACATCCGACACCCGACACCCACAACTCACCACCTCGTCACCACCCGCCGCCCTCAACTAAGACTTAGATTAAAAAGTACAGCAGCCACCCCAGCTCTTGACTAGTACAAGATCCTTTAGCCATGAGGAGGTTGAAGTGGTAACAAATGGTCAGTAAAATTCCAGCTGGGCTCTTTGCATTTCCCCTCCTTTCTTTTCTTAGTTAAATTTAATCCAACATAATAGATAGGTACCTAGATACTTGACAAAAGCTCGTGGGTATACAAGCAAAATTCCGCTGTTTATTTTCTATTTCCAACTACACTACGCTATATACCTATCTATATACGGTTCAACCCCATAACCTTTTCAATGTACCTATCTTGATTAAAAGACTATCGCTACCATACCCATAGAAACTGGCCCCATTGTGGTGCTTACCCGAACATAGGCAAGATGGGCTCGTCGTAAATTGAGGAGTCTAAGCTGTCGTTATCGGGGTATGGTTCGACATAGCGTTTTGACAGGAGCGCCCAGAAAAAGCGACGGCCGAGGTTTTTGAAGGTCGTCTTTCGGACTCTCTTCCCAGTTGGCAGGAATTCGGGGGGAAACCATGACCGAAGAGGTCCTTCGGGTCTTCCCGCAATCTTCGGCCGGTCGACGTGCTCGCGTTCTGCGACCATGATGCCCAGTGCAATACCGCAAAGCCAGGCCAACATTAAGCCGTCGCCATTGTAGCCAGCACATATCCACTCTCCAGGTCTGTGATTTGGATGCATCATCTCGCTGACAGCGGGCCTGCGCCCAGTGAGGTCAGGATGCAGCCTACCGACGAAGGGAAGTTTATCTCCCGTGAGTGCCATGATGCCGGACCATTGCATCAGGGTCTCCCAGCCCCCTGCCTATGGACACCGAAAGATTGTAGGCAAAATTCCTCGAAGGTGTGCGAGTGGCAGGGGCTCCAACCGGCTGTCATTCCATACACCAAGCATGCTGGCACCTTGGCCTTCGGATCGTGAGAAACCTCCGCCCAAGATGACATCTCCCTGTACTCCATCGACCGCTGGTCGTTGAACAGCATAATCGTGCGCATGGCCGTAGAAAATGGACCATGATTCCATATGGTCTGATTCATTGAAGAGTTTGCCTGGTTTCATCATAGACACCGTTCCGGGGATGCCTGTTAATTTGCCTCGCAGGCCTGGTACGAACTGAGTTGCGAAAGCATTCGTAGCATGTACGACATGATTGCATTCAAATGTGCGGCTTTCTATCTGATCAACGATGACTTGAAATGCATAGGGTCGGCCCTTCGGTGCCACGACATTTAAGACGGTTGTGTGAGTCTTGATGAAAAGATAGTACTTATACTTCCGAAGAAGTTCGTCCCATACGCAGGTTGTGAATCTGTAGGGATGTATTACCCCGGCGACATACGATAGAGCGCCTTTAACATGTTTGTTGACATGAAATTTCTGTAATAATATCAGCGCCCATCAATATTCATCCTTTTCTTACGAGACACAAAAATATGTCGTGAAGTGTGGTTCTTACCTTCCGAGCTTCTTGCGCGCTAAATTTTGTATACTCTAGCTCTGGTATGTATTTCTGGACTATTTCCACTTTGGCGAAAGCTTCTTCACGTTCTTCATCTGTGAGGAAATAGTCAACAGTAACAACCTTGCGGCACTCGGCCATATCCCATCCCCTGGCGTCGCATAATTCCATCATCCTTTTGATGTGAGATAGCTGAAATCTGATAATCGCGGCGGCTCGCTCTTCCCCATGAGATCTCCGCAGTTCGCTGAATTGTTCGTGAGGAATGATCTTCATATGCCCGCCGTTGCGTGATGAGGCGCCACCGCAAAGATCGCGGGATTCTAGGACGATGATACTGTGCCAAGCGTTTGAGCGTCTGCACTCTTCCAGGTACGACCAAGCAACAGCTGCAGCGGTGATGCCGCTTCCTATAATGATCATTTCAGTCCGGTTCGACGGAGGTACCATTCGGAGGTTGACGAGATTTGGGAAAGGAGGGTCTTCTTCCTAGTAAGCCTTGGTGGGATCCTCAACGGGGTATCCAGGCCGAGAGCTCAGGCGTGTCATAAGAATTTTGATTTGTTCGTTCAGGTCGCGGAATGCCTTGCTTGCAAGCAAGGCATTTTTGGCCGAAGACTGGACGGTACCCATTTCGGCAAGTGAGTATAGCTGTATAGGTAGGTACCTACTAGGTAAGTATCAAATAGACTTGAATAACGAAAGAAATATTACCAAGAATGTATAAAGTTGGTGGGATGTTTGATATTCAAACGAGTGATTAATTACCGTACCTGGTATATTACAACGTGAGAGAGAAGAGATACATGTGAATGTTTAAAATCCATAGTCGACATCAGTCTTAGTCTAGAGAGACGAAAATTCAGCCAACTGCAACTCCCAAAGCTTACATTCAATTCCTGGTTAGTTGTTGCCAGTTTATGAAAATGACTTAGCGTTCACAACATAACTTTCCTAAGCCCTTTCCATGTGTGCAATGAGTGGCTAGGTACCTATGTATTTCCTACATAGATCCATTTATAGAGGGGAGTAGTCTTCTCAATAGTAAAGTCAATGTTGACCGCGAATTTTGGTTGATAAAGCTTCGAACGTTATGACAGACGTCGACTTCTTGGTACATGGACGCGGTAGCGAATGGGAATGTTCAGTCTCATGGAATTGTTAAATTGCGGAAAAGGCGACTTCATCAGTGCGACAATATTAAATGTAATACAAACAACTCCAATTTTTACCTGAACAGAACTTGACAAAGATATCTCGTCATTTCCAATATTTTACATTTTCACGACGATGAATAAAATGGACGGTCCGTTCCCATTTTGCTGGTAATTATGGCAGTTGTAGGTGGTCTGTGTGGCTTGGCTAGCGAGCTAACTGGAACCTTCTATGAAATATCTAGATCCATCAACTGAGACCCCTAGAGAAACTTTGAATATTATTGAAATTCTCAGTATAACTTCCAGAGACTCATGAGAGGAATTAGATAAAATAAATTCAATCAAATACTAGAAACCATTTGAAACAACTAAATGGTAAGAATTATTTTCCAACGAACACCCCTCAGAATCCTGGGTAGCACCACACATCAACTCTACCGACCATCAATCCACCCACTATCACGAAGAGCCATGTCATCGGCAATAAACCCAAACACTAGCGCCAACTCACAAGTGGCAGCATCAACACAAACACCAAAAAGCGAGAGCGTGCAAAATGGAGCTGCGTCTCAGAAGACGCCCTTGCCGCTCCCGGAACCGGACCACACCGGTGACACGACGCAGCTGCTCGTCGGCGGCGAAGGCGTCAAGCTGGACCACCGTAAGTCGGAGCCTCCTCCCCTTTCTCCCACTCCATATCCATTCTTTTCTTACCTACCTACGAATATCCAATTGAACCTTCTCTTCGAATCGAGTCGGGAATATGCACCAAGCGACCATGTTAACACATCACAGTGGGTCCCCTGATCGTCAACGAGGACGGCACCATGAGTCGTATCTCGAACTGGGGTGAAATGGCCGAGATTGAGCGGCAGAACACGCTTCGAATTTTGGGCCGACGGAATAAGCAACGCCTCGACGCCCTAAAGGCGAAGGCCCAGACCCAAGCTTCTAGTCAGCCCGGGGAATAGGAGATGAGACCTGCCTATCCATGTCTACAACCCACCTTATATCATGTATGGTGTGGCATTTGAGACGAGTTATTGACTGTCATAGGGTGAAAAAGTTGCGATTTTGATGATTTACATATGTATACACAGAGTCAGTCATACAATAGGAGCTGTACATGTCATACGGGACGCACATACAGTATGTACTATACCTACCTACTTACCTCTACAAATAATGGACCAGCACATACATCAATTGATAAACGCCAGACCGCATTTAACATTTGAACGGTACCGCTCAGCCGTTGCATATCCAATTTGTAATCCTCTTTGACCGCAAATGTGTATTTCGCTACCTACCTAGGTATTTAAAGACATTTCCGTGTAGCTGTGGACCTTAAGAATCGGATTTACTGATAGACAGGTCAAAGACCAACACTAAGCCTAAATCTACCTATGTAGTATACGTTTTGTATTTGTAAGCAAGCAATTACTAGGTATGGCAAGGTCAAGAGCCCATGGCCTGTGATTAGTGGCGGATCTGTCGGGATGTTAACACCAAAGCCGGAGATAGGCAACTAAGATTTCCTGGGGTTCTGAGCAAATGCCGGTGAGGCGCCAAGAAAATGTATTCATAAATTGTATGATTGAGCTTTATAGGCTCTCGCCCATATCGACTGTCATACCCGAGAGCAGGACGACACATTCAGCAATAATCTAAAAGTATCACGTCGCAGCAGCATCAAGATACCAAGCAGAGAGATTTCAGATAAGCTTTTACACCATAGCCGGGGCATTACCCGTAAATCGTTTATTAGACCCGTAAGCCTCATCAAAAATTGCTCTCAAAATCAGATATGATATATCCCCAAAGTCGTAGCCCCCCCACCAATGGCGCATAGTCCATAATGATAACCCCTTAACGCCATCGTGAATATTTCAAGCAATGGAAGGTATCTCGGTATGCCGTGTATGTTACGAAGCTTTCTCGGCTTCTTTCTTCGCATCGCTTTCCGATTCCTTTGCGCTGGGTGCCTTCTTCTCATTACGCTTCTCTAATAATGTGGAGACGATGTTCTCGTTTCCGCCGGTCTTCTCCATGACGAGTTCCCTTAGCCACTTGTTCTCTGTCTCTAGAGTTTGGATGCGACCTTCCAAAGAGCCGACTTTATCGCTGAGCTCCTTCTCGCGCTTCTCGAGTGCTTGCTCGCGAGCCTTCTTCTTGACGCGGAATCTTGCGCTGGCGGCCGTGTTTCGCCTCCGCTTATCCTCTTCCGCGGCTAACCGAGATTGGTCCTCGAAAGAGAGTTGTCGTCGAGGAGGTACGACAGGGTCAGCGGATTTTCGCTTGTCCCCCGTCTGCGGCAATGACTGGCCGTAGGTGCTTGAAGCCGAGCCATTTGGGGGAAAAGTTGGAGATGGCTGGATAGGTTGCAAGTTCCCCAAATTGTCTGAGAAACCCGAGACATTTGGCGTAGAATAAGGGTGAAAATCAAAACCGTTGAAATCGCCTGAAGACATAACGCGAGGTTAAAAACGGTGTCCCAATTGACAAATGCAAAACGTAGGAATAACAAAAAATAACTGAGGTGCTACACATCATCGATGACGACTTAGTGTCGGTAGAAGGGTATAAGATCAAGCCATGTTGCGAACTCTCGACAGCAGGGCTTGATGGACTGGGTTCTCTCTTCATCTCGAAAAGGGTCCTCCCCAGATCACGAAAGATCACGGGATATTGCACCATAGTGCACCATAGCTCGATTGCGCAATCGCAGGGTACTCTTTCGCGAGCACAGCAGCAGGCACCTAAACCCACCGATCGCTGCAATCCAAATGCAACATGGTGCAGCCCGCACCAATCAACGGTCGAGCGTAGACAAAAGCTTAGTGGGGCAGGATTGATGAGGGCCACATAGAGCGAGCCTGTGATAAGGTGAAGACCTCCGCTTGGTGGGATGCGGGTCCCCATCTCCAATCCAATCTTCCGCTGCCTTGGATGTTGCAGGCAAGGCGCCGCCTCCAGACCACACACAGACCATAGGCTATCTGGCTATTGGAGGCAAGCGTCGGCCAGTGCCAACCAGGCACGAACTGCTGAGCGAGGCTGCTGAAAAAAAGACCCTTCGAAAACCGCACACACGGCACGCCATTGTGCAATTGTGCAACGCCGCATCGCAATGAGTAATGCGGGGAAGACATACCACTGTCAATTGATTTTGGTGGTATTTTGACATTTGGCTTTGGCGCATTGAATAGGCAATGAAAGTAGTAAAGCAATCAAAAGCAGCAAAAAAAGACAAAAAAAGACAAAAAAAACAACCACCAAAAATGACACAACAGCCATAAAATATCTACTAACCTGGTAGATTGAAGTCGAATCCCGCTAATTCTCCTCCCATAGATTCTTCTTCTGTGGGTGATGTCGACACCTGCGTCTCTATGACACTTGGGGCCCCTTCCTGCGGTTGTCGATGCTGCTGTTGCTGACTCTCATTTGCATCCCAGTCGATAAAATTGGTGTTTGTGAACATAGCAAGTTCCTCGTCGAGACTTCGTAAGTTTTCCTCCGACACCTGAGGCTGCTCCGGAACCCTGTTGAGGTCCTGTAATAACTGCGATACATTCACGGCTTGGCCGCGCCGGCCAGAATAACTGGGTGGCATCTTTCCTATGACGCTTCTTCCGTTGGCCTCTCGGAGACTTTGGAGATAGATAGATACGTTGTAAACTCGATTCGGTAGATCTGATATATGCAAGCCTCTTACTGACAATTTCGATATGGTTGTATATGGTTGGTAGATGACGATTAGATCAGATTCGTGATCTTTGTTGATTCGAATTTGCTAATGACAGGTTTGTGATGTATGTAATAGAGAAGAAATTGACTAGAAGAATAATGGCGAGATGGTAGAATTTACCAAATACAAAAAGTGGTACAAAGTTGAAGGTGGGTCGAAAGATGGGCGGACAAAAGCCAAGTTTGTGTCGTACTAAGTAGTCGTGCTAAGTAGTCGCCGCCAGATACGGCCGATTTTGACCGATGGCTTTATGGGTCCTTTGCCCAGGTGCTGACGCTCGGTTGACGTTTTAGGGAAAATCCAAAGAGAAAAAAAAAGTAGAAAAGAAACCCAGGCTGCCAGGAGCCCCTCTAGCCCCTCTTTCCTAACCTTAGAGGCTTCGTATAATCTTACTCAATACCATACACCTTTTAAACGTAGTATCTCGGCGAACTTACTTCGTCAAAGTATCAATTACTGATGAGTGTTGGAGAAGACGAAGGTTTAGGAAGGAGTATGGATTGATTATTATTATCTGATTCGAACCCTTGGAAGTTGCAGCACATGAGATGACAGATGGTTCCATCAATTGAATGGTACGGGTGCATGTGTACATATAAATGTACACATGTACAGTACATCGCATACCAAACCGAGTATATCGCCCGCGGCGGCTTTAAACGGGTGGGCTATTAGTCAAGAAAATCAGTTCTGGCCAATCAGAATTAACCAGATTCTCTAGACTTCCCACATCGCCCACATCGACCGCGTGTATTTATACTAAAACCCCCACTATCAGTTCTGTCTGGAACTGTTCGGACCCTGACTATCCTATGTATTATAGCCTTTCTTGCATGTGTTCTTTTATTAAATACATGGAAGAGGTCGACCATATTGGCGGGACCTACTTCCCGACAGCATTCCCGTTCATCTCGTTGCGTTCGTACTGTATGTATGTGTTAGTGCCACTCCATCTTAGTCTATCTTACCATCTTACCATCTTAACAGCGGAGATGCATGGCTGGCATGGCTGGCATGGCTAGCTGCAATGTTGGTGCGCGGTTGGAGATGACCCCCTTCTAATTATCGTTGACCATGGGTAATACTCTCCTGCTTAGAAATCACGTTTCAACCCAATGAGGGGAAGAGAACTAATAGGTGCCAAGGCCATCAAACTAATCGTTTAGTTTCTGCGTTATAGGTATCAGATAATTTTTATTTCACGATATTATCAAGTAATTATGTATTTCTTGCCATACTCAACCGATTGAAGTTGGGGTTGCGTCGCTGCCTTACCCTAATCCGGTGGCGAGTCAGGATCGACAGTTCTATGATGGAGTGATCTGAATATGATCTTGATCTTGACGTCAATTGTAACTACTTTCCGTTGTCTGTGTTCCTTCTATCGAAACAAAGATTATACATTCTAGATACTTAAGCGGACCTCGGTGTATTGTATATATGTAGCGACAATAATATTGAATACCTTGCACCAATAATGGTTCGGCTCTATCTAACCTTAACTCAGTGCATAGATTATGTATGTATTCCAGATATTCGTAGAATTTTCGAAGCCGAACGATCAGGACGATCTAACTTACCTTTCAGGGACCGACCTACATGTCACAAAGCGATGGATGCATGTGTTGCTTGCTATGCTGTGTTACGCTCTAGGTCATTGGTCCCAGGAAAACCGAATGCATCCATCCCGCGATTTCTCTCCAAGGCTCAAGTACAACCCTTGTATGATTCCCGTACTATACCAATCCTGTTATCGGGTAACGTGAAAGACGTGGGGTTAATATTCGGCGTGTGCGCCTTCTTCAAGTTCCAAGGTTGCGAAGTCACATAGACATGTACATTGGAAACGCTCGGGTCTTCGGCATCTTTCCGATAAGTACATAATCCCGTACCACCGACGCTTTGCCGCGGATGAAGTGGACGGGTTTCCTTAATTGGAAGTTGAAATCCTTAAGTTCGTATGGTACAGTACCTGTTAGGTATGTATACAGGTAGGTATATTAACAGAATTCCTATATTATAGGAGTCGGCCGAGACGAAGTCTTTAATAAATTGTCTTTCTTGACCTTCTGGCGTTTTTGCAGAATATTCTTGCCCACGTGGGCAAACTCCACGGTGGATACAGGAAGGCTTATCGATATTGAATGATGATGTAATCGGCCAATTGGCTGCCACCTGGGAGATGGGAGCTAAAATTGATTTTGAATGGTAAAAGTCTAAACTTTGTAGTCATGATAGAAACATAGAAACTCGGATGCCCAACATTTTCAATCAAGATTATTTTTTGAGATTATAACCTCATTATAATCATGTCAATAATAATTACAGGATCAATTAGGCGAGTATAACCAAAAGATGGTTCTGTGTATTCCTATTTGGTGATACGAAATACCTCCGAAAACCTTGAACGCGTCGCGTGTCCCACTTCAATTTCCGACCAATACAATCATTTAGAGCTATACACCACACTTCTAATCTACAATCGCAACCTTTGATAAAGGGAACAAGGAGGCGAAAACTCAAAGCCACACGCGTAGTCATGGCGCGATTGTCGTTACCAACGACAGCTCGCCTATCTTCATCCCTAAGAGTCGACCCTGCGAACAACACCGTAATCAAAGCCCTCAATCGCCTCTCACGACCATCCCTCCTATCCCTTGTCCTAGACTGGTTAGACGAACGAAACCAATCTCTATGTCCACCACTTCTCCTCCGACCAGATGTTCCCGAGGACGAAGACGAAGATGATTTCTACCCACCCGTGCACTCGCTCCCCGAACTCCGAGACCTATACGAGTCCATGCAAGCGCGCAAAGGCGGTCGTCGCGAGGTAGTCGATCGTATCCTCGAGGGAGACTGGCGCTACGGGCTCAGTCTCTACCAGCTCGCCATGGCCGACCTGCAGTACCTGTACGACCACCCCGGAAGCCTCAAGTGGACCGCATACCGAATCCAGCTTCTCAAGACACCCGGCCACGAGGACGACGCCGAAGGGCCGGAGAAGCCCGACAAGGAGTCCCTCGCTGTCCCGCGCTTCCACCCTTCAACCTTCCTACAGAATCTGCAGGGCGAGGTTCTTCCCGATGTTAAGGCGCACTATAACTTCGATCGCCCGAAGGGCATGCCACTCCTGCTACTGCGCATCTTCGTCATCGACTCCCCATATAACACAGACCTAGCTGTATCCACGCGCCATCGCGGCCGGCCTAACAGTACAGGCAATGGCAATTCCACAACCAGCTTCGATGCCTCGCGCACGATATACGTCGCGTTCCCAGACGCCTCGCCGCATATCTACATTACGAAATCAGCCTCCGGCGCTAGCGGCGCGGCGGGCTCCGCGGCAGGCGAGGCGAAGAGTCTACGTGCGCTCGTCGTTGAGGGGATACCGAAGGCTCTGTCTCGGCCGCGCGAGCGCTATGCCCTGAAGTCGACGAACCTGGCGACGAAGAATCTAGCCGCGATGCTGGTGCACAAGGGTGCAGGACGCACGAACGCGGCGGCTGCCGGCTGGGGAGTATATGCGGGGACGGCGACGGCAGATATCAAAGCAGATAGCCCGTTGCAGACGCTGCTTCCTACGCCGCCATTATCGGATGCGTCGGGAGTTGAAGTTGAGGAGGAGAGAGGGACGAAACGGAGAAGGGTGGGTGATTTGAGGGAGGAGGAGGATGAGAAGCAGGCTAAACGCGCGAGGGTTGCTGCGTTGGCTAGATTTGGGAATGCGGCGAGGGTTGATGATGGGAAGGGGGTTGAAAGGTTGGATGTGTTGATTGAGGATCCATTTCCGGCTGATGTGGTCAGTGAGGAGGAAGATGAGGGTGAGGATGATACGGCGGTGGTCGCGAGACGTAAGGCTAAAGGGAGGCAGAGTATGCTTGATATGAGTATCTCGCAAGACTTGGAGGATGGTGATGATGGTAGACGCGAAAGAGGAGGCAAGGAAGGTGATCGAGGCTGGACTCCGCAAGTCAGGATATCGCTTCATGGCTCACATGTCTTTGCTGGGGTACGCCAATTGGTCGAAGCGGGCATCGTGGACGGCGAGAGGATGCCCGGGTGGTTAACGGGTGAGGAAGGGGTCACAATTGGTGCCGTACGACACGGTAGGATAAGAGGCTTTAAAGGATCCGGGGTATAATTAAGTCTCGTGTATAATATCCATTTGGAGGGTGGTTTCTCATGGTCAACGAAAGCTATTAGTGCAAGTAGCATGCATGGTGTCCGGCGTTTTCTACATCACATGGGGAAGGGGGTATAGTCGAATAGGTTTATATACCCCAATCAAGTGTTTGCAATCAAACTCATACAAAGGAGAATGGAAATTGTTCTTCCATAGGTAGGTAAGGAGTCTATCTATTTTATTTTCGTCTCGGGCTATGCTCTTGTCTAGGTACTTGATAATCTCTATCCGTCTACTGGAAACACCTTTGTCGTGTTCCGCCAAGCAGCCTCGCATACCTCCTCCACGGTGACTCCCTTGATGCCGGCGACGATCTTACCTACCCGCTCAATCATGCACGGCTCGTTGCGGCTCTTGACCATCGCGCCTTCGACCCACTTCTCTTTCTTGACAACCTTCCAGCGCTCTGGTACCTCCGATTCCTTCTTCTTTGGCGGCTTTTTAGACTGTTGCTTGGGCTTCACCGGTTGTTGCTTTGCCAGCTCCGATGGGGTTCCATTAGCAACAACCTCCGCACCCTTCGTATTTACATCCACCCCTGCCCCTGCCGCTTCTAATAGCTTCGGCGGTTCTATCAAGTACTTCCAACCCTCATGACTAGGCCTAACCTCGCACCACGGACCATCAGTCTCTAACATCAACCGGTCAAGATGAATCTCCTTCACCACAGCACAGTTCTCGGCCGTTTTGAAACTACACCCGTTAGTCCCGATATACAGTCCCAAATCCATCAGCTCTCGCATCTCCTCCGCCGTCCCTGTGAAACTGTGGACCACGGCCCCACGCTCGAGCCTCTCGAGTCGCGTGCCGAATTTATCTTTTAAGAGTTGCACGAAATCTGCATGCGCGGCGCGTGAGTGAAGGAATAGCGGGAGTTGGGGCTGTAGCGAAGCTGCGAGGTCCAGTTGCGCGGCGAAAGAGTGTAGTTGGATTTTACGGGAGCAGTAGTGCAGACGGTCGTAGTCGAGCCCGATCTCACCGAAGGCGACGAGGGGACTCGGCCCCGTGCTACGACTCCGCGCTCCGTCGATGAGCGCCCGTAGCTCTGAGATGATTGATGAGGTGCGGGCCATGTCGGGCTCGTGGTCTTCGGAGATGGGCTGCGAGGGGTCCGCGTCGCAGGGCATGGTATGTCCATTGGTATCTACATGCGAATGGGTTGTGCTGAATATGGAGCTGGAGCAGGGGTGTATGCCGGCGGTCGTATATACGGTGCCGGCTTGGGCTCGGTCAGCTTGGTCAGGTAAGATGTGGAGTGTGGTAGTTCATATATGACTTACCATATTCCCTAGCTATCTCGAGAGCATGTCGAGAACTGGTGAAATCAGAGCCGGTGATGATGAGCTTGTGACAGCCGACTTCACGGGCTCTCGAGACGACGGCGCTTAGGTCGTCTGGATGCCGTTGAGTACCATGATACTGACCCCTAAATATTGGGTCTGCTAAATTGATGCCTATCTAAGATGAAATATTAGCGAATGGGTTGAGAAAATAGTTTTAAAAAATATGAATAAGACATATATAGTAGTCTGAGGAAATAAGAGTGACAATGAAACTCATATTTCATAATGAACAGCATCAAAACTTATAATTATGAAACCCATCACCATCACCATGACTTACATCAATGTACCGCGGTTTATAAGCTATCTCACTTGCTGGAGTAGAAGTTGGTAAATCGGTAGTCATATTTGATACTGAAGAGGAGAAAACTTCGTGAGATCGTTTTATAATGGATAAACTCTTTACGCTATAGCGTGTAAGCTGAGCGACAAGTGAGTTCCGTATAAGCATCAAAAATCAGGTATCTCTCAAGGAGACCTAATTTCTTGGGGGTTTATATATGATCTTTCAGCATAATGAGTCTACCTCAATTATTTCGACCCAATGACATTCATTATTGAAATCCACATCAATAGAACTTGGTGAGTCACCTTTAAGAATCAGCCTCAAAGAGGGTTAAGTTGATGAGATTATCAAAGGTACATCTCAGATGTACCAAAATATTTCCAGGCTGTCAATTAAGCTTAGTTTTTTTTTACACGTGCTTTCGTGGGGTGGTTAACAGGGGGTTAGGTATCCATGTTACACAGACGCGACATATAAGATTGATAAACGCAACGATGCAATTTCATGAATTCGAGTATTTAAACTAATTGAGGTATGAAACTGAATTTCATGGTATTGCTAATGGAATTTACCAAGAATGGCTCTATGACTTGAAGTTCAATATTATTTACTCTAGTCCACAGCTCGATCAATTGCATACAGAAATACTTAAAATACTTATCAAGCATAACGCGAACTCCATTTTGTGCGGGGCAAAACGCATGAACAGGGGTTTAAATACCCATCACATGCAAGCACTTAAACCAAAATATGTTAAAACGAGAAACATTCAACAAAATGTCATAATACGGAAGCCGCCAGAGAGAACATTTACTTATTCAATGTCATGTCAAAATAACAAGGGGTTTTCGTAGAATAAAAAGATACAAGACTTTAAATTGAGCAATCAGTTTCGCATCTCCGTCATCGGCCTCGTTTATAACAAGACCCCGCCAATCCGCGTCGCCCTTAGCGTGTTAAGTGGTTTTGTAGCACGGGCAACTACGGTTTAGCAAGGGCACATCTATGAACACAACACTTGCTGATTAATTTTTCAAGTGATTTCAGCTGGCGACAACCTAGGAAGGTCCACTCATTGCTTAACAACATTGTTGTATTGTTCCGAGAGGGATCCGTTCCTGGCCGTCCTCCGTCCACTGTTTTTTCTTTACGCGCTAAGTTGGCTCAGAGACGCGCCACTAATTATTAATTTAGCAGGAACGCGTTTCTACATAAGAATCCACCGTGCTCAAGTCTCTTCCTTCTAAACATCTTTTGTTCATCAACCACGATCTCAACATTGGGAACGGGCCACTACATCGCATCATACTTGAGATTAGATCTGCATGTTACTTGCATACAGACACTTGTGGCTTCGAATTAATTATTCCAGTTAACTGAACCTTGCTTCATTGCACTTCAGTTCTTAATCGCCTCTTTTTTACCGCCTTTTGGGTCTTGAGTGCCCCAAACTTTACGATGTATGTCAAGAAGCGTGGTATGTATCTCTGACACTTTGATTCGCCTGGAACATCTACTTAGACGTATATAGATGGACGTCAAGAGCGTGTTCAATTCGACAAGATCACAGCTCGTGTCTCTAGGCTCTGTTACGGTCTAGACACAGATCATGTCGACCCAGTTGCCATTACCCAGAAAGTTATCTCTGGTGTCTATGGGGGTGTCACTACAGTCCAGCTCGACGATCTCGTGAGTTTCCTTAGGACTGATTTTAATTGCGTTTTTTAACATAATCGCCTTCTAACCAATTATCCTACAGGCAGCCGAGACCGCCGCATACATGACTGTTACCCACCCGGACTATGCTATCCTCGCCGCTCGTATTGCAGTTTCGAACCTACACAAACAGACCAAAAAACAATGGTCTTCCGTCATCAGTGATCTCTACCACTATGTCAACCCAAAGAACAGGAAGGCCTCTCCTATGATCTCCCAAGAGACGTATGAGTGCGTCATGAGACACAAGGAGGATTTTGACTCTGCCATTGTTTACGATAGGGACTTCAACTACCAATACTTTGGCTTCAAGACTTTGGAGCGATCATACCTACTCAAGCTCAATGAGAAGATCGTTGAGCGGCCGCAGCATATGATCATGCGTGTGGCGGTTGGTATCTGGGGTGACGATATAGAGAAGGTTATTCAAACTTATAACCTGATGTCGAGTAAATACTTCACACATGCCTCGCCTACCCTTTTCAATGCCGGAACGCCTCAAGCACAGCTATCGTCCTGCTTCCTCGTTGATATGAAGGACGACAGTATCGAGGGTATCTACGACACCCTCAAGACCTGCGCTATGATCTCCAAGATGGCTGGCGGTATCGGTCTCAACATCCATCGTATCCGTGCCACTGGCTCATACATTGCTGGCACTAACGGCACCTCGAACGGAATTGTACCCATGCTTCGTGTCTTCAATAACACTGCAAGATACGTTGACCAGGGTGGTAACAAGAGGCCTGGTGCTTTTGCCATCTACCTCGAGCCTTGGCATTCAGATGTTTTCGAGTTCCTTGACCTTCGCAAGAACCACGGCAAGGAAGAAGTCCGTGCTCGTGACCTCTTCTTGGCTCTCTGGATTCCTGACCTTTTCATGAAACGTGTTGAGAAGAACGGTGAATGGACCCTCATGTGCCCCAACGAGTGCCCTGGCCTGGCAGATGTTTACGGTGACGAGTTTGAGGCCCTATACGAGAAATACGAGGCAGAGGGCCGTGGTCGCCAGAAGATTAAGGCTCAGAAGCTGTGGTACGCCATCCTCGAGGCTCAGACGGAGACTGGTAATCCCTTCATGCTCTACAAGGATCACTGCAACCGCAAGAGTAACCAAAAGAACCTGGGTACGATCCGTAGCTCCAACCTGTGTACCGAGATTGTAGAGTACTCGGCTCCCGACGAGGTGGCGGTCTGCAACTTGGCATCGCTTTCTCTGCCGTCATTCGTTGACTATAACGAGGGCAACTATGACTTTCAGAAGCTCCATGAGGTTGTCCAGGTGGTCGTTCACAACTTGAACAGAATCATCGACGTCAATTTTTACCCTGTTCCGGAGGCCCGCAACAGTAATATGCGACACCGACCCATCGGTCTTGGTGTTCAGGGTCTTGCCGATACGTTCTTAGCGCTACGTATGCCTTTCGAGTCGCCAGAAGCCAGGCAGTTAAACAAGCAGATCTTCGAGACCATGTACCACGCTGCTTTGACTGCATCTTCTGATATTGCTAAGGTCGAAGGTCCTTACTCTACCTACGAAGGCTCCCCCGTCTCACAAGGTATCCTCCAATATGACATGTGGAACGTCACTCCCTCAGATCTCTGGGACTGGGCCGGTCTCAAGGAGAAAATCAAGCAGACCGGTATACGTAACAGCTTGTTGATGGCACCTATGCCAACGGCTAGCACCTCCCAGATTCTAGGTAACAATGAGTGCTTCGAACCTTACACCTCGAACATCTATTCTCGTCGTGTCCTTGCTGGCGAGTTCCAGGTCGTCAACCCCTGGCTGCTGAAGGACCTTGTCGACATGGGCCTCTGGTCTGATGGAATGAAGAACCGTATTATTGCCGAGGGCGGTTCAATTCAGAACATCCCCAACATCCCCGCAGATATCAAGTCTCTTTACAAGACCGTATGGGAGATCTCCCAGCGAACTGTTGTCCAGATGGCTGCTGATCGTGGTGCTTTCATCGATCAATCCCAATCGCTCAACATTCACATGAGAGAACCTACCATGGGTAAGATCACCAGTATGCATTTCACTGGTTGGAAACTTGGCCTGAAAACTGGCATGTACTATCTCCGTACCCAAGCTGCTGCCGCGCCCATTCAATTCACCGTAGACCAAGAAGCTCTCAAGGTTGCGGATTCGAACGCGGCTAAGTCGGGTGGGCTAAAGAAGCGAGCCCCCCCTGGAAACTACAACTCTTCCGCCTCCACAAGCCTAGCTAGGCCTGCGTATGCCAAGCGGGAGGATTCGAACAACAGCCTTGCCGCCTCAGGTCTTAACGGGATCCCGACGCCTAGCACTACTCCGCCCCCTGTCTCGGTAACCCGGCCAGCAGCTTCGCCGAACAAGGCTGCACCCTTCAAGGCCGACGTCGACGAGGGCGAGAGTCCCAAGGCTTTAGCTACGGAACCCTCTGAGAAGGTCAAGGAAGAGGAGCTTCCTGAGCCAGCTATTGATGGCCAAAAGACCGGCCAGGATGAAGACAAGGAGGATAAGAGCAAAGAGCGTGAGTATGACATCTACGCTGATGCCGTCCTAGCTTGTAAGTTGAAGTGAAATGCTACCCCTTGGAGTCGCCCAAGCTAATAACTAAATAGGCAGCATCGAGAACCCTGAATCGTGTGTTATGTGCAGCGGTTAAAGGACCCGACGAGATGAAGTGATGATGATACGTAGCTGATGATGGACATAATGGAAGCAAGGATGCTTCAGACCCAGCCTGCCTGGTGCATTGCCTGGGCCTTGTGAAGAAGCAAAACGATAAATGCTACGCATCGAGATGATTGTATAATGGTTGGGTTCATGGAGCATGGTATCGAGTCAAGCAAATGGGCTTTGTATGGACATTGTACGATACTTCGCAACGGTTTCTAGTCCGTTGTCCCTCGCGTAATCATGAGATGCCAAAATGCGCATCTAACGGTGGTTTATGCTTGACCCTTTTTCTTATAGGATTAAATCAATAAAAATATGATAATGAGTTTCTTTCGACCATCGCTGGCGTGAAGAACCATAACAATTGAATCGTCTTCACTACCTAATAAAATTTCCTAAGGTAAGTCTAATATCCTCGCAGATGAGTATCTACCTACCTAGGTAGGTGCCTATTGAGAATGAATGATGTTAGATATTTACAAATAAAGAAACAGCGCTCAATATGAAATTTACAATTCAAAAGTAGGTAAGGCCACTCAACTAGGTATTTATTAGGTGCCTAACTGCCTTAAACAAAGGCCAACAAACTGTAAGTACCTACCTAGGTATATACCTGCCTGATAGGCGTTTAACCCTTTCAAAAGTGATGCTTCCTGTAAGTAGGTAGGTAGCCCAACGTTGTCCTTGACACTTCAGAGGCAAACCAAAGTCACTCGGGTTATTTCCTATATAGGTACCTACCAAGCGAGAATATTTAGGAGGTAGTAGACTTTCGACAAGATCAAGGGTGAAGTTCTTGCCGGACTTCCGACCAAATCGTAAATTTACAGTGCCCAAGTCAAACACGCGTCCTACTGAATCGGTGAGACATCGCATAAGAAAAGGTCGGGGTCGTCGTACATAATTCACCTTGCCATTTCCAGCTACTCTCGTGACTCTTCTATCTGAAATGGATTGAACACCTGTATGTAGAGGTAGCTCTCCAAAGTACACCGCAGGCGACGCTCGGTGAAACATGAGCGGCAGAAGAGGATGGAGGATGGCTGTTACTCCGTTCGATGACGGTGGTGGAGCCAATGATATGCCTGGGCGTTCGCGGGACTGAAAGCAGGACACAACTAGTGTATCTGTCGTCTACGTAATAGGGCGGGCCAGAATTTTCGAATTTTCACCCCAAGAAAGGTAGGTTGGTACTGTGGCCATCTCTTTACGACATCAGCTTGCTCGAATTAGACAGGCTTGCGGTGGTTTGCAAGTAGCGAAGGAGGAGCATTTTGCGGTTGCCACCAATAGTCACACGTAACAGTGATGCAAATAAGATGTTTCACTTGGCGAGGTTGTTTTCTTCCCAACGAAGATTCTCGGCCGCTTCACTTCCCATGTAGAAGATTTGAACATACCTAATGAAGTGAATAGGAAGCTGAAATCGATGCATTTACCTAAATAGGTACCTATTTAATAAGGTCATCCGTTACGAAAATCGGAGACGAGTAGAGGATTAAAAGCTAGTGCGTCGTCCTTGGTGAATTTGGTGTTTAGGTAGGTACCCAGCCAACCCCGCGCGTTCGAGATGTATTGAAGATCGAAACAAGACGGTGAGAAGCTAGGTGTGGATTCTTCTGCAAGTCCCGGTGATCCACTCACCTCGTAGACGGAAACTGTTCCCGGGTTAACGATCAGGTTAGTAACCTCCAAGACTGGCTATCATGGATGGCAGCTGCAGCAGGTACGGGTGGTTGGAGACTCGAGTAGCACAAATCGGGATGGATGGCATCAAACTATGGTCTCTCAACAGTCAATAGAGCCGTATCCCTCCGCTTATTTAGGTAGGCAGGTAGGTACTTTTGCTTTTTCTCTAAAATCACTAAATCCATGTAAGGCATACCCGTTATCGGTTACGATCTCATTCGATAGGATGACAGTACTGATCTTATTGGAATTGTAAACATTATGATATCAACAACGGTATCGACGATGGCGGTGGGTTGGCGATGCATGAAACCTGGAAGTAGACTGCCTCGCTTACAAAATATCTAGACAGCTGGTTTGTTGATTTGTTCTTAGACCAGGAACGCTTCAAGATATTTTTTTTCGAGTTGGAGTGGAAGAGTGGAGAAGTTGAACAGCTCATGCGGGGCAAGATCGGAAGCATGGATCAGGTAGCGGAGATTTTTATACTATTGGCTGTTAAGATTATGACATCAGTGGTAAATACCTACCTACCTGCCTACTACTAGGTACCTAATTACCTGGTACTATTAGGTACTGTAAAGAGAGCTCCAACTGTTCCTTGCATTTTCAACATCACATTCAAGCAAGACATAAATTTTCGCTAGTTTAATTCTAATTTCTAATGCAGCATTCGAAATTATAATACTCGTTACGAAAATGTTATCTAAACCCTCCAGCTACGCTAGAAAATTACTATTTACAAGCTTTAAACTATTTCTAGCAATACGATCGAAGCAGTAGGATCAGCTAGGACCACGCGGGCTCTTCGACTAGCGGCATTCATAGCAGGTAATCTACAGCAGGTTACATCGCGCTAGAAATTACTGGCCAATAAAATTACTGGATTGGCATGTCCAGCTGTCCATATGCAGTAATCACCTTAGTCTCAACTTTTAGCCCTTGCAGAGAACTGAAGTCAGTTTACCAAGTTTTTTTCTTCCCAAAAACCCGGGATTTTCTTGCTTTGTTTCAACAATTCGAGATTGATAACATCATGGTGATCCATAATTTAGGACATGTTATCGAATTAGTGACTGCCATCTTGAGGCCTATTTTATTTGTCAAGTACTAGGTACCTACATGTAGTCAGGCGAGTTGGCGAGTTCTATGGCTTGGGTTTTGACAATAGAGTAGGTAGCATCCTAGGTATCCATCTGTCCATGTGGATATTGGAAGCCACGTGCAAGGTATTCAAGCTTGCTGCCAGAGGGCGACTGGATTCTACAACTTAATTAATCCCAAGTATGTAATCTTGGTGATGATACAATCATACGTCCAAGCGGGTACCATAGAAATTTTCTGATCATCTAGGTCAAAGATATCATTCAACATCGTACCCGCAATCATATATGCCCCTACCCGTCATGGTTAGTGTTGCTTGTATACTATCAGCCAATATTTCTACATACAGACTACGGCTATATTAACTTTCCCTTATTCGGCCAACACAGCTTCGAAACACAGCTTGAATATAAATGACTAGCTGTCATCACCACTAGGATACAGCCCGTAAATTGCCTTGCCTCGTGTAGCCCTGCTTCCTAACTGGTAGTTTGGCGATTTTCTTGTGACCAGGGCAGCTGAATACATGGTACTAGTGCTAGTTGATGCCCTACTCGATGATGTAAGTCGATCTAAGCTGTCAAGTCCCGCGCCAAGTATGCTAATCACCTTACGGACGATCTGAATTAAGGATAACCCGACACTAAGGTACCTACTATGCACTTTATGTATGCTTAAGTTTTAATTGCTGCTGGGCTGCTAGGGTATCGACTACCGAAATTTCGGGGATCGACGGGGAGGTTGGGGAGCTGATATATGATCTAGAGCATTACAACCTTAAACATACCTAGCTTGAATAGTGCAGATGGTGCAGATGGTGCATATACAATAGATCAATAATCAAGATATCGAGTGCTTATTGCGTGTATAGAACATGTACAAGGGTACAATTCAACCTACACCGACGTACACATGGCAAGTGCCATCTCCATGTAGGTAATTGCTAAGTCGCACAATGATATTAGGCGTTACATGACGAAACTATACCTAACAATCACATTACATAATGTAGGAACCTACTTCGGATAGGAAGGCAAGTACAAGTTGGATTTAGTACATACCTACGTAGGTGTATTTAATCACTCTGGAAGCCAACTTTCGTCTCATTAATTTTTCCTTCTTCCACGGGCCCTTCAACTGCAGGTAACAAACTTCGAGACAGCTAATCATTTGGAACTCCTTTCCCTCACTTGCGCCTCCAACGCCAACTTCAACTCCAACCCATCGGGAGACGATACCTAGCCTGGCCGTCGTCACAACATTGAAGTTCATCCTATTTCAATAGCTAGGAAGTAAGAGGTAGGTACACACCCAACATGGGGATACCCATCCATCTCAACTACTTAGTAGTATTTGAAGTTTTTACCATTCATGTCCTTTCCCACTACACGTCACATACTTCCATATCTAGTCGTATATACCATATTCTCACACCGTTTCATCTCATCTTCGTACATCTCATTAGTTTGATACCTCTCTCTCGTATAAATACGTAGGTACCGAGTCGGCTACTCCTTCGCGCTGAGCTTCTTTCCTCTCTGCATCTTCGTTTCGTGTCCTACATTACACAAGCACTTACACAACCGAAAGAAATTACTTCTTGACGCGGTCATTCAGGTACGCTTTCCTCTCAGGTTAGATGAGCATCGCACCTACTTCTTATTACATGAGTACCTACCTCATTGTGTTTCTGTCCACCGATAATCAAAAACCTGCCCCTCCCTTATTCTAATTCCTTATTCCCTCTTCCTCCCAAAATAATTCCTCTCTTCAACGCCCACAACATTTTCCCACATCAAAAACCCAGGAACACAATAATCTTCCATAATCATTACAACTGTAAACACGCCCCACCCCACGCACCTTCGAAATTTTGCACGCTTTTTGAGCATCCATTTTACGATCTTCTTTGATATCAGTAATTCTTACCATTCTTGGCAGGAAACCAATCAGTCTCAGTCTTTCAACGTCCCACGTTTGGAATCGCCCAAGATGAAGACCTCTGCGATCTTGGTCAGTATTGGCGCGGCTATGGCTGCAGCCCAGGAAATCACCTATCCTTCGGGTTTTCCTGACTGCGGTGTAAGTAAAATATTTTTTACTCACCTAGCTATCCACGAATGATGCTAACTCTCTAGTAGAAAACCTGTATCAACAACATGTTGAACCAGGCTTCTGAACTCGGTTGCACCGACGTCGCACCATCGTGCCTCTGCACCAAGCAGAACTTCATATACGGAGTTAGAGACTGCGCTACGGAGTCGTGCCAAGACCAATCCCTCGCTCAGCAGGTCATCCAATACGGTAGCCAATACTGCGCTAGTAAGTGCCTCGTCACAAAATTGTTGGTTTGGTCTCTCAGTTACAGTTTGATATTAATCAATTGTTAGGTGTCGGTGTTGACGTATCTGGTATTCCTACTGCTGTAAGCTACTACGACTTTCCTGCATCAGCGGTAATAAGTAGCATCTAACACGACATCTAGACAGGAACAAACCCGACTGCTTCCACCACTGTTTTGGCAACCGCTTCTCCAACCAACAACCCTGTAGTTGTAAGACTTCTTAACTCCTGGCTCGTAGTCGTATAGTCGCTAACACGGTCAAAGGGTACTCAAGAATCGAACAGTAGTAAGTTCTTCAATTTTTTTTTGCCATTGCTCGACATGGCGATGTCTCATATTTCACAATGTACCTATTCTAATGATTGATCCTTAGATGGTGCCACTGGATCTATTCCTATCTCGACTGCAACCTTCGAGACTTCGTTCACCGCTAGTGGTAGCGCCATCGAGTCCACTGTCACTAGTACCATCTTCTCAGGTGAAGCTTCGGCATCAGGCACGGCTGCTTCTGGATCCGAGTCTGGATCTGGCACAGCAAGCGTGATTGAATCTACGATCACAACGAACGGTTCAACATTGGTGACTAGTAGCACGGAAGCCGCAAGCAGCAAGACTTCGGAGAGTGGTAGCAGTGAATCACATACCGGTTCAAGCAGCGAGTCTCATTCGTCCACATCAAACCCTGCTGCTCAGCGCACCGCAGCACCAGCTGGCTTCATTGCTGCCGCTGGTTTGGCTGCTCTCATGCTGTAGGCGGCTTGATGAGTCTTTGACTAGGCTGGGCGGAGTCTCGGTCCGCAGGGAGCAGTGCATTTAATGTTAAGGGGGATCAAGTCACATAATGCTATTGGTCAGTTCGTGCATGGATGGTTCACGATGACAAGGATTCTTCTCTTCACTTGACGATGCGACGACTTTGAGATTGCATGTGGTTCTTTTACGATGTATAAATGATTGACGGTCCTCACAGGACCACTAATACCTGTTCAGAGATACCCACCGCCAAGTAGATGGCATCAAGGCATCAGGCAGTGGAGTTGGTCTTCTTACTTTCATCAAAGAAACTAATTAATAGAGTTTCATTCATCTACCTACATATGCTATAAGTGTCTTTAACTGGCCTTATTGATACGATATCTTGTGACTTTTGTTCAAAGTGAGGTAAGTAATTGATTAATACATACCTGCTTAGGTACTAGGTACCTACCCAGGTATGGTATATACAATTGTACTATATGATAGACATGATAGATATCTCCTAAGCAAGGGACAGATGATGCCACAACTTAGGGCCTAGGTAGATCGACTTTATATCATTGCTACCTAGGTATTCAGAGTTAGTTGGTTGTTGCTTGATATTTCGAATTGTCACGTCACCTGGATATAATACCCACATATGCCTACGTTCATACCACTATAAATCAATTCATACAAATGAAAATCAACTAAATTCTTGAAAGCAAGCTTTCTAGTTATCTATCGATATAGGCCCTCTATTTTCACCTTGCCTCATACTATCAGGTCAGCCCCATATAGGCTATTCCTAGGTAAGTTGATACTATGTATGTAACAATTCCGACGTAATCTAGTACTAGTAAAGATATAGCAACGTGTTGACTAAATATAGCCCAATGCTGTCTGCTGAATTGGTGATCCCCAACGAACGTTTCTAGAAAATGGCGTTGACACCAGTAACACTCGAATGGGGTTGGTATGCCACCGCTACATGGGCATACTATGTTCGTATATTTCGACCCTCACTTCAGACTGCGGGAAAGCTCGTTCAAGCTCTCGCCACTGTTCGTGGGTCGGGACCCGTGTTGGGTCGTTACCTCCGCCTGAGATCCGAACCAATTCAAGACAGGGGAACCAGCCGTTGGAGACGTGTGAGGCGAGCTCCTAGATCGCCGGCATACCTCTCAGATCGATTTCAGTCACGAATAGGATCTTGACGGTTATTGGTATGAAGTTTACCACCATGGATGCGATACGGCGGTCGTAACGATGGTGGTTATGGCGCATCATGGCGGCGAACATCAACATGTTCTGGTTGACGGAGAGAAAGTGTAAACTGCGGCGTAATCGAACGGTGAAGAGTCCCGAGCAGGGAATAGTGTTGTTTAGGGGCACAGGTAATTCGGCTGGGCTCAGGGCAGGCTCTAGAACACTTGGGCCACGATGCCAGAGAGTGTTGCTGACAGTGAAACAGCGACCTCTAATGGATTCCTCATTAAGATGATACGACTTCGTCATCTCTAGGCTGACACGCTTAAGGTTGCTGCAACGCCACATAAAGTGGAAGCATTCTAAGGCTTCTTCATGCTCGTCGCACTGGAATTGGAATTCCTGAATTCTGTCGAGAGCGGCGGCTAGCGGGGCGTCGTTCGGTAGCCGTTGAATCTGCTTCAAGATGAAAGGATTTGCTTGTCCGTAACTCATGGCATTGGTCTGTACGCCAAATGATTGCAAGTTAGGAGCCACCTTAGCCCACTGTGCGATGATGAGAAAGGGCGTGAAGAGGAAGGTTGGCTTATCATGGGTGACGATGAGACTGGTAAGGGAAGTCATGCGGTTGGAGTCCTGCATTCCCCAAAGTCTTGCATAACTCAGCGACCAAGGGACCATGTAATGTATGTCAGGCGAGTTGTTCATAAGAGTTCCGTTCGCGATTGTTGAGTGCGTATAAAGATACTCAAGGTTGGGTAAGAGCGTAGGCAGTAAATCCGTTAGGGTAGTCTGAAATCTGCCTTGAAAGGGTTGATATCCGCTGATTGCACTCAGCACATGTAATGCAAGCTGGGGGTTCATATCCGCAAGGAACCGCGGAAATCCTCCTACACCATTGATCAGGAAGGGGTCGTCATTGGCGAGCATGGTGCTGATCGCGACGACTTTGACAAGAGAGGCAAGGTGAGGTAACTTCGACACCGTCTGGATAAAACCGGCGAGCGATCGGGGGCGTCTGGTTTGGTAACTGTTCGTGATAAAGCGCTTGTACAGATGCGCTTGCAGGAGTCTCTGAAATCCGGCGTTGCATCGTACTAGGGCAGCTAGAGTGGCACGATCATCGTTCACCTCTAGAATATCCCGGATTATAATCCAGAGCTCGGGTGGTAGGATGCCATATGTGGTACTGGCCTTGGACTTCATGGGTATGGGCGTGTGATATGCCGACGAAAGAGGCATCTCCAAACCACTCACAGGGCTGCTGGGGACGAAGCCCTCAAGGGTGTTGCTGTGCACGAGATTAATATAAGTCAGGCTATTGTAATGACAATGGGGATAGAAATTACCTGGTACTAGTCAGCGACTCGTTGTCGGACATGATGGTGGACGATAGGGCGATGGGAAGAATCTTAATATCTGAAGTATCGTGAGTAATGGTGTACCTGTGAAAGTGACCATGTGGATAAAAATACCTTGATGAGTTTTATGTAGGTAATTTCACTTCAACAAGCTGAGGTGATAGGATTGATGCGGCGTTTCTTGTGCACTGACATATTGTAAATAATGGAGTTACTATAATGAAAACGGTGTAGATAAAACTACTTACCTCAGAAAACCTGGTATGGTGGACTAGAAGTTGACGTGAATGTGTGGTGTGAAATAATCCAAATAACGAATCAAGTTATCGTAGTCAAGTTAATGTAAGTGAACACAACTCGATAAAATAAACGTGATTATCTGGATTGGGGAAGGTTGGTACGATGTGGTTGATGTAATGAAGGTTGTCGAATGAGAATGTTGTGGTAAGATATAGGAGTTTAATAACTTGATGTAGTAAAGGAGATGTGACGATGTGCACTGGATCAAGTCATTGAATAAGGGTTGCCATGGAGAAAAAAAAATAAGGGTGAGGAATGTGATCGTAAAGGATTGATGTAGATTTAATAATGATGGTGTAAAAGGAAGTATGGTAGTTTTGGAAATTTTGGGAATTGAAGGACGAGGGTAAATGGTTGTTGTAAGGAAGAAAGATAAAATCATCGAACTGCTGTGATGTTAAATAGAAAATGGTAGGCGGAAATTTCTGATACTGATTGTGCCCGTACAGTAAAAAATACATAAAACAATGCTCACTGGGAAGGTGGTAAAGAAAATATAGGCATGACGACCTACTTGACGATAGTTTTAGTGGTTGTTCGGAACAGTTGGTACTGTACCTAGGACCTAGGTGGTACCTATGTACCTGCTTGCCTATGTATTTTGTAGATATGTACCTAGGTATGTATGGTACCTAAGCAACTACGCTAAACTTTAAGGTAATGTACCCCAGATCACGGGACAGAGAGGGGTAGGTGCGTTCCAAATTGCGTGCTGTAGCCTGTAGCTGAATGAGGGGGGATCAGTGCGGATATTTACAGTTTACATTAACTCTCCTCGTCATACCTTTTTATGATATTTCTGCACTATTATTTATTCTTGGCTTCACTTATCGCAGCACCGTATTCAAAAGGGATCAATATTTGAGGAAACTTTTGCGCGATTTAAAATGTCACTTCCGAAGATCCGGCTCGCCACAGCATCTCCAGGGACGCTGGCGACAACCAAGGAAACCCTTCTGCAGCTACAAGAGGTAGCTACTCGTGCAGCTGCTAACAAGGCTGACATTTTGTTGCTTCCAGAAGCTTATCTCGGCGGTTACCCCCGCGGGTTAGATTTCGGGTGCAAAATTGGCTTTCGAACTGACGAGGGTCGGAACGACTTTTTGCGCTATTTTAAGGGTGCCATCGATTTAGGAGATACGGTTGGAGATGGAGCTGGAGCTGGTGAGGCATGGGTAAAGCGAGAGTTGGGGGCTGACGCGACTGAGGTTAGGGATGGACGATCATCGGTGAGCAGGGGTGATGGGACCAGGGAGGAGCTTGAACGAATCGCGAGGGACACAGGGGTTTTTATCGTCGTCGGGCTCGTAGAGAAGGCTGGCGGTAGTTTGTATTGCTCTGCTGTCTACGTTTGCCCAAAGCTGGGAGTCATTGGGAAGAGAAGAAAGGTCCAACCAGTAAGTTTGAATTTCCTTACCTACCTAGTACCTGAGAATCACGATCACTTATCAAGGGGCTTGATGTAATGGTGTCTACGCAATCCTTCCCAACCAAAAAATGGCCAATCAGCAAATATCCTTGCTTGTTCGACCAATCGCATTTGCAGCTGCATCAGACCATTTGGACAATAACCCCCAGATGAAGAAACTAAATGCGACTATTTCCATAGCCTTACACATATATTGAGCTGTGTAGAAACCCTTCATTAAAGGTCTGGCTGCACTACTTCCGATGACTTCACTTGGGACACCGCGGGTCCCATGCTCATTAAGATGTATTCACAACCGCAGCCGGTCGTGCCACTTTCTGATCTACAACTTCAACACCGGCCAAAGCCCTACGCAATCCCATCAGAATGGGAGACACATAAAGATACCATCAAGAATCTCTATCTAGAGCAGAACAAGACTCTCAAACAAGTCGAACAAACTATGGCTAGGGACTACAAATTCTATGCCACGTAAGTTGTTTAAATATCCATGACTAGGTATACTGTACAAGAATCTATCTCACAACGTGTAGGATAGGAATGTACAAGAAGAGAATAAAAGCTTGGGGCTTTGATAAAAAACTTAAGGAGCACGAAGTAGTAGAACTACTCCGCCAAAAAGCCGAGAGAGACTCCGCTGGGAAGGCATCCAAATTCTTCATCAGAGGTCGACAGGTGGATTTTGAGAAAATACGACGTTATGTAGAAGGCAAACCAAGCATATTGTCTAAGCTAGAGGGCGTTTACGAGAAACGGTCATCTGGGATAGTTGTTTGCCGGACACCATCACCAATACCTACTGCTCTTTCTTCGCCACCGGATGTTCGGAAATTGGAGGAAATCATGACTGTCTTGCGGGACTATATGGGAGCATGCGCCACTGGTCCTCAATCTCGTTGGGTTTTGACACCTGAAGGCTACGCTACTCGAAATTCCGCCCCATCAGTCCTTAGTAATTCAAGAGCAAGCATGATCGGAGCTTGGGATGAACTCGCATCCCTACACTTATCTATGGAACGCACATCTTCTCCCACAGAAATGTTTCAGGTTCTAGATTCGTCTCTGGATAGATTGAAAGATGCCATGAAGGACGAGATACCTGAGTTTATCATCATGCTACTCTATCTTTTGCGATTTACCTGGCCTGGACATCCTCTCCTGCTTCGGATGTTTCGAATGCATGTTGGGGAGCTCTCTTCTCTAGTTCTTGGCATAAAACACCCGTTGACTCTAGTATGGAAAGACGCGGTCACTCTCAAGGAGGGATTCGACGAGATAGTCGAGGATATTTTACGTGTCCTGTTCCAGGAGCTAGTAACTTATCTCGGCCCAGACGACGATGTTGTTGAACTTGCTCGAAGGGCTTGGCGGTATGCGCCAAATTCATTGGAAGGCATGGTAGAGGTGATGAAGCAATATCAGAACTGGCTAGCATCCCATCCAGATTGGCCTAGTTCTATGTTGCGTTCATTTCTTGTCCAAGTACGCCTAATGATCGCGAATCTTGACGAGACAACTCCGAGGCACCGGCTCATCGAGGCACATGGTACAATCCAAACCATCTTAGATACCGAGGGGATGAGTGTCAAGTTTCCAATAAGCGCAGAAGATGCTTGCTCTCTTGCAACTATGGGCGGAAGCATTTCCTTGCGCTTAGGAAATTTTGATGAAGCTGAAAGTGGGTTTTTGATGGCTGTCGACATAGCGAGACAGCATAAGATACCGCCGAAAGATGAGATAATTTCTCTGCGAAATTTGAAAGTACTATACAATGCCATGGGAAAGCGCACGGAATTCTCGAAGGCAAGAAAAGAGCTACGAGATTTGGAAAATAGAATACTACGAGAGACCGCACAGGGTGAATAGGATTAGGCCCGAGGTGGAAGGAATGTGAATTGCGTGTCCTATGAAATATAGAGATCGACTTGGGCTCACAATTGTTTCCTAATATTGAAATGCGGAATAACGACTACAAGCTAACGAAATATAGACAGGCTCGGAACGACTTATCTGGGCGGCAGGTTCGCCGACGACTCTCAAAGCAGTAAGCACTACGATCCGCGGCGTCCGTATCAACCTCGCAGCTGCGATCTGCTGGGAGAATTATATGCCGCTCCTGCGACAGAGTCTCTACGCGCAAAACGTGAACCTGTATCTTGCGCCTACAGCTGACAATCGAGATGCATGGCTGGGACGTAAGTAAATATTTCATCCTTGTTTAGTAAGTAGAGACATATATAGACAGACACTAATCTAGAGTGGCGTAGTGATGCGCACCGTTGCCCTCGAGGGCCGCTGTTTCGTCGTCAGCTCAAATATGTGCGTACCTGATGGCCCCGCTATTGATTCTTCCGCACATGGAACGGCAACAAACGGTATCTCTACGGGCAGGAGGGGTTCCGTGATCGACGAGGACGGAAATGAGATCGTTCTTCCCGACGGAGAAAAACCGGTTTCCTCCTCTGCCGCGGTTGAAAAGGCAGAGATTGCACCAGTAAAGACCACCAGTGGCACTAGAACCTTCCTCTCGCGCGGTGGGTCAAGCATCATTTCTCCATTTGGCGACGTTATTGCTGGACCGCAGTGGGAAGACGAGAAGGGCATTATTTACGCGGACGTCGATTTCGATGATTGCATTCGCGGAAGACTCGATTTGGATGCCGCGGGGAGTTATTCGAGGTATGGGTATTTTCTCGGTTTATCCGCACGTTCTTCCGCACGTTCTTCCCCAGGTTTCTCCTCATGTTTCTCCTCCCCTCCGAGGACCCAATACGTTGGAAAACATCTAATAACCATCACAGGAACGACTCTTTCAAGTTCTACGTCGACGGATTAGATCTCGATCCTCTGCCTTACTGATCTTCCTCATTATCTCTCTTACCTTCTATCCACCTTACTCTAATCTCTTTCGATTCCTATCAATTTCCGTCTTCCAACCCTCTAGCGACGACCTGTCTGAACATAGCAAGTAGGCGGGAATTGGTAGATTATTTATATACCTAACATACTCGAGTATCTACCTAGCTTAGCTCAACCGTATAGATTTCGGAGGATTTGTATATACTCATGTGTCTCCTGTTCATAGGACTTACTTTACTATTCGTTCGTTGAGGTCCAGTTTTACATTTAATTTACTTCACTCTTAGATATAGAGATCCTTCTAGGACGAGTCACAATCAAATTCAGACACAAACTCAGCGTAACCCAAAATCGCAATCTTGTAGTAAATTCAGTAAACGGGTATCTAATTTGCCACTCCAATCCCATGCCTTGATCCTTCCTATGACGGCCGTCGAGCCAAGTGATGAGTGTGTTGTTGGTCCACCCTAGAATGGAAAGTCAACAGGAAAATAAAAACACCTTCCCCATTACCGTAGCCCGTTGTTGTGCAATGTGATTTATCGTCGCGTTGAAACCATTATTCGTACCCTGCTAACCCCCAAAATAGATAAACTCGCCAAACACTGCGTCAACGGATTTGAACCGTGATAATATGCTATCTTGCGGTGGTCACGATGATGACGACCCAAGTGACCCATCTTGAACGCGATCTGCCCTCCCCCTGATGCGACTAGTTATCTTCCCTAGTAACTACGCGGATCCTTCATATCCGCTTTCTTCAGTGCTCATTTCTAGTCCTTCATTCCTGCGCTCATTCCCGCTCCTTCATCCCTCTCTTCGGCCACGGCTCCCTTCTCCGCAGCTTCACGTGGGGAAGCAAGAGGGCTACTCACGCCAGCCACACTGCCGCTAATGCTATCCGCGCGTCCGTGGCCCAGGAGCCCGCTACGTACACTGGCGGCGTCGCCAGCGATGTTCTGCTTCCCAGTGTTTCCGGTGTTAGGGGCATACAGACTGTTCCGCTCGCCGGGCATCGGTGTGGTGGAATATATACTTGTACGCTCGCCGGCGGCGATGCGCGAAGTGGACTGGTGAAGGCCACCGCTGCCGTCAATGTTGGCACTTAGTACACTAAGAGGAAGTGACTCGCGGCTGCCGCCCCAGAGTGATGATGGCGCAAGTGCGCGCACCGAGGCGTCGGTGTCCATAGATCGGCGGCGGCGGCGCTTACTTGATGACGCGAGGGTGAGAATGGATGCGTTATCTGTGAGTAGGTTGTTGGCAGTGGCCGTACTGTACGTCGTGGGATGGCCTGGCCCCGGGTTTGGTGCTAGGTACGGCGGGATCGCGGAAGCGGGAGAACTCGTGGGGAAGGGTTGTGTGAATTGAACGGTCTGGTAGTTCGAGTTGGTTTGGTTGGAGGAGTGGCCGCCATGGGGTGGGCCGTTGACGGCGCCGTTAGGGCCTAGTGATTGTATTGTTGTGAGCGTAGTTGTTAAGGAGCGCACCGAGGGAGCGGGAGAGGAAAAAGTGCTATCCCCTCCTTTTCGGGAGTCGAGACCCCCGTATGCGGTGCGACTGGTGCCCGCTACGGATGATGCCATATGCGAAGGAGCATGAAGGGAGTGGGCGGCTTCGTAGTCGGTGGACATGGTGGGTGCCGCTGATATGCCACCGGCAGTAGGAGGTACGGTCTCGTCATTGGATGTTCCTGTTGAAGAGTGGCTTCTTCGGGCTAACGAAGGATCCGAGAGTCTGGCACTGTGGGACGTCGAGAAAGACGGGTCGCTCTGATGAGTGGGTTGTAAAATGATGCCGATGCGACCGGATTGTGGATATGGGTTATTGTTCTTCGAGGATCGCTTCTTAGTGGCTTTGGGAGTGGTGTCGCGCTTGGAATGGCTATTACGTCGGCTGCTCTCAGCGGCTGTAGCAGAGGAGGATGAGCCGCCACTCTTGAAGTTGGCGAGTTTCTTGACCCATGTTGAGAAAGGACGTCTACGACCTGTGCGTTCTTGACGATCTACCATCGTAGTAGCACGTGTTAGAGAAATGGTCTCGTCTCCTAGATATGGAAGTTAAGAATGTGGAAGAGACGGGGACAAGGTTCATGTCAAGGTAGAGAAAGGGATGTATGATATATGGAGTACGGAGTTAAAGTACGGATGATAAATAAAAATTGGATTATCAGATTCCGAGAGAGCGAGACAGAGTGAGAGAGGGAGGTAGGTATTTACCAGTACTGGGAGGAAGTGGGGATGTCTCAGTCATAGCCATCTGGGGCTTGGATATAAACGGCGATAGAGTGGATGTAAAGCGGTGGCGGTTAAACTATAAAATATGATTGTTGGATCAAGAGTTTCCAAGGTTAAGTTTCACCGAACGACGACGATGTTAAAGGGCAAATGCGGGGACTTGGGTGGGCTTCGGATTAAAAAGATCGTATCCGATATATTGGCGCGAGGCCTCAAGGTGCCAATTGACAAGCGTCGAGAGTTAATCCGCATACACAAGTGTATGTGCTTGGATGGAGTTGGGCAGTTATGCGATGACGATCCAGTCAAGTGCTACCGTTTGTGGGTAGAGATGGATTGGCCTTGTTTTTTTTCGCTTCGTTTTCCTGTCTTTTACAATTAAAATCTTGAGACCTGAAATCTATAGTATTCGAAAATAATCAATATGGGTTAGGCTTCAGTAGTGAGGTATAAATCGATGCGGCCTAATGTGCTCAAATTGCCTAGTTAATAAACACTATGTAGGGATGAAGTTGTTTCTCTGAGAAATAGCATCATCGGTAATGGAAAGTTATTGAAGTGCGATGGACTGGGACTTGGACCTGGAACTGCGGCCTGGACCAAATCTGGTTACCGAAAAAGCACAGACCAATGAAACTATCCGAAAATGGTCCCTGCTTGCCCCCAATTTCTGAGGCTGATGAATTCTCCACTTTCAGTTGAGCCTGGAACATTTAAAATTACGTCATCAGCTCCCCATCCAAGGATTTGATGTAGGGAATGTCCACTTTCGTCCTCCTTTAACTTCGATGTTTCAACCTTGAACTTAATAGTCTATGCCTTTTACCTAAACTAGAATTGTCCAACTTTCATGACTACAGCTAAAGTCTAAAGCACATCTCAGCATGGAAATTATGAGACGACTGGACGAACGATGAAGATGAGAAACGAAGAAGATTCTCCTGCTCAGCAATGTCTATCCAGCATTTGCCGGAACATGTCGTTGCCCAAATCAAATCATCTACCACCATAACCTCGCTTAACAGTGTCGTACACGGCTTGGTCAAGAACTCGCTCGACTCTGAAGCTACTAAAATTACTATTTCTATCGATTATACGCGAGGAAATTGCTCGGTTGAGGACAATGGCTTAGGAATTCCACCTAGCGAATTTAGGTCCTCTGGTGGTCTCGGCAAATTGCATTATACCTCTAAATTTCCTGCTCGTAACGATATTCATGGCCGACATGGTACCTTTATTGCATCCGTAGCTAGTTTATCGTTGCTGTCCATTACATCGCATCATCATGGCTATCGTTCTCACAACACAATTAAAATCCACAACGCCGAAATCTTGGCACGGCATATCCCTGCGTTACCGGAACAAAGGTTGCTAAGCTTCACTCATGGGACTCGAACAACCGTTCGAGACCTTTTTGGATCGATGCCGGTGAGAGTCAAACAGAGGGCTATCGACGCTGAAAGAGGCGTCCATGCGAAGGATTGGGAAAGGCTTAAACGTGGTCTTGCAGCCTTGTTACTTGCTTGGTCAGGCCAGGTATCCGTATCGCTTCGAAGCCCCATAGACCAGCGTAATTTTTCAATTCGAATACCCGAAGACGTCTCAGTGCTCGAAGGCAAGGGGAATGAGATCATCGACCTCACTACTCGTGTTTCGCGGGTATTATTCCAAGCTCATCTTTGTGATGAACATTCACGAGATCAATGGGTTCCCCTTAAAGCATCGACCGGTTCAATTTCTATCGTAGGGGCAATATCGCTAGTTCCAATCATATCTCGACAGGTGCAGTTTATCAGCATAGGTATTCAGCCCGTCTTTAATGAACGCGGCTCAAACGTTCTTTATGAGGAGGTTAATCGATTATTTGCCCATTCTAGCTTCGGCGTAGAAGAAAATAGCGGCAGTGTCGATGAGGATGAACAAAATAAGAGAGCTAAGGATCGCCGATTCAAAACAGATCGATACACCAATCAAGAGCTTAGAGGTAGGAAAGGGGTCGATCGGTGGCCTATGTTCTATATCAGGATCAATTTTGAAGAGCAGGATCTCCGACTTGCTACCAGTGACATAGAAGGCTTTTTTAGCGAGCGCCACCAAGATTTGAAGGCGATCGTTGATATTCTAACTGCGGTAATCTACGAATTTCTTAAAGCACACCACTTTCGCCCAATATATTCTAAACCCCGCATGGTTCTATCTGAACATTCAAATCTTCGGGATAGACATAGCAGATCGGGATCTAGAGATTCTACACTAAGGGTAGATTCTAGGATGGGCCGGATTCGAACGTCTCGAGCCTATTCCTCGGTTGGAGATCTAGCTAGTACCCGACTTAATATTGATCTTAGTACCTCTCACTTAAGACCCGAGTCTCCATTCGATTCATGGACGCGTATCAAGTCGGGACAGCCGCAATATGCTCATTTACACAAGAACACCCTCTCAGGCCAAGAAGCTAGAGAACATGGCCATAGCGAAACTCCCATGGTAGAGAATGGCGACGACATAGAAGACGCTCCCTTAGTTGCACCAGATGGTGCGTTGCTACGTTTCCCTTTTTCTGATGTCGAAACGGATATGTCTGAAGTCTGTCAGAGGAGTACTCTTGAAAAAGACCTTGAGAAAGGACGATCTACTGTTGAAGAAAATGCAGGATTTGTGTGGACAAACCCAACGACCAAAGAAATATTTTCGATCGACGACCGAACTGGTCTAGTAATACGGCCTCGGATGAATGTGGATGAAACGCCTCATGTTGGACGTCTACCATCGAGAAAGAAACTACGTACAAACACCAATCCGGTTACTAAAGACGAGAGGAGCAAATGGCTAGGTGATCTCTTGTCATCCTGGGATAATCCTGTATTTCCGACGCAAGAACCACCAATCCCAGTTGCATTCGACGAAGCAAAGGCGTTAGCCCTAGAAACGAAGGCGTCAGGCGACTGCTGCCATGGGTCCAACTTCGAACCGTCGGACCTTGCGCAGAACTCTCATAACATTGGGGGGAGGTTATCTAAGGATGACCTAAGGAATGCCCAGATCATAGCACAGGTCGACCGAAAATTTATCTTGGCCAAGGTTCCTTTATCCTCGACTTCATCCAAAATAGATGAAAATGGCCCGAGTGGATCTTCATTACTTGTCATGATTGATCAACATGCAGCGGATGAGCGGTGTCGGGTTGAAGTCTTAATGAAGGATTATTTTGTGGTTTTGGAGAGCGATATCATATCGTCAACAGAGCAGAATCATCAATCAGTCTATGCCCAAGCATTGCCGTTAGAGAAGCCCATTATCTTTGACATCTCACGTCAAGATAGCCTTCGATTTGAACTATCCAAGGAGTATTTTATACATTGGGGAGTGTTATTTGAAGTCAGCTCGACATCTAAATCAAAGTCTGATAGCAAAGGAGGGCCAAAATTAAATGTTCTTGGGCTACCACCTAGTATAGCTGAGCGATGTCGTGCGGAACCCCGTTTACTTATCGAGTTGCTAAGAAAGGAAGCATGGAAACTCGATGAACAAGGCGGCAGCGCCTTGCGGCTCACCCAAACGGACGCAATACAGGAAAACAATGATAACACTACTGGACTACACTGGTTAGCCAGGTTTCATGGATGCCCCCACGGCATCTTAGAGATGATTAACTCGAGGGCATGCCGTAGCTCCATCATGTTCAACGACCTGCTTTCCCACGAAGAATGCGTCGATTTGGTAAAACGATTGGCGGACTGCACCTTACCTTTTCAATGTGCTCATGGTAGGCCATCAATGATACCAGTGGTCGAGATAGGAAGTACCCTAATGGGCGCGGGGGGGTTTGGGATGCATACAGGTAGTTTTGGCGAAGATTTTAGGAGATGGAAATCAAGTAAACGTAATTGATAATACTAGTGCTGGCTACACTGAAGTTCGCCTGGCACCCCTTCGGGGTGCTGCGCTTTAATTAGCAAAAATACCAGTAATTAGCATAGTACCCCTATAGAAAACTTTCTATACGATTTACATATAAGAATACTTGCCAAGACTCCCATGTTAATAAAGTACTTACAATTAAGAGAGAATCTCTCGTAATGGAAAGTATTTTGCTAATACCTGGTCTTTTTGCTAATTAAAGCGCAGCACCCCTTAGGGGGTGCTAGGTGAACTTTAGTATAGCTAGTACTAGTATCATGAATATGAGTTAATAAGTACCTACCTACCTACTTGGCTAAACTAGCCCATCTTAATTAACGGATAATTCATTTTCAAACCATTAATATATGGTTTGGTTTCATAAACATTTAATTATCTAAATATTTATAAAGTTAAACGATTACTCGCATTTAAACGTTATATATTTTCAAACGTTAGAAAGAAGTTCAACGTTTCTTTCAAATAAATGTTTGGCGATAGCTCGAACTATTCGAAGTCCCTGATCTGGTGTGTGTAACCCATTCAGTACTTTGATCTTGTTGTTTTGATCTAATCCACCTACCTTAAGTCTATATAAGACCTTGATCCCACCCACCTACCTCCAATCCTTCTTCTTCTTCTTCTTCATCTTCAAAACCTCCAAGTCTTTGAAGAAGTCTTCAAAGGTCTATCCACACATACCAGGATCGTCTCCAGGATCGTCTCCAGGATCTCCAGGATCTCCAGCCTATCCGATTTGCCAGTGACTTGAGGCTCAACTGCGGCTCTTGCAGGTAGGTAGGTAGGTAATCTTGCAATCGTAGAAATCGTAGATAGCCTCCTACATACGTAGGAGGCCTCGTAGAAAGCTATCCGTTTGCTTGTTGGTCCTAAAGTGAAACACCTATCCGCTAGCTCCTGCAACTTCCCGTCTAGGTACATCGAAGGCTTCATGTTAAACGTTTAAAATCTCCAAACGTTTGGAAAGGAAGTAAACACTAATCTGAAATTAAACGATTAAATAAAAAAACGCGCAGTCGACGGTTTCTTTTTTTCCAAACGTTTAACTTTTCAAACCATAAATTAACCATAAATTAATGGTTAATTGGATGCTGCGGATCTTTGTACGGTACCCTAGCTAATATTATTAATATATTAATAAGCTAATTTTACATTACGTAATGGTTATCGGTGATTGTACGACCTTCGATGCTCGAGGTCCTATGACTGAATACGTAATATTTAACATGCTTACCTAATGACTAGTACGCATTGGGCTTATGTAATCTATCGATAAGGTTCCTAGCTCCCAAATCGCGGCGCGGTGACGTCCTAAGCTATTAGACAACTAGCATAACAATTACAATATTCTACGGAATGACGAACAAATCAGGCTTGGTGTCACCGGTTTGATTGTCGCTAGCACTCAAGAATAGGCCATGGCTTTACTTTTGGTAAGATATGATTGCTAATCCAAATCTAACCTTCTCTAACATACTATCTCATAGTGGAAAGCATTCGACTTCTTCGAAATTAGCCAAGTCAAACTCGGTGACGACGAAACACGATCGTTCTTCGAGAATAACGAGATATCGAGCGTTTGTTCCGGTTCCGATAGTTTATTTCTTGGAAGCGATAATGGATACGTTCGTATCATCGGTCCAAGCTGGAAGATAGTTCGGAGCTTTCACGCACACGACACTGGTCGCATAACGCATATGCGCCAGGTCGAGGGGACGAGCCTTCTAGTGACCGTTTCGGTAGGATCTTCGCATATGATTAATATAAGTTCTTGAATAATAAATCGATCTGACTATGGTTAGGAGGACCTAAGCAACGAGCCGGTACTGAAGGTCTGGGCATTAGACAAACCTGTTAAGAAGACGGGATTGCCTACCTGCTTAAGTTCGTTGACCATAAACAATGGCAGAAAGCAGTTTCCCGTAAGTATATCTATAATATATAGTAGGATATATGAACCTTGGCTAACTCAAATTATAGATCTCGTCCTTCACCGCTCTCGATGATCTATCACAACTTGCTGTGGGATTCGCAAACGGAGCAGTCACAGTAATACGAGGCGATCTGATACACGACCGAGGCACGAAACAACGAATAGTCTACGAATCCGAAGAGCCGATAACAGGAGTCGAATTCGTAGCCGATCCAAGGCTCACCACACTATTTGTTGCGACGACTTCCAAACTATTGAAGTTGATTATATCAGGAAAAGGCCAAGGCCAGCCTCCGAGAACAATCGAGGATGCCGGATGTGCAGCTGGGTGCATGACAGCAAACAAGAAGACTGGAGATATCATCGTGGTTCGCGAAGATGCAGTGTATTACTATACACTGGAGGGAAGGGGACTATGCTTTGCTAACGACGGAGCTACGAGTTTAGTATCAACGTTCCAGGACTACGTTGCACTTATTTCGCCGCCCCCGGCTTCTGGTAGTGGAGGTTCCGACAGTATTAGACGTCGTTTTGGGGGCACAAACACCGAATCTCTATTCAATGCCGCTAGGTTCACGATGGTGGACCCGGCCCTTCAAATAGTCGCACACTCTGAGTCTCTCATCTCTGAAGTCAAGGCGATCTTCCAGATATGGGGAGATCTGTACATTCTTACACAAGATGGAAAGGTAAGAACAAGACCTATCTTCTTATACCATGATATACTCACCAAATTTAGGTCAACCGCTACCATGAGAAATCGTTGCAACAAAGACTCGAGTTATTATATCAACGAAATCTATTCCCGCTTGCCATCAACCTCGCGCAGAAGTCTGGCATGGACCTGCAACAACAGAATGTCATATACCGGAAATATGGCGATCATCTATATCAGAAAGGGGACTATGACAGCGCTATGTCACAGTACATTAAGGCAATTGATAACACAGAACCCTCGCAAGTGATCCGGAAATTCCTTGATACGCAAAGAATACATAACTTGATCGAGTATCTTGAAGAGCTGCACGAGCGCCATAAAGCCACGGCAGACCACACGACACTATTACTAAACTGTTATGCTAAGTTAAAGGATGTCGATAAACTAGAAAAATTCATCAAGTCCGAGGGGGATCTCAAATTCGACTTGGACACTGCTATAACCATGTGTAGGCAAGGTGGCTACTTTGAACAAGCAGCCTATCTTGCCACAAAGCATGGTGAAAACGACCTTGTGGTGGATATTCTCATTGAAGATTCCAAGAATTATGCCGAAGCACTCGACTTTATATGGCACTTGGATTCTGAAACGGTGCGCAATCTAGTCCTTGGTGCAACTTGAAAAAGGGGAAAAAAAACTAATTTTTGATAGGCATACCCATGTCTGATGAAGTACGCGAGAGTGCTCCTAGAAAATTGTCCTAGTGACACCACAAAGATATTTATCGACTATTATACGGGAAAATACAAGCCTAAAGTCCATAAAGTGCCATTGGAAGAGACACAAACCATATCGAGTGGTGGGTTTGTAGCAGGTGCTACAACTGCTGTGCAGAATCTAACTAGTCTACTTCCTCTCCCATATATGAATACCTCCGCAGTACCTACACCTACCGGTCAAGGATCGCAAGCAACTATTAGCGATGCGGGCGCCGTAATAGAACCCGAAATAAATGTTGAGCCGAAGTATACCCCGCCGCCTCCTCGAACAGCCTTCTCGTCTTTCATCGATCACTCAGACGAGTTTATCGTCTTCCTCGAGGCTTGCCTAAAGGAGGACTCCCTTAACGAGTCGGATAGGGCGGACATATATACGACCCTATTCGAAATGTATCTCCATAAAGCTAGCGAAAGGAAGGGCATGCAACGGGAAGAGTGGGAGCTCAAAGCGAAGAAGCTCATCGAGGGGCGAGAAGTACCCATTGAGAACTCGAACGTCCTTCTCCTATCCCACCTATCGGATTTCCGCGACGGCACGACCCTCGTCAAGGAGCAGTCCGGCCTTCTATCCGATATCTTCCGGTCCTATACCTCGGCCAAGGACACTCGCGGGGCTATCAAAGCGCTCCGCAAGTATGGACCAAAGGAGCCGCAACTATATCCGGCAGCACTCGCATACTTCACGTCGGACGCGCGAATTCTAGAGGAGGCGGGGCCGGAGGAGCTAGCGAACGTACTAAATAAGATTGACCGCGACGGGCTCATGGCGCCGCTGCAGGTCATCCAGACGCTGGGCTCGAACGCGGTGGCGACCATGGGCATGATCAAGCCGTACCTCCGAGAAACGATAACGCGCGAGCGCCGCGAGATCGCGTCGAATAGGCGGCAGACGAATTCGTTCCGGAAAGAGACCGAATCCAAGCGCGCCGAGATGGCGGAACTCGGCGTCAAGCCGGCCGTGTTCCAGGCCCAACGTTGTCCCGGCTGCGGCGGGCTGCTCGAGCTTCCCGCCGTGCACTTCCTCTGCAAGCATAGCTTCCACCAGAGGTGTCTAAAGCAGAGCGAGGACGGCGCCGAGGTCGAGTGTCCCGTCTGTGCCGTCAACAATGCGGCGGTGCGCGCGATGAAGAGGAGTCAGGATGAGAGGGCCGATAGACATGATTTGTTCAAGGATGCGCTGGAGAAGGGGCCTGAGAGGGAGAGGTTTAAGACTGTGGCGCAGTGGTTTGGGCAGGGTGTTATGGGGGCTGGGACTGCAGAGTAGAAGTATGAGTTTGAAGTGAAGTTTGAGGTTGAGGTTGGGGGTGTATGATGCGATGATACCATGCCTATTCTAAGTTGGATGTTGGAGGTTAAGGGTATCGTACTATGAGTACTATGACTTTGTCTATATGGCGATTTTCTATAGGTCTAAGCGCATCTATATAATGTATATACCTACTAGTATACAGGAGTTACAGCACTGCCCGGTGCTGTTGGTTTTTAATTTTCAAGATTCCTCTACGATTTCTTATACACGAGTAGATGAGTAAATTTTCTTTCTTTCAAATAGGTACTTTTAATCGGTACCTTACGAATATCAGTACGACAATTAGTGTGGCACTACTCCGAATAAACCGTTCAGCCAGTTCCCGGTAACTTCGTCGTTGATTCGAGCGCGCCAATCGGTGATTTGATGGAGGTATGTAGAGGTTAAGGGTGTAAGTAGATCAGTCCCGGAAACGTCGGTGATTTGGCCATGGCGCACTGTCATGGTGGCGTGGAGGGATAGTGGCAGGGTGACCGGGAGAGGTGGGCGTGGACGTGAGTCTTCAGAGGTGGGGTGCGTGGAGAAGGTGAATTGGGGGGTTTGCGCGTATATCCACTCAGGAGACTGTTAAATGTGTTAGGGGCTTCTTATAAATTGTTTAATATTCAATATGCGGGTATGTTTCTTTTGTCCCACTATCGTATGTCATTGGGCGAAAAGAGATCTTAAGGAAAAGGAAGAGGGTTTCACATGAGAAAGAGAGAAAAGGAAATAGGGGATCAAGCCTACCTTAAGCTCAGCATAACCCTTCGCGATAATAGACTCGTCGTTCAAGATTTTCTCCGCCTCAAACGCATCAATGACCTCAGAGTCCACAGCGCCGTACATAGCACCAAATTCAGCAACGACGGCTTCCTCGAAAGACTCCAGGTCAGTAACTCCTATATTGCGGATAGCGCTGCGCACGCTCTCGACGCCGCGCGCCTTAATGTACGGCGCGGCAGGCGAGTGTAACAATGGGCCAACGAGGAGTAAGTTGGGCGATGATAGGAGACATGTCCCATGGTGAAGAGAGCGCTCTCGTGTTAGTTTGTATGCGGAGCCGGATATCTTAAAGGTCTGGGTTGGCGACTGCTGTGCTGTGACAATGGGAGAGGAAGATGGAACGTCGAGCACGATGTCATGTCGCTCGTTAACGCGGAATGAGGTGTCTGGTATGGCAAGAGAGGATAATGCTCGCACTATCATGGAAGCGTGCTTGTTCCGGTCGAAGGAGGCCGGTGGACAGATGACGCTATAGTTCACATTGCCAAGGTCGTGAAATACGGTGCCGCCGCCGGAACGCCGCCGGACTAGGAGGACTTCGTCGTCTTTTCCATGTGCACTGTCAGATATTATGCCATTGGGCTGGCTGAGCAAGCCCAGGTTCACCTCAACCCAGGGGTTTTGATTCCGGCCGATAACGACGCATGGTCGGTTCGTGTACAAGAAGAGCACAATAGAGTCTGGGGAAGATTTCTGAAGCAGGAAATGCTCGATGGACAGGTTGAGGTACGGATCTGATGATCGTGAGATATACACTTGAACCCGGTTCGAGGGGTGTGAGACGACCTCTGCACTGAAGAACCGACGTGTTGTTGGGTGTGCATTCGATATATTAAATTTCATACATGGCCTGGAGAGGGTTGTGAGAAGACGTCGCGGGAGAGCCATGAGAGGTTGTTAATAATATTTCCTTATACTTCACCTCATACTTAGGTCATATTATGTATCGTATTATCCCAATTTTTTCCATTGAATTCCAACAATAAGTTGTAAAGTTTCTAGGTGACTAAGGGTGATTACCAGGTCGGTATTATGAAAAGACGAGATCTTAGTGGCCGCGCATATGAGAGCTTAGGGAAGGGGAAGTCATGAATAACCATGGTAATCTTTAAACCCCTACAATTATAGACCCACATACTCGGGTAAGGACAGAGCCAGGGATATGATGGGAGCAGGGATGTTATCGATAAAGAAAAAGTCAAATCGCGGGGCTTCAATCGGAGAGAGTTCGACAGAAATGCCCCACTATCATAAGACGCTTCGAAAATTAATTCCTTTCGTTCTTTGACTCATCAAACAAAGCTTTCTACCCTTTTAAGCATTTACCAAGATTTGAATCGGTCAATTGAAAAATCGACCGTACAATTTCTGTTTGGTGGAATCTAATCTGTCGTCTTTTATTCGATTATCGCAAAATGTCGACTTTTGGGTCCTCGTTCAGGGTCACCACGTTAGCTAAGCAAGCCAATTGAACTTTCTAATACTGTCTAACAAACAATTTAGCTATGGCGAGTCCCATTGCCGATCGGTAGGATGCATTATCGACGGTTGCCCGCCGGGCATGGAACTCACAGAAGCGGATATTCAACCACAAATGAACCGTCGCCGACCGGGCCAAAGCAACATCACAACACCCCGAAACGAGAAAGACCGAGTCGCCATACAATCCGGTACTGAGTTTGGTGTCACTCTGGGTACACCGATCGGCCTAGTAGTTCTCAACGAAGACCAAAGGCCTAAGGACTACGGGAACAAGACAATGGATCTTTTCCCGCGGCCTAGTCACGCAGATTGGACTTACCTCGAGAAATACGGTGTTAAGGCGAGCAGCGGTGGTGGAAGGAGCTCGGCTCGCGAGACCATAGGCAGGGTAGCTGCAGGCGCCATCGCCGAGAAATACCTCAAACTTGCCTTTGGTGTTGAGATTACCGCCTTCGTCACTTCCGTCGGTTCAGTTCACATGTTTCCGCCCACAGTCGAGTACCCAACGCAAAGCCAGAACCCGGCGTTCTTAGAGCTCATCGAATCGATCGATCGGGAAACTGTCGATAAGTTCCTACCTGTACGATGTCCAAACGAGGAAATGTCTCAGAAGATGGCGGACTACATAGCCGCCTTCAAGGAGCGCAATGACAGCATCGGTGGAACTGTCACCTGTGTTATCAAGAATGTTCCCAGCGGCCTAGGAGAGCCGTGCTTTGACAAACTAGAGGCGAAGCTCGGACACGCCATGCTCAGCATACCTGCAACCAAGGGCTTCGAGGTCGGCTCCGGCTTCGGTGGCTGCGAGGTTCCTGGCTCGATCCACAATGACCCTTTCATTAAGGCGCCCGACGCATCTACCGGCCAGGAAACCGGCGCGGGGCGTAACGGAACGCCGAGGCCGAAGCTCACAACCAAGACGAATAATTCGGGAGGCATCCAAGGTGGTATCTCAAACGGCGCACCGATCTACTTTCGCGTCGCATTCAAGCCACCTGCTACCATTAGCCAGGCGCAGACCACCGCCACGTACGACGGCGAGTCCGAGGGCGTTCTGGAGGCAAAGGGGAGGCACGACCCTTGCGTGGTACCGAGAGCAGTGCCGATCGTGGAGGCCATGTCTGCACTAGTTGTTATGGATGCGCTTATGCAGCAGATGGGCAGGCACGAAGCCAAGAGGCATCTTCCACCCGCGAAAATAACTGTACCTGTTTCGGATAATGGTGTTTCTATGGGTGTAAAATAAAGGGGTTCGAGTAGATAAAATATTAATATTGTCAGAAAAATACTACCTAAATAGGGGCATAATGTGAATTATCGTATTGAGATTTTTAGGGTGGGGTGATATCCATGGATTAGTTACTACCTAATCATTTGCTAGGCTTACCACTATTTATAGCGTAGGTGATTACTGGTTCGTAGGGCGCGTAGGACTATCGTTTTACTGTTGATGGGCTGAAATTTTAGTTAGGCGATTCTGCCTTTGGGGGGCTTACATAGCCCCCAATTGCAACACTGGATACACCTGCAGGTGTGCTGTGGTGTAGCTTCGATGCAATCGTGATACAGGAGCAGGGGGCTATAATAAACGTGGTATTTTCTTTGCTGGTGACCATGATAGTTAATTGTTGGGGGTTGGGGCCTACCATCTATGCTTACCTCCTAGTGGTGAGAGGGTTGATTTAAAAATCCGGAGTCATAATACCTAGGTACCTAAGCACCTAGGTAAGTAGATATCTTATATAACAGCGCCGTTCAGGCTTAACATCAATGGAAGAATAACAAGAAGACAGCTCGAAAATATTTGTTCCTTTTGTTACCTATGAAACCTGAAGCCCATTTGTCGTGATGTCCGAATCAAAACGCTGCATGAAGTGTCGCGAACTTACACTTGAAAAAATTGTTGATGACGGGTATTTGATAGCTCCTAATGCCCTCGACTTCCTTTTCAAACCGACCAGCGAGCAGGAAACTTGCGACGTATGCTCGATTATCCGCCACTCACTCAGATATGATCGGGGCAAGTTGCGAATATATACAAATTCCTCCGAGGTGGAGATGTCACTATTTATTTTCAGAAACCCCCCAAGTTTCTCTGGTCACCGCCTCCAGCAATTAGATGTCATCGCAATGCCTTCGAGACTGAGGGGAGGTCACTGGGTTGGGGGCACTGATGGGTACTGGCATTTTGGACCGCCTGATGATAAGCCTCAGATCGCTCGAGGCATAATTGTAGTGCATTGTGGCCAAGGTGAGATTTTATAACTTCATGTGCCATCATAGCATACATAGGTATCCAAGTTAATATTAAATGCATACCTAGACATATCCCCGGATTCCTTTCTAGCTTCATTCATGAATAATCGCTTGCCCGCCCAAAATGTCGAGGCCACCGAGTCAGCAAAGGTGGCAACTAGGTGGCTTGACGAATGTTTGGAGTCTCACGGTGGCAGATGTGCTGCTAATGAGTCTAGCAAGCTCCCTACTAGGGTGGTCGATGTTGGCTGTGGAGATGACTTTGCGCAGCTTAAATTGACAGAGCCGAATGGCCAGAGCGGTAAATATGCGGCGTTGAGTTACTGCTGGGGAAAGACCCCGTTCTTTAAGTTGACATCGACTAATAAAGAATCTTTAATGAAGTCGATACCCTTTGAACAGTTACCACAGACAATTCAAGATGTAATCCGCTTTACGAAAATGCTAGGGATTCGATATCTATGGGTAGATTGCCTCTGTATTATTCAGGGGGTCGATGAGGAAGCACGAGAAGACTGGTTGAAAGAGTCACAACAGATGATGACAGTATTCGGGGAGGCATTTTTAACCATTTCTGCCTCCGGATCAGCGAACGCCCATGAAGGCATCTTCAAGGAGCGTACGAAAGAAAATAAGCAGCATTGCACTATCCCTGCGTCAGAATCCAACAGTACCCCTATCCTTCTCAACTTCAATAGCCGGAAAATCCTGCCAGAGAACGAACCACTCGGCAAAAGAGGCTGGACATTCCAAGAAAACATCCTACCTAGGTATGCGCATCTTCTCTTTTGGATCAAACGAACTATCCTGGAACTGTCGAGAGTATATGCTATCAGAATCAGTATTTGAACCACTTCCTCCCAGATTAGGACTTTCGATGACCCTGGAAGCAGAGGCATTGTTGCTTTACACTAACTGGACTAAAATTGTTGATAAATACAGTTCTACCTCACTCACACTGATTTCCGATAGGTTGGCAGCGATTCAGGGTATTATAGACTTTATCCAAGTCAGATACCAAGAAGACACTTGTGTTGCAGGATTGTGGAAAAGGGAATTGCTAGCACAACTTCTCTGGAAGCATACTCTCCGAAAAGAGAGCTGCTCTAAATCTTGTGATCGGCATGTTGTACGGCGAGCACCATCAGTACGTGGCATTTTACAGAAATGAATACACTGACATAAAACAATATCTAATGGTTGATGGCCGAGTGAAATTTCCCGACAACTCATGTTTTGGATCAAAACCGAACGATGAACAATCCCAGAAAAATCGACCAGCACAGATCTTGTTCGCCTCACCAACCCGTACCATGATACGGGGAGGACTGAAGAAAATCGACACGATTCGACGGGTAACCCGGGGCGAGTATAACGGGCTTTATGAACTATTCCCTCCTTGGCGAAACTTCACTGCTAGCATGCAGACTTGGATCGACGATGTGGATGACATCCCAAAAAACCATCAGAAGACATCTTCCGAATCTAACCCCCGAAAAGAGATAATCAACGTTTGGTTCTTGTTCATCAGAGAGTCAGAAGGACTTATTCTAATAAGAGAGAAACCACGGACGCGGCGGGTAGCCAATGCAGTGTTGATGTTAGTACACTGTTTACCAGCTGTTGTGAATCGAAAACTTCAATCTAAATGAAAGCGCCAGGGACCAAGTCGATACATGCATAGGTAGGTACCTACCTAGGTACCTAGGTGGTGTTGGCGGTCCCTAGAGTGGGCTATAAGGCCGAATCCGCCAACCCGCCAATTTAATTGATGTATTGAAATGTATACAGTATGATACAGTGTGATAGCGTACAGTAACCTTATATACATAGTTAACACGGTGCCTTGGATCTTACAGGTGGTTATAGCGCACTAGGGTGCTGAAAGCCCTGTACTTTATAGGGGTTATAGCGCATAGCCTTTTTACATATGATATCCCTCACTTTGAACTATTACGTGCTATAGCCCCTATAAGTCTGTAGCGCTATTGTCCCCTGTAACACTCAACGCACCGTGTGGAATATGTATAAGACTGTACGCTGTCACACTGTATTACCTGTATACATTTCAATACATTAATTGAATTGGCGAGTTGGCGGATTTGTTCTTATGGCCCGCCGTCGATACAGGCGTACACGAATACCAAATGCTTCCCCTTTGAGATTTAGCCACCAAAATTTCACAATTTCCATACAAGCTGAAAGACAATTCTCAATACTTAATCTTGTATTTTAAGGGTATCTCTGATGATCATGATATCATAAAAAAGACATAAACTAATATATACCTCCTACCTAGGTATCTACCTAGGTAGATATAACCATTCCATCGGCTCTATCGAGGCCTACGCTGCGTATTTCCTCTCCTTAACAAAGACAACCTTGTCTTAATTGGATTCGACGTCTCCTCGTCATCGTGTCTAAAATATGACGAGAACGGCGTGTTATCAACGTTAATATCGATCGAGGGAGCGCGTCGCTCTCCGAGGTGAGGGGGCACGGGGTAATCCTCTGGCGTGTTCGGCCACTGTTGGTGATACATCTGACGTCCGTAATCCTGGGAGATGGGCGAGAGATCACCGTCACGGTGTTGGCCAGTCGAGTCAGAATAGTGCGTCTGGCTTGGAGCCGAGACACTAGACCCGTGGTTATTATGCGTATTACTAGATGATAATAGCGAAACCCCGTCCGCATTATACTCCGGCGTGTCCCCTACACCACGCAACGCACCATTTTGAACATCAGACTGATGACCATCATAAGGCGTAGCGTCCATAGCTCTTTTCTCATCGTCCCGTCCCACCAATTCAACCCCCCACCTTTGCGTTCCATCCGCCCCCGTAAACCAGCCCAACCTTGCCTTCGTAACACGATCGCCCTTCAGTTGCGCAGTACTTTTCTCCCTAGCCTCCTTAAGCAATTTCTCACTTCCCGCCATCAAGACGATGACGTCCGCTATGCTATCAATCTTCCGTAGGAGCATGTGTGTATATCGTCGAGAAGCGACCGTCAGGATCACGGTGGCGACGATGAGGTACCCGAGGATCAGCATGCATATCCAGGCCGCGGGTTTCGACATCTTGAGGAGCTCGACGGGGCGCTGTACATGGAAGGATATCGTCGAGTCGGATGGCGGGGAGGAAGTATCGGCTCTTTTGTTATTACCACTAACAACAGGCGTATCAAGGTCGGGCGGAAGGGCATCGTTGGGGGGTTGGAAAACATAGCCTCCGGTCGTGAAGGAGACGTTGTTGCTCGCGTAATTCTGGAACAGGGCCGTGAAAGTCTGCTGTGCGGTGCGTTGCAGTGTGTCTGGATCAAGGAGCGCTTCGTGGTCGTTATTGACGAGAGACAACATGGAGTATGTCATGAGATCGACGTTCAGGCCGGGTTCTCTAATATTAAAGGTCTGGTCGTCGATGGGTTCGGTTGCGATATTCCAACTTTCGACATCGCCAACAAAATTCGACATATCTGCGGCGCCGAGCAAACCAGTTATGAATAGAATGCCGTGGCTGGTCGTAATATTGACACTGTAGAGGTTACTGCACCCGGCGCTCTGGCATAGCCCGTCATAGTTCTTGTGCTGCTTGAAGTCGTCCGACCACGCGTATTGGTCTGGTTGCGGTTCATCGAGGAGGTCAAAACTGATGACATGGCTGTCTTCCGTGCTCACAGTAACGCTGGCATTCACTGTTTCGATGATGGGCATGCAGTTTAATGCCGCCATCTGAGGCGGCTCCGACCACATTAGTCGTGGTGCGTTTATGCTACTCGACGAAGATGAGGTTTTGTCATGGTACCCTTCTACCGGACGACCGCGAATCCATTTGATCGTAAAATTAGCAGGCCAAGATGTCGCAAAATCCGGGTACAGTGAGTTGTTCGCTAAATTTGGCGACCAATATCCCATCGAACTCGTGCCAATCTGCCCGTCGGTGACATTCTCGCAGCACGACACCCTCTTATTATTCACAAAGAATGTGGTGTAATTCCCTGCTACGCTTGCGTTATTATCCAGGAAGAGCAAAGTGTTAGATCCAAGTCTATTCAACCCCAACTCGTAGCCGGTCTTTAAAATATCTGGATCAAGTGTTTGATTCCATGCTGTTGCGTTAGTCAAATCCCATTTGGTCAACCAGTTTGTGTTGTTGGTGAGGTCCAAATGCTGGTGTGGTGAACATTCGATTCGTCCTCGGATTCCAGAAGTCTGCAATGTAACGTTCATCGAAGATACCGGCACTGTCGATTCATTGCCGGTATTTTGAACATTTGTTCGCGGCACTGAAGATAGGTCGTGCGGGACGAAACTCCAACCATCTGAGCTCCAGGCAGGCTGTGATCCATTCAAGGAGATCTGCACAGCTGCACCATATATCCACGAAGTCCTTAAGTTGCTAAATAGAGATGCAAGGGCAGTCTGTTTATAGTTGCCTGCGTGACTGGTGAACTGCAGCGTAGCTTCTGACAAATGCGGGACACTGCGTAATTCGAGCTGTCGTTGAACATCAACCTGGAATGGCACGCTTCCGGGTTCTCTATCCCAAACCGACGACATCGCAATTGTGACTGCTAACGTTAGAATAGACCTGTGCATCTAGTATGAGAGCACTTACAGATCTCAGCAAGAAATGCACCACCACACACAGTGGCGAGCACAAAGTGCCTTCGTCTAGAAGCTTTCCAAACGGCGTGTAAAAGATACGAAGAGATGTAAGAGACTAGTAGACCTTCATCTCCGGCAACTGGCTCTTTGGCAAGAGATAGGAAAGGCTGGATCCTACGCAAGGTTGTCTCAAGCGACCCCCACCACAATCCAATTAACACGGCGAGGAAAGTGGTAACGATGGAGGCTGGGTTCACGTTACTAAGGTCGACACCGCCGATTGAAATGTTAAATGCGTATACAAAAGCCGTCTGGTATAATCCGTACGTCCCTGAATACCAATAGAGATACGCGATCACTATCAAGGTGGCCGAAAGGAGGAGGGTAAATATAATGAGAAGCCAAATGCCAAAGGTGAATGATTGTGGTTTTGAATCTGTGGCGGCTATAGTCTGCGATGTGTTGATGTACTCTGGCGAGGTAGACTGGATGAGGTCGTCGACTTCAGGGGTTATCAGGCGAACCCCATCACGGGTTAACTGGTATCTTTGGTTCGCTACCGCGGCCCGTATCTCCTCGATCGTGCAGCTATGGAGCCCCTCGAATGACTGCAATGTAGCGGGCTCATTTGCAATAAGTTTAGCCATGCTCATTGCCGGTGCCGGATCTGCGAAAAGACCGAGAGGGCGCCTAGATAGTCTAGTCATGAAGAAGAGTATGGCCAACAGTACCAGTTGTATACCTAATGCAATTTCGAGAACAATGGCTACAGCAGGTACTACAACAACCCGTCGCCTAGTCTCGGATGTAGTGCCAGAGATTTCAGAAGGGTTGTTCGTCGCAGAGTCATCGAAGGTGTCGCGAAGAAGCTCCCCGAAGAATCGTTGTTTTATTTTCCCAGCAGTTTGTACTGTCGAAGGATCCGAGATTATCTGTTTAGGATCGAAATCGTCTAATGCTAATAGCAACGTCGCTGGTCCGGACGAAAATGCTACATGATTAGTGGAAGGCTGCTTCAAATGGACTGACCAACTCGGACTAAGGAAGACATCCTGGTAACTGGACAGATTTGCCGTGGTGTTGGGAATTTCTACGCGATTAGACAAGTACTGCTTTTCGTTGATATTAACCTGAACGTTGGAATTGCCGCTGCTAAAGACGACAGTGGCGTTGGTTTCTCCCGTGTAGTAACGGGTTGTGCAAGCTTGGCCTTCAATGGTGAGGTTGGCTTCCGTCAAAGTAGAACCCCATGCATTGACAAATACCATATATTCGTCTTGCGTGCAGTTCGCTTTTGTAAAACTCATCAAATTGCTGTTGAAGCTAAGGTGATCCATGGATATGGTGCTGAGATTTGACAAATCGCCCCAGAGAGCGCCACCGTAGTTGCCAAGACTCCCTTTGTCTGTGATGTTCAGAACACAACCCAACGCAGAGGAAATTCTGATGGTGGAATAATTGGTAATTTTGGGATTATTGTTGTATGGAACGATATAAATACCCCCAGGATCCAGGTTCATCTGTTCGCAACTCTCTTCCACATTAAATACTGTAGTCTCTGCAGACCACGTTTGCATCGAATCGGTGAATTGCGGCCCCAGAGGTACGCTGTCCACTCTGGCCGGCCAGATAGGTTGTATGGCATATTTGTCCGTGATCCATGCCGAAGTCGTGACGTTTTGGAGGATGTTGCCAACCGTTCGGAAATATGTAGCGCCTAGCGGTGAAGCTTGAAGTGGTAATGAAGAAGAGATATCCAATTTCCTAAACGGTACTTGGTATGTGAAAACGATATCCTCCGTCACGAATAAACTCGAGGAAAATGGTGATACTATAAGGAAACCAAATATGAACGCCAAAGACGCGCATAGTAACGCCCAGTTGGTTTTTCGACCGCGGCCAGGGAATCCCTTGAAAAGAGCGTCCCACCACGCCTCAGCAGTCCAGGTGAGAGACCTCTCACCGGAAGTACCATGAGGAGATGAAAGGTACGCAAACGCTTGGGTTCGTTTAACATCGTTGAGCAATATCGATATTAGAAGAACGTGGATAACTGCGAGCACGGTAGGTACAAATTTAGAAGCGACGACAATCCCTCCGGAACCGTCATCGTCTACCAGTCCTGAATCGCGGTTTGATATACCGTGAAAGGCTGCTACTAAAATCTCCAGAATTATAGTCAAAGCTAGTATTGACGAAAGTGTTGGCCACCGCAAAGTATGAGGAAGCCATGATGGTGTTGCCGCATTTTGAGTCCGTTCAAAGTCAGAAGGGGACCTCTCTTTAATCGTAGTAGTGGTGAATTCCGTCCCTACTGTTGCTTTTCTATCGTAAGATCCCATTTGTGGTTGATAGATATCTTCGTCGGCGGATTGTAATCGATGGTACTGGTCCTGCCCGCCACCGGTTGAAGCTGGAATATGCCCTAGCTCATAAGGATGTCCAACATTATCGGTATCGTCTGATATATATAGGACTGCTTGATATTCAAGATTATGATTAGGGCCGTGAGAAGCCATATTAAAGTTGATGCTCAACAACGAACAACGACAATATATTACATGACTAGGTACCAGTGACTTAATAGCCAAAACATTCGACAAGTCTTCTCATGCTTCAGTCAAGGCAGCCCTATGTTATGCAATGTTACGCGAAGGTGCTGTGCCTCAGCTCTGCATCCAGCTGAATGTTACAGCGCTATTAATAGACAATTTAAGAGTCCTAGGTCCACTAGAATGGCCAGAGACAGTTAGGCTAGCACGCTAGGTAGTCCTATAAATCTTGATTTTATAGATAAGGCCTACAGGGGTTGAAGGCGGGGTGGTTGGGTGGTTACCTACCTACCTGCTGGGTACCTACCTAGTAGGTGCCTACCTAGGATCTAGGTATGGTTCATGGGTGCCAGTTTGGGTTGGTAGGTACTCACTGGAAACTACCTGGTCCACCATATGCTGCTGCTAATACGTTTAATATGTGGGCTAATTACTAAGATATAATAAGCCTCTTCTTTTAACCGCGCGCGAATTATGATAATGGATATCATAGTGTATGTGTCGCGAATCGGCATATGTTATCCAAATTTTGTCCTAATTCACCATAATTAGAATGGCACAGAAGAGCAAGAGATACCGCGACAAAAGAGATTGAAGCAAAGCAAGCATGAGATGTGGTATGGGGCTTGCCTAAATATATCTAACCGTGACAAAGCAGATCGTGGGGGCTGTTTGATTTGATCATCGGTCGAAATAACAGAGGAAAACTTGCTTCGACCGAAGTCGCCTAATTTTGGCGACGATCCTTCACTGCATTAGCAGTTACAATGTGATCGGTCAACTGCACGGGGATGAATTAGGAATCCCTAGGGAAGTTGCTCAAACCTCTTCGAGATAGAGCGATCCTTAAAGGCACCTACCTGGTAGTTTTATCAACGACGTCAAAAGCATGTAGGTATGTAATATTGCCGCATGATTTGTAATGTATCTCGTTACCGAATTCGCAAATAGAAGCCGTCGAGGTAAATTACGAGCCCCGCGGAGTTTGTCAATATCTCACGCATCATGACTGATGACTGAGATCTAATCCCGAGGAAGAAGTATCTTGTAGGTATTCCGCGAATCGAATCTAAACCCATCTGAAATCTCTCAGCCGACCATCTACATACCCCTTAGTATTTAGGTAGGCAGGTAGTATGCAAGACAGTAAAACGTAGGATATAGTTAAGTGAATCCAATTATCTTGATACGTTTGTCGTGGTTGAAGTCGAAATGCGACTCAAGATGGAGGCAAAAAAAAAATACATAAAAATAAAAGCAATATAAAAAAACCAAGTTGGCAAAATAGCAAAAAGCTTAGTCCCTATTCCTACCCCGAGGATTTGACCTGAACAGGAGCTTAAACCTGTCGCCCTCCTCGTGAGTTGAACCAGGACCTACGAAAAACCCAGGACAGTTTTATCTGGGCTGTCATCTCCATTTACCACTACGCCACCAGTAGCCAGCTGGTAGCTGCGCAGTTCGTGGATCAAACTTGAATTACGACAGCAAAGTATAGTATATGGGTCAAAATTTGACCCCCTTCAAAATCTGCTGCCTGGCCACCCCGCACTAGGCGGCATGTCGTATCCCCTCTACGACGACAACGTTGACGAATGCTAGTCTCGTGATATGACACCTTAGAGGTAAAGTTCGACCTTTTAGTGCCTACCTACACCTACCTAGGTAGCTACTAGGTACCTAGTATATAGTAGGCATACCTCTTCCGGGTCTCGATGTGTAAGTAGGTTGGTCTTGATATCGAGTACCAACCACCTAGGTCGGTCGTGCAATACCGAAACGAACCCCGGTCAAACTCATTCGACTCTAAGGCTAGGTAAGCAAAGATCGTATGTTTGATTCGTTCTCATAATCGTCGCCTTCACGCACCAACCTCAGCGTACAGCCCCTCGCGTCGAATCCAATTTGTCACTTCCTCACTAACCAACTTCTTCAGCGCATCCCAATCCCGCGCCAACACAGCCGCGCGTACTTTCGTGCTACTTATAACCTCCTCGCCGTCCTTACGTCCCTCAACCATCAGTATCCTATTCACCCAGCCCATCTTTCCGCCGACTTTATCTAGTCCGCCCAATCTCAACCCCTCCAGATACGCTAACTGCGCCGCCGAATCGCCCCACTCCGCATCCGTACGCATCGAGACGCGGAGTTGCGCGTGTGCGAAGAAGGGGTCTAGGACCTGGGCCATGGAGTTGTCGGGGTAGTACTTCGGATCGAAGATGCGGATCAGGGTATCGAAGCCCGTGAGGTAGACTTGCTCTACCGGCTTCGGTCCCCTGTAAAAGTCGGACGAGGAGACAGCGCTGCTTTTCGCGTGGAAGTACGGCTCTGTTGTAACTGCGATGTCAACTCCCTCGCAATCACCCTCGCTATATGTTGCTTTAGTAGCAGTGGTGGAGGCTAGGAGATCTTGGGCGAAGAGGTACATCATCGAGAGCCGCTGTGGGAAGATGGCGGGCTTTGGCGCCTTGTCCGCGTTGTTGATCGCGAGTAGTAGTAAGACGCGTGACTTATTATCATCATCATCATCATTGCTATTATCACCACCGGCTTGCCTATACTCAGAGAATGCGGATAGTGCCATTTGTTGATGAGCGAGAGTCGGGGGGTTGAAGGAGGAATCGAGGACTAGGAGCCTTTTTGGGAGGACCTTAGGCGTTTGGGGGGCCGGTATTGCCAGAGGCGAAGAGGATACGGAGGGCGTTAAGGAGCATAGGACATGGAAAGTCGCATTGGATACCTGGTAGCTCTTGAGAGCTTGGGTAAAGTGAGTAACGAGATTGGGGGGAAGTTGTCGAGCCATCGGAGCGCTGTCTGTTTCTAGCGAAGACATTCTTGTATTAATGAGTCTATGCGAAGTAGGTACCTAGTAGGTAGGGATATGTAGAACCACCAGACTTGACGTCTCCTATGATATAAAACAAGCAATGCAAAACATGATGAAGATCACATTCCTAGAATTGATTACGTCGATTACATCGATGCTGGGGATGATGCTAGACTAGGGAATTAGGAAAGAGGATGACGGAGTGAAAAAAAACCCTGGACTCTAAAGAGGTCCGAAGATTTAACCTTTTAGCGAACGGTTGGTCCCGTCGGTGGGTCCTGTATAGAATCTTATCTCATCTAATCTCCTTAAACTAAACTTTCCTATATCCGTACTATGTAGGTAGGTAGGTAGGTAGTATGCGCAATTGCATTATAATTTATCACATTTCAACTTTTTAAAAAGGCCAGCCAGAAATCATACTGTCCAAAACAGTTTTTATTTGGAGGCCAGGGAACTGGATTGAAGGGGATCGCAGATCGATGCGAAAACAAAATCGCCTATCTGGTGTTGGGGAGTATTTAGGGGGACATCGTCGTCTTACCTCTTAGCAATGAGAGGCACATGCACAAGCTTTTCCGTTCCTTGATGCAATATGACTGTGAAACAAAAGCAACCATAGGGTATCATCAAATTAATCAACCGGTATCCCAGAACGCCTCCATGCTTTAAAATGAGAGCTTGACTTCTCAGTTACTTGAGGCCTATTCAGCGAATCTCGGGCTCCCTCATAAAGTCGGGGATGGTCAGTCCACCGTCGCCGGGCGTGTACTTTTTGGCGCTCTCTTTGCGTTTCTTCTTGGCAGCCGCAATTCTCGATACTGCACCTTCGTCGTGATCGTGGATATTCATGAGTTCCATTCGGTCGTCGAAATCGTCAATCGCATCGACCATCTCTTCAAGAGGATTATTCTCCGCAGTATCGGCGGCATCATCCAGAGCATAGACCTTAATTCCGCGTATGTGGGTATCCTTACCGTTCTGGTGATTTTCAAGAACGATAATACGAACGAACCAGCAGCACATTGAGTTACCGTCAGGACCGCCACCAGCTCCAGCGACGGGAACATCGATCCATCCCTTGGGCATGTTAAGCTCCATGGTTGTGAAAGGGATAGTGAAGCTAGGACCCCAACCGCCGGTGATCTGGATTTTAGTGGGTGTGTAACTTTCGTCAAGTTCATAATCCAAGTAGAGTCGGATTACGCGAATCTCTACGCGCTTGATGAAGTGTATGTTCAGTCGATGAGGTTGGGGACCATCAGATCTAGGTAAATTTTTGTTAGTGATGAAGGGATTTGGGGCAAAGACAAGCACCTACTGCCAGAACTGGTTCACATCATCATCACGCAGCTCTTTGACGCCACACCCAGGCTTGTAGCTGCTGACAGTGAAGCTGGCAAGATTGCTAATCTCCTTCAAGCCGACTGCGGAGGCATCGAACGGGACATCATCATGACCCTCCTCTTCCTCTTCCTCGTCGTCGTCTTCTTCCTCTTCTTCTTCTTCACCATTATCCTCCTCATTCTCCTGATCATCGTCCTCAATGTCATCATCACCATCATCAGCATACTCGACACGTTCGGCATTTCCTTCGGTTGCTGTGTGGTCTTCATAAATTCCAGCAGAATTGTTAGCTGTATTATCTTGAATGCGTGTCTCGGGTAGCGAGGTAGATGAAAACGGACCATCATCGGGATTCGAATGATGCCGAGAAATGGTGTATATTCGATTGGGAGCCATGGTAGATATAATCAACCTGGCAGTCAATGAAAAGAGAGCGGTGGAGGTGAATGTGAGGAGGGGGTAGGGAGAATGAGTGCAATGTGAGAAAAAAGAAGTTCAACAGTAAACTGACCTTGCGGAGTAGGGAAGAACTCAGCTCTGCCGACATCATGTAGCTCCGTGAGAGGCTCGGCAGCCTCCCGTACTCCAGCTCTAACTGGGTCTCCGGAACGGCCATGTGATTGTCGGGAGAAACGATCTGGTCTCATCAGTCGTCGACGGAATTCCTCCTGCTGTTGGCGGAGGCTGGCATGGCTTCTACCCGAGCCGCCACTGTTGCGGAGATCTTGTGGCTCCATTGGTGGATTACTTATAGGAAATGTATCAGACAAGGACGGTTTCAATCATAAAACCTGAGTTTTATAAATGAGTGTCTATGGAAATGAGTTGAAGCCGTCTACAAAGATGAACGTTGTGAAATATTATGAGGAATGATGTAAAACGGGACGTAATGTTTTCGTTTTACGACTAGCTTTAGAATTAATGGTGTATGCGATATACATATATGTAATTAAACAACTAGTTTGCACCTATGCATCATATCTATCTCACTTACTAATCAACATTTGACTTTTCAAATTCTTGCACCAAAGTACGATTTTATTTGCTTTTTACGCCTCAACCTGCTCAACCTCAAACTTACCATTCCCCAGGATGGTCATATATAGTACTAATTTAATAGTCTTCCAATTGATCATCCGGCCCTTTTTTCAACTAGATTCCGCAGCTACTTGTCTAGTTTTGCTAAGATAGGAAGCTGTTTATATTTCTATTGGGAATCCAAGAATTTGTTCACGTTATTAATTGCCAAGTATTTCCATACCCACATACGTACCTCCTCTTTTACATGTATTCACTGCCTACGCTATAAATTCTTCGTCTCACTATTAACGAAATGTTCTATATCCTAATATAATACGACGTGTGCCGTTTTGGAGGATTATTTGGTGTTGTTACGAGAAGGTGAATGTCTTTCTTCGTATTTCATAAGGTTAGTAATAATCTTATCAACTTGCAACTCTAATTAGGTACTTCCAACATTTGAAGTATATTACAGTGGAGATATGGGTACTTCAGGTACCGGAACCAGTTTTTATAGCTAATGAAAAAGAAATGTACAGGTGCATATTAGGTTTCCGACGTACCGATTGGCCCTGACGATATGACATCTGCAATGATGGATATGATTGGTCAGTTCTGCCGGCTGGTGGTCCTTCGATCTGGTACCACCGTTGCGTGGAATCTGATGAGGGGCACCGCGGGCAATGCGGGCAATGCGGGAGTAGTACCTATAAGCTCAGGCTGCTTAAGGAGTTTTACTACGTCTAGAAGCTGCGCAGCTTCTACTTGCAGCACATCTCCTGCATTTTTCTCAAAACAACAAAATCAACCAACGAGACAATATACAACTTCGACAATACCCGGACGATTTGATTGCTTTTTTAAGTCATTGGATAAAAGTCACAAGACAGTTAAACCCTGTCGACGGTTCACTTCAACACCTGCCAATTTCGTCATCAACCCGGCCAACCAAGCTCGAGATTCGCATCATCAATCTAAAGACAGATCCAGACAAACAAGACCCCACCTTAACTCATACCATAATACCACCGCACGTGTATCTATTAGTACCTATAGTACATATAGTACTACTATTAGTACCAATCGTACAAATAAGACTAAGGATAACATTGGCACCCGAAACCGCAGTCGCTTCTTCAACAACTCTCTTGGCCGTCTATTCTCCTCCTCTTCCAGAGTATCTTGTTCAGCCATCATCCCTTCGTCCATCATGGCAGATCGAGACGTTCTCCCCTCTACCGTCACCCCTTCTCATTATGACCTCAACATCTCCTCTCTAAACTTTAATGACTGGTCCTATAATGGAAACGTGACCATCGACGTTTCTATTACTGAACCCGTCAAGGAGATTGTTATCAATTCTATAGAGCTCAAGTTACTTACTGCTAAGATCGTGTCTGACCCCACCAAGGCTACTCAATCCCTAGAGACAACTACGTTCAACTATGATGAGAAGAAGCAGCGTGCAGCTCTCGTCTTCGCCGACGAGGTTCCAGCCTCGCAGAAGGCCACTCTTCAGATCACCTTCCAGGGAACCATGAACAACGACATGGCCGGCTTCTACCGAAGCAAGTACAAGCCCATCGTCCCCGCAGCCGCTTCGGTTCCAAGAGACGATACCTTTCACTACATGTTGAGCACCCAGTTTGAGGCCTGCGACGCCCGCCGAGCCTTCCCTTGCTTTGATGAGCCACGATTGAAGGCAACTTTCGATTTTCAGATCGAAATTCCCGAGGATCAGGTTGCGTTGTCCAATATGCCTGCCAAGAGCTCTTCTAAGACTCGCGATGGTTTTGTGTCGGTTGCCTTTGAAAGAACACCGGTCATGAGTACTTACCTTTTAGCCTGGGCTATCGGAGACTTCGAGTATGTTGAGGCCTTTACCGAACGAAAGTATAACGGCAAGCAAATCCCCGTACGTGTCTACACTACCCGTGGATTGAAGGAGCAAGGTCGATTTGCTTTAGAACACGCGCCGAAGACCATCGATTTGTTTTCCGAAAGCTTCGGTATCGATTATCCCCTTCCAAAGTCTGACTTGCTCGCCGTCCACGAATTCACGCACGGGGCCATGGAGAATTGGGGTCTCGTGACCTATCGTACGACAGCTGTTCTTTTCGACGAGAAGACTTCAGATGCTAGATACAAGAACCGCGTTGCATATGTCGTTGCCCACGAGTTGGCTCATCAATGGTTTGGCAACCTTGTCACCATGGATTGGTGGGACGAGCTCTGGCTAAATGAATCTTTCGCTACGTGGGCGGGTTGGTACGCTGTCAACGAGTTTCATCCCGATTGGCAAGTTTGGGCCCAGTTCGTGAACGAGGGAATGGAAATGGCATTCAAGCTTGATGGAATGCGTGCCTCCCACCCTGTTCATGTCCCGGTGAAGGATGCTCTAGATGTAAATCAGATCTTCGACCACATCAGCTACCTTAAGGGATGCTCTACATTGAGAATGCTAGTTAGTCAGCTTGGAGAGAAGACTTTCCTCCAGGGAGTTGGCATGTATTTGAGGAAGCACGCTTACGGTAACGCCAAGACCGAGTACCTCTGGCAAGCACTAACAGAGGCATCTGGGACCGACGTCACTGGCTTGATGGGTAACTGGATAGAGAAGATTGGGCATCCATTGTTGACTATTGCTGAGGAGCCTGGCCAGATTTCCATTAAACAGAATCGATATCTATCGACCGGTGATGTGAAGCCTGAAGAGGATGAGACTGTATGGTGGGTACCGCTATCGTTGCAAGGCAAGGTCGGACAACAGGATATCCAGAGATTCGCTCTCACCGAAAAGAGCACAACAATCCGTGACATCGACGATGACTTCTATAAGATCAACAGCAACGCTACCGGCTTCTACCGAACCAACTATCCTCCAGCACGTCTCGCAAAACTTAGCACTCAACTCGATCGCTTAAGTAACGAAGACAAGATCTCCATCATTGGTTCCGCAGCGGACTTGGCGTTTTCCGGCTACGGCACTACTCCTGCTCTTCTTGCTTTCATCAAAGGTTTCGGAGGTGAGACCAACCACCTTGTTTGGGCACAAGTTCTAGATTCCGTAGGACTAGTCAAGACCATCTTCGGAGACGATGACGAAATCAAGCGCGGCCTAGAGCAGTTCACTCTTAAGCTTGTCAACGATGCGGTGGAGAAGATCGGATGGGAGTTTCCAGAGGGTGAGGACTATCTCACAGGCCTGCTGCGTAAGCGACTTCTGCTTAGCGCTGCCGCAAACGGCCATCAGGGGTGAGTTATCTATTTCCTAAAGATCTGCACCTTCTTCATTAGCTAAACAAGTATCCAGAGTAACCGAAAAAGCAAAGTCACTGTTCAACTCTTGGGTTGAGAAAGGAACTCCCCTACACCCAAACCTAAGAACCGTAGTCTACCGTACCGCTGTTAAGACCGACCCGGCCAAGGCAGTGGAGGTTCTCAAGAAAGAATGGTACACCGGCGCAGCCATTGATGGCAAGGAGGTTTGCCTCGCTTCACTAGGCCACGTCCGCGACCCCGAAATCATCTCCAAGAGCCTACTTCCCTTTAACTGCGATCTGTCACCACCCGCACCCCCATCGGAGTCCGTGCCTTCAGGCGACATGCACTCCCTCGGCAGCGCCCTGTCGACCAACTCCGTTGCACGCCCCATCCAGTGGACGTATATTCAGAACAACTGGGAGAAACTAACCACCAAAATGGCCAACCCGGTCGTCCTAGATCGCTTCGTCAAGCTCACGTTGCAGAGGTTCACCGATACGAAGTACATCGACGAGATCGACGCCTTCTTCAAGGACAAAGATACTAGTGCCTTCGATCGTACCCTCGAGCAGGTCAAGGACGCTATCCGTGGTCGCGCGGCTTATCGCGAGAGAGATGCTAAGGTCATCAAGGATTGGTTGAGTGCGAATGGGTATCTCCAATAGAGGGATGCATCTATGGCGGGGGGTTAAACATCCATATCTCACGTGCTTCAGATGACATCATGGATGCATTAGGCAGTACCTAAGAATCTTGCAGATAATTCTTCGCTGCAAGATCTTTGATACTGTATCAAGGTGTAGATAGCCCAGAGGCAGATAAACACCACAATGAATATATCAAATACCCTATGAAAGGAAATGACTTTATAATATTGCCTCATCAGGCGGAGCTCGTATGTATGTAATATTTGCCTCGATGACAAACCATAATATTCCATGATTCAAGTAGGTTCTTCCAGATATCGGTTCTTTGAAGCAATTCGTACCAAAATCGATCATATAACCCATCTTCTCAACTTACTTCAATATAAGAGCAGTCGCCACACGTTAGATGATTAGGTAGGTAGGTAGATAGACAACGAGGGTACATAAGCTCAACTACCTAAGTCAGTATTTCGGACCTTACTTACACTCACCACCTACTAGGATACACATTCAACGGCGTAAAATAACCGGGATCAAATCGTGAAGATCAAACGTGATAAAATACCTTTCTCTTTGTGTCGTCATAATACATGCACCGAAGAAGAGTATCATGTCATCGTGTCATTAACCATTGACTCCAGCCAACTTTTTCGCGTGTCGTAAATGCTAGCAAGGCTTTTTGGTACAGACAAACACCGGAATTCCTTTCCTACCAGCCGCAAACCCGCACGGAAATGCTGACGCCGGTTCATTTCCACTGTACTCCATCCCTCCTGAAACCAGAGGGAAAATACGATGCAGTAGACGTCCCGCCAATTCCCTTTTTACAAAATACATATGCACGGCGGTAAACCAGTGCTGTTTTGTCGAGTTCTCCTTACAACTAGACAGGTAGAGTCTAGATGTAGTCAAGAGAGCAAAGAAGATCATCGCCACGGCTGTCTAGCCAGGAGTCGATCCCGAGAGATACGACAATACGACCGGGGGAGACAGGCATGGGATCGAATCCTCTACGATTCCTCAATTCGAGGTCTTCCGCCACGCTGTCCACCGCGACCGCGTCCGCGACCACGACCTCGTCCTTCGCCATGTCCTCGATAACCACCTCGGTGGTAGTCACCTCGGCCGCGCCCACGATAACCACCTTCGCGATCGCCTCGCTGGGGTCGGTTACGCTGGACTTGGTGGAATCCGTCGTTCGCGTCGGCAGGAGCACGTGCCTAAACAGTAATTAGCAACACCCTTACCCAAAATTTACGCTTCCTGAAATCGCAATGAAGAGAAAATGATAATCGCTTATTAACTAACCTGAGGAGGGTTCTCGGGCTGTTCATCGGCCCAAGACTGTACATTGCCGGCGGACGCGGGAGTGGCGGTTAGACCAGTGTCGGTCTCGGTAGGGTCACGAGGGACCTTAACCCAGTCTTCTTGGGAAACAGAGGCGCTCAAATCATTGCTCTGGTCCCACCGGGACTCAGCAGCAGCATTAGCAGCGCTGTCGGCGACGTCATTGTTCGCAGGCAGATCCGAGCTGGTACTCGACTTTTCGGTATGACCGTTAGTTAATAGGGCAGTGGTACCGGTACTATCGATCTCGGTAAGGCCAGCATTAGCAACGGTCGGGTCGGTGCCATTGACCGCTCCGGCCTCATCAAACGCTTCCGCCTGCTCGGCTGCGGCATCTGCTTCAAGTTTGGCAATATGAGCAGCATGGGCTTCTGCGGCAGCCTTAACCTGGCCAACTATAGCGATATTAATGAAAAAATCAATACAGAATCTTCGTAAATACTTACACGTCGTCTGAAGCTGGTCTCCGGAAACGCCGAGTGTAGTCTCTTCCGATCCCTCAATAAGTTTGATCATAGTTGAAACAGCATTCTCGTCGCCGGAGTACACATTGAGAAGGACACCCTCCAAGGCCATGTTCTCGTCCGCGGTGGGGTCGGCTTCCTCGGTTCGTCGAGCCGCAGCCAGTCGGAGGAATTGCGATAAAATCAGGAGACTGTCATGCTTGATATTCTTGGAATCAGCTGCAGCTTTCTCCTTGATCTCATTAATCGCATCGACCTTCTCCTTCTCGAATTTCTCGGAGAGTGATTTCTCTAAGCTAGCCTTCTCGGCGGTGAAACGGGATCGGTAGTCCTCATCAACCTTCTTGTACTGGGCTAGCTGCTCCTCTAGCTGAGCAAGCTGTGATTCGAGTTGGGGCTTCTTCAGGCGCTGGGCGCGCTGGTCGGCATTGATGATCTTTTCGTCAACAAGCTGCTCTAACGACTTGTTCTTGTGCTGGTCAATCAAGGCATCCGTCTTAGAGGCATTGGTCTAGAGGAGGAAAATATAGTTAGATACGAGCTACTAGGTGTGGGGAAATATGACGCATGCAAACTTACGATCTTCTTGTTAATGTTGCGGATATTCCTAGTAATGGGGTCAGCATAGAGAAGGGTATGTACCTAACGTTGGTGAGGTCGGACTTACTTCTGAAGCTCACGAATGTATGCATTCTCAGAAGTATCATCTTGACCATCTTGGCCGGCGACAGAAGCGGGCTTCTCGGGAATGGACAGAGCAGACGGAGCAGGCGACTCGGTACGGATAGCCTTAGCCTTCTTCTTCTTTGCAGACTTGGACTCCGTCTGTACAGGAGGGTTTTGTACAGCGGAGGAAGGCATAGTGAAAGGGAAGATATGATCGTCCGTAGGAAAAAAAAAGGTTGTCGTTAGTGGAATTTGTGGAGGAGCTTATTTGCTCGCCTTGGCGTATTTTTACACTTCAAGGTTCGTGATTAAAAACGGGCAACGGGCAACGGGCGTGAGTAAAAATAGATATTGAAAAATACAAGCGCAAGTGTGCTTCTTTGGATGTAGGTTTCTAGGTTGCAGGTTGCGTTGCGTTGAGTAACGGTAGGAGAGTAGATAGAAATTTGTGTAGACAAGGTGAAGTAGTGTAAGTAGGGTCAGGTAGGAAAGGCGAATTGAAGATGATGAAAGCTGGGATGGTCGTTGGTTGGTTGTGAGATTGGTAGAAGTGGATGTTGTTTTTCTGCAAGTGTGAGTTTTGGGTTTCGGGTCAAAAAGTTCAGATCGGTTTTTTTTTCTTTTCGTCAGGGTTAACCTTAGCTCCTTAGGTCCCAATGCGGCGCCCACAAACGACCCCCAGGTAAACCCCACCCTAGCACGCGGCGCGCCCTAGCTTGCGGTAGCCTAGCACTTGAATGGAAGTCTTGGGTGCCTTGTACCCACTCAGCGAAACCTACAGAAACCTTAGGAATTGTCTAGGTACATGTCTATATGTACCTCCTACATATGTAGCACTTGAGGTCCAACTTTCACAACTCATCATTTAATGTTGATCCCATTAGATGTACCTAGATGTACCTAGGTACATGCAAGTGATACCAACTTCAATTGATGTTTTAATTTCCTCTTAGGGTTCAATTCTATGGATATCTTTACCCGCATAGTAGTAGGTCAATGACTACCTCAATTAGTATCATGCTTGGTATGCCTCTTAGTGCTTCAGACTTGAGGCAAGCATCGCGCCAGAGCTCATGAATTTACATATAGGGATATGTAATACAGCCTAGTTGAGCATGCATACTATCTGCATTCCCAAAATTGACGGCTGTTACTCATCCCTCAGAAATTTCCCGTGACAGCCCTGAAGTGTCTGGTCCACGTAAGACTAAAAAACAGATCACGGATACCTCTATGACCGTATAGCATCAAAAGTGTACTCCCAGATCCTTCATTAGTCAATTCGAAGAACATGGTGAGTTATGGTGGTTGTTGTGTGTTTTTCATCCCTTGAACTTGGCCAGAGTATCCTTTACCAAAATCAGTCAATAGTTCAAGCAAAGGGGTTATATATAGCAAACTAACCGCAGTAGCTTTCTTCACACTCCTAGCACTTATACCCCTTTCCCCAGATTGTTTTGCATCAATAGCCGCCTCCTTCATGAGTCTATTTTGTATAATTAGCCTCGCAATGAAAGAAATTAGAAGAACACTATGTATTCTTCGGAAGTAAGACTAGAATTCATACGTTTGCATGAAGAGTACGTAGTCGAGGAACATCTGTGGCATATATTTAGTCAGAGCGCGTCACGCGACTAGTACAAGGCAAGGCGGCCTTACCATGACATCGACATTTTTGCTGACGTTGCATTTCGAATGAGCCTTGACAATCTTCTTCACCGTCGCCCTCGGGTACAGCTTTTGCCCAGGAGCCATCTTGTGTCGGGTTCAAGTTTTGTTAACTTGAGGGTAGAAGTTGGTATTTAGGATTGGGATGGATGTATTTCTTATTTTAATGTTCGAATGTTTAGATGGTTGTAATTTGGACCAATCGGCATTAGCTGTCACTGCTGGCCAGGTACATAAGACGGGAAGTGCCGACAGATACATGTAGATGTACATACGTATCTTTGGGAGCTTAGACCAACTTACCCCCCACCTTTACCTAGCAGATATTGACTTGCAGCATCCGTACCTAGTGACGAAATGGGGCAGATCTGATTGGGGGTCACATGTCCACTTGAACTTCAACTCTTCAAGGTTTTATGTTCACAATAAAATTAAGTATGAAGTATGTATACGGGTACTTACATATTTGCATCTGCAAGACAGACCGCTACAATCAAACATTGAAATCGCTTCCTCCTCTACCTACTGTCCGCCCTAATCGATCAACCCAGATCTCCTATATCGTGGTTACACGCAAAATCGAGGCTAAGCTAAGAGTTGTCGTTATCCATTACGTCACCGCACTCATCTAAATGTTGCAGTACTCAGTAACTCTTTCGCTGACTTCGGTCGTTCGCCTCGTTATCCGACGAGAATGATACCTTACCGACATCATGTTCATTGGTAAATGCATACTATCATATGAGTAGATATTTACTTCTTCGCATCCCCTTTGCCTCTATAATGGGACAGCCTTACCCGTTTAACAGTTTACATAGTAAATTCCATTCGCCCATGGGTCTTTCCATTGTTCTTCTCTTTTGGGTTATTTTCGGTACAACATGTGGTGTACTACAGATGAAGCCAGTTAGCAACATATATTTCGATGTCTACCTTGAACAGACAAGCTCATCTTGTGTGGTTCAATAAAATTTCGAAATGGGGAACGTGAACTTACAACTCTATAACAAGGGCAATTTCTACACGAATACTTAGAACACGTGACACAGCTGGGAAAGCAATAGTAAGCCTTATAATGTCCTGTTTCGAGTGTAGCTAGCAGAATCAGCTCGGCGTTGGCAAGAAGACTGAGTATAGTAGTCATTATGTTGAAAACGAGGTTTATTTAGATAGGAAATGCATCAGGACTTTTACTAGGTAGTTATACTCGGATTTATGTCAAAGAGTCTAGGGATGAATCGAGGGGCGAAAGAAAGGACGCTGCTCTACATCCGACAATATCTATACAGGACCTCGGGAGTTATGAGTAAGCTGATTACAATATTAATAGGGGCTGATTCTAATGAATATTGCCATTTTAATTCCAACCCCCCACAGTCACTTGTATTTGCCCACAACAGAGCTAAGTGGCTTTTACATTTCATCATTGTCAGACGTCTGATCTTCCTCCAGGCTGATAGCTAGAGGCCTATGGGATCGGGATTCGGCCCGTTGAGTCCCCGTTGAGTCCGTGAGGGTCCTGTTGGCCACTAGTCCTGGGAGTAGGTTAGACGAAGAGCTTCACCTGTATGTATAGTAGTTAGGAGCTCCCCGCGCAACGACGCCGTTGTTTCCTAGATAGTCTTTTGGTTCCGCCTCGTGATAATCATACCTAAATGAGTAGGTACGAACAAACAAATGAGTCAAAACTACCTACCTACCTAAATACCTATATACCTATATAGGTAGCAAATATTGGTGATTTATGTCTCCTGAGTCCATATAAATTCGTCGTGACTTCCTTGAATAGAGACTTGCCTAAGTTTACTACCTCAGAATAGATGGAGACCCTCTATGCTGAGATGATACCTGTACATGGATTCCAGGTTCATAAGAGGTGTCTAATTGGAATTGAGAGATGAATATTCTCATAGAGGAAGTAACGTTCTTACCTACTAGGTACCTACTACATAAACATTAAGGAAAGCCAACCCCTAACGCTGTGCTCCCCTGTTCCATGCAACTACCACACAGTCAAAATATAGTCTCATACTGTTCTCTTCACTGTACTGAACCAACCTAATGTTAGCAAGTAACTTTCATTCATTTATGTCCAAACCTGATTTAATCCGTCTCATCACTATCAGAAGTCTCGGACATTTCTACGAAGGAGGATGGATCAACAAGTGCCTACACCGCGACAATTTTTGACAACCCTCATAAATAGTCTTGCTTCAATCCCCGTTCCCTCCACCATTTCGTCAGTTCATACAGGTCCTGTTAATACGGGACCATCAAACCCTCTCAAACTCATACCTCACACCTACCGACCTTTTCTCACAACTCTCTATACTCTATACCCTTTAACCCTTCTTCCCGCGCTGGACCTCCTAGACCGCCGTCTCGCCACGCGTGTTATCATCAACGCTCTCCCGCACCAACGACCACAATCAAGACTAGGGGTGGAAATAGGCCCATCATCGTCATTGTCACCAAGCTCTAGCAAAGTAACGCCAGAAAACAGCGAGACAACTCTGTCCACGTTCTATATCGTGCGTTCCGCGCAGCCGCAGCATCCGCGTCGTGGCGAATCCTCCTCGTCGACAGGTCTATCGTACGTCGTTCGCCTCAGTGCCTGGAACTGCACGTGCGCGGCCTTTGCGTTTGCCGCCTTCCCGCGCAAGGAGCGGGAATCGAATCCCTACCCCATAGACACTCCCTCCAACTCCCTTGGTTCCTGTATAAGACAGGACGATAAGTCGTCGAGGGGAACGGAGTGGGAATTTGGGGCCTTGAGTGCGGACGGCACGGAAGGGAGCGGGATTGATGGGGTTCCCTGCTGTAAGCACCTACTGGCGTGCGTATTGGCGGAGAGGTGGGATGGTTTGCTTGGGGGCTATGTGGACGAGAGGATTGTGAGTAGGGAGGAAGGCGCGGGATTGGTCGCGGATATCTGAGGGGTTAATAGGGGGAGAGGAGATGTACATTATGACATCTATGACTCCAATAATGATTTCACGAAAAAAATGCGCTTTTATGTATAATGATACAACAGACAAAAGGAATATACCCTATCGATTTCAAATAGAAGTCTTAGCAAGATAGGATCATGGATCATCGGGGGATCAGGAGTCTGATCAACCGTCTATAGATTAGCATGCATGCACGAGGCGCCTCCAACCTCGGAATCGACCTTTCCACCTTAGTCTGGATAATGTACAAGGGTCGAAGTAATTTGTTATCCCACGTTTTCATAAATAACCTCACTATTTCTTCTTTTCCTTGTCGCTACTCTTCTCTGCCGGCTCGCCATTGACACCGTTGACGCTACCTTCCTTCTTGTCCTTGTCATCTTTACCTGTCGTCGCGGCAGCCTCCTCCTTTGCCTCCTTCTCTTCCTGTTGTTGCCGGTTCTGGATCTTGTTCTCGATGAGGTCGTGGAAGGCTGTGATGGCGCGGATTAAGCTGCTGAGATAGATGGCGAGGAGTTGGTCGTTCGTCTTGACGCTCATCGCGTATGATAACTCTCCTACATTGCTGCCCTTGGCTTCAACGCCAGGTTTAGGAGTTGAGAGGTTAGGTAGAAGGTTGAAGATGTCTTGGAGGTTGCCTAGGACTGCATGATTCACTGGAAGTTTACCATCCTGGACTTTCTGAAGATAAGTCTGGATTTCGCGTAATCGGAGGTGTAATCCTTGTAGTGATTGCAGTTGGTTTGTAATGCGGGTGGATAGAGTACCGATGGCTACGTCTCGAATATCTCGAAGGAGGTGTTCAACACCAATTTCCTCTGCTTCTTCGGCTTCGATGGTGGATGGAGTGTGTACGAAGGTCTTGGATGTGGTTGTGCCATCCTATACGTCATTCATATTAGCCTGTGGATCATCCATAACTCTATTATGGAGCAACGTACATCCTTGATCTCCTCTACTGCAAAATATGCATCTGTTGGGACACCAGACTCCTTCGGTTGGACGTCAATGATGACTAGGAGAGGGTTCGGGGTGTATCGCTTGAATAGCTCGTTGATCTCGAGATCGGATGCGCGCAGCTTGGGTCCGGAGTGGTACCAGCCTATTAACTTCTCTCGCGCGTTGACTTTCTTGAACATGTCGTTCATGTTCTCAACATAGTTATGGTCCAAGAACCAGACAGACGGGTCATCGTTATCTTCTTCGAATGGAACTATGTAAAACGATTCAGTTTTAGCAATGCTACTTCAGTGTCATAAAAATTCCGAGAAAATGCGACCGACCTGCGAAGCTGTTCGATACTCGCACATTCTTCCCATCGTTCTGGCCCAGCAACACACCAACCACACGCTTCCTGGTTCCCTTCGCTACTCGGTTGTAGTGGTCTACGACGGAAAGGAGGACTAATGGGGCGACTGTGACATTTTTATTCACGAATGAAAGGGTCTCGGCAGTCGTAGTAGGCATCGTGAAGGGTAGAAATTTAGAGATGCGAAAAATTGAGTAGTGCGATGAAAAAGAGGAAGCTTGCTACGAAACAGAACCGAGCTTGATGAAAGTTTACAAACAAGGTACTAAGGTGAGAAGGCTGTCGTATGTGAGGCTGCCTTCCGCTCGAAACCCCGGTCAAGCTTAATTCTTGATTAGGGTTAGCTTAGAATGGTAAAAGTATCCAAGTACCAAGCACGGACCATCATTCTTGGATGGTCGATGACTAATTCTTAAATCCGACTTGCATCATCTATGTGGCTTGAGTTTTAAGACTGTGGCTGATCTTGTATATCCATTTTTATATCCATTCTTGAGGATCCTCGTTTTTTTTTTCAGAAACCCCCAACAAAAGGGTCACACGGATCGAAGAAGGAAGCGTCGGACCGTTGAACTATCCCAGCTGACTGAGGCATATTACATATATGCCGTGTCCTAACGATCTTAGTATGTAGCTAGGAAAGGACGCCTTCCGCCCTATCGCCCCTATCCGTTGGACCGAGTAGAAAGTCGCGAGCTGATCTTGACTATATTGACCATTTTTTGTTTGCTATAACTGTTATATATATGCCTACGTGTCTTTCAATGGATCAATATTCATTGCCTGTGTCGATTCAGAGCTCAATAGCAAGGTGCTTAGAATAACATATAACGTTAGAAAATATTACACTCAGTTTACTAAGCAACATTTCCACAAATTCCTCAAAGTCGTGATGGATGCTTGGATGCCGTTTCTATATCGTCAACTCGGCGGTCTAACGGAAATAATCGCAATGTGTCCTTGAGTTCGTAGAAATATAGCCGAGTGCTAAAAAGCAATGCTTAACCCAAATAAGTAAAGTGACACAACGTGGAAGAACACTGAAGCTGCCTCGGCGCCTGTAGCTCAAGGGGATTGCGGAATTACAGGCATTACTGGCAGGAGCTCCAGGTTCAATGTTGTTTGAGTGCCACGCCGCTAAGAAGCATGGGGGTATTTTCCCCACTATCTTACCGCTGTACCTAGGCTATCAACCACTGGGGAGCCCCAATTGTCTCCAATTACTCAACCTTAGCTTTACATTTTTAGAGGTACTTTTTAGGATGTACTGGACTTATTGACTTTAGTATGAAGACGGAGCGCTGAGGCAGTCGCAATCCAACTTGGCAACCTGTTCCTTGCTATTTGCCAAAAATGGTTTCGAGCTAGGTACAGTACTTCGTACATACAGCACCTGCGCATACATTTTTCGAAAAAAGAATTCCCCGATCCCCGACCTCGCAGAGAATCGCTGAACCTCGGACTTTCCAGCCTTTTTCAACATTTTACAACTTACTACGCTCTTCCAATTCTTCCCCCGAACTGTCCCATCACATTCGCATTGCCCTTCCCTTACTGTTATATCTCTCATTTCCTCAAAGACTTGCATAGTCGCCTCTCTTTTCTCGCCTTGGTCAGGCTTAATTGATTCCTTCCGAGCTCCTCAAAATGGGTGTAATCGACGATGAGATGAAGCGATTGCAGGACGTCGTGTCCGGGTTGGAGGAGCGTGTAAGACGCTTAGAGCAACGACAATCCGGCGGAAGTATATCTACCGAGAGCGTGCGCATGATTCTCATGGGTCCTCCTGGAGCTGGTACGTTCCCTATGTTTCCGATATTACCAGGGAAATCGTTAGGACCGGGATGTTTAAGCCTCAATTGGTCTTAATTAAGAGTTGCGCTGACCGAATTTCGTGATTTGTAGGAAAGGGAACGCAAGCGCCGAAGATAAAAGAAAAGTTTGCTTGCTGCCATCTTGTGAGATTGTCAATCCTGAAGCGATAACTGCCCTGGGTGCGGAATTAAATTGCTAACAGTTATGGCAAGGCCACTGGTGATATGCTTCGATCCCAAGTCGCCAAGAAGACCCCTCTTGGACGAGAAGCCAAGAAGATTATGGACGCTGGTGGTTTAGTCAGCGACGACATTGTCATTGGCATGATTAAGGAGGAGCTCGAGAACAATAAGGAATGCAAGGGCGGGTATGTTTTTATACCGCTTCGTAGCTGGTAGCTGTGCATGCGCATGCGCATGTGCGTTATAGCTTACGATCGACACTTCGCACCATATACGAGCATTGGGTGGAACTGATCATGTTCTAGTTTTATCCTTGACGGTTTCCCTCGTACTGTCGCACAAGCTGAATCGCTCGACAAGATGCTTTCTGATAAGAACCAGAAGCTACAGCATGCTGTCGAGTTACAGATTGATGACGCTCTTCTGGTTGCGCGCATCACCGGTCGCTTAATCCACCCTGCCTCCGGCCGAAGCTATCATAGCACATTTAACCCCCCTAAGGTCCCTATGAAGGACGACGTCACCGGCGAGCCTCTAATCCAGCGATCTGATGACAACGCCGAGGCGCTCAAGAAGCGTTTGGTGACTTACCATAACCAGACTACTCCAGTTGTCGGATACTACAAGAACACGGGTATCTGGAAGGGTATCGATGCTAGCCAAGAACCTGGTCAGGTCTGGAGCAGCTTATTGAAGATCTTCGACGACAAGAAGCCTAAGAGCGGAGGAATTCTTAGCAAGTTAACTGGCCAATAAACTAGCAGTTTATCACATTTGCCCACAACCCTTGACATGGCTTCCCAAAGCCAATATCTAGGAGATGGTTTGTCGACATAGATATGGAAATGGAAACGTGAAAGGCGTCATGCGATTGTCTGGGAGGTGTCATTCGAATGCAATGCGGCAACGACAGGTATTTGGAGAGTCAGTACCTAGGGAATAGTTACGAGGCGAAAAGGACATGCATGGGATTGACGAGACTTGTATCATACGACTTGCATGTACCATGACATTAATTCAACCTTGAAAAAGACATTTCGAATCTTATACCTTCATACGAACACCTGAATGCTAACTTTGAACAGAACTGATCTCTCCAATGGATGGGCAAGCGAAACCACTCACCTCAAGGCCATAGATCTTCGGCTAGGTATTTCTTGCTTTTAATCTTGCTTTTAAATGGTCTCTTGTGATTGGTCCCGATGTGTTATAGGCAGGCGATCTTTAACTCCAGATATCTCCGACCACTCACGATTCAAGAAATACGAATACGAAATCTACAAGCAGATTGTGTGATCACAACGCCTTTGTATCTACATGCCAATTCAGGGGCACGATACCTATATCGGCATAAACACGAATACGATTATAATTAAGATAGATTCAAACCGAGAGAGACGAGATTCGAGTTTCATGAGTCATAACTGAATAGTTGGGAAATGTGTTGCGGCACAGATTCAGTTGTGGAGAGAACCTCAAAGGCTACCAATGAACATATATAAGAGGCCGTTACCATCGAATGCAAAAATCAGTCTTGATTAGAGGCTTTCAGATACATCAGAAATACCAACTACAACTACATCATATGCCTATTCATACCGAAAACCGCAATAATGGCCTTAAATTTCACCACTTTTGACGTCTTTACCACTACCCCCTTCCAAGGCAACCCCCTCGCCATTGTACAAGTTCCGATCGGGACATATCTATCGCAGGATCAAAAGCAGCTCATAGCGCGCGAGTTTAACCTCTCGGAGACCGTCTTCTTGCACGAACAGACTCCAGAGGATGTACGCAGCTGGGTTGCTCGCGTAGATATCTTCACCCCGCTTGCCGAGGTGCCATTTGCCGGGCATCCGACGATTGGGACGTCTAACTTCTTGCTCCACCATCTATGTCTAGGTTCTGCCAAGAGACTGAGTATGAAGGCTGGGCTGATCACGTTTAAGGAACAGGGTAGCGGTGCTGAGGTCGCAGTCGCGCACGATGTACACATCCACCGAGAGCCGTTCATCGGGACACCGTATGCCCACCATCCCGTTGTCAGTATCGTAAATGGGAGTATGTGATGTCGGAATTCTTCTACCCTTTTCCCCTTTTGACCTCCGTTAGAAGCAAATTTCTTCTAATTGAACCACCCAGTTTGGTTATAGCTTTTAACACACGCTTAAACTTACAAGGTTCCCAAACTCCCTATCCCCTATTACCCCCTCCCCCTCCAGAAGAATGGATGAAGAGACTACTAACTCTTAAGCCTTATAAAAGTGACTTTCATCTTAGCCCAGCTACCCGACCTCGAAACCCTGGCACAACAGACAGCTAACTTAGTTGGGACCTCGAACACATACACCGCCAAATCCTCCCTCGATGAAAACTGGCGTCATGGCATCGTCGTCAGCTACTTCTTCGTCGACCTCGGGATCACTCCCTCTACCCCCTGGACTCGCAGGCTACGCACCCGCAGCCTCGGCTCGCGCGAGGATCCCGGGACGGGCAGCGCCGCGTCCGGTCTCTGCGCGTACCTAAGCTTGAAGGAAGGTGAGGAAGGGCCGTTGACGAAACGGTACGAGATAATTCAGGGCGTGGAGATAGGGAGAAAAAATGAGATTAAGGTCCAGGTTACGCTGAATCAAGATAGAAAAAGCGTGGAGGAGATCCTATTGAGTGGGGATGCGGTTAAGGTCTTGGAGGGACAGGTTCCCATTCCGGTGGCATCGGCTAGGGTTCGTCTAGAGTAGACTGGAGGTTACGATGGGAAAGCTGAAACGAGATAGAGATGGGATTATCTACCTACCTACCTAGGTACCTAGGCAATAATAGGTATGCAAAGGAACACTGCGTCCCTAGGTATGTGACTCAATTGAAATTACCTAGGTACCTACCTCGGCTGCTAGGTAGGTACTTAGGAGAAAACACATGAATTAGATAGGTAGGTTGTGCGGTATAATCCATGGGAACTGAGACGTCTTGAAATAAAGCAACTAGGACACATCAATATAAGAACCTTGGGATCTCGGAAGTTTAACAGAATACCTACCTAGGTACCTACCTAGTAGTATACTTAGGTTTAATACATCTTGATTACGAAATCACGTATAAATATCTACTGCAATACTTTGGATATATGACTTATGTCAAAATAAGAGTTACAACAGTAGTAGTAATTTTCCATTACAATCAGTAATCTCACTACCTAGTGCAGCAAGTAGTCAAATAGCCTCCAACTCCGCCAGTCATCTCTGTCGTAAGCTGAGTCCGAGGTATACAAGGAAAAGGGAAACATCAACGCAACGCAACGCAATGCGAGAGGGCAAAGGGGTAGTAAGGTAAACAGGTCTAAGAAAATCCAACGCCCCATTCCACATCGTCTCATTTCATCACCAAGCCCACCCCATTTTCCCACCCTCCTTTCACTTGCCGAAAAAAGGAAAGGCCAGAAAGAGCGAAATGGTGAAAAAATAAAAACGCCGATGGAAATGCAATCGTTCCGAGTATTGTATCTGAACGCCTAGCCTCTTTTCTCGGCGCCGAAGACAAAGGGCGCTTGCAAATTTGCAAATTTCCATCTCGCCCATCATATTAGTCCATCGGTATTGGAATAATAGACACACTCCGTCTCTCCTCGCCGAAAGTAATTAGGCGATAGGTACGTCAGTCTCAGGCAGACCTCCCCTTCCTCCCCATAGGAGCACTGACATCTCTCCTCTCGCCCGCCCCCTTCATCATCTGTTTTTTCGGCGTAGCGAGTCCCTGTGCCGCGCTCCTAGCCCGTCCGCGCCTCTCCTTGATCTGCGCTAACGCCTGCTCGCGCGTCATCGTCGGTGTTAGAGCCGGGTTATTAACGTCGAAAGACGGGGGCTCGCTGCTGCTACTACGATAACTGCAGGTGCTATTGCTACCGCGGTAGTTCTCCTCGCGGACGGGGACCGTCGTCGTCTTCGTAACAGTGAAGAACGCGGCTGAGGTGTGGGGGCGGATCGCGTCATGTTTGGCTGCGATTTGTTGAGCTCGAGTGTCTATCTCTGTCTCGGGTTCATGGTCAGAATGTGTGGCTTCTTCCTCATCTTGTTCAAGGTCGGCATGGCGTCCAGTGGGGATAGTCGGAATGTTCATAGGCATACATTGGGAGTCGCCTTCGTGGGGCGCATTGAGGAGGGAAAGGAGGGAGGTGCGTTCCTGCGTCAGTAGAGCGAATGTCGGAGGCTCAACAGAAGGGGTGCGGCAATAACGAGGGGGATCTGGTTGGGGATCTACAGAGGTAGGCGGCTCGGGTATAGACTCGACGTGTTTCTCCATCGCCTCAAGTTCTTGTTGAGAGACAGTTCTGAATATACCCTCCGATGGCACAAATATTGTGCTGCGCCTAGGCCCCTTTGGCAGCTTGATTTCCTCGGGTTCTTCATTTTGCATGACAGTTTCTACAGGAGGTTCTATTATTTCCGGCTGAGAGAGCTCTGGCTGGCGCTCTTTCTCCTGCCTTTGGTGCTTAGCTTGTGTAGGAGTGGGCTTCTCTGAAGATTCAGGCTCCTGGCCTAAGATCATCAGATCGGCTGCGTCCATAATCGAAGCCGATTTAGGCCGTTCTTGACGGATTGATGATCGGGCGCTTCTCCGTGGACGAGTTTTGGAACAGGAGCAGCATCGCAACTCGCACTCAGCCTTCACGAACTCGAGGTGCTCTTGGGCACGGTCAGCTCTCTGCTTCTCCCATTGCCATAAACGGGTCAGCTCTTCTATCTCAGCCTCGCTTGCGGCAGAGGATAGAATGTCAACAGCCGACAGAGAAACTCTTTCCTTCCTAGGAGAGGCGAACTCGCTCTCTGGATCCTCAGGTGGTAGCGGTAGGCGACCCTCCGCGGCGATTCTGGCGATCTCTTCGCTCTTTGCAGCGGCCTTGTAGGCGTCACGTTCTTGTTCGACGAAGGCAACGCGTTCGAGAGCCTTTTCTAACTGTTCCTGCATATCGACAAGTTGGTAGCGCGATTGAAAGGCTTCCTGCTCTCTGGCTTTGCTAAGTTCCTTTTCTCTCGCTAAAGACTCCTCAATAGATTTAGAGGCTGCTTTGACGACCTTTAGTTCCTCTTGTAACTTGACGGTAGTGGACTGCGTTTTAAATAATTCTTTGCGCGCTTGTCGTACTTCTTTCTCCCATATGGCTTTGCTATGTTGTAATGTTTCCTTCGCTTGGCCGTATTTTTCCTATAAAGACGTTGTTAGGAAGTCGGGCTCAAATTGGACAACATACTAGGCGCACTATGCTCACCATTATATCTTCTAGTCTTTCGCCCACTTTACGCTCTCTGGAACGGCTTTCCTCTATCTGCTTGCGGAGTGTTCGAGCCTCATCTCGATAGCGTCGCATCTCGCCTTCTGCCTCTTCACGTCCTAGCATAGCCCTCTTTAGAGCTGCGTCGGCAGTCTTCCGTTCGAGCTGTCTAGACATAGATGCCGCGCCAGCAGGGCCATTGTGCGTCATGTTGTTGAACTGGCGGATCTTGTCATGCACGTCGCTATCGCGGGCTTGGTCGCGTTGCTGGTTTGCTCGGTCGGAGGATATTGGCTGAAGTGGTGTGGCACTACCCGGCGAGCCTGGTGGGCTAGATGAGTGGTCGGCGTTAATCATTTGTTTTCCTTTTTGCAAGGAAGAATATTAAGTGTAGGCGAAATTATTTAGGGGCAGGATTGTAGTTATTGTTATAATTGTCAGCAATATAAAGTCTGTGCAACATTCAGCATTCAGCATTCAGTTTGCGAGATGTCTCAGAGAACTTTTGAGGTTATTGCCTGGCAATGTAGTGGAGTGTGGACGGTGGAGGCTATAGAAGTAACTTTGGGACTGGGAAATTTGATGATAGGTGGGTTGGAGTGTTTATCTTGACATAAGCACCCGTTGTCAGGTCAATGTTGACGGATGCCAGGCCACGTGATTGTTTTTAGCGGGCGCACTAGTATCCACTAAATGCTCCCCCCCCCCCCCAACAGCTGTCACCACCTGCTGACTAGGCTGCTAGGCTAGTAGCTATAAAATTTAATTGTATGATTATGTAAGAATACCTAGACGGATTTTGCATGTGTTCAATCGAGCGCGCTTTTCACTCGGTTGACTCGGCTCGATTTCTTACTTTCCAATTAACCACCAAGAACAAGATTTACTGATAATAATTAGAATAACACAAAAATGGGCGGCAGTTATAGCAAAATTGAAATATATTCTCTTCTCATACAGGTCATTACCTACGCGCGACTCGGCTTTGCACAACTTTGCGGCGCCCCTTTCCATTTCCCTACATATTATACACTCTCGCCCTTCCCCCTCTGGAATTCATTGACAATTAGGCCGCGTCAAAGGTTATGATCGGAAGTTAACTAGATGACTGAATCGAATTTTCAACGCCTTGGACAGATACTCTCACGACGCAAAGCTCTTTCCCCTTGCTCTAGGATGCGAAGCGAAAGTGAATGCCTTGAAACTTGGGCCATATACCATCATAGCACACCCCTTTCGAAGTGTCCGACACACAATACCCAACACGGATTCCAAAATATCCATTTTCCGTTTTCAAGGCCAACGATGTAAAAAAAAAAAAATGCTGTATGGTATCAAAAGAAAGAAAGGAAATCTGTGTTGAGAGTTGTCTTTTTCATCCTCGTATACGTCTCCTGTACGGTAGTTGAACTATTGGGTTGCGCTGTTGCTTGTTTCTTTCGCCTGCACTTTTCTGGCTTTTAAGAAATCGCCAACCCAGGTGAGCGCCTCTGTAGTGACCACGAGGCCGGTCGAGACAAGCGCCTTGCCAGATGTTACCAAGCCGTCGCCACCAACTTTCTTGTACTCGGAGCTGTAAACGTCAAAAACGTGGTCCTTGGTTTCAAATCCCTTGCGAACGGGGAAAAAGACAAAGTTCTTGCCATCAGTCCACAATTCGTGAGTCGGTTTCTTAAGGGCAGGCAGGCGTTCGTCGATCTTTGTCAATGTATCGTTACCAATCACGTCAGCCTTCTTAATGTAGGGCGAGACATATTGGTAAGGCTTCGAGAAGTAAGGGATGACGGGCTTAGCAAAAGTCTTATAGGCCGAACCGCTCAACTTTATCGACTTCTGACCGTAGGCGTTTTCTTTGAAGTAGGCAATACCATCACTAACAACAGGGTATGCTGTAATGTGCTGTCATATCGCGACGTTAGCCAGCCCGCGGTATTTGGAATGGTTCTCCAAGGGAAATAAGGTATGGAATGTTGTAAACTTACCGACAGGGTCGCGGATGAAGGGGGAACTTCACCGTTTACTTGAGCAGCCATCGCAAGGGTTAAGTTGCTGATATATAGATATCAAGAAGCTCGAGGAAGAGTCGTAGCGTAGGTGATATGCTGGGTACCGATGATGGTTTGGAGAGATTAGAAGAGGGGGGAATGAAGAAGCTTGATCAAGGCTTTGCTTATTCGTCACTAGGATTGGATGGATATGGATAGGTTGGATTTGATGGAATAGAATGTGAGAGGATAAAGGAAACACGTTAGGTTGGTAGGTTGATTAAGGTTAAGAAGTCAGCACTTATTAACTCTAAATACAGGTCCGTTAAAGGCAAAAATGCGGAATAAAAATGATAAAGGAGGCACAAGGCACAACAGCTGAGGCAGGTGAAACTGTCTTCTTTTAAAGTAATAAATAAGAGAGGTACAACGCTGTAGTATGCGCAGTCTGCAGTCAGAAGTCAACCTTGATTAGATTGCGCCAGCATTCTTTTTGACATGTGCTTTTGCCTTCCGTCTTTCTAGCCCACTTAGCCCACCTAGCCCACCTAGCCCACCTTGCCCACCTTGCCCATCTTCCCTTAGGTACATACTATATCTACCCTAACTTCCCTTTCTTCCCTTTCTTTTCCATTCACACCCCGATCGGCCAGACTTGATTAGGATATCGAACGGGACCTTGGCTTCTTGCTAATCCCATTCTGTGCCTGGCACCATCCTGCGCGCACTGCGCATGCATACATACATACATACAGATCGCGAGGTACATTATAGGGTCGCATCACAGCTTCATCTTACTAGGTAGTCGCAAAATCACCGCCATTCTTCCAGCTCTTATTGACGCATTCCACGTCCTCTAACTTGGCCAATGAAACCACAGATCCCGAAAGCTCCCTGATGCGCCGTGTTGTTATAGTGGATACCATTCGCTATCAGGACCTCTAAGCCCCACAACAGCTTCGGGTAGCGGTACCTTGATGCCTGCAGCAGATCTCCGGGTCGAGTACCTTGGCCCTTTGTACAATTACACATCGGAGGGGCGATAGCAACCTGGAACTATCGGCAAGAAGATACAGGGCAGCCGAGACAATGGTACCATCTAGTAGAACACAGAGCACCACATGCCTTCTCCAGGAACCTATAGCATGTGCCACAACATGTGTTTAAACTAATATACGCCTAGAAATCTACATAATTTATCGCATCATATTACACAACGTTATGTAGGCTGGCAGGTAGGTAACTCAGGATCAGAGGGTTTCCAATGTGACACGATTCATCCACCTATAGGTAGGTAGGTAGCTACCAGAATCCCGGTGGACTACTATCATCATAATGTACCCGTGTACAATGCACGGATGTGCATTTATAGTACGCGTCAAGGTCCATCCATTATGTAGATAGGTAGGTAGGTACTCATTCTTCCTTTCTCTCAGCTTACCTTCTATCTCCACCCTTGTCTCTAGCATGTGAAAATTCAAATGTGACGAACCTGCCTTCCCGCAAACCACAATGAACACAACGTTCCGTTGCTTCCCGTCTACATGTACTATGGAAGCAAGAAGCAGGAGGTATTCACTAATGCACCGGGAATTTGGAGCTATCTCTTTTCTTTACTTCTCTACCTAGTACCTAGTAGGTACGCTACGCTCGAACCTACATATATACATACAAACCACAATCACGATCTTTGATCCTATCTACCCGCCTTTGGCTCGCCTATCTGATTTCACTACACCATCTTCCATAGCTGCTATCCTTTGATCGACGATTTTCTGTCCCTTTATCCTCATCCCCCCCAACTCCCCTATACGTCCCAGGTTCTGGAAAGATTAAATATCAGCATGCTGTTTCCAGCATTGCATTTTTTCGGATTGATGATTTGCTTTGATTTATAGATTCGATGGTCGTAGGGTTCATTCAAACATAGACAAGCACGAGCTCGGCGACATACAGTAAAGCCAAGATCATTCGGATGTCTTTACATCATGCTATCGTCATGCGCACTCATTCAACCCTGGCTTATCTGCCAGTCTACTAATGGAAGCGAGACGGCTACGGAACACTCGGCCAATTTAATAGCATCCTCCTACTAATAAGCGATGCCGCCTACGTACATATATGTATGTATGTCAAGCCGAACCCGCATTCAACACCGCCTTCTGTGTTCGAGACTTGAGCCTAGGATTTGGCAATTGGAGACGATGCACGTCGTCGTCGCTCTAACTGGACCGGCAAATCCGTTCACCTTAGATGACCCAACCTAAACTTGTTTCCGGTCCACGGATCGCGAGTTGCACGTGTATTCCGACTACCAGCCTGCAAGACTTACTCACTTAAGTAATATATTCGGAGGATCAGCTTGGGTACGCCCTATGGAGTTTTAGGCTGCGTTCCCGGTGGCGTTCACCTTTTCTAAGACATTAAGTAATTTCCAAAGGACTGTCGAATCAAAAACATATAATGCACCGGGCAACGCGCAAGGTTTTCATCCACAATCTGCTCCTAATACATACTTATCTAATAGCCTCGGTTTAAGATGACGAGATGATTCTGGGTACACTTGCCATTACCACTTAACGTCTAAACTCCTAGGTCCGAGGACCTTGCTTGAAAATATCACAACACGATGGGGCCATATTTGCTAACTCGCAGGGATTATTAGGCGATCGAGGAAGCTCATAGATACTGATGAAACATCGAGCATTATCACGATTCCGAAACATGCGTACATATTACATGTGCCTATTGATATTGATCCCACGTTCCTTTTTATGGGTGAGATGATAGACGGACTACTCAATCATAGGATGATGTGTCTCTCAAGGGTCAGCCCCGCCTTATTACACGGCGTCCAACGGTCCATGCCGCCTTTCACATGTCAAAACCCAATGACGCAGGGGTCTAAATATGTACCTACATACATACTTCCGTGACCCAGAAAACTGCCTAACAAATTGAATCAATTTTCGTCGACTTGCTACCTATGTACATTCAGCAAATATACGCCAAGAGCATGCGGCGATTTCATACCCATGCTCCTGGGACAGTTCCGAGAAAGAAAAATCTGATCCTAGGCACATCTATTTTTATTTCGGGGCATAATATACAGAGTATCTATAGTATTGTAAACGTCGCTAGCCCGCTATCATTCACCATGCGAGATATACTCAATATCCGAGACTCGAGTCTACCGACACCGTATCTACAGGTTTAATAAAGTTAGGGATGACAAATAGGATCAAAGTTTCCTAGATGCTATCAACACAGCGTAGAGTTTGAGATATTTTCAACTGCGTTATCGATATACATGCTAACGGTTCCCTGTCGTTCGTCTAATCAATTGAAGCCGAAAATTTGATTTTTATCTATAGGTGCCTAGGCAGCTAGGGTAGGTATGTAGCATTAGCTCTAGTATTCTGTACAGAGCCGCGGCATAAACCGATCGGTGCCAAAGACGTGGCGTACTAACGACGTACTCTAGCGCGAACCATGCGATCGGTAAATGTTCATGAACAGGTAATTGCCAACGAGCGAAGTTTTTGTAAATCCAGAGCATCGGAGAACATCTAATTAGCAAGTATTTCAGGATTTGGTTAACAGTCACATCCACCAATAGAGAAGTCGGTGTCTAAATTTTACTCTCCGCGGTATTTATGTTAAGTAATCGGTTTTTATTAAGTTAAGGATGGAATTCTCATATCCTATTTCATAAGTAGAATCCGTCAAGGCAAGGTTTCGACATTCAGAGAAGTTGCTAACCCTCTATGTGTAAAATGGGATACAGCTTACTCCTGAAAGGGGTACATTATATGCACAGACTACATGCACTTCGATGCTCGTGAGTGTTTGCAGACGCACACTACTATCATCAGGCTCACGACAACAAACACCTATCCCAGCTCCACAATATCAGCAGGAACAGCGAACTCGCGTCACACAACATAAGACTATCATGCCTCTTCACTCTTTGACTCGCTCTCGTTAACGTATAGTACGCATAGGCGGTACCTAGGTAAGAACACATTTATATACCATCATATTTCCTTACGCAACCTCACTTCCTTGAAAATATCGGTGTCAAGATAAACGAACCACATGTTTGCTATATTGCATTAGTAGGCCCAATTAGACATGTTGATCAACACATTCAACATATATACCTAGGTACCTAAGCATCTATCATCTATCATCTTCTCCATGGAAGTGTACCTAGGTAGGTACCTAGTAGTCTTCGGTTATCAGGTCAAGACATCACTCGTACCCATACTAATTAGATCGTCAGCAAGTGCCACCCCTACCTTGATTAGTGGACTTTCGTCTGGTAAGCTACGATAATTGGGGGATTATAACAATTCCAAGGTTGCAATTAACCATCAGCGAGGCAAGCGTGTCGAATAAGAAACACGGTAGTAGCCATCGCGTAGAATATACTATTCCATACAAAGTATAGAACTTAAGCATAAGTCAGAAGTCAGATCGACACTGCACCCTTATGATGAGCGGACGGACCAGCAATACGCGAGGTACAGGAACGAGAGACTACCGTCGTACATCTTGGGTTCGGTATAGATGTAATGCTACTAAAGTATAATGCGGAGAGTGATTTCCGATAGAACATAAATGAATATATGGCCCCAGGATAATTAGAACAGCCCATGACGCCGAGGAGAGCGTTAATGCGCGGGAGATGTCGTATGTAGATATGCTAGGGACAGTTCCCTTCGCTTTAACATACCTATCAAGCCTAACAGGCCTACATGAATAGGTGCCAACCGTAAGTAAATACGTATGTCACTAATTGTACCCAGATATATTTACATTGATTATTAGCTACCTACCTATTAGCTAAGAACATGCCAACCTAGAAGCAATGGAAATCATAGGATCGCTACTATCAACTAGGCCTGTCTCGATAGGTACTGGCCTATCTACCTAATTAGGTAGAGAAACAGCGAGCTATCGTATTTATCAGATGTATACAAGTCGCTTAAGCATTCTATCAAAATCTAGCATGTCCATGATATGGAAATTCTGCGTGCTTGTTTGTTTTGAGGAGGAGTAAGGGTTACATGTCGATCAAGATAATACCTTAGCTTTAACTTCTCCCATGAGAAGCACTCTAATTGGAAACCTGGAGCATATTCCGTGCCAATGACATGCCCAGCCATGGTAACCGGAAGATAAGATATCTGATATCTACTAAGTACAGTTATATCGTTTTATGAAGCGCTGTCGAGGACACTATATGCCATCTCATACTTCGCGAACACTTACCCAAGATAGTAGTCCGATGTCATATTACCAAGTCTTGAGTAGCTCTCGCTTGCTCCCAAGCCTAATCCAATGGTATGCGGCTGATGGAGTTTCACCGTACATAGCTGCTCGCAACTACAGCTACCAAGCCACATGAAGAAAATCTTCCTCCCCTTTAGCCTGAGGCGGGGGCTGCGAATAGATGGGATCGGCGCCAGCGAGATCGGTCCTTGCGGTGATTCCCCCACGGCGCAGAAATCTTAGCCGGCGTCGAAGCCACATCGATTGCTGACCGCCGACCCTTGATAGGATGAAGCACCCAACTGCGACGTTAGGATGCTACCCACATAGCCAACGGCAGATGGGAGAAATTTCTTCTTCAGAGTTGTACTCCGCAATATTCCCGATGTTTCAACATATTCTCATTGAAATGTATTTCGGTACCTACCTACCTAGTAGCTATAGCGAACTTCCAATCACGGTCTGTCAGTACGCGTTTGACTCAGTAGAATACGTTCGTTTTTCAGAACCGTAAACTAAGGACTGTCCATCGAGAATCAGTTAAGTAACTACTCTTAGTTACCTACCTACATACGCAATAAGAAGACTTAGATAGGTAGGTATATTCTTAGGTACCTAATATTGATCAAGAGGAGCCAAATTTCTTTACTCGACCCAGACTATTAAAGTAACACAAAGGAAGCACTCTACTTTCGCCTATATTTATTTAATAATCAATAGAGGTATCTAGAAAGCCTGCCTACCTACATACCTATGCATAATCTTGAAAATATACCAAGGTTATCTAGGTACCTACCTATGTAGGTAGGTATTCGCTCTACATTTGTTATGTCCTATCATCACCTCACTCGAGACATGTCAGTAGGTAGCTAGCTAGGTACCTTTAGAACATCAGACTACTTTTCTAGTTAATGATTCTGAGCTTTAAATAAATTTGATGCTTTATTGGTGACTATTATGATGCCCTTGGATAGGTAGTTTTTGCATTGTCATAAACCAGAGCAATAATTGAAATAATCTTTAGCGTTCTTGTGTGTAATTAATAACTACCTATCTACCTACCTATACCTTCAGTGTTACTTCCATGCCTTGGAGTTACCTACCTAGGTAATTTCCATGGTGGACTAAGGAATCCCGTAATCGGATTGTAAAGATGAAAACAAGAACGCCTGAGGATGAAGTAATGCAACTATCACGGGAGATAGAGAGGACTGCGAAAAAAACTCCTCCCTATCTAGGTATCCTTATCTCCATTTAATTAGGAGGTTTATATCTGGACAGTTACTAGAGTAACATGAGGGGGACAACTTTGAAATATGTACAACTCATGAGATATTCTCATATACCTGATGCTATCAACTTCATAATCAAGGTTGTGATCTTAGAAATAATGGTATATGCATAATAGACAATTAATTAATGCGGTTATTCCCGGTTGAGGGATAGTAGGATCTCAGAATCGTTCATTGGCGGTAATAGCTTGGGTGAGAAAAAAAAGGATGTCCTTAAGGTTACTAGGTAGTTACCTAGGTTGGTACATAACTAGGTGCTAGGTACTTATGTAGGTAATTAATCACCGGGGATGGATCATGCAAGATAGACGGTAAGGTTTAGCGATTTTTTTGCTTGTGGTTTTAAATGTCTTGTAAATTACTGCCCGACGCCACTCTCATTTAATATCAGAAGGCGGGTAGTACGACTAATGCAAGCCATACTAGGTATCGTGACTAGGTCCTCCGTCTAATCCAGTAAAAAAAATAAAATCTCGTCTCTATGGAGGCGGAGTGGAGGGGACTGGAGGTGATATAACCCGGAGTTCAATGTAGCAAAAATTTGGAGAAGTAGATGTTTGGGTCGTTATAATAAAATGTCCTATTTGTGCAAAAAACAGCCTCAACGCCGGCGCATATGCTGTACCTCATATCACATGTCATCACTGAACCTCCGTCGAGGTTCCAAATATCACCCCCGGCCACAAGGCTATTCTCCTCCTCATTACCTCTATAATATACCTCTATATGCTGTCCAGAGCCATCTAATGCTATCATCTACAGTAGAGTGATGTTTGTTACCCAATACTCGCTTTCTAACCAAAACATTTTGCTTTTGCCGCCACACGAACGCCTACTTGAAACCCTACAGGAAAGGAGGGGAGATATTGTGGAACTTCAGAGGGTCCATAAGCCACTCCGGCGCTTCCCAAGCGGGTAGACAACCAACGCGCTCAGAAACAGGCCCACGGTAATACCAATAGCTATTTGGATCATCGAGGCAGCAACATTGAACACTATCGTATCAAGGGGTTGACTGTTATCGATCGTGACCTGGTCGAAATATTAGCAGATAGCTCAATAGGATGCAAGAATCGGGGGTCACTCACAGTGCTAGTGCCATTAACGACTTCCGTCGAGTTGTTCAGCTCATTTGCTGTGCTTAGCCCACTTAACAGGCTTCCTGTTGCTGCCAGGCCACTTGGTACTTGCACGAAGATGGCTGGTAAAAGTGCGGCGGCGGCTACGCCATGTCTCAGCCTCGAATACAGGTTGGCCAGGACCCCAACGGTAAAGGCGCCCAATGTGTTGGCTATTTGAGGGCTAGCAGCAAATTTAGGGCTGCTGAAGAAGTTTACGACGTGACCGGCGAAGGCGATCACTACCATTACAGGCATCTGCTTCCATTTTGCCTGATTGACGAAGGCAAGACACATAGTGAAGAGTGGTACAAAAAGAAATCGGTAGTAGGTAGGTATCGGGTTTAAACAAGTCGTCGCCGAGGTCGCCTTAGGATCCATCAGGCCATAGAGCGCTGTTCCGACCGTGATTCCAAAACCGAGGAATAGCGAATAGATAATAGCATAAACCATGCGGATGGAACCGGGGACCAAAGCACGAGATTGAAGCTCGAGAGCAGAACATACTAAGACAATCATTAGTTAAGGAGTATCAAGAACCATCCGGAAGCTAGATACTTACGGACGAACCAACCGGGGAGAATTAGCGCTATGGAGCTTTGCGCCAGCGACGAGAAGCAAAACAGCTTTCCGCCCCTGATGCTGCCAAAGGCTCTGCTCAAAAAACTCGTTAAGACGGCGGCGGTTATTTCGAATACGTTGTTGTAGAGATCGGACTTCGGGGCCACTATGATCTGCAAAGTCCCAACAAGGCAGCCGAGGAAAAAGCAGATCGGCAGATCGATTAATTGCCCGTCGAAAGCAAACGGCGCGACTGTTGCGCTAGCTAGGCCAAATACCAAAACCCTGAGCCATGGGTGGAATTTGTCCTTCTCCTCCGTTATTCTTGATATGGACTCGATGGCTTCTTCTAGGTCTATCTTGTCATGGAGGACTAGCTTGTATATCTCGTGGGTGTCCCGGAGTTTCCCAAGATCAATCCCCTGATTAGTGCGGACGATCTTTACCTCCGTTGTATGGGTCGACCGGTCGTCGAAAGAAATAATCATGCAGCCAGGTAAGTAAAGGAATTGGCCATCGATCTCAAGAACTCTTGCTGTCATCCTCAGGTACTCCTCGAGACGGTGTGTTGGAGCGCCGAATAGCATGAGAGCCTTGCACATCTTGATGATGTACTTTTGACGAGTCAATGTTTCCGCGATATGCATAGTTATGCGGATTTCATCTTCCATTCGTGGACGGCCAAAACTCAACATTCGTCCACTAGGACTTCGTCGATGTTTAGGTCGTTTCGGTCTCGAGCTGGTCGCTGACGGCCCGTCCCCGCTGACCCCGGCACTAGCAAGGCGCGCAGATGCTTCCACCAGGTTAGCCAGAGTGTCTTGAGAACGATTCTTCTCGTACCATTTCCGTCGATTCGGTGTCGTAGCTCCCGAGGAACCTGGAGTAGTAAATTCACTTCCATGCTCGGATTTCCGGCTGTGCGGGTAGTTAGGAGAGAGGGTTGATTCAGGTGGCTTATATAGCTTTAGGAGGTTGGATAGAACACTAGGGCGGTACTCTGATGGTGGTGGTACGTAGAGCTCGTGCTTTGGTCCATCGATCGGTGTTATCTGACCGGAGCTGAGAGCGGTGCTGATCGTTGGTTGGTGATACACTCCGCGGTTGTTCCTCTGCGTGTGGGATCGAACGAGATTGTATGCCTCGGTTTTGAGAGCACGGTGTTCGTCAGACGTATTCTTCTGCGCGTCGCCATTGATGTCCGGAACCTGCATAGGAAACTCGTCAAGGGTGATGTTAGGAAAACCCGGGGGCATATCATTCACGCCGCCGCTATTCACTGTCTCGGCTTCCGAGTCTAGAGACGTCCTAGTCGACCCCGGAGCAGACCGGGAGCCTAGTAGAGTAGCGGCCACTTGCTGGGCACGTTCCTGGGCCGCGTACGCCGACAGCGCTTTCTCGGAAGCGGGATCATCGTTGTCCACGGATTCGGGAATACTGGTCACCGAGTTATATGAATTCCCACGCAACACCGAAGGCCGAGGTCGCGGTGGGAGCGATGCGCCATCGTGGCGTGCTTGTGTCGCCGAAATTCCCGACAAGTCCAGGAAAGACGGGGGCTCGGTGCCGGCGATACTGTTGAAGCGTACACGTCCCTTCTCCCTCCTCGTGCCGGCACTCAGGTCGGCGGACGCTGGGCTCTGAGGTTCTTCAGGAGGAGTCGAAGTCGCACTGGCATCATTTCGAGGCGACCCCGGGACTTTGTCCATGTCGACCAAGGTTGGTGACGGGTGGAATGGTAGAACGAATGACTTGGCGTTGAAAAGGGGCGTTAAAAAGGCTAACTGGCTAACGGGCAGTGCAAAGCGGCTATCCACCGGACGTTGTCAATGCTGCCGATGAGGCACGGTTTTAAGGTAACCGGTCCTAGCGAAACTCTACGTTTTATCCAATGCGTACGTACGGCCGTATAAGCTTACGGGCGAAGAAAGGGTGATAGGCTAAGTATGTATTTTTCGTATAACTTTAGTAACGTCAACGGTTTTTGGTCAGGCTAGAATGGAGAATGGGGAATGGAGAACGGAGAACGGATAATGGAGAACGGGATTGATGAATTCGGGTATTGGGCTATTTCGATTGCAAGTCCCTGTCTGTACAATCGAAAAGGTACTGAGGTTAGAAGGAGGTTAAGGTGCTACGACAATGACAACAACAATAACAACGACAACGACGAAGAGAAGCGAATGGGTAAGGGACGATGATGGGACAAAGAACATCGAAAGAATCGAACCACAAGCTTGGGGGCTTGGGAGTTAGGACTTGAGACTTGGGACTTTGGGATTTTAGGATTGTGATTACGACAAAAGGGTGTTGCTATGTACAGGGCTCCTTCTGTTTCCTCGAACAAAGCGGAGGCAAGTGAAGGGCGGTCCAGAATTTAATAAACTGGAGACCTCTTCAGACTGATCTTCAAACTCTTCCGGGATGTATGATGGGTACGATGGATATTGCTGGGAGTAGTATGCTAGGTGTGGTGGGTTCGTTTTTTTTTTTTTTTTGGTTTGTACCTAACCGGTGTCTTAGTATCGTGACGCGCAACCAGATATATACAATGCCGTATGTATGTAGGTACTTACTTTGAAAATGGATACGGAATACATACATACATACCTACCTACCTACCTACCTACATTCATACTATTATTACATATCCATGAAAATCCCATTATGACCATTATGATCTAAGTTCATAAATGGTGTAGTGTGAAATGGTGACAACCGGGTGGGCCACACTCAACGCACCACCACCCACCCATGAGCCACAATGAGAGGGAAAGATGGCGAGGGCAAAGGTAAAGGCAAAGGGCGATAACGGGCCGATGGTAAGAGCAGTCGCTGCTAAGCCGTCATGTAGCTTCGGATTGGTTATTGCCAGAACTACCGGCAGACGAGCTTCATATGGGATAACGTGAAATGAATAACAACGCAACAACGTTGCTCATGAAGTGTGACCCTTCGGTGGCTAGCCGAGCCCGGGCCAAGGCCTTAGAGTGAAGGAGAGAAGAGAAGAGAGGAGAGGGAGGCCACACCCCTTGCCTTATCTCGTTAGGACTCCACCATTGAAGAAAAAATAAAAATAAAAGAGAAAGACCTGGCGATTTTGGGCGATCCAGACCTCAATTGAGACGGGTCCCGACTTCTGGTTGGGTGGAGCGGTGAGAGCTACTAATGACTCCTAATGGCTCTTAATGGTTCTTAATGTTTTTAATGTTGTGTTCTGACGTAGACGTTGGGAGGGAGAAACATGGCACGACATAGCCATGTACCGAAAAGAGCATGGCGTTGAAAGAAACGAAGATAGGTATAAAGTGGGACAGATCATGCCGTAAGAACTAAAATATGCAGAAGAGAGCGTTGCTGTTGTCGTGTACATCTATGTGCGAGCCCAGTTGCGTGTAATGGTGTAATCGGTGTAATCAGCGTACTCAGTGCAATGTTCTGAATGGGTGCAGTGTAGTTGTGTTGCGGTTGTGCTCATTGCACGGCTATGATTGTGGTTTGTGTTTCCATATGTTCCAATGTTCCATGCATATCAAAGCATATTTTGTCCATCTTAACCCATGCCGTTCATTTGCCAATTTATCAATCATCTTGTCATCTCTTGGGCATCTCAGCTGCGTTGTGGATCAGTGGATCAAATCTGTTTCTTGATTAAAGTAGCCAAGGATGAGCTCTTCCTAGCACATTTAAATCCATGCGGGCGGATTGGTTGATCCGGCACCTTGGCTTCTGTATGGATAGATTAAGAATAGACAACCTCCCGGTAGTGAAACAGGGCGCGGCAGAGCCGCAGGGGCAGTTTTCTGCAGACCTGCAAAGCTGCAGAGGTACATACCTTTTCTGCAGAAAATGCAGAGGGGGAGGGGAAGATGTATATCCAGGTAAGTACCTACGTAGGTATGTATATGCGCACATTTGGTCTATCAAGTATCAATCGATGCTTGTATATTGAATTTTCACATGCGCGGCATGTTTCTTCAAATGCCAATTTGGCTGATGAGAGCCGTTTGTCATTTGTGGGATGTCTGTCATCATAAATACCATACAGGAAAGTCGGAGAAAAGAAAGAAAAGGGAAAAGGGAAAAGGGAAGAGGGAAAGAGGAAAGAGAAGAGTAAAAAAAAAACTAAAATTGAAAAATGACGCCTGCGGCTGTCAGCGGTTGCAGCGGGACAAACTTGCGTTGCATTGGTACCCCCTTGCCAAGTTGGGTTATGTGCCTGCCTCTATGTACATAATAGCTCCATAATTTACAGCTTCTTTTTTTATTTTTTTTTAATCTTCTCTCTTCCTTCGTTCTCGTTATTGCGCCTGCTACCTAACATTTCTCTCCTCTTTTTTTTTTTTTTTTTTTTTCTCTTTCTCTTCTTTTTTCCCTTGATATCCGCTCGGCACCTCTTTACTTAGTGTACGGCTAGAATGACCGGAATACCACATCAAGGTTAGTGTCGATCATTCTTTGGCGGTAGGTACTAATCACCTAGGTACCTAGGCTGCTAGGACCAGGAAGAAAAGATCCAGGGCAGAAATATCCACTTATGTACCCAGTACCCACCTATTCCTTCCCAATTGCTTCCAAAACTTCCATTATGCAGCAGTTGTCTCCGAGCGTCTTCAGCTGTCAATGTCCCGCAGATAAGGAAGATTGATTTTACAGGAGTCTTGAGGTTATTAATCATCGATGGATGTACATACGTACCTACGTAGTACATGCTAATAGTTCGTACGCGAATTTGTATTCGTCAATTGACCCTCAATTAAGAAGCAAGATGATATCACCTCCAAGCATCAACTTCCAACCCCCTCTGCCCCCTCTAGTCTCCCTCGGTCCTCTCTGTCCTTCTGCCCCTCTCTCTTGTCCGTACAACCGACGGCACTGCCCCAAGTCGCCTTCCAACATCCAACGCTCGTATTCCGTGATCGTACCTAATACATGTACATCAACGATCACGGATATTTGGCTACGCAAACCCGCACAAACAGACAAGCTGCACAGTAATTGATCTACTCACATGTGGTCGTATACAGCTCCCGCCGTCCTATAAACGTGACGGGCACCTATCCCGTCTGTTATACCATGCCACTCCCGTCCTTGGCCGTCCAGGCCGCCCAGTACCGTGAAGGACCTTGTGGTGATACCGAGCTCCGATCATTTCCCCGAACGTCTTATTTGTGGAGTGATGTATTAGACACGACACATACATAGATCACCTTACATACATGATTGACTACATGATCACCGAAAAAAAAAAATTAGAACACAACACCCGGTTCCGCGAACGCTGCTAACATGCGAAGCTCGATGCGATGTTGATCAGCCGCTGTCTGCTTGCTGCTTATCCTAAAATGCACCGCAACCTGCACAACATCGTGTCATAGATGGACGTAGATGGCTCATGGATGACTAAATAGGAAATAGGAAATACTACTATGTGCATAATCGGCTTGCACCGCTCACTCAGTGACGCCCAATTGGGCGATGGCAGACTACGGCCGACGTCCTGTCCAACGACAGCTAACGGCGAGCGGAGCGTCGACCGGGAGAGGCGCAACCCTGTTAGATGGGCGCCTACGGTACTAGGAGCTCTCCCTGGTCTCTGATGTGATATCTAAAACCTGACACCATCTCTGAACCTGGTCACGATAAGGTCCACGAGTCTTACATACATACCTAGCAGCCTAGTGCCTCGTAGCACTAGTAGTAGCACGACTTAGCACGACCTGGCATGACCATGCCTCTGCGGCGTCCCGTGCGGGCCAGCTCCACCGTCTAGAACATACATTTCAGTCTTTCATATCGTGTTACTACTTTTAGACTTGTCTCCCTCCGTCTCCGGCCACCGGGATCAATTAAGATCTCGAATGCCCTAATCCCATAGCTTCCAGACCACTGGGACTCATAAACGTGGCTTAGATATCCCCAAGATGACCGCGTCATCCAATAGTTTCCGACGCCGGAATATTGCCAGATCTCGAGAAATTCAATCCGAGAGGAAACCAACAACTAAACATCTCGGTCCCCAGGAACAAGTCGCATGGCCACATAATCGTCAATGCTTTTTTTTTTCTTCGAATCTGAATTATCGGTCTGATGGTCCACGTTTGCCCCCCACTGCCCCCTTAATTTGAAGTTATCTATTATGGGATGCCGCAGTGAGCTTCTTCAAAACTTGGCTCCCACATTATCAAAGCCCAATATCGTGAGAGATGCCCAAATGAACATGGTCACAATCATCCCTCTTGATATTGACGCGTTCCACCGGATCGGCCCCTCCGTGACGAGGGATGACCCTCTATGCATTTCGCACCACAGCGATGAGCGTTCCTAACATCTAAAACTTCAATTCGACACTGCCTGTGCGGCTTGCCGAGTCAGGGCCAAGGTGCTTGTCCATCAAACCCGGCGTGGGATGGATATCAATACATCCAGCGAGGGAGTCTACATACTTCCAATGACACAACAGTCGCCCCCAAATTTAGTACTCCACCCAAATAGATTCGGGCGAAGTTATTAGGGAGACGTATTAACACAGTCACGACCTTCGCGACTACTTTACTTGCCGTGATCAACGCTTATAGTAATTGCCTATACAGTCCCAAATGAGAATTCGACAGCTCAGAAGATTGAAGGAGCAACACTTTCCGTTAGTTTTAGACGAGAACACTCTAAGGCCTCGGAGATCGACGTTCACAGTATTATGGCAATACATGGCTATCTAGCTTTCTTGTCGAGTTTAGAAATAAGATCCAGTGACAAAACGTAGTAGTGTAGTTTACGATGTAGGTTGTTACACGAGGCGTATGACTCAGGTACAGAAAGTATGAAAAACAAAAAAGAAAAAAAAAACCCCCCCAAAAAACCCCTCCTCGACGAATGATCTAGTCAAGATGCAAGTCATCCTTGGCTCCTTATGGCAAATGCAATTCCCGGCGGGAAACTTCCTGCCCGTTAGAGTTCTCGGCTGCCGTACCTGGCGCACATCTTTAAAGTAAATATTGCCAACTCAGACATGAAACCTACTATTAACGTTACTCTACACCAGTAACATAGGAAGCTGACTAACGAATAAAATCAGAACCTGGGAACGTTAGCTATCACGGTAGTATTTACCTGAAGATCATTATGCAAGATCATCTTGCCACGTATTATATGGTCGTTCGCTACGAAATACCCTCTCTCGGAATGCTTAGCTGCTGCGAAGTGAGAACTACCTAGGTAACATTTGTTATACTATACCCCCGGCCCCACAAGTGATAATCCTCAGCTTGCATAGGCGAGAAACCCAAAAAGCACGGTTATAGGTAGTGATGTATGTCTAAAAGCACATCGGATGCCAAGCAGTTCGGAAGCAATCGGCTGTTGCAAAAAAGCTACCCTAGATAGGTAAGAAGCAATTGTCAATATCAGAAAGCTTAGGTCCATCATCCGAGGGCGCAAAGGCAATCGAATGAAGTTTATCCGCGGACTAAAAAGTTAAGTATAGATAAGGGGATGGGTCGGAAACAATATGAGAACTGATAGAATTCAATATATATCTATGTAACTACCTTATTAATTCATCCTCCCGGCTTTACCATACGACCACCATATCATGAAAATAATCAAACCATAGGTAGATAAGACTAGGTACGAATTTCCATTAAAGCCTTTAAATGGGTGGAAATAGTTGAGTACTACTCTCAACAATTCTGAGCGAGAAGAGCTCGGTATGGCGGCATTTAGCAAGCAACGTAGATAAGCACATGCTAGGAGTTTCAAACATACCTAATAGGAGATATTAACCTCATATTCCTACCTACGCACGGAAATCTCCTATTGGACGTAAATAACGAAGAATCAACTATACCTACCTACTTTGCCAGTGTACCGACTCATACGCCGTTATGGAACTGCAACCATACCATCCATTCGCTTGAGGTTCCAAGGAAACGTAAGGGAACCCGCACATAGGTACCTAGCCATATACGCATTTAACGCGGTAAAGCCATCGTGGCGATGTCACTGTAAAGTTATTTTCCGGGTTGCTATGATCATCGTAAAATCATTATGTAGGTACCTACCTATCTATGTACTTTAGGTGGTACTTCTTAGGCTTTATCTTGGATCCACGATGATCTAGAAAGGTTCGAGTACCTGACGTATGGACATTTCTCAATGCCTAGTATCAAATCCGATAGCAACCTTAAGTACGTCCAAATTAAGTCGAGATGGCTCATGGGATTTACTCCAAAGGGATGCAACAGTCTTAAATCATGAGCACGTAAGCCTCAGTTCCCCCTTTTACTCCAGGTAGCTACCTACCTCGCAAACATCTACCTGAGTGAACATGAAGAAATGAAATACGAAAATAATCATGCTCCAAAAAGAACATAGTAGTTGTAACATACCAGGTATGAGGTAGGTACCTAGTATGGATCGAGGTTTAAGAAGCCAAAAGATTTGACCACTTGCGAACAATGAGATTTTTTAATCTCTACCTTCTCAAGAGAATTTATTCACTTCTAGACCATACGGAAATGAGAAATATGAGACACAAAGAATAATGACCTACTTTCAGAAGGGCCTAGAATTCATGGTTTTGGTATGCTATAGAAACTCGCTCTTTCAAAGGATCCATTCGTCCCTCTGCCACGTTTTGATCGGAAGACTTCTATTGGGGGACTAGATAAGATGGCTATTTTCTAGGCTGTTTGGTCAATTTGTCACATGACAGAGGGAATTTGGAAAGGAAGTTCCATTTCAAACTCCTATCTTACAAGAATACCGAAGAGTTTCCTTTGTTTATCTATCCATGTGATATCAACTTGGTTCGTAAGCAACTATACCTAAGAACTAAGCTAGTATTAGCAATGGGTGACTAAAGCCGGGAGTTAGTAATATGTAGGTGGCATGGAACAAATAGGTGTAGGTTGTTAGCTTGTGATAGATCCAACGGTTTCTGGGATGATTAAGGACAATATCTTGTCAGATAAGATAAATGCTTCGAAGGATTAGGTAGGTAGGTACCTAGTAGTTAAAGGTTTGGAGATATCCTCGTACCTCTAGTATGGTAATTGGGATTTATATAAGCTAGGAGCCCCAAGGTCCATATGGGTACCTTGAAAACGTTCATATGAGTTTCATCTTTTGGTAGGTAGGTATGTATCGGGTTATGGATTCTTAAGTTTTGCGGCTGGGTAAGTAGAAAACTATGGAAATAGTAGCACCCATACCTACATGGTAATAGTTTTGAAAGAGCCGTAAGATTGACTAGAAAATACCTACCTACCGAAAGCCTCGGAGATATACTAATGGTATTCTTCCGGTAATTGGTAATACCTAGGTATCCTTTAAGATCCCCTCGTCCAGTTGTTGGTACGCAGTTTATTTTGTAGGTAAATAATAGAGGTTATGCTGCGCGCTAAGGGGTAATGGACAGATCTCTGACCTTTCCTAGGTAGGTAGATGACCTGAGATGAGAAAACATAAGAGTCGGATATAATCAGGTATGTCAGACGTCTGGTCTTCCTCCAGGTTGGTAGCTAGAGGTCTATGGGATTGGGACTCGGCCCGTGGAGTCCTCGTTGAGTCTGTGAGGGTCCTGTTGGCAGCTAGTTCTAGGAGCAGAGCAAGCAAAGAGCTTTACCTGTATATATACCGTGTTCTTCATAGCGAGTAGTTAGGAGCTCCCCGCGCAACAACGTCGCTATTGCCTAGTTCTTTGGTTCCACCTCGTGACAAGGTAGGCAGGAAAGTACTAGGTTTTAATATTATCATGGCAATCTATTATTATGAATTAGGACTAACATGTGCCACAAGACGGGGCACATGCTTGGGATACATAGAAAATGTTTGGCAAAGAGGGAATTGTACAAAAAGCAGCGGTCATCTTCCAAGGTTCCTTATGACATGCATTAATAACGATTGCGGGTTATTCCAAAGTCCTGCTCGGCCTCATTACCTTAAATGTATCCATACAACCACCTCCTTCAACCGCTTATATCATCGCTCTCTCATTTCTTCAGCTCCTCAAACCTAACCCTCAACCCATGAGGCCTAAGGGTGAAACCGGGATTCTCAATGGTGAAGCCGTTATCAACGCTTACAAATCGAAAATTGCGAACAATCTCAGCCAGAATGGTCTTGATTTCAAACATGGCAAATGCGCGACCTATACAAATTCGTGGACCGTTTGAAAAGGGGGAGAAAGCGTAAGGAGAAAGCTGATCACCGGTCACTAAGATTAAACTTGTTAGCATTGCTTAGACATCTAAATCGCTTGCGGTGTTGTCAGGAACATCAAAATAACCACGTACAGCGTTGCCATCGCGTAGGATCGAAGTTATCTACGTCGTCACCCCAGATTTTCGGGTTCATAAGAGTCACCGAAGGAGCAAGATCTACCAAGACGCCGCTAGGAATGTGAACTCCGTCGACAATAATATCGGTGTTTGTTGCGCGATGATAGGTGGTAGCTGACAATGTTAGAATTTGAGTCTTGCATAATCGGTATTTTTGTCTTACATGGAGAATACATGCGCAAAACCTCCTTCGAGAAAGCCTCTAGGTAAGGGAGCCTCTCTAGGTCGTTGTATGTTGGTTCGGCCGGTAGTCCCTTGAGTTCTTCAAGGAGTGCATCTTGAATATCAGGGTTCAATGCCAAGATATACAGACTCCACGAAAGCATATTGGCAGATGTATCATGCCCAGCAGCCATAAACTCAAGCAGCTAGTAAATGTCAGCCACCTAAACCCCTTATTGCATGAGACAACACTTACGTGACCAAGAAATTCGTTCTCTCCAATACCTTCAGCAATTCCGCCGGGCAAACTTTCCTCGACCACAAACGTGACCAGGTCTCTAGAGTCGTTGGATTCATACTTGCCTTCGGCGGTTGCGGTTGAAACATGACGGGTCCGTTCGCGAATGAGATTGCGGAGAACATCATTCAACCAGCCCATTGCGAATAAAAACTTACGGTTGGCATCGAATGGTAGCCATCGCGTGGGTATAAATCCGTTAGCGAAGAGCAAAACTTTGCCGATTCCCTTTGGCGAGAAAAATATGTCGTATGCTTCATGGAATGAACATCCTGCCTTGAGATCGTTGCTTTGCTCTGCCTTCTCTTCACCGGGCTTCACGTAGTCAAGCTTGACTCCTAGAATAGCAGAGCCCATAATATCAAGGATGGCCTTCGAGAAGGTTGTGGTGCAATCGATAGTACCGGTTTGGTTGTCGTTCTCACGGATGCACTGGTTGAAGTAACTGCAAAGATCGCGGGCTTTCTCTTGGAAGATCGGCTCCAGCTTCCGAATGTTTTTTAGGGAGAATGAGCCGCCAAGCATCTTCCGGTGAGCCTTGTGCTCCTCTCCTTCCATGAGAATGAGTCCATGGCCGGCGACCTCTTTGACGATGCGAAGAAACCAAGCCGGCTTCTGTAGAGAATAGCACTGAAACTGTAGCACTTCCCGGTGGGCATTAAGGTTAACGGGAAACAGCACCTCGGTGTTACACCAGGTTAGGTATCGAATGAAGGGAGCGTCAGGATGTTCTCTCATCCATTTCACATAGAGTGTCGTGGGAGATTCGGCCTTTAAGAAATTTAGGGCCTGCCCGAAGAGAAAGTGGTTATCCTAACAAGGTAAGTGAGTAAGTCAAACTTGGATAGGCCGGAGGGAAGAATCCCTTACCGTCGGACCGGGTAGATGACGAAGGGGCGAAAAGTATCTGTGGTACAGAAATATCCGGTAAAACTTGACCACGAAGTATTGGGCGAAGAAAAGAGCCAAGGAAATTTTCCCTGACACGGGCCGAGACTCTTGGCCCGGGATATTATTTGCAAGGAGCGACTCGACGGCTGTCACGCCGGCACAAAGAATCAAATCCATCTCGATAGACAAAGTAAACTGACCCGAGAGAAAAGAAAGTTGACAATGTTCAAGTGACGAGCGAATCTTTAGTTAAAAAGGGTGTACCTCGACCCGAGCGGAGAATGTTCATCAAGAGTTGCAAGGGATAAGGACGGTCCACGAAATTGTGCTTCCATAGAACAGAATAGGGGATTCTCCCCGCAATCGAGAAGACATGATGGAAGCAGGCTCTCGGACCTTCGTGCTGGGATGTAACCTCGAACCAACGCTCTCAACTTCTTGGGAAATAATCAATCACCTCATTGGCAGCTCTTATGGTTGCGAACATGGATTCTATGCATATTCCTTTTATTGGTAACGATCTTACAACAATTAGCCTTCGAGACCAGGACCCAGTCTCCAGCTAGCTAGGTCCGAAGGTAAACGGCCAATGAAGATCTGCCCGCTATAGCTCATTGGGAGAGTCTCGAACAACACATAACCGACAATTTCTATCTCATTGGTTTATAAGTGTATATGATAGGTGTGGGAAAATGATGCATAAATAGTCTTCTGCACTACGAAAGATGAAGAAAAAAAAGCAAAGGGGCTCGGTTAATACGTGATTTTGTATTACAAATACCCCTAGGTAATAAGTAGGGAGGTTACCGAACGGTCGGGAGCTCCTTTGTATGGTAAAGAAACTGATTGTTACATAGATCTGCGGGAAATTTTACTTTTCGTTATCAAGCTGTCAAGGTGAGAATTCCCCCTGATCCGGGGTCTAAAAAGAACCTCGCTCACCGGAACGTACCCCCGGTTCGTCCCGTTCGGTCCGCCGGGGTTGACAGGTCGCAGATCATCCGCTTTCTATTCCTATTCTAGATAGTGACCTGACATTGATGAATTATTACCATATTTCCTGGTATAATGCTTTAGGGCACAGCGTTTTGCCAATTCTCGCTTCTCGTAATCCGATTAAAAACCCCCAGGCTGCGAACTCGTACCCCAACATTACCTAAGTCTAGGCATTGGACCCATCTTACGGCTATCCACTGAGCTGCCTGGGGCAACGAGCTGTGCACGTCCGCACGCACGACAAATATTTTCCCAGTAAGATTATGTGGCAGTAATAATCCTGGTACCTCTCATACAACCAAGATTAGGCGAAAGACGACGTACCAGACATCGCGTTTCATTCTGATCTCTCTATTGGTTCCCATCCTGGTGGCGATCGGTCGTCGACGCTCTTCGCAACTCTGAAATGTTACTGCTTACTCGCTCATCAAGGGGTTCGGTGGAGTCTCAAATCATACCAAATACCCAGCAACAAAAACTTTGGGAACCACCAGCGAGGTTCTCGGTGGCTGCAGATTTGCAGGGGGCTTTGTTAATTGGTATTTCTCTTGCCCAAAAGAGGTCTGTTTCCCACCTTGACATAAATCGGTCGTAGCCTCTCTTCTTGCTTGTGTCTGTGTCGAACGCCGTCGTCTTCGATGTGAATATCTACAATACTGTCCGATTCTTTTTTTTAATAGGCTCACATGGCTACTCAGGGCCGATTGAATGGTCAGGAGTTGATCGACTCGGCCTGGAAGCAACAACCGTTCGAACCGGTAGGATTTGCTGCCACTGTCAGTCGTGTTCAGATCGCATTGCTGGTCCTCACCACCCTACTCATAGGGCTTCGAATATGGGCTCGAGGTTGGATTTTTCGTGACTTGAAGATCTGGGGATGGGACGACACTCTTGCGCTCCTTAGTTATGTACGTCGATGAAATGGCCACACTATGCATTAACATCACTAACACGAGGCCCCTTTGCGCAGGCCACTTTTATACCCTCTTGCGTATTCACCATATACGCTTGCCAATATGGGCTCGCGACTGCGGATGCCGAGCTGACGGATAGTCTGAAAGCCAGAGCCGCCCTGTACATGGGTTATTGGCAAATGCACTATGCTTGCTCGTCAAACTTAGTCAAGGCGGGTATTGCTGTCGCCCTGTTGCGTTTGACGACGACCCAAAAGACATACCGAGTTATCATCCTTGGTATCCTGATATCGACTCCCATCTTTACAGTTGCTGTGCTCATCGTCCTAATCTCTACGTGCCGTCCCTTGGGATCTCAATGGGATTTGGCTTTGGGTTCTTGCGGGGTTCACACCGCCATGGCTTACCTCAGCTACATCTTCACTGTTTTCACTGTGATCCTCGACTGGGCGTGCGCGATGATTCCTTATCTTCTCCTGAAGGACCTCGAAATGCGACGGCATGTCAAGATATCACTCATAGTTGTCCTAGCTTTTGGAAGTTTGGCAGGAGTTTGCGCTATCATTCGACTACCATTTCTGAAGTATTATCTTATAGAAGAGGATCAGCTACGTAAGTCATCCTCATCCCCTTATAGGAAATTTGAGGTTTCTGATCATTGATATTGATATATTTTAGTTGGATTTGCGAACATCATACTCTGGTCTAATGTCGAGAACGGTATCGGAATTATTGCTGCAGCCCTGCCGCCTATACGTAAACTCTTCAGGTATTACGGAACGACAAAAGACCGGTCGTCTAACAATAAGACGGGGGCCCTGAAGACGATAGGGGGCACGCCATTAACTAAGAATACTGTATCGACTCAGTTAAAGAACTTGAGCCCGAGGAATACAAAGCGGTCGGAATTGGGCTCCGAGGGAAGCGGGCCTTGGAATAGACTTGACGGCGACAGTTCCAGCAAGGAGAACATGATAGTGCTTTGATTCCGCAAGAGCGGGTTAGGAAAAGTTATAATGTAATATCCCAATGCTGGCGGAGCCTGAGCAGTAGGATTTTGAAATTAATCATATTAGTAACTGCTGACATGTACGCTAGAGACTACTCAATATTCTAGAAATAGCGGTGCTGATCTTTCGATTCTATTCTTGACAATGTCCCTCGTCATGTCATTTGTTAAACTCCATTGTATACCTAGTAACGTGGAATTGTGACCACAAGAATCCTCATTGTTTTGAAGGGCTGCCAGACATTTAAATGCCCTGATTAATACAGTATCATTGTGTGATGTACCTATCGTACATATATTCATGGCAGAATCCTCAGGACATCATTCATTTAATCCCTTTATACATATTAGATACCCAGTAAGTGATACCTAGGCAGATATTAGGTACCTAGGTAGGTACAGAAAGGGGGAGCGCCGGAATATTTCATCGCCATCCAAATCAAAAGCAAATGATAGCGAACTTTTAGCACCAGCCACCCCGAATCTAGGTTGTGGTTTTTACATACCTACTTAGGTACCTAGTAGATACCTAGATTTGGTTACAATGCGCATTCACACTTGCGTATCTCGATAATGAATAGGCGAGAGGTTAAGGGGTTTGAAAATCGAGCATCGAAGGCCATTTTTCGATTGCATGGAGGTGAACTAACTTGGTCAATTTGAGAATCTCTAGGTTGGAAATGCAAGTCACGTTTGATTTTCAAGCTCCCGACCTCGAGCATACAGATTCCCGGATCCTGCCTACTTACTTAGGTAGACACTAGGCAGCTAGATTGACACGCCTTGGGGTAGTCTCGAAGCGCCCAGCCCGTTCATCTCACGTTGTGTGACGTGAGGTCGATCAGGATAAATGCTACTGTAGAACTTGATTATGTGAGAGGAGCTCACCCAATTCGTTGTGACTCTATTAGCAAGTTCTCGGGAATAAAAGTATGGTGTGAAAAGAATGATTTGATTTTTGAAACATCGCCGATAGTTTACCATCGAAAATCGGGATTTTCCATCTAGTACAGTGCCCTTCCAGGTCAGTGCGGACGCCCCACATCTGAACTCTTAACATATATCAGGCTTGGCACCTGTCGGCCAGCTGCAAGATTTGAGTGCCCCTTATTTTAACTCAATTACTTCTCATAATTAACTGTTTTTTTATTCTAAAAAGGCGTTCCTCCATGAAGTACACTGAGAACTTAATGATCTCGAAAAAATTATATTAATTAAACGCATTTATACGTTGCGAGATTTGATCTTGAAATTGAAGATTCAGATTGCAGCTGCCAGAAAGGCTTGGCATGTTAGGAGTTCAAATGTGGGGCGTCCGGACTGACCTGGAAGGTCACTGTAGGTACCTACCTACTTATCTATGGCATTCTATGCGAGCACTTCTAAACCATTATCGATTTCATAATTCAATTCCCGATATGATATCCAGAGATACTAGTATGCCTTTAGAAGCCCCAGAAGGTGTATTGTTTGCTTAGGGGCTCGAACTTGACATATATAATCCAAGTACGCGTCTAATTACATAGGTAGGTAGGTATGTACCTACCTGGGTAGTTACCTCCATATCTGGCGGTATAGGAACGACGTATACACATTAAAGTTAATTTAAATACCGATAGATGGGGAAGTTTTAAACAAGGCTTGAAGTAAAGATGTTTCAATTTGATATTCACGTAATATGTTAATTAAGTAGTGAATAACCCCAGTGACTACAGTTTTGGAAGACGAAGGCTATATAATTATTATACATTTAGTATATTAGTAATAAGAGAAGACCTCTTAATCTACCTAACCTTTAAACCTGAGACGTGAAAAATAAGTAATATTCTAAGATATCAATCGAGAAATGCATATATGATTTAAGCGTATCTTGAACCATGTTGATCAGGCCAGCTTTATTAGGTACCTATTAAACAAACACCAACTAACCAACACCCCTGGGACTCACCGGGAAAAGAGACACATGTCTGGAGACTCCTTGGAATCGCGGCGGAAATTGAACGCAAAAGGCCAGCAATTTTCGCAAGATGCTGTAAATTACAACCAACCGGTTAAAGATATGGTTACATACCTAGGTAAGTATTTATCATTTTAACGGAGGCGCTGAAAACAACGAGAGTAATACCTTCAAATATTCGCGGTGTTCGATTTAAAAATGATCAAGCGATGAGCTCAACGTTGAACTCGTGGGGAAATCCGAACACCATTAGAAATGTCGATGTAATTGGCGTGGATAAGTCTAGGGAGGTATGCGATGAAAAAAGGTAATTTTAACACCTTAATAAGTCGCCCTTGTCAACTCAAACACAGGAGTAGTACCATTAATTATGTCGACACGCTGCTGGGACGTTAGATATATATACCTAGGTAGGTTGAAATATATTCTTAATAATGATATAAAGGAATGGGTAGGTATGTTTCAAGTTCGCTCGAAATAAAACAAGAAGAAATAAATATGTACATACCTACCTAGTACCTAAGTAGAAGCGATATTTTTATTGATGCCGACACTTTAGGTTCGGATCGCCAAGCTGAGAAACAATCACGTGGGGGAGTTTTTAAGTACCCACCTAGTACCTACTTAGCCATAAGCTCGGATCGCACGCTAGTTTTAACTGGACGCTAACGTTAGGCGAATGTAGCCAAACGACGTCTTAAAGAAGCTAGACCAGGGGTAAACCAAGATCCCAATCAACATTGGAGTCAAATACTGCGGGTCCTAGGCTTTACTAGGTAATTCTTATTACTACCTAGGTATAAGCTGATAACGTATCCATACGTAACTAAGTGCTATTATGTAGAATTCCAAGCCTACAATGCCTTAAGGAGGCAAGAAGTATTAAATATCATTAATAGTAAAGAAAGCTGTAGTGAGAATATCGTTAGTAATTTGATTTAATACGTTTGTGTAGTATTAGTTGCCTGGGAATTACTATATTGAAACACGTGGGATCGGCCGTCAATTTTATGCGGTGATCATATCTGGAACGTTTAGTGAATGTCTCATTGCTTCAAAAGTTCTCTAGCTACCAATTAGTGTATTACCTGCCTTGGTGGTTGGTTAAACGTTAAGGTAATCAACTAAAGCGGCCACAAGGTAAATATTATTCGGTAAACTGGGCTTTGAAAAGATACGCTGTTGACTTGTCATTGCATAGTGATAGTGACATTCCGTATTTTTTTTTTTTTTTTAGCTTGCCGGGGAATTTTAGGACTCATATTGACCTAATAGTTGCGACGTAATGTGATAGTAAGTCGACTGATGACAAGATGTCAAAATCACAACGATGATGTGTGATTCAAAAGTTATCGCACGTAGGAAGAGCAGGGTAAAGTTGCAAGGCCGGGGATAGGTTTTACTAACATAACTCTTCTAATCCCATCCCCTTGCATATCTCTTTTTCTTATGCTCCTAGTCTACGCTGTACTATGCCTATACTGATGTATGAGGGGCGATCAGTCAGCAAGCTTCTGCAAGTCGCAACTGAACCGATTGGTAAAATATATCATCACGGCGCATCGTAGTGGCGTTCTTGGCCTACATAGCGGTTGAGGTCTGATGTGATTCCGAAACATTAATACGCCTGAAGCCGTCGATTCGGTGGGCGGAGGCATGCTAATATTGATGCCGGCAGCTGTTTCGTATGAATTGTACAGCGCGTCCGGGCAGTAGTGTTGCATCCCGCCTTGCATCTGCATCTGCAGCTATTTCGATGTTAGAGAATACTTTGGTGTTTGACCTACTAGGTACCCAATCCGCGGTTGAGTTTGCGCAAGTATGTCCATTATGCCACGTGTGAAGTGATCTAGAGCAGTATGTATTATCGAGGAGAGCAAGTCCATTGCTCAGGAACTGAATTGTCCAGCTATTAGGTAGGTAGGTGTGTAGGAAATATGCCTCATAATATTAGTCCACGTTTTTAAAGGATTTGCCGTGTTTCTTGTCAAAGTGTTTAAACTGTTTACGTTGAATGGAGGGGCAATGGAGGGATGAACCATTGTCGTGGGTCATAGCGTGCATAAGTTCGTATGTATAACATAGGAGTGGGAAATGAAGAATATCTACTTGCATACCTCGGTATTTAGGTACATATGTACCTACCTAGTACATGATAGCCCTTCACTTCAAAAGCTGATTAAATAGATCATAAAGTCGATCAATGATGATAGTAGGAGATTTTACGGGTGCTGATATTGTAAGGTGAAATAAAAAGAGCATTAAATGATAGAATATGTATTGTAGTATGCAAGTTTATACATTGATATTGTCATACCTTCACTATTCCTAGGTATGCACTCCATATTCATTCATTCAACTATTATTTTCCGTACTGTGTCACTTCCTTCTCCCCTGTCTTTGGTTCTTGACCGAGACTTCTAAACTAGGATTGTAGAATACCTACTAAGGCAAGCACAACTTAGTATGTAGATAGGTCGCTTGAGGCTTTCAGTCGCTGATAAGCTGATGAGCTGAATAACCGAGAGCCAGTAGTAGTTTAAGCTATCACATACCGTGTTCTCACCGGACTTATCTCTTAAGACGGCGCTTGAATCTTCACGATATCTATTACGTACCTACATTAATGTCTCGTAAACCTAGGCTTGAAAAGAATATATATTTTCATTGTTCCCGTCGCAACTTTCAGCTTTTCTATGACTTAGGATATATTAAACGTCGAACAATATAATCATAGCATTCATGACATGGTCAACGAGGAATATCTTGAAAAGGCTTCACTGCCTTCCGGGTTGTTATACTCCATTTAATTCACACTGTGTTTATTCAGAGTGGGTAGGAAAGAAAGCCCCATTTTCTTCTGTGTTAATGTTAGACCTTATCCAGCTCACCATCATAGGCTATTTGGTGAGAGTCAATGTTTCTGTTAATCGTTGAACCTTTTCTTGCTAGGTGTCTATCATTGCATAAACCTAAAAAGCGGTAGCATCTCGATGCGCATGAGCTTAATTCGATCGTTGGGAAATTCTATGTCATTGTTGCTTTTGTTAGACGGTGAACCGTTCGATGATGATTTTCGGAGTGGCTTTCATGATAACGGGCTGGCAGCGGACCCCTTTCTTCTTAGGTAGGCCATTTCGGGGCTTTACAGCTGCAGCAGCTCTTAGTTCTCCCACGTCGTCCCACTTTACATCCTTAAATGATTATTTTATTGGCTGATATCTGAAATATGGTGGACCGACCTAAATTTTGAGATTGCTAGGGACCCTGGCTCTTGGTTGCACGAAAAGGTTGGTCTAACCAGGGGATAGCTTGATACCCCTTGTCAAAATAGTCCTTGAAGGTATTAGATACACAAAAACTGTTACATCTATAGTCGGGCACGTTAGTTTTGATGAAACAATCGGTAGCATCTCTCAAGCAAAGTTTAAACCAGGCACTAATCGCATCAAGGCCTCTTTCACCTACAGCAGGGTATTCGTTACATAGTCCCTTTGTCACCTCTTTGAGTGCCGATCCCCTGGCACGCTAAACGACCTGTACCACTTTCGGCCGTCGAAACCCACTTGTTATTTCCCCGTCCCTCGCAAATTGTAACACGGGCAGCAGCTGGAGCGACGGTCTATGATTTTTTTCTTGAAGCTTTCCTCGTTTGGTCGTGTCACAACTCGTCACTGTCGATATGCTACATACTACATAACACGCACATAATAATACATTAATACATCTATAGTGTTCTCCTAGCACATCCTAGGCCTTTGTTCATTATTTTATCGTTTATTTCTAATGTCAGGGGGGTCCTCAAGCTTGTATTGCTCAATTCAATTCACTAAAGAGGCAATTCGAGCGCGCATTGACTCTCATTGCTTCGGTCTATCGGCGCAAATCTCCCTTCTTGCCCTTCCACCTCTACCTACCTACCTAGGTACCCGACACGCACACCCTTTTCTACCACGCAATAATAATACCAATACCATTCATTCTCTTTCACGTTTCGTCTCTCCTTTTCCCTTTTCTTGAGCGACATCTCCTCCACCATCCCTCCCACCTATTTCCTCTACTCCCCCCCACTTGAGAAGTTGCAGCCAGACTGTACATTCTGTCACCCTTATTCTGACAGCAAGCTGCTGCTCGTCCAGTCGATGAGTACTGGCTTGGTGGCTTGTTTCTGATCCTCCAGGTCGGAAAACAACTCACGGGAGGTTCCTTAATTGGAACAGGTTCGAACCATTATCTTTTGGTAATCGATTTGGATCCGGGCTGGTCAGTAACTTGATTTCGTCTGGTTACCGTTGCGAGAGGATTGGAATCCGAAATAGAAACCAAAAGACCTTTAACAAGATAAGGAAAGTAATCTAATCCGGGTTCATCATGGCACCTTCACTTAACACGCATTCCTCCTTCACGCGCCCGCGTACCAGCGAACGTGATGCCCGACCCAGCACACGCGATCAAGGCGACACCAACTTGATAATACCCAGTAGGACATCGTCTCTCCACTCTCGCATCACCCAACCGATTCCTTCTACTCTTAATGGGAAACCTCAACAACGAACCCCGAAGACTTTGACCCATGCCTACATGGTCTGCGGTGTTGGAAGAGAGCCATCCCAATGGGTCAAGGCTCCCTCACCAGCTCAGGGCAAAATTGGCCACATGAAGGGGGCAGTTGGCCAATTTTGGTTACCAGAGATCTTGGGAAGCAGTCCCCGTCTTGAGCAAGACAATGAAGTCGCGCGATCTTTACATGCTGCTATGAGGGTACGTAATCTTGGAGGGGGGACGGAAATTCCTGTACTCGCTAACTCGCTATACTAGGCCTGTTTCCCTCATGATGTCGAGATCTGCACTGGTCGCAGCCAACCTCACTGCGTCCACCATGCATTTGTCCTTCAACAAGATTCATCTCACACCCTCTATGGTATATGTCTACGGGTTTGGTCGAGGGCTGATGAGAAGAGGGCGGACACTATTAGGGACCTAAGGAAGCGCACCGAGACGGATTATTACGACAGCCCCGACGAGACTTACTGGATTCCTTACTGCTTATCATTCCTTTCTCGATACCCCCTCTACAATTTGTTGGGTGACTACTTGCGAGGAATGTGGATCCACTGGAATAAGGCTACAAACCTCTTTCATGCTGAAGAAGTGTCGCGTATTCTAAGTTTCCCTGCACCGAGGCTGAACGATCTGGTCCGAATAGACATGAAAGACTATGCTCTCTGTTACCAGTTCCCCTCCTCGCCGACAGGATTTCAGAACTTCGCCATGTGGCCGCTATGGACCTGTCTTTCGATTCCAAACATCGTAGGCGTTATTGAGGCCGCGATATCACCTACTAGGCGTATAATATTTGTGAGCCACTACCCTGCGATGTTGACTATGGCCGCCGAGACTGTTCGATTCTGTGTTAGAGTCTATGAATGGAGTGGTCTCTACGTACCAGTCGTACACGCTCGCCACGCCAAGGAGTTGGTGGAGGAACCAGGGCCGTACATACTTGGTATTACGGCCGAATGTCGATCTCTATTCACTGCCCCGAACGACGCACTAGTCGTGGATTTGGACCGCAACTTCGTGCTTACATCTAACCCGCCAACTACCTTGAACGCAAACCAGCGTAACAAGTTTGTTACTCGACTAACTCAGGCATTGAATGGCGATGTCACGCCGTCTGGTGTTCCTCAGCACTTACGCTCTGCATACGGCGGTGGTAAGCTAGTGCCTGCTGGTCAAATCATCGTAATGCGCGGGGAGGTCGAGTCTATTCAGGACCCCGAGTGGTGGAACCAGGACGCCGTCATGGCAGTGATGGATCATGTCTGTGAGAAGCTGGTACGTGCTTTATCCCCATCGTATAAACGTTTAGTGACGCTAATATATTTTGACCCAGGGCCGCAACACTGGTTTGAAGGCTGTTTTCGGGGGTTCGGTTAAGAAGCCCCTAATGACGAAGGTTTCGATGAGACATCTTAATGAGATTGTCCGAGAGCGTAACCAATATTCTCGCGATGCTCTGGAGGCGTGGCAAGATTTCATTAACCTTAAGGGCCGTATGGACACCGAGCTTAACAAGGTCACGAAGCGAAACAACTACCTGGTAGAAGAGTTGGAGAGCTGGAAACAACAGGTACAAACATTTATTTTAGCAGAGTTGCTGCACAGTGCTAATGTGAACAATAGTTCCTTAAATTCCAAGCATTCGCCGAGCAACTCACGAAGGAGACCCAGGATCTCAAGGTAAAGATCGAAACCCACAAGAGGGAGAATAGACGACTTGCTGGCCTCATCGATCAACAGAAAGATGATAATGCTCGTCTTTCTGTGCGTCTCACCGGCACCGAGAAGCAGCGAGACGATGCTCTTGAGGCCCTTGTGCTGCAACAAGAGATTGCAGAGGAGCTTGAGCGGGAACGCAAGAGAAACAAGAAGGAACTTGCGGCACTTCAACATACTAACGTTACCATCGTTCGACAACGTGACGAAGCCCGTCGTGTCGTCCTTCATCTACGTAGTCTGATTGGTGGCCAGTCTCACCACATGGAACATCTAGTTCAGTCATTGACTACGCGTGATGACTTGACCAGTGAGATTGAGGAAGGATTTGATGAAGAAGATGAAGTAGAAACAAGTGATGGTAAGCGGAAATATCAATTCATTGGGTCATTCTCGGAGGCTAACATTTTATTTCCTAGACCGTTTATTGAAACATGCTAGCCGAGCAAGCAAGCGTGTTTCTACTGCTAGCTTCAGCGACGTGGCCGATCGCCACCTTAAGGATAAGACTGATGCTATCTCTCATATTATCCGGAATATTGCCGAGCAATGTCAAGCCGCTGTGGAGGGTTTGCAGCTCGCCCAAGATGCCGAGATCGAATCATCCAGATCACCCCGTCGTGCAAGCAACCTCTCCACGGCCTCTAGCAATGACGGCCACGATCACTCGGCTGCCACTTCCGAGGTTGGCGACGATAGTCTTCTGCACCCCTCCGGGCGTGCCTCCTCCATCCCTCCCACTCCGGATCTAATCCCCAACCGGAGCAGTACCTCGATGTCGATGGCGTCAACAATGACTACCCCTGAGCGGGCAAGTCAGCAATACAGCATCCACAACGACATTCCTACTAAGATTGTCGAGGATGACGAAGATGACCTAGCTGAGCGCAGCGAGAATGAGGCTGTATCTCATGAGCCGGGTGTCGTGGGGAAGCATGCTGAGAGCCTGATTCACCGTCCATCCGGTGCCAGAATAAGTGCTCTGGGCGGCACTCGCTAAAGCTGGGGTGTTGACTTGGTGCATGTATGGAGTCGGTGGCGATACGTTTCGAAAATTTCTGTCTGAGAGACTTTGTTAAGGAGGACAAGTCGTCTATATCTTTTTTACCTCCAATACCTGTGCATATGGACTTTTTGCTTATACCTCTGGTTATCTGTTTTTTGTGGACTTCTACGGCGTTCTACTCTACGAAGAGTCTTCTCGGATTTTCGCTCTTTGCGTTTCCTACTTATTTTTTACCTTTTTCAAACTCCGCCTTAATTTTCCTTGAGATAAAAGCAACTCGAGTTGGTAGTCTATTCGTTAGGCGTAAATATGCCTACCAGGTTACGCAGTTGGAGACGTGAGGGAAAGACATGACGGAGGAGTCATTTGTCTCTTTTGTGTATATCGGTAAATGCTCTCTGTCCAAAGTCGAGGATGATGGATGCGTTTACCTTTAATTACTGCCGCTTGTATCTTTCGTGCAGTGCTGGGCAAATATGAGATACTTTGACTATGCAGTTTATGCCAACTTACTCTCAGCTTCGTGATTTCATTCCTCTGTCGTCACGTTTTGGTTTTGTGGCTCCTTAGATGATATCCGCTTTCTTGAACCTCAGCCTGAAGTATTTAGATTAGCTGCTTTGAAGACAATCAAATTACTCCTTGTCTTCCACATTATATTTCATGTCCCTAAATTCATTTTACTTGACCATCGCGGATGGTATATATCTATGGAAGTATTCGTAGGTATGCAATCTAGAAGATATTACAAGTTAGTGATTCGATCTGATCGTATAACTAGGTACCTGGGCTGCTGGGTACTAGGTATGTAGGTACTGTAGACCTGTACACACAACTAAATCTTTGAATGTAAGGTAGGTACGAAGTACCTAGTGGTACTACCTAGTAACACTTGTAGGGCAAAGCGGATTTGCGCTGTGAGTGGACCCAATTATCGTATCCATACGATAATTGGGTCCACTATGAGGCTGATCAGCCATGGTTCTGCTAGGAAAGGGGTTGAGCGCAACGGGATAACCCGCACCTCCCTAGACGTTCTAGGCCTTACAGGGCGGAAACAGGGCTGCCCACCGCTTGTTGAGCTCGATACGGAAACGCAAAGACCAGAGTCTACGGGGCGACTTGGGGATATTACGGACGTGCCGCGCGAATCGGATTTTGATTTGAAGAAATCGGGAAAGCAACGAGATTTTAGCGTAGTTCTAGAATAGGTCGGATGCATCTACGGTGAACGGCCTACATAGTAGGTACATAGTAGTTCGTAATCCCTTGTCAGCTTGCTTACTTGCATTTAAAGCTATTGATTATAGAGGTAGGCACTGATCATCTGTAGGTACCTACTTATAGGTGCTCATAACAGTTTAGAAAGTTTGTATTAGTAGGTGCTTCGTGTCCACCGGACTTTTAAGGTTACTCCCCAACTCCATACATGTAGGTACCTATGTAAGCGTGGGTGCCAACTACCTAGTAGGTACCTAGTACAGAATATATACTAGCCACATCCAGGCTTACCCCTCTTTCACTTCCATTTCAATATTACACATACAGTACACGATAGGTGCAGCACGAAGTACAGCGTATCTTACAGCATACCACCCGGATTAACCTAATTTATCTCCAGGGCTACCATATCTTTTCCTGGGTACCTAGAAGCATGTTGCACCATCTCATTATTATGCGCCTCTTTACTATATATAGTAGATTGGCTTGCGCAGCTATTGTGCGGACTTCGTGGGTAGAATCCTTCAAGCATCTTTCTAATAGCTCTTCTACTCTAACCTTTATTATCCTATTCGATTATACCAGGTCTTACATATCCCCGAAACTTCGCCGTTGAAGCAAGGCGTTCCGAGCCAAATGGTTTCTGCGAAGAACTATTGTGTTGTAGAAACTACGAGCCATGGTGGATAGACGTACGTACCTACCTATCCTAACCGAAGACCTGCAAGTACATAGATAATTACATAGTATGAGTGAAACTTTAGCCGAGGCAACTGAGCGTGTTAACTATTCTTGCCACTTAGAGGGTAACGTTGGCGTGTTTTAAGACCTAATGTTGGACCATTAACTCTATTACCTATAGACCTCATCACTCTTCCTATTAGACGCTGTGACGAAGCAGATAGCATCATTTCTAGGTAGGCATGTGGACAAAAGAGACTTATATACCTAGGTAGGTATTCTTCACTTATACTGGCATTTTCCAGAAGCCTTCTATTAAAACGTTCTTTACCTATTCAGATACAAAGTCCTCATCTCCGACTTGAAGAGATATTGTCACTCCATTTACTACTTACTTATCCTTCCCAAAGGATCATACCCCTATATGTTGCCACCGATCTGTTGCTTAGATTTGGTTTGGTACAAGACACTCGTAGAAGATGCTAGGCTTGATCCCCAGTAAGTGCTTTGCTTTGGTTTCTTCGTCTCCATTGGTACACACGACGAATCCACGATGAGATAAGGTTACCCCCCCAAGCATCTCTATTTCTCTAAAAGTGATAACAGGACTTAGACTGCAAATTGGCAACACGGTCTTTGCCAACGCCCCCTTATTTTCCTCGGTAAAGTCGATTTTACGATGATTATTAGTAGCATCCACGCACGTGAGCGCGGCAACTGCCGTATTTGCGAATTGCTCAAGATATTCAGCCGTAGGGTTCGTCGGAATGTCGTAAAAATTGAGTGCGGGCTGCTGTACCGTGAGGGCCGTTCGCTCCTGGAGGCTCATCGCAGGTCTGATGATATCTGAAAGCACGCGCTGATACGTTTCGACATCAGGGTGTAAGAAGGAAAAGAGCTGCTCAAGATCTGTTGCCAATTCCGTTTCTCGAGTCTCACGCGCCTGTGGGTAGTCTGGATGGGCTACTATGCTTGCGTAGGTCAACTGATACCATCGTCTTTGCTCCAGCACGGATCGCTTGGGATTATCTACCCTCTCTAGGAAAAAAGCATCGAACAATTCTTCCACGTTTGGGAAAATTCCCGATAAATCCCTAGAAAAGATTTCAAGGTGTAACCATCGCGTAACCGCAGCTTGAATTACTAGCGTACCGTTCGGGTCGTATCGAGATAGCCTGACAATATCCGGGAATCTTCTCATCCATTCTGTCGCCTTAGATCTCGTCGCGGAAACTTTGTTACGCGGTGTACCATCTCCATATGTCTTCATCCAATCGCTGGCCAGTCTGAAAATATTGCCTTCTATTTTATCGAATGACTGAGGGTGTTGATGAGCGAAGCATACTATTAACGCGCCGAGTTTTAGCTTACCTGCGAAAACCTAGGTCCATCAACTTCAGGATTTACTTTAGCCGCCACCCTGTGTATAAGATTATGTAATCCCGCAAGTTCTTGTGCGGAATTTGTATCGAGGATACGTGCATCTTTGTCGGGTAGATGGTCAAGAAGTCTCCGAAGATCCTCAGACTTCTTCCATAGAGCTTGATTTTCCCTTTCCAGCTGTAGTCTTGTTTTCCCACTCGTAGTATAAATGGGCTGCCCATCGGTAAGGCGTTTATCAGCCATTTGTAATAATGATATCTATTAATTCGGCGATTCGTTCCTACACGTATGATACTTGTCGAAAGAGTGATGAGCTCCAAATTTATTTTGTGTGAGGTGGTTTATAAAAAAAAAACCAGCGACGACCAGGAATGTTACAGCCCCTTTATTGGAAAATCCAATGTGGCACTCCATCGCACATCATATAGAGAACAAAGACATGCGCATCTGATTTGTGTAAATACTGTTTTCGTCTCAATATATTATGTTTGCTTTGTTTGATCTTAAACGTTCACAATTATTGAAGATGGAACAAAAAAACGCGTCTCTCTATGTGTATTGTGTTTCAAGCCGATCTAATTGGCGTAAACGTGCTATAGAAGTGCTACTTACCTAATGCAATATCAAACATACGGTACAAACATGCCTATTGATTCATTGCGGCGGTATACTTGGTTATTTATTTTGACGAGGCAAGGAGTCACATGAGACAGTCCATCTTATACATAGGTGGTATATGACTCCCCAAACTTCCAGTCTTGAAGACTCCTTTGCCATAGGTACCAAGATATCATTCACATGCAAAAGTTGGTGAATAGGTACCTAGTTTGTATAGGTAGGGAAATGTTCGGTTCTGGGAGAATTTATGGTAGAAACATGCAAGGTTAATGGTTAGGTACCTACATTATAATGAGAAGCATTAGCAACGAATCCCAAAATTTAATCCTATAGGAGGTCGATAACTTGTTATCTACCTTACTAGGTATGTAGGTACCCCTATTGATACAACCTTATACTAACCTCGGAACTCACCTGGCAGTCTTGAATAATAAAATTAGAAAGCTGGAGACTACAACATAGGTAGGTACTAATGCTGTGACTGAAGAATTAAGTTGGCCTAGCCCCTTATATTGAATGCCGTGAGGCTTTTTGGAAGCTCCACGGCTTATATGAACTTATATGAATATGCCCCAGCTGCTGAGCCGGCTATGCCAAGTCGCCTAAGACAAACACGCCCATGGCTTAATGGCGAGAACATTTGAGCCGCCAAACCCACATCAAGTTTATTTAATATTTAAGGTTGAATTTACCCCGAATCTGCTGAGTGTTGTTCTAATTATTCCTACTAAGGGAAGCCGGGCAGCTTCATGAAATTACTGGCTGTTGCCATATCAGGCTATTTTACCCCCATCCCCATCCCCTTCACCATGCACCCCAGACTAATCCCGAGTCGCTTTTCTCGGTATGGTACGAGTCAGAAGTGCTCTGCTTACGCGCGCGGTCCAGCTAGCCGCACCGGTCAGCATGCTGCCCATCCCCCCGCGGTAGCTATTTAAAGGAATAGCTAGGATGAGGGGTCAAATCGCAGTATTGGGGTAGAGGTAGTAATAAGCCAAGTGTCTCTTCTTTCTCGAAGCGTGTCTCGTGCGTGTGCTTTTTATCTAGTCCTCTCCCATTACTTGAAGCTGCAACCGCGATACCTACCTATCTCCTAAGCTCGTCCAACGGGAACTAATAGAAGAGATGCGGTGTTCTGTAGCTATTCTTCCGGTCTTATCTGCAGCGATATCTGTCGTTGCTGGAGCTCCAAGCCCAGGGGAAGATGGAAAATATACTATATCTTCGATGGGAATAACAGCAAAGGTCGGGCGGTGAAGCCTCGAAGGGAAGTGGATGGACACGCTAACGCTTGCGCGCTTTAGTTCATCCCGTACGGCGCTACGCTCACAAACCTGTTCGTCAAGGATAAAAACGGAGAGGACGTCGACGTGGTACTTGGATACGACGACGTTGATTACTATCGTGAGTATACCCCCTTTCGTAGATCCCATGCGCTCCTGGCTGCCAGAGAAATACCTAACCCCAGGATTCTAGCGGAGGATCCAGGGCATCCGGTGTACAACAGCATTCCTGGCCGCTATGTCAACCGCATCGGGAAAGGCAAGTATACGATCGATAATACGACGTATACAACGCAGATCAATGACGGGAGCAACACTTTGCACAGTGGTACGAATAATTGGTCGTATCGTGTGTGGAATGTGAGCGCTGCAACTAAGGACTCTATCACCTTCACCGTCCGGGATGCTTCGAACTCATCTCAGGGCATGCTGGGCCTCGTTAAGGGCCAAGTTACGTACAGCGTTAGTAAAAGCACGTGGAAGATCACGATGGAAGCGACGTCGCCCGAGGCCAAGACCCGTACGTTATCGTTCATAAAGTACCTTGGTTGCATACCTTGCTGACTTGAGATCTCAAATGGCAAAGCTCTCATGCTGACCCACCATACCTACTTCAACTTGGATGCGTACAAGAACCCCGACACGTTGAAGATCTGGAATCACACGCTATACCTACCTTACTCGAAGCGATATCTAGTGGCGGATGATGGGGCGCTACCCACTGGTAAAATCGCCACGGCGGAACCTAACAGCATCAACGATTTTGCGAGCCGTCCCGGCCTATTCTTAGGCCATGCGCGAGGCGACTCCAGGTTCTCGGGTAACTGCGGCGGCGGCGGTGCCTGTGAGGGCTACAACGGCTACTTCCTGATCGACGATGCGCCCGAGGATGCCGCTGTCGTTCAGCTGGCCAGTGGATTTTCCGGCATCACTGCCGACCTGCGGACAGATCAGTCTGGAGTGGTGGTTTACTCGTGCAATTGGATGGATGGGACTGCCGACCTCAAGAGCACACAGGGCACGAAGGACAACCGCAAGGTAGTAAGGAGCTCTTGTGTTGCTATTGAGGCACAAGATTATGTCGACGGCATCAATCAGTAAGAGCCCCCATGCTCTTATGTCTTGCCTTTTCAGTCGCGTTTAAGTCTTCAGATCCAAAGGCGAAAGAATAGGCATTGAGCCGTGCATAATGCGAGAGCTAACATGAGATAAACACAGTCCCGAATGGGGACGTGTTGACAAGCAGATTACCGGACCAGGCCAGACATACTCGTGGGAGAGCTCTTGGACATTCGGAAACCTTTGAAGTAAAGGGTAGAATTGCGCAACTCCTAGATCAGAGTAAAGACCGGTCTGCGCGTGCGACGCGTCTTATTGGCGGTATCTGCTAGAAAAGGAGCCGATCGCGTTCTTAGTCGTACATACCTAGTAGGTTATAATTTGATTTGACAGATACGATAACCTTGAATGTTTCTTGGCGTAGCTTAAGGTTCTAGTGACGCAATACTCGGAGTCACGAGGCGTATTTCTTCCCTTGGATGTGATGCTGAGAACTCCAAAGTCACTCATCCAAGATTTGAATGCACTTTGACATCAGAATAAGGCCATGCTTGAAGCCCAGACCTGTCTGCCTGTGTGACGGATGCGTGTTTCCCGTTGGGGCATACATATGCCTTTTTGTTCTCTTTTCTTCCCTTTTCTAGAGGCATCCATGGATGGTGTCGACGAGGCGACTTGGCGTTGACGTATTTTGGGCAGGTACCTAGGTAGGTAAGCATCCGACTATTAATTAGATGCTTTGATGCTTAGTTGAGTACCAGGTGGGGATGCAGCTGGAGGCAAGATAGATCTTAATAGGCATCCATTGCGGTAGCTAGCTAGCGCGTCCGCCTTATGATCTGCCTGAATTGCGATTTTCTCACCCGCTTCTCCACTACCAAGTAGGGTAGGTAGGTACCTATAATTGATTGGCTGCGAGAAATGCTATCGGAGGAAGAGCCGGAGGAGTAGGATCCCACATCGAATGTTTTGCGCGCGCATGCTTTTGCGATTGCGGAGCATCGCAATTAAGAAATCCATCCCTTTTCCCCATCCCACAAATTTAGGGGTCTTTTTTTACCCTGCATAAGCTTGTCATCAAGCGTCCAGGGGGTGTTTCCCTCGTCGTGTCGATGACGTAGTCACTTCGACAATTAAGAGGGAAAAATCAAACACCAATCTTGTGTCTCATTTGAATTTTATCAAATCGCCTCTACATTCATTAGTCTCTTTTTGACTTAGGTCATTCACGCCCACACAGCATTGATTCTAGACTCGGGAGCTGAAGTTTACCTAGGTACGATATCCGGCTAAGTAAAACCCAATGCCAGCAATGTGTGTCTTTGTATCCTAGTCTGATTGTTAACTTCATGGCTGCGGCTTACCCCTACGTCATCCCTTTGGAGTAGTGAAAATAGTGGCCTGTTGTGGCGTTCTGAATGATTCGACGTCATTTCCTTTCGGTGAGCTTCAATTCTTCGGATTTCTTCGAAGTGGCTCGCTGTCGTTTTGTGGGGGTTTCTTATAGGACGGCGTCCAAGTGATCATAACGAAGAGAAGCCGCTATCGATTCTGACTAAATACTCATAGACCGTAGTAGTAGCTATGGACTCATAGAACCAATATTCTAGTGAAAATAGGGACATGATCACCCTAGGGTCATGGTCACGAGCACTGAGCCGCTAGGTACTTGAGGGGGAAGAGCCCGGATTATGATGCTATTCATGAGAATGAGGATCCTAGTTTGCCCGATCGGCCTTTCTCATACGTAGCAATTCACTCCTACCAGCATGTTAAGATTCGAACGAGGGAGAAGAAATCAGCCCATATTCAAAAAGTTGGTTGGGTTGAGTTGCTGACTTAGCTCTCGAAACGGGAATGGGATCAGCGCCGCCTGTGGGGGCTAGAGTAACTCTGAATCTGGACCCTGAGCAGAAGCTTTCGGTAGCATATCAGCCTCAACTTCTAACCATTCATAGTCGTCCGCTATGAATCCTACCAAGGTATACTAAGTCCGTCCGAGCTAGATGCAGGCGACGAACTTGGGGAGATCAGGATGACATCATATAATTCCCCGAAAGCATACTAGACCCGTCAAAAGATGGCGTTTCCTTATCCTAGCGAACCATGGCCCCGAGTTTTCGTGTCGTGGGGGTTGAGACCAAGTCGGATCGTGGATTTTGGACTATGGACTGTGGAATTACCACGAGGTATACCACGCGGTCAAACTGGGCAGTTACGGTGAATAGGCGGGACGGCTTCTATTCCGTGCCTTGGAGATTCTTTACATAAATCTTGGTTTAGCCCATGGTTTTGACCATCTTTAATTTCTCCTCTGCTGATCTAGAGCGAAGCTCAAATAAGCTATTCGGTTTATCGTATTGTCGTCGCTTTTATTCCGTCCTCGTTTTATTGTTGTTGTTGTTGTTGAAAAAAAAAAAGGCTTAAAAAGCCTTCACGAAACACAAAACCCCTCCAAAGCACTTTATCTACCTAGTAGGTACATATCTACCCCACGATTATTCCCATCCACAGGGTACTTAGGTACCTAGTAGGTACCTGCCCCTACCCACGTTGCTAGCGGATGCAGCCGAGCGCTAAACGAGGCCAAAACCAGATCGCTGGAAAAGCCAGTTAGCTTTAAGGTTCCAAGGTTTCCCGATTGGTCTTCAACCTTTGAAATGGCAAGCAACGGCCAAGTCGACGGTTCAGCTCGTGCTGTCCAGTATTTAAAGTCAGTACCGTTACCAACACCTATCCCTTGAACCGGTTCTACTCTTTACCTACAGTAACTACCTACATACAAGAATTGCACGTGTATCTACCATTACTAATGGAATGCCAATCGGTATAGTCAAGCAGATGTCGGCTCCGAAGTAGTTCAGAGACCAAAGATTAATGTCCCCGTTGATGTTAGCTACAACTTGGATCGATTTCTGAACCCGCATCTCCACGCTGAGGACCGATACCTGAGACCACTGCAGAGCCCAGCCCCACTCACTGAAGAGGAGTCCCGCATGCGCATGACTGCAATTCTGAATTCCATGACGTTAGACCTGTTATCGAAGCAGAATTGATGGAGTGCGAGTTGCTTTCTTGGCTGCACTGCGTATTTTCTCTCTCTCTCTCTCTCTCTCTCTCTCTCTCTCTCTTTTTAATTTTTTAAACTATCTATTGTCTATATAAGCATTATGATGATTAGGATGAGAGTATGATGATTTATGGATAGGTTGGTTTCGTGTCTATTTCATTTTTAGCATTGTTAGCGTGAGGGAATTGCATTGGCTTGGGGGTTTAGTTGCATATTAGTTTGTACTTGGGTACCTAGTAGTACCTATTTAAGCTTTGCTTAAAGTTATTGTACATGCATATTCCTAAAGAATGCACGATGTATTTACTAGGTATCGTTCTTTTATCCTACGGCATCTATGGACGTTTCATTTCTCAGTGGCGGACCATATTTAGAAACTTCAGTAAATCATTCGAGCCTGTGAAATCTGATTTACGCCGATTCTAACCTCGAACCTACTACCTACTAGGTAGGCAGATAGGTACCAGGTACTCCCGCTATGCCCGCTGTGGCTTTCCTTTTTCTGATTTTCCTTTTCTTTTTTGGATTCACAAGGTAATTGTAATTTGGTATGGTGCGATGCATTTGAACATATTGAAGTTTTTCCGGTAGAGGTCTGACTGTGGAGCGAAACAGACATGTTACAGTGTAACAATATGAACATGCTTCAGTATTTCAATGATATTATCCTCCCAATTTATACCAACCGAAGGCAAGGCTATGAACAGCACACACGTGTTCTATCTAAGATTCTAATCACCCTACCTATTCATCCGCCAAGATAAAGGATATTGAATCGTTTTGATACATTAGGTACCTGGGTGATAAAGTATATATAGGTCGTGGCAGCTCCAACTGAAAATAACACAAACAAGCATCCTGCTAACAACGCTATCCTCACCACTGAAACATGGAGAATAAAATTACTTTCATTACCTGGGAAATGCTGGAGGGACCTAAACAGAGGATTAAATCACCAGGCTTAGGGCCTAATGGAGGTCAGATGAACAATCTCGATAATGATTATCTTCAACCAGGAAGCGATCTTACTGCCGAAGAGGTAGCCATCAGCTTATCTCGTCTTGAACTCTGAACTGAGGGCGGTTATGAATCGCCGGAAATTTTCTTACTATGGGGGCTCTGGTACTCCTTCTTCTGCTATTCACAACATATTCCGTACGACGATATTGCTCAGGATAAGTTGGTGAAGGTGATCCAGGAACTATAGTGGCTGCCTGATACTGAGATTACCGTGTGGGGAGTAAGTTAAGCTATATTTGTTCCTATCTCTACCTACCTAGAGTTAGGTATGTACCATAGATACCTACTTAATTAGAGATTTAGGCTAACCAATTTACTAGGATCGCCTCTGGAAAGATCTTCCCGTTATACATGCTGCTTTCAGGGAATTCGGAAACATTTCAGATTTCCGCTTTGAGAGTGCCCATGTAGAGTTAAACAAGGAGTGGGTACGGCTTCAAGCCTTGGGGGCCAGGCTTGCGAGTGCCCGTATATTCCACCATGAACCTCGCTCGATATGGCGTTGCGCGGCGGATTGGAAGAGAAGTACCCGCCTCATAGAATTGTGCTAGATAGAGAATTGTTGGCAGCTGCGGCAATAATCGAATATGCCGGCCAGTTCATGATCGAAGATGTGGTTGCTATCCATGCCCGGCAGCTACTACTGATGTAAACGACCGTTCTCTCATACCTGGCCCACTATTCAATGGCACAACTGCGTTAACGCTCGATAGGTGGCTATTTTTGGAGAAGAGATTCCCAGAAGAGGCAGCAGGAGCGAAAACTAGCGAGGCTACCCAGGGAGATGGCCCTGTGTGCTGCGAAATTGATAAAAAATTGGCGTGAAACAAGACTGCCGTAAGATTGAAGAGGTCGGCAAACTGAGATGTAGCAAGTATACCTACCTAGGTACCTAGTACTTACCTGGCGGGCCAGGTAATATTCCTACCTTACTGAGGACTACCTACTAGGTAGTTAATACCTTAAAGATAAAGTTATATACTGATGTTTAAAGGCCCCCGGGTATGGCATTATCTTTGTGATCCAAATATTTATAAAGGCCAATGGGATGGTAAGTTTTATCATGTTTGCGATTTAAAAACCATATTTATTAAGACTTCTAATAGTCTTATACTTGGAACCCAAACTCCTGTCTTGGTAGGTACTAATAGATAAGGTGGATCGTGTAGAGCCTCGATAATATATCAGCTAGGAGCCACTGACCTAGTATATTTGGCGGGGGGTACGGGCTGGGGGGTATGTGTGATGCTGCACGGACATGCGTTTTAACACTACCTAGGTATCTAGGATACGTAGATAGTCAAATCATACCTATCGATTCACTTGCAAACTTCTGATTTATCAATGCTAGGCGTGTGGAGGTTCATTGTACCTTAGCTGCGTCGCATGTGTTCATTTTAGAAGGTCAATTATATGTCGACGCATAACGACCTGTTTAAATTGACCAGAGCATCAGATTTCAGGTAGGCATTCGGACTTCAGCGGTACTTCGTACAAGCCACGATATCCTATGATCATCTAGATCGTTTAAGATCTATCATGGGGAGCACAATAACTAAGTTGGTCTAGGCGGCTTGGCATTAGACTAGTGTCGATCGACATATGCAGCTTGAAGGCTAAGAATATTTGGTGGACGACGGTCAATGTTAACTAATAGTGAAATTTAGTTGCCCGATCAGATATCCTCCGAGGATACGCTACCTGGGTATGCTAATGATGAGAATGGTGTGAAAGAAGACATGCTATGTAGGTCGACAGTATATGTGTCGACATTGTGGCCCTATGGGGCTATTATTGATGTGACGAGCCAGAAGCCCACGCCATTCATTACAACTATTTTCAAAATGGTATAAATGCAAACCATACCATGAACGTGCAAAAGCCATACAATAGCTTCTTCTTTAAAGGCAACCCCCCCAGAAAGATACTCCTCGGATCATAGCCGCAGTTGAGCAACGTGTAGCCGACCATGTCTAGAAGACGGAATATCCTATAGAGGATACGTATTTAGTATCACATCGATAGTTATCATGGTAGAGCGTCCCACGGATAAACTTACAAGTTGATTAAAAATACGCCAAACCCGAATTTGGGCAGCGGACCGCCTTGGGTGGTCTCGGATATAACGGTTTCGCGCGCGGTATAAGTAACAGGGGGGATGCGGATAAACGTGATTATCAGCTCTGAGGCGAGTGCGCGCGTGTATGTCTGCTCATTCGTCGTCCCTACACGAACCACAAAAATGCAGAGAGCCAATATCGCTAGGCCGAAGTCGATCTAGAAAAAGCCGTAACCGTCAGAACGCCGACGTGAGTAGAAGTGAAAGGAAGATAGGAGCCCGTACGCTTGCAGGTATCAAGACCGTCGACGAATTCCGGAACATGGTCCAGGCCAGCACGGCAGCCAGCATCCCGAGACCGAATTGTATGATGGCCATTATTAGCCACGAGACGACGACGACGACCCGCCTCACCCTACAGGGGGCATGCATCTGCTTGATCCTGCTATTTGAGGCGCCGCTGTGGACCGGCCAGGTGCAGAAGTGACATATGTAGCCGTAGTCGCCGTTGGCCATCTCAACCAGTGGCCAGTGCTTACGTTGGTTCTCGAGACTCAAGCGATCACGCCAGCATCGAAAACAGATTGACCGCCACGTAAGTTCTGACAGCGTCGTATCTACGATAAGACGATCTAGTCCCGGCATACATAGACACTCAGTGCAGCACCCATGCAGGGCCGGATCGGGGCGACCGTTGCTAGCAGTGAACTGCCTGCGGACGACATCAGCAGTGATGACTTGGCGGTACAACGGGTAAGTCTGTCGCAGTGTGACTAAGCTAGATAAATCTAGGTGAGAAAGGATGAGGTACTGAAGTTCGAGAGGCAGGGAGTCCAGCCCTGCCTCGCCTTCAGCCCTCCCAGCCCTCCTCCTCGGCGGCGTACGGTGATGGAAGCTACGCCGCGTGTCATGAGCTTGCCTGGCGGCCGAGTTGCTGCCGTTGCTGCTGTTGTTGACGGTGGTGAGCTCGAAGCTGTTAGAAGAGCTGCTACTGCTCATCATGCGCGCGTTGGACGTGGACGGCGTAGCTGGAGTAGCTGTAGCTGGCGCTGGAATGGAAAAGAGAGTTGTTCAATCATGGAATGAATGAAGGGCTCGTCATCTTCCGCCCGACTTCTCCTTTGAAAGACAGAAGTATGTAAAAGTGGTCGAAAGTCGATCGTCCAATGCGACCGTTTTCCTGAATGCCAAGTATGACGGTTGAAGAATTTCCCTGGACTTTGATCGGTTTTCCGGCACACAAGACAACGCGCTAACCCGGCTGTCCGGCACAGGCCGAGACCGTGCACTGAACCGTACAAATTGGACAGTACTAGACAGTCATACACACGGTATTGAGTTTGTATATCTACTTACCTAGGCAGTTGGACAGTTGGGGGATAGAAGAAGAACGTTAAACGATTGAAACAATTAGTTAGAAGAGATTAAGTAAGGAAATCTCTCAATTACTTGAACAAACGCATACGGAAAATATGATGGTCCATATAACTTGGACTATTTTATAAGGCACATTAGAAAAGTCTTGGAAAAAACACGATCCGTCCAGTCATATGCAATTTTAATATTTTCTCATATCCATACTAATCTTGGAACAAGAAGTACCTAAGTACTTCCTAACGGAAAACGGGAAACCCCAGCACGTAAACCGACGCACAGACCAAAGAGAGAAAGCTTGGGAAACTTCGCAGGGCTGTTCATCACATGTAAGGTCTAACTTAAAACTACGGTGATCTCGCATGACAGTTCGACGCGAGTACTGTTTAGGAAAGGACTAATTGACGTTGCTGATGTTGTTGACGTGACTAAGAAGTTTGGATGAAGTGTAAAAAATACAACCTTGAACCTATCTATTACCTACTAGGTATTCAAGAATAGAAAAGGCGGGCAACAACAACGCAACGTGAATGCATTTCCAACTTTGATCCCATCCTATCCTCATGCAGGTCAACTCGGAGCCTACATCTTCTTACCATTCTTGACCCCTTATGCTACTCTTTCCCCAATTTCCATAGGGTCATCTTACATAATGTTGTCGCGATCTCTGGTTTTATCACTAGCGTGAGCAGCTCCTCGGTACCTACTTATGTAGGTAGTACATACATACCTGACCAAGGCGTTTTAGATCGGAGGAATAGAGGTACGGTTGCCCGATGCTTTGAATATCTCGCATTTCATAATCAGCGGACTATCCATTTCGACAACTTGGAACTATTACCGGGTGAACATGTAACATCCGATTACAATGTTGGATTACATACCGTGGACCCTACTAGGTAGCACACAGTTGGCTTACTACTATCTATGCCGTGTGCAACGAAAACCGACCTGCCCATTCAGTTGCCGTAACCCCTGCTCTCTTCCCATGCCGAGTTGTCCGAGCTGGGGCAGTCTGCAGCCAGCCGAGACATTTCGGATATGGATCCCACTATTTCCCTCCCCGAGCACGTCGAGTTAAGCTTCTGCTTTACCGATAACAGCGGGCATATTGTTATCCAACTCCGGGGAAACCTTCGTATTAATTGGTGTATTCCTAGGAATTTTTCGAAATTGTGTATTGTGACGTGGACTATGGTGCAACATATAATTGCTACGGCATTTTGTCGCCACGATAATCGCCCCTCCTTTTACTAGGTGCCTTCTTACCGGCACTGTTGGCCATCTCTATGGCGAGGCACTCGTCGGTCTCATTTCGTTAAAGACCAAGAATACTCACATAATTCTATTCACAGATATATTCCGAGTAAAAGGGTTTTATAACGTGTTATGGTAAATTACCTACGTATGATCACGTTTTCAAGATAGTGGGGGGTCCACGCACCTGTTAACGGCGGCTAAAAGGGCCTAGATCGATATTCGCGCTGAGTGGCGTTTAGGTACACGGGATTAGGCGTTGTTTAGTTGGCTACCGGAAGTTCCCTTAGTCGGGAGAAGAGCCTCAAATGTCTTGTTCGCGCCTCAATCTTTTCAAATGTGCGATCCAATTTCTCTCATGGATTACTAGGTAGTGCAATGGGAGGGGTTCGTATGCTAAGCCGCATAGGTACTAGGTGCTAGGTACCTAGTACCCTACATCATGTAACATTTTGAAGGGCAATGAATTTCAATTGTCGCAGCTGCTATAGAGGAAATGCTAGAAAATACATACCATGAGGATCCATGGATAGGTATGCGTCTCTTTACCTAGTACCTAGTTAAGTAGGACCTAGGTATCGAATATGCTGTAACAGTTAGGGAGGCGCCGCCATTTCATCTTAATGAAGTCATCTTGATGACCGAAACAAATTTAATCAAACTAATCATTACTTAGTGAAGTTCTAAACGTATTTTATGGGATTCGGAGCCCAGGCTGATGTCAATTCTAAGAATCTTTAGCAAAGAGATCTTACGTACGATATTGCAGAATAGGTATCTACCTAGGTACAAAAATTATATTTCTTCGGCATCAGATCCGGCGCGATTTTTTGCTGAGGCAGGTATCGAGGTACCTAGTATAGCACTTAACAAGCCACATCGCACATTAGCCACAATGCGGCAAAATGATACAAATATATCCAATCCCCAATTAATCAATTGATTCAATCCTCTATCGGGTCAACACAACGACTGTAATCTTACATTTTCGTAAGATGTGAAATAAAATCAATTTAACCTCTAGCTATGCTCTAAGTTAATTGGTAAACGATAATGGCCGATGAGCTATTCTTATGATATCTTAGGTACCAGCGACTCCGTCCCTTCTGTATTAACGATTGTCAATTTTGACTAAGTACCCTACTTACCTACGTATAAGCTAGCTAATAAATACCTAAGTAGGTAGCAAGTTTTAAGTATAACTTGGAAAGCGCGCAGGTTATCTCCTTCTCCTCCCCAAGGTCTTTGACGCTCAGAATGAGTACCTAGATATTTTGCAAAGTAGGCTTATTATCAATTAGCTCCTGCTCTCACAATTGATACCACGCCGACCATTTCCCGCCTGTTTAAAAGCTAGCGACTTGAAGATATCAGGAGCTAGCCTTCGTTAAAACCCGCCATCTTTTTCCAGCTTTAAGTGGTTTGTTAGGTCATGGTGCTCGCATACGTATCCAACATCACCGATAATGCCGGAATTAACGAAGTGTATAGGTTCCTAGGTTTTAGGTCCTGAGTTGGCTGGGTGATGATATCCCGCGAAGGCGCTTTAAAACCTGTCACTGACTGCGAATTATTAGCTTGCTTGGATATATCAACGATTGAATAGGCTGACTTAAAATTTTATTCTATCTCGGTTAACATTCGTCGAATACCTAGGTACCTAGGTAGGTAGGCTTATATTTATAACATCGCCATCTAACATCCTGGCATTACCAGTTGGTTAGTACTTGTGCCTTTATGATCGCATATACTTTCTCGCGACTGGAATGTAATTGAAGTGAAGAAGATATTCATTAAAGTAATTCAAACCTATTGTGTCACCAACTACGAGAAACCGCTGAATCTCTCGTATAACTTATTTAACAAAGGATAGGTTATCTAGAATTCTTAACTAAGAGATACCTCCTTATGTAAATATCTCGACAGTAGCAGTTGTGATCAAATAACTTCCAAGGTTAGTAACTCAATTATTTCTACTAATGATGTTTTGTTAATTCTAGGGAGTAACTACACCATTTCTAACTACTCGTCTCCATGACCCAACACGTAGGTCACTTGGAACACTAAATACATCTCAGATGGGATCTCTGTGTCCCCCTCCTCTAAGCGCTTCAATATCAGAGCCTTGGTCATGTATTAAATCCATGGATGCGCGGTACTTCCCAGACGGCAGTCTTACTGTACCATACCTAGTACCTACTGCAACTGCTTCATGCAGATCCATTTCTCGAGTCTGGATTTCCCAAGGAGTTCTCCATATCGCTTACCAAGTTCTCAAATGTGGCTACCCCATCAATATCTTCATCACGCTCAACACTGCTATTTATCAGAGTGAATAATTCATCGGGGGCAACATACATCCACATATCTATGCCCTGGGAAGCTTCACTGGGTCTCTTGCCCGGCGAGGTGTTGGATGACGAATGAAGTTCTTCGACCGTATGGTACTAGTGTTCGAATGTATTAGGTAGTACGTCTACCCATAAGGACGTGCTCGCCAAGTTTTCGGGAACTAATGTAGTAAGACAAGAAGATTGTGATGTTAGGGAAACTGATCCTGAAATTGGTGTTGGGGAATCAGTAGAATCTGGTGAATGTGAAGGGCATTCTAGAGTATAATGTGTGGGCGTAGTATTTTCTGTCTGATTTGCAGGTAGACCTGTTCTAGAAACTCGGTACAGCTGCTCGAGTATCTGAACCCGTTCTCAAACACGCTCACCTACCTATACTTGTTAGAATTACAAAATAAATTACAATAGCTTGAGGCTTGTGTGCTTACGGTAACGTCTTTGGGCTATTCGATTCTGGGCCTTCTTCCTCTCCTTCGCATCCCTGATATGCTCCCAGCTATTATCTTGTCTGTTTCTATCTCTTGGTTCAGCAGAAGGCATGTCAGCGCACATTTGTGTAAACGCAACTAACTAGAAAAAGATAGCTACTGCATATTCAAGTCATCGTATGATGTATTGGACAGAAGGAGGATAAGGCAGCCCCTCGACGAAAACTGCACAGAATCTCGAGATATGTAAGAAAAGCTTTAAGAATAGGTATTATTATAAATATATTTCGCCAAACTTTAACACTTATAATCATCGAAAACGGTATAAGGTTGCAAGGTTGCTTGGAATAGAACATTGGTCGGATATCAAAGTGTCTGCTTTTACGCGCCTCAGTCCTGTCGCCGACCTTAGGCAGATTAAGGGGTCGATGACGAGGAGAAGTGATTGAAATAAAGCGTTAATTGTAAACTTATCAAAATAACTTTTAGTATTATTTTCAACATTAAACTTTTATAACTATCATTGCGATGCAGTATATTATTAAAGCGAATACTTATTAAAACGGCGAGATTACTTACTTAGGGTGGTGAGAAGCAACGTGGAGTAGCAGGTAGGTATGGTAGGTACATATGTGTGCTGATTTTTGCCACTTACCTAGTATCTGGGTAGTGAATTCTGCGCGATTATTCGTACCTGTTGGTAATAATAGGGACTAGGTAGTACGTAAATTCCATAACACCCAGCATCGATGTTAAATGTCCTCTCCTTTGATAATGCTAGTCTACTGGAGTCTATGAGGACACCGTCTAGCCTGTAATATGGATTTTCACACATCGCATGATAAAGATGCAATTTATCGTATCCTGGCTTAAAATGGTGGTAATATGATAGGGCTCTATAATAAGAATTAGAAAATTTGTGAGCAAGCTACCTATGCTGAAGTTAGAACTTGCTCGAATGAGAGATCAAATGAAGAGCTCGATATTTTATTCAATGCTTATGGGTGGCGGAGTGCTTGTAAATACCCCGCACTTAGTGGACTCCAGTAGTAGTGGCACGATGCGCGAGTCTTGATTTTCGTACGCTGTAGTTACTGGCACCGCGAGTTTCCTAAGGATCTTCATACGTCACCTAAATGACCGAACTAATTCCCGGCATTCAAGCTTACGCGGTGTCGGAAGAAGCGCGTCTATTCAATATAACTGGTAATTCTACCGTTACTTAGATGTCCCTTGAACCTTTTCAAAGACTCCTCTCTGGAATTCCTCATGCAATTGGACAATCACAGGGTGTAATGGGGGTAGGATCTGGCAGATCGCAGTCCCGCAAATACCCGTATCGTGGTCAATAAACCATATAGTGCTTGGAACGCCGGCCCAGAACGTCGCCCCTTTTCCGAATCGACCACTCTGGGGCTCCTTGGATATCAACCCCGCAAAAGACCACGTCTTCCTGATCGACTCCGGAATATGCATCCCAAGAAAGGCTGTATGCGCGGGAGAGGATGCGATATACTCGTTAAAGGTCTGCTCAAGTTCCTCATCTAGTTGAGGGCAGAATAGTTCTTCGTAAGACTCTGGCTTAAGGACCTTAGCATCTCGTCGGGGAAGTGCGGAGACGAATGTGTAATATGCCTTCGCAGAGCAAAAGAGTCCCGCTCCCCCCAAGCAGTCTGTTCCTCCAAATAAGATATCGAAGGTGGGCAGATCTACAGCTGGTGGCTCGCCTTTCTCGTTCAGTGTGCTAATTGTGGCCATCCTGTCCTCCATACCCTGCTTCGTTCTGGGGTAGAAGCTAGGGTTAGGGTTAGGGTTAGGGTTAGGGTTAGGGTTAGGGTTAGGGTTAGGGTTAGGGTTAGGGTTAGGGTTAGGGTTAGGGTTAGGGTTAGG